CACTAGCTTCTTTCCCTTCCCCTTTCTTTCCCTTCCCCTTCTTTCTTTTCCTTTCTTTCCCTTCCCACTAGCTTCTTTCCCTTCCCACTAGCTTCTTTCCCTTCCCACTAGCTTCTTTCCCTTCCCCTTTCTTTCCCTTCCCCTTCTTTCTTTCCCTTTTCTGTCTACTTCCCCGAATTTTCCTAGTTTCATTTCTTTTGTACTCAAAGGATTTCTTTGCAATTCTCAATAAAGATTTGTTTCTAAAAATAGCTCTTATCTGATAGTGAGCTAAAATTAGAATCTAAAGAGAAGAGATGAGTCTTTGTTTGGGGGAAAAGCTCGATTAATAGCCATTTGTTTAGTGTCATTGTTTGTTTCTATTTTTAGAAGCAATTAGGGCATCTTATTGTCTCCAAAAATAGATCTTTTCCAAGACTTTATTAAGGTGTTTGCATAGATATTATTTCTGATTTCAAATTGGCATATCTATGTTTAGATCTAATGAAAGAAAATTGATCGGTTCCCAGTTCAATGAGTGATCAATCAGTGATCGATTGCTAGACGGATTAGCGTGAACACCCGATCGATTTCCTGTCCTCCCCATGTGATCACTCCAACATCAACGATCATTTTTTGATATTCTGCCCATTTCTGTTCATTTCTCACTTTCCCCCCAATCACAGCTCATTCTCTGACAAATTTGTTTTCAATTTTTCATCGCCAATCTTATTTTTGACGTTTTTTTTTTCGAGAGGATTGATCTCGACTTATTGGCCTAAAATCTGAAATCATAACGGAGTTCCGGACTTTTAATTGTTATCATTCATTTTCTCACAAATCTTCTTCGGATTAGTTTTTTATTTCTTTTTTCTCTTTTGAATCTCTTTCACACGATCTTTCTCCGATTAGAGCTGACTCTAACAGAGCTTGACTCTAACAATTAAAGAAATACGGTAATTCTATGTAAATTTTTAGGCTTCTTTGCAAAGTTTTCGCTAAATATTACCTTCCATTCCTCTAAATATTACTTCTATCCCAGTTTATCCCATTCCCAAGTTTGTCTCAAGTCTACAGGTCCAACCGACCGGGCTTGAGCTGATTTTAAGCGTATGCCGATGTGCCGAACTCCACGGTCTTTTGCATTGCTAGCCGGGCAAAGGGAAAACCATTGTGCATACACTATTGCCAATGATACACTATTGCCAGAAAAGGCCACAATGTTACCAATGTTACCGAGTAGTTTATCAGCTTCTCCCTTGACCCCATTCAGCTCCACCCCCACCCAGGTCCATCCTCCCTCACCGTCCCCTCCTCCCCTCCTCCCCTCCTCCCCTCCTCCCCTCCTCCTCTCCCCCTCTCCTCCTCTCCTCTCTCCTCCTCTCCTCCTCTCCTCCTCTCCTCTCCCATTCAAGATCCGGCTTTCCCCAATCCATTTCCCCTATCTTTATCGTCTATAAAACTCTCTCCTCTTCTCCATCTTTTCCTTCCAAAATGCGTCACAATTTCACAGTTTTCTCTTTCAGATTTATTACCATATCAAAAAGGACACATGAAAGAGATTGGTGTTGATTTTTGGAAAACAATGATTCCAAAACGCGCTCAGCTTAGGCTTTTCTGATGGGGCCACAAAATTTAGTCTGAAAATAGTGACTATAGCTTATCGTGAAAGTTAATAAAATTTGGAGCCAATGGCGGAAAGTCTTTTGACCGGTTATTTGCAAAGAAGAGAACTTTGATCGGAAAGATGGTTATGCTTTGGATACTGTAATCAAAAGAGTTTTCTATTGCAGCATTCTATTGCATTGTATTCTATTTTCTATCTTTATTCTATCAGCTCATCATAACTTGTCGTTTTCGCTTTTTTCTTCTGTTTCAAAACCAGCCCCATTTCCCCTCAACCTTCAAGTGGTTAAATTTGACCCCAAAAATGACGTCTGAATTTTTGAATCTTCCAAAAATACTCAACGAAACGCCTTTTCAAATAGTTCTTTTACTATATTGAAATTAGAAAAGATAGAAGAAATCTGGGAGAAGAAAGAGTCAAAACAAGTCTTGAGAAGGGTTTTTTTTGCGGGATTTTTCTGGGATCTCACTAGTCTCACTCTTTTCCCTCTTAAACATTTATTTTTGGTGAAAAGTGATACTTTTGGAATGAGGCTTTCAAGAAAATATATTTAGAAAGCCACCAAGAAAGAATCATCTTTAGATTTAAGCTTTAAAACAATAACAATGTATTTCGGTTGTGGAACTTAAGCTGTTTTCGAGTTTTGCTTCTAAAGCCAAGAGATTTTCTGCATTTCTGCATTTAATATTCAAAATATATTTAAATAGAAGAGCTCTTCTTAACAATCATGTAGTGATTATTGTTTAGATATAATCTTTGTTTAGATATAATCTTTGTTTAGATATAATCTTTATTACAGCAATAATAGTTGGTTCAGTGGTTTGGGATTGGGAGAGTAGAGACGACTCCACGGCACCTCCCGGCAGCTCATTCAAATTGCTTTTATACAGAACTTTGGCGTTGGTCTCGTCTTGCACACAATGGATACGATTGCGTTGAACGGTTGAACGGACGCATATTAAATCTCGCACAATAGGCGTTCGTCCACATAGATGCCTAGCTGGCCATAGGTGCCTAGCTGGCCATAGGTGCCTAGCTCGATCACGAGATCGTCACGACAAACCATTCATCCATTTTTCAAAACTTCAAGTACTGCAGTTTGATCGGTTCTCCTCGATCGGTACGATGAATGGTGTAATCCTCGTCATCTCCTCCCCATCATCCACTTGATTCCAACCATCTCATTTACTCAATTCCTTTTCTTTTCCAATCTTTTTCAATGAACGTCATCATCGGCTATTCCCGCTTTTCTTGTCCTTTTCTTTTCTTCCTTTTCTTCTTCAGTTTCTTTTTCTTTATCATTTTTTTGAGTCTTTTTCCACCCTCCACTTGACTCGAAATGGATACCAAAAAGCCAGTGTTCAGTTTGAGAAAAATCGCAAATATTCTTGAACCTTTTCTTTATCTTATTTCTACAGTAATATTTACTAAGATTTTTGCAAGATTATGGCTAAATCTGTAGCTTTAAACAATCAAAGTTTCTTCTCCATTTAATATCCTTAAAGATTCTTTTTTTATTCTTGCATATTATTCATTTTATTCTTGCATACTCTTCCTAAAAGTATCTCTTGTGTAAATGACAAATTATTTTCATTGTTTTATTTATAATGAGCCTGAGCCTGAGCCTGACACAATAAATGAAACATTTTATTTTGATTTCTAAACCTAAATCTGATACGTCCCAGCTTTTTGAGGAGAAATTTGATTTTTTTCAATTCTCAACCTTTACTGCCCCCTTTTCCCCTTTTCGAGAGTTTTTACGGAAGCCAAAAGAAATGAATAATCTAATTTTCCACGTCAAAACTTGTTAGAGAGTTTCCGTTTGAAATAACAAAAGAAATTTTGAGTTGATACGTCGAAATGATTTTACTTCCGAAATGATCTAGATTTTACTTCCAAATCCCTACCTTTTCACACTTGTTTCCATTCATTTTATGATGCAAATCCTTTTATTCAAAATTCCCTTTGTATCAAATTCTCAGAAATCAACCTTTAAATCAGAAATCAACCCTTTTCCCCTTTTCGAATCAATTCCTCATCAATTCTTCTTCTGAACATTCCTTCACGTCATCTATACACTTTAACAAAAATTTTTCTTTCTCTTTAAAATCGTGATTTCATCGAGATTTCCCCATTTTCTTTTTCCTTGATGAAAATTGTTTCTTCTCCTCGACGAGAGTCATTTCCACCACTTGACATCTCCACCAAGAGCTTTTTCTTTTCCAATCCTTGTTTCATCGGGATTTTCCGTGTTTTTCACACGTCTCACATCAGAATCCAATGCACATTTTATATATTTGTATATTGATATGTTGACTTATACATTTCTCTTGATTTGAATGCTTGTATTGAGTTGGACACGCCGATCCTTTTATGGGTTAAAGCTGGGAATATAAAACATTGTCGGCGCCGAGATTCGAACTCGCCACCTCGCTTACTTCGAACGCGCCTCGCTTACCTGCGAACGGTACATCAAGGAAGAATCAAGGAGATGTCAAGGAAGAATCAAGGAAGAATCAAGAAAGAGTCAAGGAAGAGTCAAGGAAGAAGCAAGGAAGAATCAAGGAAGAATCAATGAGCTTGTCCATCCTTGTCCATCAATGAGCTACATCGACACTTGTCCCGTTGCCGCCAGGGAAGGGTGTTATGCCTTACGTGAAGTGTACAGCATTGCATTTTACTGATTTCAATCTCTATCATTTCCACACTTTTGTCCCCCAATTTTACTGACAAATGACTCTTCTTTGACTCTTTTTCAAAATTGAATTCTTGGATTCTTGGATCTATCCTTATTTCAAGATTTTGCATAAAATAGTATTATTTGCCTTTTCTGATCTGCTCCTATTTCACTTTCAGCTTCTTATAATCAAACTAAATCTCCTTTCTTTGATCTATTTTACCAATAAATAGTTCTGCAATCATTCCAAAACAATTCCAACTTCCACCAGCCACTTTTCCCCATTCCATTAACCCACACTCTTTCCAATGATTCATCAATCTTTCCAAAAAAATAACTCCGTCAGAGTTAAATCATTCAATTGTACAGAGATCAAGACTAATCTCCTCTTACTTTTTGATTGTTAACGAGAAAACTGGTAAAGAAGAGATTGATAATCTTCAACAGTTCTTTTGCTTTCATTTGATCTTTGCCATTGCACCATTGCAAAGTCTTTACTCATTGCTCTTAGCTCATCAAGCTCCTAAGCCTTTCACTTCTCTTTGTATTTCCTCTTTCTTCTCTGCCAAGCAGAAACCGAATGGTTCAGTGGCTAGAGGAAAGCAAAAAGGTGGAGGGTTCAATCCCCTCTCCTAAATTCTTTCTTTGCCATTTCTTACTTTCTTACCTAAATCTTTTCAATTGTTTCATATCTCAATTTCCAGGTGCGATTCTCAAATGGAGTTGGGTGTGCGGCCGTTTCCCTGGCGGCCTCACTTCTTTGAACTCTTCATCGTTTTGTTGTGTACATTTTCTCTCTCTTTTCGATTAGCACAATCTGCTTCAACGAGGGAAACTTGTCGATTAATAGGTTTCTTTTTACAAAAGATATTTAAGGGGAATTCAAGTTAGCTACCGTAAATACTCTAATAGAATATCAATTACTTATTACAGCATTTCTTACTTATATCATTTCCAGGTGAGGAAAAGCTGATCGACATTGAGGGTTGTCCTCTTCAAGTTGTCAGAGTGAATGCCTGCGCTGGTTACTGTCACTCGCATACACTTTTCAATCCAATCGACGGGAATTTCTTGAGAAGGTCACAATGTTGTCGAATGGTCGATAAGGATTATGTAAGGTTTTAGCAAACAAGAGAAAACAGCAAGAGAAAGCAAAGAATGCTTTTAAAGCATTGAATGCATGAGTTAAAGTTTCTCTGTAGTTTCCAGTTTTTTTAAAATTACTGATTGTGTTAACCAAAAATGTTAGCTTTTTTTGTATAGTAAACAATATTTTATGAACGGAATTAGGTAAATGAATTCTTGGCTTAAATATTGTTTCATTCTTACATGGAATCTCCCCAATATCCTTTCTCCAATTGGTGAAAATAGTTGAAGAACTTTTGGGCGTTCAGTCGAAATATCCGAAAGAGATCCGCCTGTTTGAAGATCGAGTAGGTCAGCTGGAAATGGGGTTTTCTTCATTTCCTAATCGAATTTCTAAAATACAATTGATGGTAAACAGAGTAGTTAGCAGGTAAACAGAGTAGTTAGGAGGTAAACAGAGTAGTTAGCAGGTAAACGGAGTAGTTAGCAGGTAAACAGAGTAGTTAAAGCATGAGTAAACAATTAAACAAAACAATTAAACAAAGCAATTAAACAAAGCAAGTGAACAATTGCAGGTGACAAAGACGCTAAATTGTGAATCGGGTGAGCGTGTGGTGAGAATACCGACAGCAATTCAATGTTCATGCATGGAATGTGCTCCATCGACGGAAAGGAGACGATAAGATTATCGTAAACCGTCTGAATCTCTACAGTATCCCCTTTAAGCTTTTCTTTTTCTCTCACAAGCAATATCATTTCCCGAAACTCTCGCTAGTGCTTTTTTTTTCTTTCCTTTCTGTTCTTCTTTGAACATTTATTTCCAGTATGGGCTTTTTTTTAGCCTAAATTTACACGAATTTCATTTAATGTTTTTAATTTAATATTCCTATCCAATGTTCTTATCCAATGTTCCTATCCAATATTCCTATCCATTTTCCTATCCATTTTCCTATCCATTTTCCTATCCAATATTCCTATCCAATGTTCCCATCCATTTTCCGTATCTCTGCTCTCTGAATATCCAATTTTCTGATCTCAACCAAATTTTCCTATTGAAATATTCTCGATTCGCGTTCCACTGTGCTTTAGCCAACTTTTTGATTTCACTTTTCCCCACTTTTTGCTTGAACTTTGCTTGAACTTTGTTTTTGAAGAGAAAAGGGAAATGAAGTTCTTGAAGATTCTTCAAGATCTTAAAGAAAATCAGATTTAAATTAGTTTGAGGATTCAAGTGTTAGGATCATTGGCAATATTAGCGTCATTGACAACATTAGGAACATTGACTAGATACGAGAGAAGACAAATCTCAATCTGGAATGCCAGAGTGGCTTCTGCCAAATGCCTGCCAGAGTTCAACAAACTATTGAAATCGTTTTCCAAAGCCCAAAGAATTTCTGGCCCAAAAGCCCAAGCCCAAGAATTTCTGTTCCCTTTTAAACCTAGCTGCAATTCTTGTTCCCATCCCCATCTCCATTGATTAGCCATTTCATGTGATAGTTGCCATAAATCTCCATTCTCGTTTCACTAATCTCATCTGCATCTTTTATCCTTTCTATAGTTTGCCCTTTTCATCATACTGTAACTTTTTTGACGGGACGCCACAGCGGGCGAAAATCCGACTCTTTTCATCCCTTTTTCTTGGTGAAAATTTGCATTCCAAAAATGAGCATATGCATAATTATCATTTTTTTGTTTGTTTTCTTTCTATCTAGTGTGCTGGAATAAAAATGGTTTGAACTTGTTAGAAAATCGAAGAGAAATTGTATGAAAATCACAAGCAAATTTGCAAAAACATTCAATTTATTAGCTTTTATTCATTAAATTTTCATTTTTTTAAACACTTTTCACATTTACACGTACAAATTACATTCAAATTTTGTATATGGAAGTTCTTAAGTGAAAATAGAGCTCTAACGGGGGTAAAGAAAATGATGAGGTTGACGGGGAAGAGTACAGAAAGTACGGGGAAGAGTACATTTACAGAAATACAGAAATCGGCATTATCGGCAACTACAGCAGCAATACTTGAGGCTCTTCTTTAGGTGAAATGCATTTTGGAAAGCTGAGAATGAATGGATTGGTGATCGAGAAATGCAATGCTCTGAGAAATCAAAATTGATAAAACTTTAGATGAACAACAAAATCATAGTACGATCCCTTTAACACATTCACGACAAAGCCATTTTTTTTCTTTGCCCGTTTTGTAGTTCCTATTTAGTTCTTTATAGTTCCTATTTAGTTCCTTTATAGTTCCTTTAGAGTTCCTTTTTAGTTCCTTTTTAGTTTCAATTGCATTTGGGTAATTAAACCAAGTGAAATTTCTAAAAACAGAGGAGTTTTCTTTAAAAACTAATAACTGATTCGAATTGCTCACCCTCGAAAACCCACTGGTGCAAAATTTCAGCCCAATTAAACTCACACAAAAAAAGAGCTAAATCCACTACGGTTCACCGGTGGGCAGTATCGTCGCGAATGTGTTAAAGTAAAATTTAAACAATTGAAGCATCATCCGGTGTCACACCCAACACAATATCCACCGCTTCTTCGCCGTCTTTCAATGGTGATTCCTCATTGTTAAAGAAATCAGTCTCATTGTCTGAAAAATTCACTCATTTGTAAATAATCTAACCGAATCCAGTCGTTTATTTGCTTATTTAACAATCTAATCTAATCCCAACCTATCTGTAAGCCTAGCCAAGACTTCAGAGTCTGGTTCAGGTTCAAGTCGAGCCTGAGCCCTGGCTTTTGACTTGACCTGACCAAAAGCCATCCTTGTTCTGCCCGGAAGACTGACAGAGATTTATTCAAATTCGTTTACAATGTCGACTTTTCAGCTGTTTTATTTGAGCTTAGTGTCAAATATCGCTTTAGACTGGCTTTAGACTGGCTTTCGACTGGCTTTAGACTGGCTTTAAACTGGCTTTAGACTGGCTTTAGACTGGCTTTAGACTGGCTTTAGACTGGCTTTAGACTGGCTTTAGACTGGCTTTAAACTGGCTTTAGACTGGACAATGTAAATCTCGTCTCCTTGTTCCTGGATCTTCTTCAGAAAATTTTCATACCCGAATTCCAGAAGCAACTATTCGATATTGTGACCAAAACCACGGCGATGACAGCGAATGCCAACACAAAGAGAGAGAGAACCGCTGAAAGTTCAGCTTTTAGTAGACATTTTAATAGGTTGATGCATAAGTCTTTTCGTTTTTTTCGTACTTCTGTTAAAAAGTAACAAATTCACCAATTAATCTATAGTTTGCTCTATAAAAAAAGTGTTTTTTTGTTCAATTTGCATCTTTTTAAATGAATTTCGGTTCACTTTCAAGCAAATTCGAGAGTGAAAAACGCCTTTTTCGTAAAAATCTATAAAAAACTCTACGGAAAAATTGGCTGAATGAATTTCTCTGAAATTTTGGCGAAATATCAAACGTTTTTTTTCTCTATCTTTTATCTATTGACACGAAGATAGGTTTTCTTTAGCTAAGGTGTCTAAACCGCATCATCGAGTTAGCCCTTTTTGACTACCCGACTTCATACTCTCAAGAAAATCCAGGCATTAAATATTTTTAAACCCGTTTTAATGTTATTTTGCAGAAAAATAATTGGTTTTTCTAATGAAATCAACCGTAGTTTAATTGGTGCATTTGTTGGCTTGAAACGGCAGACGAAAAGGAACAAAAACACTTATGCATCAACCTAATAGAAGAATTTTATTAGGCTATCTAGAAAGTCTTTTCTTTCCTTTTTGGTAGCCTAATAGGCATAGATAAGATTTCTTTTTTAAATCCAAATTTTCCACCAAAAACTCACCCAAAGCGAATCCGACAGCAGCATGCTGTACAGAGGCCGGAGAGGCGAACATTCTCTCAGAGAAATTTAGAGGAATTTTGTCGTAAAGAACAAATTACTCTCACATATAAGCCTGTAAATATATATGAACTTGTTGATTTTTTTGTAAATTGGTAATCAAGACATGAGAAGCTTAAGCTTAAGGAGAGAAAAGAAAAGAAAAGAAAAGAGAAGATTGAGGTCAAAAGTTTAGATCCGAGTTTGAAGTTTAAATCCGAAACAGATCTTTTTCTTGAATTTCCATTGTTCAAAAAGAGATTAGGTATTTTTAAAGATCCAGTGCTTTATTGGAGATTAAGTAAATTAGATAAGCAGAAGTTGAGGAATTTAACGGCTTGTCACAATCCACTAAACTGCTTCCAGAAAGTGTTGAATGTTGTTCTTGAGGTTTACTAAACAAAACAAACTTGAGGTTACTAAACACTAAACAAAATAGATAACCCAAAAACCAAGTTGTTCCTTGCCCAAATATTTGAGTAAAGAAATATAATATCCATTCGATTTTATCCATTCCTTATCCACTTTTCCTCTTCTCCTTATTTCCCATTCATTCATAAGCATTTCGATTGGGGGAAAAGAAGATAAAAAGAAGGAATGATGAAGAAATGAAGGAATGAAGGAATGAAGGAATGAAGGAATGAAGGAATGAAGGAATGAAGGAATGAAGGAATGAAGGAATGAAGGAATGAAGGAATGAAGGGAATATTCGGGGAAATATTGACCCAGAATTCCTTATGAAGATCATGAAAAAAAATGAAGAGAAATATGGATGAGCTTTTCTTTTCAATTTTTCTCAATTTTCTTTTTCAATTTTTCATTCGTTTTCTTTGAAATGACCCTAAAAGAGAAAAGGAATACGATAAAATTTTCATGGGAAATTGAGCGGAAATTCGTCTTTTCTGGGTGAAGCTTCCGAAAGCTTGTTTTTCCGATGACTGTGACTGGGTGAAGACTTGTTTTTCCGATAATATTATTCGGATTCGGCTATTTTTGAATCATCAAAAAAAAAACAGATTGTTTTTCAATATGGGAAAATGAGGATGAGATATGTGTTAGGATATGGAGTCCGTAAGAGATTAGTCTTTTAGATTAGAGATTAGAGATTCAAACATTAATCTCAAATCTTCTTCTAGATCCCTAAGAGAAAACGAAAAGTGCAAAAATGATTTTTCTTAGTTAAAGCAGGGATAAAGTCAGAAATCTTCAAGCTTTTGACTTTTTTCCCGACACTTTTCACTTGATTGAAAGTTGAAGAGAATCTCTATTCATTGTTGAAGTTGAAGAGAGATTTTCCTGACTCAGGTTTCAATTTAGGAAACTAGATGTTTGAGTCTACTTATTGGCATTTCGGCCCGATTGGCTCAGGGATCGCTATAGATTCAGCTCATGGAATCGCTATAGATTGGCGTTTAGGGATCTGAACGAGAAAGATCAACGAGATCTGATTTCTGATTCTCAGAGAAATGATAATCAGAAATCAGACAAAGGTCATTGGCAATAGCTGAAAGCTTCGGTTAACTTTGAGACGTCAAGATTAACACGTCCACCGATGTCCACCAATAACTGACATCTGAGCTCAGATTTTTTGCTTTTGCTGGATTTGCTCAATAATCAATTGGCTATCGGGGGCATTTCTTTAAACGAATAGAGATCACAAGGCAGATGAGGAATAGATTTGAAAGATGGCAGAGAAAGTAAGACCAATTGTCTTGGGATTGTCTTGGGAACAGTTGTTAGGGTAAAAGCTCCGATGATATACAGATACCAATAATGCTTTCAAAAATAAAGCAAGAAGTGTTCTCTCTTTAATCCTCGTCATCAGACTTTTCCCTGCCAAAAAGGTGAAAACTTTGAAAAGAACAATGAGTGAATATGACTCAAGAGAAAGTTGAAAGAAAAGAGAATGTTCTGAGAGTGAAAATGAGTGTTTGGATTTAAAGGGGATTAAAGGAGGAAAAGGGGAGAAAAGGAGTGAAAGGAAATGAAAGGAAATCGCAATTCTTCAAGGAGAAAAGGAAAAGACACCAAAGAAATGGTGGAGAATAACAAAATAGAGATTGCAGGAGGAATTGCTTGTCTGCCAAAATAGAAGAGATGTTTTGATGACCGGCAAGATATAGTAATCACTATAATGTATTGGCACTTAGGTGTCCAAGAACTACGAATGATTTCCCATCGCAAAAGCGAATACATAACGGATTAAAACCGGTGAAGCATTTTATGGGCAATAAGTTATCACAGGACAGAAAAAGTGTCACCGATGAAATGATAGTTTTACATAGTAAATTTCTAAATGAATGCTTTAACTCATACGAGATGTTACTTTGTAAAGTAACATCTCGTAGATGTTAACATAACATAACAAAGTAACCTCTCGCACAGCACAAAACTCTGTCTCAGCTTTCTTTAAGAATCAATGATTAGGGTTTAACAAGCGAAAAAAATCTCGCGAAGATCGATTTTCACCTGGGAACTTTTTCTTGTGATTTTTTTCACAAAACACGAGATATTGCGTGCTCAGTCATTTCAGAAACTTTTGATTTGGATGCAGAATGAGGTACGTTTCAGAGAAGGGAAAGGAGTTGATAGTAGTGTTGTCTTGAAAGGATCTAATGAAGGGGCAATTGAAGTTCTGGAAGATTGAAGTGGAAGAAAAGAAAAAGAAATGGCAATTAGTGAAAGTAAAGTGAAAGAACACGTGAATTTGACTTTATTGAAAGGGGAAAAGAATTGTTTTTGAGAAAAGCAAGAGTTCGATCTGAGTTTGAACTTAAAACAAAAAACAATTGGTCAACTTTGGTCGACTTTGGTCAACTTTCTCTAGATAGCTATCACTCTAGATAGCTATCACTCTAGATAGCTATCACTCTAAATACCTATCACTCTAGATAACTATCACTCTAGATAGCTCACAAAGATTCTATAGAGGTCTTTAAGTTGTACAGTAATTCTATTACTAAATGAAATTAGTGCAAAATAAAAAACGATCAGGATGGAGGATTGAATGAGGGGATTTCCGAGGACCAGTCAGTGGGTGGAGGAGGGGAAAAAATGAGAAGAGGTGAAATTCGAGCTTTCCCCTCCATTCCCCATCCATTCCCCTCTCCCGTCACTCCCCAATTCTCCATTATCATGAGGTGATCTCTTTTGCAGTGATGTCCACATCTACATGAGAATTCTTTCTAATTCAAAAACAGCCGGCTTTTTTTTGGTAATCGTAGGCTGGGTAGAAGAGTCAGGAAATTGTACAATTGTACTTTTTTTTAGGTGAAAACGATGTTAATTGAGTAGCCAAATAAAGCTGAACGCTAAAAACAAGTTCTCTCTTGGATTGACTCGCCAGTGAGCTTAGTTGGATGTCATTGACATTGACAGACTAATGAGCCCACTTGGAAATATAAAAGAGTGTGAAATTTAGCAAATGTTTGGCTGAATATCAGGCCTAAAATATCGATTATCACTTGTAAAACAACAGAGTTTTTTTCTCCGCTCTAGACTCCGTCAAAGTGGTCGGAAATTTGGCCAATTTCACCCCAAAAAACCTCCTCAAATTTCCGTTTTCTTTCCCCTTCCCTCCATCTGATCATTAAGTAAATATCACCGAATTTTCATCAAAATCATATAGATTTCTAGGAATAGAATTGTTGTAAAGAAATATTCTTTGCGTGCTTGGTACTCCTCACTCAAGACACGTTATTTCTTGTTTCGAGATATCTGATCTCACTTGAACTAAAAACACTTTATTCAATAGCCGACTGACTCGGAATCTTTTGGCTCTCACTTGAGCAACTTTCACACAAGATCGACAATTGAATTAAAAGTGACGATAAAAATAGAAACAATTTCGTCCTAATTAGGACACAACTTTCACACGATGAGAGGAAAGCAGTAAAAAAAATGAAAGATAACAAAAAACAAATGAACAACAGTTGCCTTAGCTTTAACACAAGATACTCAGCTAACAAGCTACAAAACAATAAATGATTTGGGGCGCGAAATAGAATAAAAGCGCACCGATTTCCTCAATACTTTTACAATTTTTAGGCTGTCAGAGTTAGATAACTTTTAGTGGATATTCGCCACAATTGTAGTTATATTTATGAAAGCCAAGTAGTGACAAGACTTTTTATCAGATAATGGATTTAACCTGTGGAATTTGCCTACTGATATCAAATCGTTTATTCTGGGACAGATTCCATAAGATTCATTCCACAATAGAACTGGTATTACTTTAGAATGGGATCGAGAAATAAGGATAAGGAAATAAGTACAAAGAGTACAAATCTCCGTATCCGGGTACGGGAATATTAACCCGTTTCCCTTTCGATTGCCGAGAGAGAAGAGAAGAAGATCTCAGTGATACAAGACTTTCGGTTCCTTATCTTATAAATTCGGTTCCTTATTTCTCTAAATTTGGTTGAAAGCAAACTTTGCTGAGGCTGAGCAAACTTCAGTGATACAAGACTTTCGGTTCCTTATCTCTCTAAATTTGGTTGAAAGCAAACTTTGCTTTTTGAAAGCAGCAAGCAAGCAAGCTTTTTTGCTTTAAGAAGTGCAAACGTGAGAAGTGAATGGGTGAATTTAAAATTTAAAAATAGTTGAAATGGCCTTTCTCGGTTTCCCAAGAAACTTTCAAACTTTGTGAGCGGGGAAAACTGAAGGAAATGAAGGGGAAATACGGGCAGAATCGACAAAAAAAAGAAAGAAATCGAAAGAAATTCGGTGGCCACAAGAGGAATTTCTTTAGGAAAATGGGAAAGAGGGAAAGAAGGGGGAAAAGAAAATGTCTTTTCCTTCAATTAATCCCTCTCTTTCATCCCTTTTATCTCATTTTGACGAACATTTTTAAGGAAACGAGTAATGAGCGAAATGAGATGCGAATATTGATCAAATTTATCAAACCTAGTGATTGCTTTGATAAACAGTGGCAGTTGAGCAAAGTTTTTACAATCAGAAGTCAGACTTCGACGGATTATATCGTCTGTATTGTCCACTTTTGACGAACATTTTTAAGGAAACGAGGCGATAATCTATTGGGTTGACGGAAAAATCCTTTCCGATTTTTTGGGAGAGTACCTTAAATTTGTCCAATTTTGACGTTTTATAGCTCATCCTAAAGCTGAATTCAAGACGGATCGATTGGTAAAAACCGTTTTGAGATATCTCTTTTCTAAAAGTTTTTACAGCTATTTTAGTAAAGGGCGGCAGAGCCAAAAAAAGGCTGTTTTCACGTTTCGTTAGTTTTCCGTGCAGAAACCTACCGTAAATACTGTAATAGTACCCCACCCCCATAATGACAGTGCGGAGTGTTGCGTAGTCTAGCTTTGAACGAGTTTTTCTCGACACTGCTTTATGCTACAATGCGCGCTTAGGTATCAAAAAATAGCCCTGATACCAAGACGAATTTTTTGAAAGTACGGGTGCTTTGAAAAAAATGAAATTCTAAAAAACTTTTGCGACTACGCGAGTGTACGAGGGGGTGGGGTACTATTACAGTATTTACGGTAGGCTAAAAACATGTGTTTCGTGATCAGCGTCAAAAATAGAAGAGTTGTACATAATAATTATAAACATTTGTTCATTCTTCAATTCTAGATTAAAAGGTTAACAATAGATTTCTTTGAGATAGACAATATTTGTTGAGTTGGATATCTCAGAGATAGACAACGTATGTTGAGTTGGATATCTCAGAGATAGACAACGTTTGTTGAGTTGGATATCTCACTTTTCCTTGAAGGATTTCATTATTCAAAAAAGGAATTGGACTGTTAGAAAGCTGAAAAAGGAAATCGTATCAAGAAAATTAAAAAACTTTAAAAACAAGTGGATAAACGAGTCTAGAAGTCTAGAAACAAGTGGATAAACGAGTCTAATCTAGAAGAGTTGATGATTTTGTGGAGAAAATGAGTATAAACGGTTTATTTGACATGGCTGAAAACTCCGGAAGTCCGGAAGTAGTGATTATAAAGGTGGATGCCAACCGATTGTACCCAAATCAATAATAACTAAATATCTTTTAAGTATATCAAATTTGGCTCAAGTAAATCAATTAAATCAAACTGAATTTTCTAAATCCTATAAGCGCACGTAAATCCTAAATCTCAGAATTTCTCGCTTCTCGTTTACCTCTCGTGATTCCCCTAAATGAGACCCATTTGAATCAAAAACAAAGCGGTGAAGATTGAAAAAAGAAAAGCGCTAACGAAGCAAAGCTTTCCCTTTCTTTCAATCATTTCATTTTTATTCTAACAAAAGGATACTCATTGTTTACTGCAATTTTGAATTTTATAGCTTTATAGAAAGACTTTGAATGTAAAGTGGGATAAACATGGACCAGCCGTTTTTTTAGGCGATGAAAAGTATCCAATCCCGATAAGGAAAAAAAGGGACGAATATAATCGAATTCACACGAGAAGATCGAGAAAAAGGAGGGAAAATGGGGAAAGGAATGGACTGGAATGGAATGGAATCAAAAAGGGCAAGGTCAGAAGAAGTTTCGGAGCTGTTGGAAAGGGACGATCATCATCAGAAATTGGGTCATCAGCTAATTTTCAATAAAGAAGCTGATGGCCAGATGCAATAGATCAATTTCAGAATTCTATTAGGCAGTGTTATTGTAATTCAGAATGCGTAAGTTTGCTCTAGTGAGCAAACTCTAGCTCTAGCTCTAGTGAGCTCTAGTGAGCAAAAAGCTTATCCAAATGATTTATAAGATTGATAACATGATACATTGACAAAGAAATCTTAAAGAGATTCTTGAAAAATTGTTGCGCTTTAGTCTGCTTGTGACTAAATATTAAACCGCTTATTTACAAATTCATTTCATTTCTTTTCGTTTCATTTACAAAAGCTCTTTTACTTCATTTACTAGATACTAGACTTTACAAGTCACGCGTTTTTCCGAGTCTCGCTTCTGAAATTGGCAGTTTGAAGGAAAAACTAATTGTCAGTATAATTAATAAACCAAGTTTTCAGAGTTTTAAAAGTGTATGACGTTTTTGAGATTGATTTTGGAAGAGAAACAGATTCAAATATAAATAAAAAGCTGTAGATAAGATCAAAGTAGCTTTAATAGCAAAAAGTTGAATCAAAATGGGATTAAAAGTTGATAACAGATTTCTGATATCTGAATTACACTCAAAATTGAAAACTTTTACTGCTTGATGTCTGAAGCTCGTCCCAAGCTCTATCCTTTTCACTTGAAAAAGGTAAATCCTTGAAGAAACGAAGAACATTCTGTCACTCAAAAAACCCAAAATTTTGGCGCCAATTGAATTTCCTGAGGAGAAGAAAAAGTAAGTAAAGGATGAAGTGAGAATGAGTGGGTTCAAGGGAAAAAGGGATCGGGAATGGATACTGGAGGAGAGGAAAGAACGCATTCAGGAGAATTCCTCGAGATTTCGTATGGATTTCGGCTTGCTAAGTTTTGAAGAAAAGAAAAAAAGAAATTACGATCACAGAAGATCACCTAAAAGTTAAGGCTGGTTCAATTCTCCAAACCCAAACAGAAACCAATTGTCAGTGAGTCTGAGAACAGGTTTTTCATGAAAATTTCACAAAATCTTTGTTTATTCTCTTTATTTATATTATTTATTGAAGCCTCTCACAAATAAATTATTCAAAAAGAGCTTTAAATTTCAAATTATTCATTCAAATATTCATTTTTTATGAAATTTCATAAATAATCGTGTCATTGTTTGTCCAAATGCTGAATTGTTGATTTTAAAGGGGGGAAAAGGGGAAATTCTTGTGGAAATCACATTTTTGAGACCAATGACAGTTTTTATTTTAATTAAACAATAGAACAAACCCGCAATCGAATAGCTACAAGAGAAAAGCTCATCGGTGAGTAAAGCAACCAGTATCTGCATGAATCATAAATAAAAGAGATCAGAAAAAAAGAGTTTTAATATAGAAGAACATGAATCAACTTTGATTTCCCTCATACATTGAGAAGCGGAGGAGCCGAGGGTTCACGGAGATACTGAAAATAGAAATGAATGGATCATTGGGTAGAAGAAAAAAAGAAAAAAAACAAGAAACCCTTCCCGTAAATAACATAAATTGCTTTTTGGGGGGATGCACTATTTGTAGTGGAAAGACGAATGTGAATACTAACTATAATGTTCTTAGAAAATAAGTGATCTAGTTGTGGAAATGCAAATGAAATCAAGCCACCGGTAGACTTAAAAAAATTCCAACTCAAACCTAATTCCACCTTCATTTTCTCAGCCATCTCTTCGCCGATTACTCTGAAATTTTGCCTACAAGCTGAAAATATCGATTTCTATTTGTAGACGAAATTTCAGAGCAATCGGCCAAGAAACGGTTGAGAAAATGAAAGTGGAATTAGGTTCGGGATGGAATTTTCCATGTATAGTGCCCAGTCCTATCAATAATCAATAATCTCTTTTCTTACCCAAACTTGTTGTTGTGGCTCTATTTGGTTCTAAATAGATTTCATCATTTTCTTTTTCTTTAAAACTGTAATATTTATGCTTTTACAATATCAATACCCGTTTTTCCGTCACAAATGCCATCGCCTTTTTGTCAGCATTTTTTCTTCTTCGTCTCTTCTCTAACCAAACTGCACAAATGCATGGAGGGGCACAGAAACAAATCCCACAACAACAAAGGATCAATAAGATGATTCCGAGAATCGTCAGAATCCACATCCTGAATTTTTGTACTTGTTTACAGAAATTCAAATGATTCAAATCATCGAAATTCAAATGATTCTCTCAGAGTAACTAAACCAGAACAAGGCAACGATCTTGGCGTGCTAGTTCCTTGAGTTTAAAACTCTTGTTGGCTGTACATTGGCTGTACATTGGCTGTACATTGGCTGTACATTGGCTGTACATTATCGATGACTCGATTTGCAAGATTAGTCCCGATTTTTAGTCTTAATCTTTCTATTCATTAAACTTAAATTTTCATAATAAACTCACCAAACATAGCTTTTTATCTCAAAGGGTAACAGAGACCAAATCCATAAAAGAATATCTGTGACTCCAATGCTGAAACTGACAGCATCATCTTCGGCCATTTAAAAAGCTAAAAAAATTAGATTTTCTAGAAAAGACTCATAAAATTTCATGAAAAACAGAAAAAAAAACTAGCGAATTTCCGGTGGAAAGAGGTCAGCGAGGATATTGACCGAAACTCCACTTGAGAGTCACGAAAAACTGGTAAAAGAGTGAAAAGATGTAAAGAAGTTGTTAAGTTTTTAGTTATGAAACTGTTAAAACAGATTGTCCTAAGCAGGTAAGTAAAGTTTTGAGATTTTCTGGGACGAATCTCGTCTCAGAAACTCCAAGAATGGACTTTTGCCTGACTCATGTTCTCAGAGAATCAATGGGCGGGCTTGTTCAATTTTCTATTCTTTTTTTCCGTTTCCTTGTTTTTTAGATCTATTTGGGCCCAATTTCATGGAACGAATGAGTCATCTGGAGGAGGGGAAGAAGGGATTGGCCTTTCCCTTCCCCTCTTCTTCCCCTTCTCTTCCCTCTTCTCCCATTCCCTTGTGGACATGGCAACTATCGACTCAGTCCCTTTTTCTCCTTCGATTCCTTAAAAAAGAATTGACCAACTCTTTTAAAATAGACTCTTTTTTAGTTGATGATTTTGATTCCATTTTAATGCTTGGAGAATTTGCAGATCCAACAGTTTACATAATAAACAAGCTGCTGTCTAGACTCGAGCAAATAAACAATGCAAGTAAACAATGTATACAAAAAAACCAAGGATATTAAAATGCTAAACGAAAAGATTAAGTAAATATTTATTATCGAAATTTAATCTTTATTTGAAACAAGGCCTTTAGAAATGGCGAGTAAAGTGATAACTGATCATCAAAAGTGATCATTTGCGCAACTAGGTCTTTTGCGCAACTCACCATAATTCTCTTCTAAGTCGGCCATAATCTTTATGATTTTGGTGTCAACTGGCGAGAAATGATCAGTTATCACTTTACTTAAGTTCATTTAAAGTTTATCAGCCAATTGAATTCATTCTGATAATTGATAGTGAGCTCTAAACGAAAAGGATCACTGAAAAAATCTTTATAAATAAAAGAAAGATGTTATTTTAACATCTAACCAAAGGTTTGGCAGAGAAAAATCGGGAGGAATGGGCCTCAACCGGAAAAGAGTAAATCGATTCCCCTCTTCTTCACGATGGTGGCCAGTTAGGCATCAAAAATTCATGAAAAACCTGAAGGAATTCATTTTTTTGAAAAGATTAAGTAAATCTTTATTATCAAATCATAAATATTATAGCATAGATAATATGATTAGTTCCATTCAATCAATTCAATTCATTCTCATCCAAGGAAGGTCCCGATTCGAGCCAACAGCGGTTGTCTGAAATGGTTTCATTGTAGCTGTTGAAATTGAATTGCAACAATTGAAAAACTGAACGCTTAAAGCTGAAAGTTTAAGCTGAAAAACTTATTGTATTATTGATATTGTGTTAATGCTTACTGGAACATCCCCATTCCTCCCAATCCTCCCAATCCTCCCAATCCTCCCAATCCTCCCATTCCTCCCAATCCTCCCAATCCTCCCATTCCTCCAAGTCCTCCAAGTCCACCCATTCCACCAAACGGTCTCATCATACCCCAGCCTGAAAATAAATCTTTTGAAAGCAAGGATTTCTGTTTTACAATTAGTACAAATGTTATTAGGATTAGCCAAATAAAGTTGAAAACAAAATTGAGGTTCTTGAACTGAACTCACGTCTTCGAAACAGTCCTCTTCCACCCCATCCCATTCCGCCCCATTGAGCAGATACCATTGAAATCAATAATAAAAGGAAAACAAGGCGAACAAGCATTTCGCAATTTTCTGAATACTTAGATGTACAGTGGTCCACAAAAGTATTGTCCCATTGCCATTCAAAAGTGATTTCGCAAAATTTCTGCCAAAAACATATGTTAAAAAATATTTTTTTTCCTTTTAAAATACTTTAAGTTTTCTAGTTTTAGAATATCTGGATTTTTTTTTTGATTGAAATCCTTCTAATCAAAAGATCGATGTGGAAGAGTGCAATTACCCCTAAAATTAGCTCCACAAAAGTAATGCCCCATTGATCGTTTTCATGATTATTCTTTTTATTTTCCAGGAACATTAAATGTATTCTATTGTATTATTTAGATCCCTGACAAAATCTTGACACTCCGAAGAAGCTCCAAACCGCTAAGGCCCGGGAAAATGGGATGCGGGAGAAGGATGTTGCCGACCTCTTCAATTGCTCGATATGGACAGTGCGCCGCATTTTTTCTCAATCAAAAGTCGGCAAAAACTTTCATCGAGGCCTCAAGAGAGGCCGACAACCAATCACAACCATAAAAGAAGATCGAGCCGTGATCCAAATGGTGAAAAACGATCCTAACAAAACACCAACCGATGGAAGCCAAATGACGAGGGATCAATTTAACAAGGTTGTATCGCCGGAAACGATCAGACGACGATTAAATCAAGCTGGATTATATGGGCTTATAGGGCTGCCCGTAAACCTCTGAAAAATTCTAAGCACCGGAAGCAGCGCCTTGCCTTTGCACGGACCTACCGAATTTGGACGACACGTGATTGAGCGAAAGTGTTATTTACCGATGAGACAAAAATGAATTTATTTCATGATGATGGAAACCATCTTATTCGGCGATCGACTGGAAAGCGATACGCACTCAAGTGCATTCGGCTTACCGTGAAATTCAACGGCGGAAACATAATGTGTTGGGGTAAGAACCTTTTTAGTATTTTGTTATCTAAATTTGTTTCTTTAGGAGCGATGTCTCGAACTTCAATAGGTCCGTTAGTCTACATGAAATTGATGATGGATGCTGTGGCTTATAAGACTATTATGGAGACCCAAATGCTTCCCTTTGCCAATCAAACGATGCCTCCCGGATGGGTGCTTTATCAGGACAACGACCCGAAACACAAGTCGAGACTGATGATGGGACGGTTGGTGACACTTCAAAATGGTGCCAGAGCTCGTCTGCCCGGATGGTTTGCGGCAAATCGTGTTAAATCCAGCCAACCCGATCAATCCACCTCCCTACTCACCGGATCTCAACCCAATTGAACATTTGTGGTCATTTGTGAAGTCGTGCCTCAAGGGAAAGAAATTCGATTCGAAGGCCGTCTTATGGGTCCACATTCAACGTCTTTAGGCCACCATCCGCCCAAGTCTTTTGAAAAATCTCAATGGCATGGAATCCAGAAAAATCTGGATTCCATGCCGGATTGACTCATTGAAGCGATAAAAGTAAAAGGTTTTTGGTTCAACCAAATATTGATTTTTGAAAAAAATTGTTAATTCTTTGCAAATGGGACATTACTTTTGTGGAGCTATTTGTTAAGTAACTTATTGTTTTTGTTTTATACTTTAATTTTTATGCAATATATACGGATAAATCTTATAATCTTGAAAAGTAGAGTATTATGAGTAAGCAAAAAACCCTACACTTTTTGGGAATAACGTTTTTTTGCAAGATTTTCGTACGAAAGAAACTTTTGGATGGCAATGGGACAATACCACTGTATAATAGATCTAACTATGAATATCAGAAATCAAAAACAACTGAAACAAATTTCAAATTTACAAGGAAACTCGTTTTTCCAACAAATTAGACGACCAAAAAATGGCAAAGAAATGAAAATGTTTTGCGTGTTCTCCCGATATCCACTCAAAACAGTTCTTTTCTTGAAAGTTCTCTTTGTAAGTTTTTTTCCTACAAAATGACACCCAAATCTTTTCTTTCATTTAATGACATCAAATAGAAATATCAGGGATTGAAAGGAGAAAATAAAGATAATGATTTGAAAGTTTTTCCGAATTCGCCGAGCTCCGATTTCCTCGCAGATGTTTGTATCAAGAACTTGAGAACTTTAAAACTTTACTGATGCGATGAGTACCTTATTTGAACTTCTGAATCTAGAAAAAATTTTGAACAAAGTTTATCAGGATAAGCACAATTTAAAGCTTACATCTACGTTACTTGAGTATCTTGAAGATTCAATGAAACAGGAAAACAAGGCGAACAAGGCATTCCTGAAGGAAAACAAGGGGAACAAGGCATTTTGGAATTGTTTAACTTCTTGACTTGAAGTCTAACTTGAATAGATTAGATCAAGAAAAGAAAAACGAAAGAAAAAGCAAAAAGAATTGCCCACGGCTGGAATCGAACCAGCGTCGCCACGGCCACAACGTGGAGTACTAACCACTATACTACGTGGGCCGAGAGTAGAGGCGAAAAGATAGTCTTTTGAACGCTCTTTGGCAAGAGATCGATCTTTTGCAAGAGAGCAAGAATGACTGTTTTTCTTCAATTTTTCGATCAAATATTAAGTTTTCAAATATTAAGAATAAGAAAAAAAATTTATTTTATTTTTATTCACCTCGTAAATACAGAGACCGTGAACATTTACCCAAAATTTAACAATAAATTCCTTTCTAATGTCGATTTTTTGGGTTGCAGTACTTTTGACAAAGATTAAAGTTGGGGAAGTTGTTGTAGTTTCCATTGGCTCCATAGTAAGAAAAACTTAAATATTTAATTCGATTTAATGATTGATTAATTAACTTATTCAACCCACCGAACACATGTATGCCATTGGTCTGACCATCCAAATCGTGGCTTATCATCGACACCCTCTTGAAAATCGCCATTTTCGTCTGGCAGTGAGCAAACGTAGTCTAAAGAGTTCAAGAAAATTCTGATAATACTTTCTGATAATAATTCTGATATTAGACCTCATTATCTTATTGCCTTTCCAAGCGCTAAACGAGAAAACAAACCTCGATTCGGACAACAATTCCCATTGTAACATGAATGATTCTCAGGACATCCACCATTTGTACACTCGATGTATTTATGATTTGGAATGAGGAAAGTCGCGTTGCATTTTGTGGCTAAAATTGAGGTTACTTTATTTACTGGAATAGGTATTAGAGAATTTTTATAGGTCCAGAAGTAAACTGAACAAAGTGTTCAGTTTATGGAAATTGTCCATAAGTTTTTGCGATTTTTAAATTTGTCATTTCTTAAAAACCAGGCAACAGTTTCATCTGAAATTTCTACTGAATGATCTACAAGTATATGCTAACTAGTGGACCAAATTTGATGACGATCGCTTGGTTGAATCGAGAGAATGAGATATGACTGTTCAATCAAGTCTGCATGTTTTTGATCCTATTTTGAGGGCTAATGTGAGAGAAAATGTCCATACTTCTACTAAAAAAGATAAATCAAAAAAGCTAATTTAAGTTTAATTGTATCTAGATGTTAGAATCCGGGCAATCCTCCTAAAAATTTTCTAGATCCTGTTTTTCATTTGTTTCTTTAGAGCTAAGCGAGTCCACAAAGAGTGAAACACACACATCAACGTTAGAGGCTCATTCTCTAACGTTGATACTGATTCAGAGAATGAGCTTCTAACGTTGATATGTGTGTTTCACTCTTTGTGGACTCGCTTAGCTTTATAGAAGAACACAAATGAAAAACAGGATCCAGAAAATTTTGAGGAGGATTGTCCGGATCCTAACATTCAGATACAATTAAACTTGAATTAGCTTTTTTGATTTATCTTTTTTTTATTAGAAGTATGGGAATTTTCTCTTACATTAGCCCTCAAAATAAGGTCAAAAACATGCTGACTTGATTGAATAGTCATATCACATTCTCTCGATTCAACCAAGCAATCGTTATCAAATTTTGGCTACTAGTTAGCATATACCTATAGATTATTCAGTAGAAATTTCAGATGAAACTGTTCGCTAGCTTTTAAAAACCACAAGAACTTATGGACAGCCCTAATACAATATTATGGTATCAGTCATAGGCATTTCCTTTTCACCCACCGTGTGTCCATTGTTCATGTCCAGCTTTCAACACCAATTTCATTTCCGTCTCATTCTCTTCATGTTTCTCTCCACCATTTCCCGTTGTTTTTCCCTCATTCAAACATTTTTCTTTGCATTCAGCAGCTGTCTCGTAACGATTCTCATTCCCGCCACAGCCTTTGTAGAATAAAGGTTGACAGACTTCTGAAAGAAATTCAAGATTAGAACAATGTAGAAATTGAAGTAATTCCAGAACTCACTGGCTCTTTTATCAAAATAGAAGAATTTCTTGGGTGATCCGCTGGAACAGGAATAACCAGCATCTCTCGAAGAGGAACAGTCCAATTCAGCTGACGAAAAATAAAAGAAAGCGATGAAAAATAGAAGAGATTTCATCTAAAACACTTAAATTTTAAAAAAACACAGAAATCTTTAATAAAATCTTATAAAAATCAGTTAAATTTGATTCCTTCAAGCCTTTCATTTCAATTTCATTCGTCTACTCTTCATGTTTACTTACAATTCTTTCTCTTTTAGTTACTTTCATTTCAAGAAATTTTAAGGAGAGTGGGCGTCTTTTAAAAAACAGTTCAACAAAAAAAGACAGCAAATTTGCTCAAAGTTTTAGAAAAATTCGATGTAGAAACTGTGGATGAAGCTATTGGTCGAGGAATTTCATGTCATTTAAACAGATAGGTTTTCAATTTCGATCGAAACATTTAATCAGAGACTTTACTAAAGAGGTAACATAAAGTCGCGAGTATAAGTTCTGTTTGGTTTTCGCATGCAAATTGACGGCTGTCTCCGGTGCGGTGTGTCGAGGGTTCGAACCCTGCTGCAGCATAACTTTTTTTGCTTTTTAAGGACAATAATAGAAGTAAATTTATTGAGGGTTATAGCAATTTTATGCTGTTATTTGTTGCTCCGGGCGTGGCTCGGCGCGCCCGCCCTGCTCCTCTCCGGTGCTCAGTCTTATGGATCCCTCCCTGGCCTCTTCATCCGGCCAAAGTCCACGTCGACGGTCGAAAGAGAGGCTTTCCAGCGTCTTCTTCAACACTATCGTCTGGATGTATCCATGCACATAACAAATAGCAATGGTGATAGCTGTGCTTCGTCATGATTACGGTTATATGCCGGTTAAGGCATATAACTTATAGTTAAAGCTGTCACCCTGTAGTATCCCGCGCTCCAAGAACAATAATAAAAGTTTATATAACAATAAAAATGTATAAAAACCCAACAAAAAGAAATTCAAAGCAATTAAAGCGAATGTAAATTAAGGCAGAACTTATACTCGGATGAACTTATACTCGAGACTTTAGGGTAACATAAAGATCAACTGCTTTAAAAACAATCGAGCCTTTTAAAACTATCATCTCAAAAGAAAAAGTGATTTCTTTTTTTGCAATTGTTGTGTCTACTTTGTTAGAGTGGAGTCTCTTCTTCGCGCATTCAATAAATCTCAATCTTTTTGGTGGTTTGAAACAAGAAAAGTGATAAAAATGAGCGGAAAAGATAAAATTGAGAAAAGATTTGAAAAGAAATTCGATGAGAAACTTTGAGGGAGAGAAATTTCCCATATTGGATCATTTTTTGAAGAGGATAGGGAGATTTCACTCATAACAATTCACTTTTACTCAACTTGCAACTTTCGAAGTAAGCTTTCTAAGTAGAATTGTTTTTTTAATTCGTCAGATTCTCAAGAAAACGACTTCTTGAAAGAATTAAACGATTTATTAAATTTGTATTTGAACAAATATAGCCTAAAACTTCTTTTGAGTGCTGTATTTAATTAAAACTAACAATTTGTTTACGGTAAATTTCTAAAATAGGTGAATTTTAGAGAACTTTTAGAGAAAAACACTCTTGAAATCTATTAAATATAAATATTTATTAAAAGTCTTTCTATTAAACTATTAAACTTCTATTAAATTTCTATTCTATTAAACTTCTATTCTATTAAACTTCAAAACCAAGATTGAAATCAACTTTAACAGAGCTGCTTTACTTGAAAATGAAACCTTATCACCATTCCCTCACAATGAACCAAATATTTATTTTCCCTACTTCTCATTGTCACTTTTTTACATTTACTTTCCAATTCTCATTTCTATTTGTCATTCTATTCTCGGCTTTGAATTGATATTCAGTCTATTTGATTTCCTTTGTTTACAGAAAACGGTCATTAGCTTTTTTGCATTGCTATAGCTTTTTGTTAGCTTTAATTATAGCTCAATCGGCTCAATCAATAAATAAAATTTCCATAAAACTTTTCTGAGTTTGGTTCCTGATCGCGTAACTTTTCTTTACTATTTTCTGCCGTTTCAACCTGTTTACCCCGGGTTTCAAAAGAATTGTGATTTTCGAAGTTTCAAAGAGAAAATTTTTGTTGTTTATCTTTGCATTTGTTATATAGGCTTATTTGAAAATTGGGTAAAACGGGTAAATAGAGAGAAAATAGGCACAGGAAATCGAAAAGAAAGAGAAATTTGATGGAAAGTCGACAGAAAATAGACTGAGACATACAGCATTTCACTCTCTTTTTTTCCTCTTTCTTTTCATCTTCAAGCAACAGTGTTTACTTGGGAGATTTTTGAAAAGTAACCACCCCCTTTTGCCTGTTCATGCAAAAGAAAATGCGGACATTTATAAGGAGGCTTTTTCAAATGATTCTAGAGCTTCTGCAAGAAAAACTTTCTCAAGTACTGTCAATGTACTGTCAATATATTGTAAAATCCCGGTTTCTTGTCTCACTACAGTTCCGTATTCTGTATATCTCATTTATGGCTGTATCTTTGTCATTTCTTTCTTTGCCCTTCTCAATTCTGTTTCTATTTTTATGTCCTTAAACATTTCGATTTCAGTCATGAAGTACCTCATCGTTTTATTCGTTCTTTTTGGAATAGGTAAGTCAGTCTTAGTTTCCCCAAAAGTCAAGTTTATCCTCGAAATTCAGCCTCATGTCACAAATTGTCGAAAAGACAATCATCGAGTGAGAAAAGTTGTTCTGTAGCGAGAGATCTCGGAAGTTCGAATTGTGATGGAGCGGCGCCGGGAAGGAAATTCTTCTTCGACAAGGCTCATGGTTGATTTTGAAATCAGAAACTAGATGTTTACCGTATTTTCCCTTCGCCTAAATTGTTTGAAATCTGAAAAACCGCTTATCAGAACCTATCGATGTGGGGGTTGGAAAATGTAGCTGACGATGAGATCTTGTGAGGGATTTGAGTGTTGAGGTTCTGTGCAAAACTTGGAAACCGTAAAATAGTCATCAGCTCGGCCGGGTGCACTAGTGGGAAAATACGGTATATCTTTACTTCTACAAGTTGTTGAACTAAAATTTCCTCTATCAAGCAAGAAAGCTGAGCTGAGCAAGAAAGCTGAACTGAACAGACACAAAACCAGGGAAATCAAAAGGCAATAATTTCTAAACAATTCCTTTCCTTCAAAAATCCCAATCCCAATCTTTAGGTGTCTGTCAACCATTCCAATACAGAGGTTGTGGAGGAAATGGAAATCGTTTCGACTCGGCACAAGAATGCAAAGATTTCTGCGTGAATGGACCTGGAGCACAAGCATTGCAAGAGGAACAGAAGGAGAGTCCATTGATTGGTAAGTGTTTTTGAGAATTTCATTTGTTACAAATCCAAATCGTTTTCAGAGGCTTGTGGTGCTCTTTATTCAACCGATCACATCACCGCTCAATCCTGCGAAACAGCCGCCAATTGTCCGTCAGATGTCAATTATGAATGCAATAAAGGATATTGTTGTGCGAAAAAAGGTTTGAATGCTTATTTTTGGTTTGAGCATCAATATTTAATTAGTTAGTTAATGGATCAGTATCCAGTTAATAGATCAATATCCAGTCAATGGATCAATATCCAGTTAATGGATCAGTATCCAGTTAATGGATCAATATCCAGTTAATGGATCAGTATCCAGTTAATGGATCAATATCCAGTTAATGGATCAGTATCCAGTTACAATCACTGAAACGTGTCGCTTCAGAATACCTCTGCAAATTGGACTATGATGCGGGAAAATTCGCCGTCTCGGGCCCAGGAAAATCGGATCGATATTTCTACTCGACAAATTACAAAGTAAACTAGACAATGACAATATCTTGAAGACCCAAATTCAGGTTTGCATGCGATTTTCATTCTACGGATCACTCGGCAATGAGAACAACTTCCCGTCATTCAACACTTGCCAGAAAACGTGCGCCAACTGAGATTTTGTTCAAAGTTTTGTTTTTGAAACATTCTCTTAGCGGGTAATAAACATATTTATAAATTGGCTGCGTTTGTGAAAGACAAAAACAAGAGTAAACTGCTAGTACTGCTGAACAAATCAATTCTTACAAGCAATAAAGAATCACTCACAACTCAGCAAGTCCTAGATTTCCCAATTAGAGTCAACCATTGTACTAGAAATTTCAATCTTTCACTTTTGCCGGGTCTCAAATCTCTTTCAATCTCTGGACACTCCACTAAAATGGTCAATCACTCATTGAGGCTCGGAAATCCGTGAGAAGAAAGAAACAGAAAGGAAAAGAGAACGAGAATGGTTTCCCTGAGCAGCCACACATTACATAGAATATAAGTGAGAAGGGACAAAGACAGACAGAAGACAAAAAAGAAAGAGAAGAGAGATCTTTTACACCAACGATTCCTCTGTCCTTGCTCCCTTGCGCACCTCTTCCTCTCCACTCCTTCTCCTCACCTCTCCTTCTCCTCCCCTTCTCCTCGCCTCTCCTTCTCCTTCTCCACACCTCACCTCTCCTCTCCTTCTCACCTCTCCTCTCCTCATCCTTTTCCTCTCCTTTCACGGCTTTTACCCTCTCCACATTTCCCTCACACTTTTCATCCCCTTTTCAAAAAGAATTACAAGCAAATAGTCCTGGATTTCTTTTCCCTTTTCGGCTTTTTACTCATTCTCTCAATTAGAGATTACTCAATTTTCAATTCGATCTTTGACGACTACTAAACATCAGAATGCTTTGCAATAATGATGCAAAGAATATGGAACGAACTGATTTCTGAGTTTCTTTATCTTTTGTCTTGAAGATTAGTTTTTAAAATATGTATTGTTATAAGACTATTGCATAAAACTTGCTAGATTTATCAAAAGCTGAAAAATTTTGGCAGTTCAACTACTTCGGTATCTTGATATTTACATGATTGATATTCATTGACATGTTCTCTTGAATGTTGATTTGTAAAGACGATATTTCGAAGTCTATTGTTTGAGTGATGTCTCTCTGTTCCTCTATCTTGCGCACATAATGGTGTGAGAAAATGCAAAATTTCCCATCCGCTCTTCACTATTCATAATTTTTTTTTCTTCTGCGTTTAGTTTTTTGAAATCATTTTTTCTTTCCTTTTTTCTTTTCTTTTTTCTCATTTCAAACTGATCAATGACTTGTAAACTTCCGGTAATTTTTTTGGAAAGAGTGGACAACTGTTCGAAGGATTTGAAGAAAAGAGGAACTTTTTCTCGTCTACTTCTTGTCTTACCTGTGCTTTGAAGAACTTTAGTATTCTTTAAGGATTTGTATTTATAAAAGTCCGTTTTGCTATTTGATTCTTCAAGTAGAATTTACAACAATGTTTTGATTGATTTTTGAACAAAACAACAATGTCATTGCTTTTTGAATCTAAGCTATTGTCCTTTAAGACTGGTTGTTGATAATTTTGAAAATCTGCGTTGTTGACTGGTTGTTGATAATTTTGAATAAGCTTACCTGCGTGCAATCCTTCAACCTCACACTAAATGTCCACTCTGAAAGCATTTTTGCCGGTTAACTCAAAAGAGACAAAAAAAACCTTTAGTTCTTTTCATATTGTCGATCGACCAGTCTCCTTTACAACACAATCAACCGGGGTGAACGGATGAAAGGAGAGTCAGAATGAGAAGGAAAAAGAAAAGGAGTAAGAAAAGGAGAGGAGGATCTCTCACAGCTGCTAGGGGAGACTTCACTCATGGATTTTTGGGGGAAGAGGCAAAATCCCCATTCACTCATATACGATGATCACTAGTTTTCGAGACTTTTCTAGTTTTCAGTTTAATTATCTAGACTAAGTAGATGACATTCTTGATGTCCGAATTGAGAATGAGAATTGTTAGCCTTTCCAATCCTTGCTTTGCTTGCAAAAGTCATTATACACTTCTTAAACAGCTTACTTTTATTTCTCTTTATTCCTTAGCTTCATTTCTTCACAAATATTCACAAATGGAAATGATTGTGTTATACAAAAAAACTTCAGGAATCGAATGAACGACTGAACATCTGAAGATCGAAGAAAAGAACGAAAGAAAACGAAAGAGAAAGCACTTCGTGGAGTTGATTTCAAAGAATGCCCGAACAGAAAGAGGAATCGACTGCCGGAGAACAAGATGATGTATCATTCCTCAGAACGGTTTGTTCTTTAAGAATTAAAAGACAAGGCTAGATCAGTACAAGTACAATAGGTCAGTACAAGTACAATAGATCAGTACACGTGCAATAGATCAGTACACGTACAATAGGTCAGTACACGTACAATAGATCAGTAAACGATCAAAGAAATGGTTAATTTTATGCTGTCTAGAGTTGACTGTACCTAGCTCTTTGATAGATTCACAGTGTTCCATCAAAACGAACTCTTTCTTAACAAATCCTTTGCATAACAACTCGAGATTTCCACATATTGAAGCGATCAATCTTTTCCTTGTATTTAACCATGCCAGTCCATCCCAGCCCATCCCAGTCCATCCCAGTCCATCCCATCCCATCCCAGTCCATCCCAATCCCTTCATTTCACATACAAACCACCTTTATTCTTTACGTTTATATCTACTGAATTCCTCTTTATATCTACTGAATTTAAAGTTTTTTATAACTAAATTTGAGTCGGATTAACATTAATCTTAATTAACATTCTTCGAATAGAAGACCGGGGTAAAGAGTATGATCGCGTACTCCTGCGTAGCAGCCCTTCTTAAAATTTCTTTTCTGCATAAAAGTTTTCAATCAAGTGCTATAGAGCTGGAAAATGGCTCAAAAATCTGTTAGCTCATGTGGTATTTTTGAGTCATTTTCCAGCCCTATAGCACTTCATTGAAAGCTTTTATGCAGAAAAGAAATTTTGAAAAGGGCTGCTACGCAGGAGTACGCGATGATACTCTTTACTCGGTCTTCTATTCGAAGAAATACGGTAGTTTGCGTAAATCATTTCATTGTTTCCTTTCCAAAACAAAATTGACTCGTTTTCTTTGCTCAGAAAACAGAAAGTCACGTAAAGTTTTGTTTTCGTTTTTCAATTTTTAAAGTTCGTTTTGTTTTCGCTTTTTTTACTTTATAAATATTCCAATTCAATGAGTTTTCTATACATTTTGCAAAAGTGACTAAAAAAAAGAATAGTAAACACTTTTGTGCGTCAGTCAAAACGAAGATTCCGGCCTAGCTCATTAGTTTCGGATGGGTGAAGAAAAGAGGAAAGAAAGGGCACAAAATGTGGATCCACTTTGGTCTCATCTCATGTCACCCCTAAAAATCAAAGATGTTTTGACCAAGTTTTCTTTTTAAAAATCTCTGAGATTCGAAATCTTGTTAATTTTAATCTTTAAACTTGAAGTTTCAGCTTCAAATGATCGTCAGAGCTAACCTTTTTTCTGACGCAACCTCTTCTTTCTTTCTTTCTTTCTTTCTTTCTTTCTTTCTTTCTTTCTTTCTTTCTTTTTTTCCTTCGTTGACGAGCTCTTTTGAATTTCTCTTTTTTGACCTCTTCACCCCAACCGCTTCTTGAAAAAAAAACAGAAAAACAAAATCTCTTTTTGCTCCAAACCTTTCACATTCGTCAAATCTCTTCTAAGCTATCTTATTTTTTGTTTAAAGCTTGTTTTTTGATTGATTTTGATTAATTCTCCTTCGAAAATGGATTATATTGTTTTTGTTTTCAAAAGCAGATTGATGCCTTCAGATGTTGCTTAGTCTACGGATTATGCAATAAAGCAATCTAGCTGGATTGCTTTATTGCTGGATTTCTTTATTGCTGGATTGCTTTATTGCTGGATTGCTTTATTGCTGGATTCAAACCAACAACATAATTCTTTGCAAATTTAAAAATCTCAATGAATCTGAGATTCTATAAACTACAATTCTCAATTAAATCTAGCAACTAAAGCTTTATCTAGTTTCGAGGTCAGGGTCAATTTACGATCTTGAAATCCTGAAAAGCTCTTGAAACAAAGCTACTTTTTTGATAAAGATCCAAATTCAAAAAAAGGAAACAAGGTCTCAAAGAGTCCCAAATGAAAATAACTCATCTCGAATGCAAAAGTATCGATGTGAAGACGATGAAAAAGAGAAGAAAAAGAGAAAGCGGGAAAGGACCAAGAAAACGGAGTCATTCAGCAGAAAAAGTCTGAAAGGAAAATGGAAAAAAAGCGAGGGAGAAATTCGATTCGATGCCCTCTTTTGGGTGGGTGACCCCTCAAAAAATGGCCTCAGAGAAGGGTGGAGAAAGAGGGGAAAAGCTGGGGAGAGGCTGGGGAGAGGCTGGGAAGAGGCTGAGCAACTGGGAGATTTTACTCCTCTACTGGATCCCATGTAGATCCCATAATGCTTTTTTTCTACATTCTCTAATAAATGTCTCCCACCTTACTTCGTGACAGATTTTCAGTAAATACGGCGGTTTTTTGAACGTAGTCTGCAATTAGAAAGTTACTTCTCTAATACGCGTTTTTATTTCCATCATAGCCACCAGCATACCTTGCCAACAACTGTATACCTTAAAAAACACCTTTCTAGCGAAGAAAAGGTACGTTGTTCGCCTAGTGGATAACGGATAATAGGCTTCCACCCACAGGATAACAGTGCTGTCCCTGATGCCGCTTTTTGTTTTTGTTTTTCTTTTGAAGCAACTTTTGGATCATTTGATTTTGATTTCAGATTCGGATTCGATAAAGTATTCTTTCCTATAAATTCCTATAATTCCTATAAAATACCCTATAAAGTGCACTAGGTGTCCAGACAAAAGCTCACCTTGAGTTCTCGCTTTTCCCTAGTAAGGACAGAGCCAAAGTCTGGTTGAACTGTCGGGATGTTGCCATGTTTTCCCCTTCTACCCTTCCCCTCCTCCCTTGATGGAGTCTTTCTATCTTCTATCTTCTATCTCTTCCGCTTCTTGCACACAATCTCTTTCCCCTTTCCATCTTCATCCCTCATCACGTCTCCATCTTCCCAAAAGAGCAAGAGCACACGTTAATTCATTTCCGTCACCCACTCCTCTCCCTTTTTTGGTCTTTTCCATGCCCAGCTCTTCTCTGAATGACTCTCCCTTCCCTCTCTTCCCCTTTTTTCCCCCATCCACATCCACCTCTTCTTTCTCTTATTTATTTTCTTCCAGTCAAACATCATCACTCAATTTGGCCACCCATTTAATCGCTGCTTTATCGACACATTACTTTTTGAAGAGATTTTGTTAAACAATATTAGATTGAGACTTCTATTCCGAAAAGGAAAATATCACTTGCCTATAGAAAACATAAGAAGCAATTCAAAACTCTTTTTCTTTTGTTTACTTTCTTGCCTCAATGAAATCGGTTTGACAGTTTCACTGAAGAATGTTGACTTTAAAAGCCAGTAATCTAATATTAAAGCCAACTAAAGCTTTATCGAATTGTTGCAAAGATGAAGAACATTTTTTTCACTGAGGGTCTGCAGGGTTGATGGGAAGGGCCAACGGGTGATCATTTTATGTGTCGAGAATGTCGGATCTCCGCTTTTTTTCTTTTCTTCTTGAATGCAAACACTGATCCGATTCCTTTCATCATTTTTCTCTCATTCTCTTTTTTCAGATCTCATTTTCTTTCACAGACTTCGATCGAAATTTCGTTACACTATCACAGAAGATTGTCTAGATCTACAAGATCGCACTTTAATCATAAACTTTTTTTAAAAACTGTAATTGAAGTCGTGTACTTTGTGCCAACGGAAACATAGCCTTTCTGGTATACCTTTATGATCTTGATATCACAAGCAGTGTGCCAAAAAGGGAGTGTTTCTATTTCTATTCTATTTCTATTCCACAAAGTAGGCAAAAGTTTTTCTATTTCATCTGCTTTGTCAACATTTCATCTTAAAATTTCACCTTTTTAGCGCCACTCTTCGCTTATTTTTGCTGCATATTTGCTTCAATCGTCGTAGAATTTTTCTACAACTTTCTAGCTTTGAATAGACTAGTCCGGAAAATAATCGTAGATGATTTGTGAATATTATTTTGCATACTAAATCCAATCAAAAGTCATGGTCGAACATCTTGATCCGGATTCGATTGATCTCTCTGAAGATCTCTCATATATTAAGAGGGTTAGTTTTGACTGGACTGTAAAGGACTGTAAAGAAAGGACTGTAAAGGCGTAGTAATTACGTAAAATCCAATTAATAATGCTTTAGAATTTTTTTTTGTGACTTCTTGATTTCAGGGTGATATCGTGGCTCTCTCTTGTCTCACTTCTCACAACAGAGATGGCGTTTTGGGCAGTGAGAGAGTCTGTTTATGCACAGAGGGTTTCGGGAATCGAATGTGCACTCTGGAGAATGTTTCCGATAAAGTAAATTAGCAAAAACAAAAAAACTAGCACACCTCTTTCTTTTACAGGATATTCCACCGGATATCGCAATGTGCATGTTGTACATCGACAACGCCCTATCAATGAGAGCACTTCAAGAGATGATGAGTGCCGATTCGGATCATGTAAGCATTTTTTTTGGATAATTTTAGGCAAATTATACCCTATGGCCGTTTTTCCACATACATTTTATTCAGAAAGCGACCGCCGGTAGTGCGGGCGGCCACAAAACGCTTCTCTATGGACACGCTGTGCAGCTGAAGCATGTTCAATCGGAAATGGTTTGAGAAATCAATTATTTGGAAGCAAAATCTCTATTTTAGTACTTGGCTTGCTTGAAATCGTGTACTTCGAATGATAAACTCGCTTTTGATGTCGGTGTACAAGAGAAGAATGATGGTTTGTTTGCAGAAGAAATTTTCCTTCAAATTTGATTTCAGAAGAAACAACTTGGTGGACAATTCATCCAGCCTCAAAACAGAGAAGTGAAGGAGAAAAGGTGAAGAATGGAAGAATACTTTTCTTATATTAAGATCTAGGTTCGCGTGGGCGATGACGTGATTCTTGTATCAGTGGCTACAGAACGATATTTGGTGAGTGAAATCTTTTGCGATATCTTGGGGGTGGAACAAATGCGACCTTTTTTTGCGCACCTGGACATTTGCGCACCTTTTTTTGCTGGAAAAGGCCTTAGGAAAGGTCGTAGAGCTTCAAAAATGTTTTCATAGAAGGGAATCGTATGCGTAGATAATTTCGATAAATCAGACCTCGCTGACACGTCAAATTTGGGCTAAAAGGCAAAAACTACGCAACTTAACGCTTTTCCGCCGTTTTTGCCTTTTAGCCCAAATTTGACGTGTCAGCGAGGTCTGATTTGTCGAAATTCGGAATCTACGCATACGATTCCCTTATATGGAAATATTTTCGAAGCTCTAGGGCCTTTTCCAGCAAAAAAAAGGTGCGCAAATGTCCAGGTGCGCAAAAAAAACGTCGCATTTGTCCCACCCCCGATATCTTTGATGGTTTTTAAAAAACAAATCACAGAAAACACGTTTGAATAGAATTTTTTTTGAAACAAATCCTTTCACTCTTTAGCATATGGCTTACAACAAAGGTTACATGGTGATCGCTTCTTTTCACCAAACACTTTGGAATATTTGTCCCGTGTCAGCTGGAAGCATTAGAACGAGAAATATGGGTGAGTCTTTGAAAATGTATTACTTTGGAATGTAAAAAGCTTCAAATTTTCATCTGATTCACCTATTGATTACAGGTTTCGTTTTTGGCAACGATGTGGTGAGATTTTTTCACGGAAATGATGAATGTTTGACAATTCCCGAGAACTGGAGTGAGCATCCACAGCACAAGTAGATTATCAAAAGAATGACTTTATATTTTTCACAAATTTAGCATGGTGATTTACGAGGGTGGAAACTCAGTGACACAGGTAGAATTTTTACTTATTGATTAAGATAAATCAAATTGTCAATTCAAATCCGTACTTTCAAGGCTCGATCGTTGTGGCGACTTGAACTTTGTCGCATGAAATGGCATGGAGCTCTCGTTGGATGGGAAGTAAGTAACCGAGTATGCGAACAACAACGACTTTATCATTTCCAACAGTAAAAATAGAGCACAGATATAAATCACAAATAAAAAATAAAGCATAAAAATTAAGAGAGTAATATTATCATTCTTTTAAAAATTCATTTGCTTCTTTGGCACGTTCGGCAGCAAGAAGTCGGCTTCTGATAGTTTAATAGTTTTCTGAGAATAGTTGAATTCCTACAAAACTTATCAAAACTACGCTAAACCAATCAAAAAGCTAACCTAAGCGCTAAAAATTCACTCAAAATTATGTCTACGACTTTCTACGAAGGCTTAACTTCAAAAAGCGGCAACATTTCGCCAGCCCTTCTATTTTCATTATTTTTACTATCATTCGATGCAGAATAAAATTACACGTCAAATGATATCAAAATTGACTCAAAATGTAATATCCATGCAAAGTTATGAGGCAAAAGGTTAAGTCTCGTCCATAATGGGCGAGTTTTAGGTTTTTGGCCAACAACTTTGCAGATATTACATAGATATTACATTTTGAGTCAATTTTGGTATCATTCCACGCGCAATTTTATTCTGCATCGAATGATAGTTAAAATAGTCAAAATCGAAGGATTGGTGCTGAGAAAAACACTTAAATTGCCAACGACAAAAAAGGACTGACAGATCTAGTGGATTGTTTTGGTGCATTTTAGAAATTAACTAATCTATGATTTGTTTTAGATGAACTTCCGAATCAGACACATCACTTCGGGAAGGTTTATTTTTCCATTAAAGCATAATCAAAAGTTTTTTTAGATATCTTGGCGTGATGGACAACCTCGTGCAACTTCATCACAAAGAAAAAGCAGACTTTGATCTAACTGCTTTTGCAATGTTTCCAAATAAAGAAACGAAAAGAACTCAACAGGAAGAAAAGGAAATTGAAGGTGAATGAAGGAGAAGTCTTAGAAAAAAGAATCTTTAGGAATGGGTCCACCATTGATTCGATACAGTGAAACGGATGTTTTTATTCGACATCTTCGAACAAATCATTGGCTATCTTATCAAACGAGTGAAGTGACAAAGAAAGGATTGGGAAAGGTGGGAAATCCTTGTAATTCTGAATACATTCAAACTTGCAGGTAGAAGAAAAGAAAGCCGTGGCTCAAGCTGAAGGACATATGGATGACTGTTACTTAATGTACACAGCTTTGTTTTTCTCTTTTTACTATTTATCGATTTATTTTAATTATGCGTTTAGCAAATTTCAGCAATTTTTTAGGCTAACAGCGCTGGAAGAAGAAAGCAAATCAGCAAGAGTTATCAGAAAATGCTCATCAGTGCTGAACAAATTCTTGAAGTTAGCTTAAAAACATTGAAGTATTCAAAAAACAATTTTAGAGGCATTGAAGCTCTTCAAAATCAAGGAAATCAATCACCGGATTGGATGAGAGTTGATCTGTCGGAAGTGAATCGATTGATGGATGATTTGATTAAATATTTTGAACAACCAAACGAAGATTTTGGTGAGTAAAGAAAAGTTAAATATGTTTAATGACTACTTCAGAATTCGAGGAGAAACAACTCCATTTTCGCGCGCTTCGCTCTCGTCAAGATTTATTCCAAGAAGAAGGGGTTCTCAATATGATTCTTGATACAATTGACAAATTCTCGCAAATGGAAGCATTGCCCGATTTTGCTGGGTTGATTGGAGAGGATACTCATGTAAGAATTACATTTAGAGTTACTTTTTGAGTGAAACTTGCTTAGCTAGACGATCAGCTTTAAATCTGTTTTAAATCTGTTAGATCTATTTTAAAATCCAAACCTTTTTTTAGGAAAAATGGGAAGAGATCTCAACAGCTCTTTACCTTCTCGTCGCGGCAATGATCAAAGGAAATCACTACAATTGTGCGCAATTTGCCGCTGCTCAAAGATTGGATTGGCTTTTTGGGCGTTTAAGCAATCCACAATCGTCTGAAGGTTTGTTTTGTTTGTTTGTTTAAATTACAAGATGCCTTTCTTTCTTCCTTTCTTCTTCCCTCTTGTCTTCTTCCCCCTTGTCTTTTCTTCTTTCTCTTGGCAAGTTAAGGTACCGGATAGCTCAATGGTTAGAGCAATTTCCCAAAAGGTCGAGGGTTCAATCCCCTCTCCGGAAATCTACTTTTTCTTACCAATTCCTTCACTTTATTACAGGTATCTTGGACGTGTTGTACTGTGTATTGACCGAATCTCCTGAAGCTCTCAATATGATCAATGAGAACCACATCAGCTCGGTGATTTCACTTTTGGAGAAAGTCGGACGAGATCCAAAGGTTTGAAAAAAATAAAGTAAATTTTTTATTATTGTCAAAATTCTCCAGACCTTGGATGTGCTTTCGTCACTTTGTGAAGGAAATGGAATGGCCGTTCGGTCATCACAAAATCTCATCGCTCAATTTTTGCTGCCCGGCAAAGATTTGCTCTTTCAAACGGCAATGAGGGATCACGTGAGCAAGTGAGTGCTGTTTCGAGTATACATGGCTGTTCCTTCTGCCTCAATTTCATCAAAAATCTTTTCAATTTAAGTATGATGCCGAATGTTCTTGTTGGCGTTGTGGACGGCTCGAGTTTATTCAAAAAATGGTACTTCGAGTGCGAGGTAAAGAAGTATAACCATATAAATACTTTTGAAATGAATTTCTAGATCGAACACATCGAACAGATGACCAAAGAAGTGCCGTATCTGAGAATTGGATGGGCCAATTCGACAGGTTTCAAACCGTTTCCCGGCACTGGCGACAAATGGGGATGCAATGGAGTTGGAGACGACTTCTATTCATTCAGTTTTGATGGAAAATCGATCTTCTTTGCGGGGAAAGCTAGAAAGGTAAAGTAAACGCTTTAAAATATTTGATATAAAACTTATAGGTTGGTACAAGACGTTTGAGAAAAGGAGACATTGTCGGCTGTACCCTTGATTTGACAGTACCTGAGATTCGATTCACTCTCAATGGAAGAGACACGAGCGGATATTTCAGAAATTTCAACACAGATGGGTACTTCTTCCCGGTGATGTCATTGAGTGCAAAAGTCAGGTAAGATTCTAAGATTCCTGGCGAAAAGCTTTACATATCTTGAATTTCCCATTCAGTTGTCGTTTCATCTTTGGTGGTGATCAAGGGCGACTTCGTTATGGTCCTCCGCCCAGCTTCTCGGCCATCGTTGAGGCTGTTTCTGGTAAGGAAAAAACAACTTTCAAATGAAACCTTGTACTTCAGGAGATCTGAAAATCGAGGAGTGTCTCTCTTTTGGAGATTTGCCTAAAAATGTCTACTGTGGTGCATCAACAATGCTCAACTTTGATCCGTTTGTGCCGAAACCGGTCGAGATCTCGACGGTTAAAATTAAATTTAGATATTTCTATATTTTTTTACAGATCAATTTACCCCATTTCGCTACCGAGGTTCATCAACAATTTGCCGAGAATCTTCACGAATTGTGGGCGATGAGAAAGATTGAATTGGGATGGGAATGGGGAGAAACGAGAAGCGAAGCGACACGGTTAATAAAACAATTTTTCATGAGATTTCTTCTTACCGCTAAATTTCAGAAAGCACCCATGCCTCTGCCCATTCGATCGCTTGCCGCAAAGTGAAAAATTGGTTAGAGTAAATGATTTTCTGCAGAAATTCAAATGATTTCAGTACAATATCAATTTGGCAATGGACACATTGAAAACGATTGAATCGCTTGGATACCATTTGATCAAAGATGATCCACCGTGTAGATTGAGACCTGTTCGGCTACCACAAAAGTAACGAATTTCTTCATTGATAGCTAAAGATCATTTTTAGTGTCATCTAAAAGTTAACAATATTTTAGCTATCAACAGGGGAATGGTTTCAAGCCTCAACCATTGGACACTCATGAGATTCAGCTACCGAAAGAATTGGATCCGCTCATTGAGGTTTGCGCATTTGAAATGTTAAAAAGATATGTATTTTGTAATTAAAGATATGTATTTTTAAACTAAACTTGTCAATAATTCGATAACAATCTAAATCTTTAGTGTCTGGCTCGGAATACACATAATGTTTGGGCAAGAGAAAAGATCAAAAGAGGATGGACATTTGGAATGAATGAGGCAAGTGATTGGGAATTTTAAAATTAAATGCTTATTCGTCGAAACTTTTCAAAATGAAATGAACAGCAAGCTTTCTATATTTGTCTTGCAAAAATTCAAACAAATTCAGTTCGTGGACGCAACCCAGAAACGCTCACCTCATCTCGTCCCATATGAGAATGTCGATAATCGGATCAAAGAAGCTAATAAGTAAATAAATATTAAACTTCTATCTTAATCAAAATCTATCTTGAATATTTTAGCAATACTCTTAAGTTAAAAACAAATTTCCAGAGAATCGGCCGCAGAAAATATCAGAGCTTTGCAACTTTTGGGAATCTTCTTGGAGCCGCCAGCGCTGGAACATGATGAAAGTGGGTCTTGAAAGTAGCTTTGAAATATTTCGTAATTGTTTAACAACTTATTATATTACAGTTTTACTTATCTTATTATCTCTTTTGATTTTAGTCGCCGAAAAAGCAGAGCGGGCCCGTTTGGATCGAACGAGAACCTATCGAGCCGAGAGTACATACAGTGTGAAATCAGGGAAATGGTAAGGAAAATAAAACTATAAAAAACATAATAATTAAATTATAAGTACAACTAAATATTTTAGGTACTATGAGTTCGAGGTTTTAACCGACGGATTCATGAAAATCGGTTGGATGGATATGGGGGCAAGTCCGGATAAACCACTTGGACTGGATGATAAGAGTTACGCGTTTGATGGGTGAGTTTGCGCAAAATTTTCAACACCAACCTTATTTCAACAGTAGAATTTTTAAAATATCAATAGAACTGACCATTTATTTAGATATTTGGGTCGAAAATGGCATCAAGGAGCCGAGGCGTATGGACGGGAATGGAAGGTTGGATAGATGGGCTTTAAAAGTAAAGGTATGAATTGTTTACAGGTGAAAGATGTTGTTGGATGTTTCCTTGATCTAAACGATAGAACAATCTCTTTTTCGTTGAATGGAGAATTGTTATTGGTGAGTGAAAATAGTAGGGAATATTGGATTGAAAAAACTTGTAGGATCCAAGCGGTTCCGAGATGGCTTTTGACAATGTTTCCTATGGCGAAATCGGGCTTGTCCCAGCGATCACTCTTGGATCTGGACAAATGGGAAAATTGAATTTTGGACAAGACAGCAACTCGTTGAAATATTTCACAACTTGCGGATTGCAAGAGGGGTGCGTTTAACACAGTCACGACAAAGTCATTTTTGGCTTGGCTAGATTGTTACAGAATTTTCCATTGACAATCCAACGTTGAGCTCAAATATCTTGGTGTTGAGCTGTCCAATTTAAATAGTTTTTGTACCAATCGAGAGAGAAAGATTTGGCGCATTTAATGATACCAAGAATATTTAAATTGAAAAGCCCAACACCAAGATGTTTGAGCTCAAAGTTAGATTGCCGATGGCAAAAGGGGCGCGTGGCAAATGTCCGATATTCCTTTCGGACGACAGCTATCTATGCTAGCTGTAGACCTGAAAATTTGTAACCGGAAGCATTCTGAGATGGAGAATCTGAATCCGTTATTAGTTTTTGAGCAACTTCAATTTCCAAGCCAATACGGTCATCACAAAGCTCTAAAAACTTGGGTATACAAACCGAATGAAATATCCAAAAATAGAGCAGCTTTCTTTAAAAACCAGGTACGGATTCGAATTCCTTGACCCCGAAAACCCGCTGTTGCAAATTTTCGGTCCAATCGGCCTCAAAAAAGTGCTAAATTCGTATACGGTTCACCGGTGGGCCATATCGTCGCGAATGTGTTAAAAAAGAATTTTACAAATGATCGTCATTTCAGTTACGAGCCTTTCTGTGTGAATATGTACAAATCAATGCCAATGTGGTTTGGAAAACAACTGGCTCGGTTCAATCCATTGGAGAAAGATTACCATCTAGAAGTATTCCATCAACATTCACTCTAGAGTATCCTTTGCTTTCAGGTTCATCGAATCCCAGCCACCGGAAACAGTCCACCATGTCTGAAAATTGAGCAAAAAGTAAAACTTACAAATTTGATTCCTATTAGCAAAGTGTTTCAGGTAACAACCAGTGAAGGGACAACATCGGAAAAAGCAGTGATGGAATATTTCCGATTGTCTCTTCCAGTGAAGTGCTCGGAGACTTTTGTTCGAAATAAGTAAATATTCTATGGAAAATCTTGAGTCGTTTCAATTTTTAGAGATAAAGAAGCCCTTCATCGTCAATTGAGGGAATATAAAGTGACTTCGAGATCACTTTCCGTTGTATCTGGTTTCAAATCACCCGGGATTCCGAAAGAATTTGATGATCAGCCGTCAAAAGAAAAGGTGAGAAAGACTTTATGAATATTCAACTCTGATATAATTCGAATATTTTCAGAGATCTCTGTCTCGTGTTCTTGGCGGAGTGTTCAAACAAGGATCAATGGAAACAGAAGAAACAGCAAGTCATCGAACGAGGCCACAATCATTTGAAGATGATCATCAACATGAAGCTGCAGCTATCAGGTAGATAATTTAAAGAATTTCCCTTCTACTCCTATTGTTAGACCATTTTCCTGTCCATTCTTTTGTCTGATGGTTGAGAAAAAACTAATCTAACAATTTAACGAGTGATTTCTGATAGAGTGACTTCTCATGTATTCATTCATTGCATGGTTTCCTTTTTCTTTTTTTCTTCATGCATTTTGAGGCTAAACATTTTGATAAAAGTCTATAGCTTCTAAAAAATTGACAGCACTAGATAGGATAGTTAAGAATCTATCAAAGTCTAGCCTTTATAAGATTCATCCAAATAATACTCGAAATCCCATTCATTTTTTGGATTTCCTTTCTTTCTCTTCTCTGTCTTTCATATTTCTTCTTGGGTAAAGAAGGCGTTGATAGCTCAGTGGGCATCTGACCGGTAAGCGGAAGGTCGAGGGTTCAATTCCCCTCGGTTCCAAATTCTTGGCCATTCATTTCTTTACTTTATTGACTAACCCATCATTCATTCTCTATTTTAACCTCTTCAAATGTACAGTCAACGACAACGTGCATTGACCTATTGGAAGTATGGGATGCATTCATTTGATGAGACAATCCTTACGTGGTTGAAAGTCGATGGAGAAATGGGAAAAGATCACGATCATCGATTCAGAAATCTCGTCAGGTCCGCGAAAGCACAGAAATTGCACACAAAAAAAAGACTTGAGCTTGATTCTCTTGAAAAATTTTCATCTAACATTTTCTCATTTTTCTTTCGAAATTTCAAGCTTTGAGGTCCAACTACTAGACTTGACTAACATTGCATTAAAATGCTTCACTTGCCATATTTTACCGTAAGCTGGTAGATCTGGCAAGCTAAATCCCTATTTTAGTACATAAGAAACCAAAAGTTCACCAAAATTCATCTTTTTAATCGTTAGTCAAGTCTCTTTTCATCGTCGTTTTCGTGTCTATCGCTTTGTTGCTTTTTTTGTTTTTTTTTTTTGTTTTAGGGATTGCTTTAGTGTGCTTTTTGGTTGTGCACTATTTTCAGATGCAAAAGAGCTTGGTTTTACTACTAGTTTAAGATTATGTCAGAGTTGAATTCATGAAAATTTCAGGCAATCAATGATGGAGTACTCACCCGAAGAAAGACTTGCCGCTGAGGAACATCTAAAGGTTTGTAAAAAATAAAAAGGTAGAGTTGGACATTTTTTTGTAAGATAGTGCAGTTTTGTAAGCATTTGTCAATTACTTGGCTTCATTTTCAGGAACTCGACCGAGATCGTCCAAAAGAGAAAAAAGGCGGGCTTTTCTCGAGACTTCGCGACTCGAGCCAGACAAGGAAAAAGTAAGGAAAACTTTTCCCAGCAAACTCTTTTCAATCTCAAACTTTAGAGCAAAAGAAGAAAGCCGACAAACGTCATTCAAAAATGAAAAGACGAATTCTCGATCATTTGATACGGGATCAATTGATAATCTCCCGCAATCAATGGCACAGGGAAAAGATGTACTAGGTAGGGTTTGGGAAGAGTATTTAAGCAAACACCCAAGGACTCAAACACTATTAGGCTAGTCAGAAAGTCGTTTTGCTATTTTTCAGAATCTCTGAATCACCAGATATCAAAACGCTCTTTTATGACTTTTTTCTAATAGAAAATTATGTAATAATCGGCTTTTGAATCAAGAGAATCTAGAGAGAAATTTATTTAAAGAAAAATCAATTTTTGTGAGTATTTTCAATCAAAAATTGATTCCAAAAGAAATAAAGGGCCTTTAGACTTGAAAAGCAAAATACAATAGGCATAATCATAAAAATTCACTTGAAATTTTGAAGAAATACATGATGTTTTGATAAATTCCGAGTTAAAAGAACGGGAAAACATCAAATCTGACTCGGTACTGAAGCTCAATCATTTCTTTCATCAGAATTTGCCAAAATAAAAACCGGGGCCACTGTTTTTAGTTTAAAATCTTTTCTTTGGGTGAATTCTTGATCTTTAATTTTAATCATACAAAGCTGCTTTGGTTGAAAAATTTGGGTGAAGTGAAAAGACTTTCTGGACAGTCTAATAGGTATTGGAACTGCACAATATTATTAACTTTGTACCTGTTTATTATGAAATTTTAGCGCTCGGCGGTCAACTCCAATCAAACATCAATCCGGACATGTTAGTATCCGGTCCTGGAAGGCAACCGACAATCAAAAAGGAAAAGAGAAAGAAAGACAAAAAGGAGAAAAAGGTGAGTAAAATAAAAAGGGATAAAGCTGTTATTCCTTTAGAATTCATTGATCAGCGTGGTTGAACAAGTGAAAAATAGACTTGAAAGTCTTGAGAAACACGAAAAATGTGTAGAGAATAAGGTAGAAATGATGGAGTGTTGTGAAAATTGGTGAATAGTTGTTTTGTGGTGTTTTGTGGAAGAAAAGTGTAAAAACCTGTTCACTTTAGGATGAAAAACATGTCTCTCAAACGATTGTCGAAAAGTTACCCGAAGGAGCCCTTGGGGATGATGATTCACCGGCTATGCAAGCTTATGCGGATAAGGTTCGTTTTCGAGTAAAGAATAGTTTTTTTTAAAACTAAAATCAAAACTTGTTCAGATCGACGACTACTATTACGGTATTCGAATCTTTCCCGGACAAGATCCGGCAAACGTCTGGGTTGGATGGGTGACATCACAATACCATTATTATGCGGAGAATTTTGATGGAGCAACTGGTGTTCGGAAATGTCGATATAATGAAGCTGATCATCATGGAACGACGATTGAGAGGTGATAGATGAAAATGAGAATGGCAATGGATAGTAAGATTATCATTGCATGATGTTTTTAAAAGCAATAACTTGATCAAGACCATGAGGACTAGAGATAGCCTTGATTAGCTGTAACCACAAAGCCTTGATTAGCTGTAACCACAAAGCCTTGATTAGCTGTAAACTTTAGGCTGATTCATACAAAGATCCGTTTTTTATGTCTACAACAAGAGGGCTTAAAAGATTTAATATGAATCCTTTTCAGTACCGAATTCCGTAATTGTTACATGTTGAATGTCTCGGATCTATTGCAAACCGTCTCCGATGCAGGGAACACAAAAGTTTGTCGTTTTCGTCGTGAAAATCTCCTATTTCTTCCTAATCTCAGCTCTGAGCACTTCTTTTTTCATTTCCTTTCCAAAACTCGCAAATTTCAGCTTGAACTTGCTGCAGCAAAGGTTTCTACTTTCATTTCCACAAATCTTTCCTATATTCATTCATTTGAAACAAGCAAACAAGCACAATTTCCCCCCAAACCAAAGTTGCACATTTAACAAAAATGTTCAGTTCAGTTTTATTTGCACACAAGAATCACACGAGTTCACACAAATTTTCGAGTCATTCCCGCATGGAACGCTCATTTCTCACTTGCAACCTTTTTTCCGAGAAAATACTGGGTTGGCGCTTCAAAGCGCGGTAAAACTATCGTACTCTTCCTAATTTGCAGGTGCGTGCAATTTCATTCTTTTTGCGTATTTCTGGCCTTAATCTTCCACACACTGCCAATTATGATTCTGTCTTCGAGTAATTATTCTAAAACAACGATGACTTTTTAACTGAACTGAATCAACAACCTCTACAGCTCTGAGCTGTAGAGGTTGAAAACATCTTTCCTTACATACCTACAGCTCTGAGCTGTAGGTATGTAAGGAAAGATGTTTCTCCATTTTCTGCAAGTAATTCGCCAAGTTTCTTTTTGTTTCATAAAACCCTCTTGCAGCATCAAGTTAATTAAAATTCGAAGCATTTTTGGGCAAAAATAAAAATATAGATGTTAGTTTGTGGAACTACTTTTGTAAGATGATTAAAATTGCGCTCCGTGGATAATGTGCCATTTGCAAAGAGATTTCTTCGTTTGGAATGTACTGATTCCTTCTGCAAGCCCCTTCCACAAAGTTGTGTCATCATCAGAAGGCCAGAATAAAGAATACAAAGAAAAGCACATCAGAAATACGCAAAAAGAATTAAATGAAATGAAGAACAAGAATGAAAGAATGAAATTGCGTGCTTTTTTTTATACCTGCAAATTAGGAGTAGCTTTACCACACTTTAAAGCGCCAACCCAGGATTTTCTCGGAAAAAGGTCACAAGTCATTTCTCTCAATTTAAATGTCTCTCCAAAGTCTCCAAAAATGAATAAAACATTTAGTTTTCTTAACTGAGTGTCATACTTTTGTTAATTTTAAAGATCTATTTTTATTTTAGGTCTCCGGAACTCTTGTTGGGTGTATTGTCGACACATCGGTTGGAGAATTGACTTTTCAAATTGGAGGACAAGATACGGGACATCGATTCAAGGTTATACTTGAATAGCTGAACACATTTTTTGGGATTTTGCTAGTTTTCCATCCCAATATTTCAGCTTGAGCCGGGCGCAGTTCTTTTCCCAGCCGCTTTCGTCGTTCCCACCGCTGCAGAAGTGCTTCAATTCGAGCTAGGACGAACCAAAGTCTGTTTCTTCGCAAAAAGGATATCATTTTGCTTTAAATCAAATTTTTAACTCAATTTTCAGTTCGCTTTCCCACTCTCGGCGGCTCTTTTCAAATCTTCACAGAAATCTGTGATCCCATCGTGTCCACCAAGGTAAATTTTGGATTGTTTAAAGTTGAAGTGCCTAATTTCAAAGAAAATATAGCACTTACCCTTTTACTTACCATTAGTACAAGCTGTATAATATTAGTAAAAACACTGGCTGCAGTACACTTATACAGGGTGACCAGAAATAACTCGCCCTCTTTTTCTAGGCTCATATTTCTGTTATTTGTAGATCAAAACGATTAATTTCTTTTTTAAAATGAATATTCACGTCGTTTTCTGTATATTTCCAAGAATTCATGACCATAGCATCGATAGATAATTTTTTATGTACGCTCAAAAATGGCTGGTCAAAAAAATAACGGACTGCAACTCAAATTTGGGGGTTCATTTATCGATGATCTTATAGAAAATATTAAATGCGTTAATATTTTTGAACTATTAGGACGGGTGACCTTCTGGTCTGGTCACCCTGTAGTTAGTGTTCATTCAATATTGTTTTTTTCTCCAGATTGGATGTAGAGCGCCTTTCGCCCGTTCATTGGAGTCGCGTTCCGAATGAAACACTCAGAACGACAGCTCTCAAATTGAGCGATGTTAGAGGTAAACGCGATTCAAAGATTTTTTCGTGATAGAAAAACTACAAAGCTCAATCCTCAATTCAGGCTGGTCTGTCCTTTGCAATGATCCCGTTCGAATTCAAGTATTCTATGTGCCCGAGAAAGATCTCTCCTATGATATTTTGGAGATGATTGAAATGGAGGAACCACTCAAATTTCATAAACAAGTAAACTTGATGAAAAAGAATAGAATAAAAGCGATTTTAGACCCTGGGTCTTTATTGCAAACTTGCCTCACATGGAAATCAAAAAGTGGCACACATTTTATGCACACATGTCGATGAAGATCAAGTGAGTTTCACAAGAGTTTCAGATAAAGTTATGAGATTTTAAATGTTAATTATTTTAGATAATGTATGCAATAAAGAGTCATTACTTGGCTGGTTCGATGAGACAAGGATTTCACGATCTTTTGATCGCTCTTCATCTTCAATCGCATTCATCAGCACGTGAGAGTATGGCTAAGGTTTGATTTTGGAAATTGTTGTTCGTTGTAATTGAAAAAGTAAAACTTGTTGTCTGTTAGCTTAAGATTTCAATGCTATTTTCAGGAATATGTGATTCCGCTCTTGAAAGATCTTGAGACGAAAAATGTTTTCGATCCAGACACGGAGGCTCGCTTTCCGCAAATCATGGGAACACCCGTGAGCATGCTGCCAATTATGGTATCCGAATCGGTCAAGGTAAGATATTTATTCCAAAATATAGTAGAATCAATCTCTTTTTTAGACAAGTGTTGCAAGAGAAGAGGAAATGAGGCTTTTAACCCCGCAAATCAATTTGGATGCATTGAAAAATCATGTGATCACAGCGTTGAGAAGTGCCACTGAACATGCCGTACTCAATTGTCGGTGAGTGAAAACAAAAAACACAAACTTTACAAGCTCTATAAGTAAACTTAACCCCTATTTCTTTCTTTTTTTCAGTGATCTGATTGGAGACGAAATTGGTGCAAGCAACCTCAATCATTTCGAGCCACTCTTGAAACTTTTCGATGCAATGTTAGTGATTGGGCTTTTCGGAGATGAAGATATGGAGATGTTGCTGAAATTGATCCATCCCGGGTATTTCGATGAAGCCTGGGAACCGGGAACAACACAAAAAGTGAGTGAATTCTATAATAAAGGATGTAATTGATTGCACAAAAAACGAATCTAGGGTTTAACCGAGATCGAGCTGGCTGAGAACGTGAAACTCCAACTTGTCAATATTCTTGATCATTTGTGCGATATTCAGCTAAGACATCGGTAAGTTTGATGGAGTGATCTTCAACAAGATTTCGAATTAAGTATCGAAAGTCTCATCGGTTTTTCGTCGGGATACGTCGGTGATTTGCAACAAGACCAGTGCAATCGGTAAGTGTATAGCTGAATTATTTGGTTGTTGAAGAAGTCTTTTCGTTTCTTTTCGTACTTTCGTTTAAAACCAACAAATGCACCAATTGATGAACTACGGCTTTTTTCATTAGAAAGGCCAATTCTTTTTCTGTAAAATAACATTAAAACGGGTTTAAAATGTCTTATGTCTGTTTTTTTGAGAGCGTGAAGTCGGGTAGTCAAAAGGTAGAGGCTCGATGATGCGGTTTAGACACTTTAGCTAAGGAAATCTATCTTGGTGTCAGTAGATAAAAGATAGAGCACAAAAAGTTAGATATATAGCCAAATTTTCAGAGAAATTCATTCAACTAATTTCTTCGTAGAGGTTTTTATAGATTTTTACGAAAAACACGTGTTTTCACTCTCGAATTTGCTTGAAAGTGAACCGAAATTGACTTAAAAAGATGAGGAATTGAAAAATAAACGCTTTTTATTTAGAGCAAACCATAGGTGCATTGGTGAATAGTTTTTATTTTTCAACGGAAGTACGAAAAGAAACGAAAAGACTTATTCACAAACCTAATAGGTTTCAAATTGATGGATATCCTACTCCATTAATTGAATATCTTACTCCATTAACTAATCAAAATCTTGTCTTTCAAGATCAAGATCAACTTTAGTTATGTGGAAATCAAACAAACTGACATGCCACCAGCTGAAGCCGCACGAAAAACGAAAGAGTTCCGCTGTCCGCCAAAAGAACAAATGTTCCGACTGCTCAAATGCAAGGTATTCTATCAAAATGCCTTGAGAATATTAAGAGATGATGTCATTCATTATCAGAAAGTGTACAACAGATCAAAAAGCTCAACTCTGACATCACCTCTTAAATAGTTTTAATTTCCCCCGATTTTCCCCTTTTTATTTCGCACACATTCCATTCCTTATCCTTTAGAAACAACCTAATTCCTACTGGCGGACATTAATGGTGAGCATGATATATAAAAATATTCTAAGCTTTTCTCATTTCTTTCTTTTTCTATGTTCAGTTCATTTTTCAGCATGCATGTGTAAAGTGAAAGTGAAATGGTGAACAAAAGCACTGTGTAGAATTTCAAATGCACACTTTGATTACTGTCATTTCTTTCGCTAGCCAAATGAAATCTCATAGAGTCAATTGTAATCAAAAGACTTGTCTTCTTATTTAATTTGAGACGAAAAAATGAAATTTTAGGTACGAGAAGAAAAAGAAGCTCTGTTGGATGATGAAGTCGAGTATGATCAATGTCCAATGTCTGAGACCTTGCAAGTGAGTTGTTGAAAAGAAAAATGATACTTGTGGCTTAAGAAAAGAGACAATTTGCATCAATTTCAGGAGCAACTCCGCGAGTTTTGTGAGCTACTCGTTTCGAAAATTGGGAATACGGCTGAGGAGACACCCGGCGATGGATTGGCATTGATTGAAGGTAGTCTTAAACTTATAAAACTTATTAAATTTATCAAAATTCTAGCCGAAGAAAGCTCTTGGGTGGATTCACTGGCTCGTCTTGTTGTCACCGTTCCCCCGCCCGTTGCTGATTCGACTCAAGAAAGATTATTTCGATCCGGCACTGATAACTTCAAGCATATGATAATCACCATGTTAAAGGTAAGAAATATCAAATGATAACTTAAATTCTGATCTTAATTTCTTTACAGTCTTGGGCTATCGATTCTTTCATTGAATCGCCGGAGCTCATTCGTAGGATGTTCCACTTGCTTCTACGAATGTATTCTGGAGTTCGGGAGGTAGAATTTGGATTAGAATGATTCAAAATTCTCAACAAATTGATTTCAGCTTCGTGATGCAATGGCTCAAGCCTATGTTTTTCATGAAAGAAATGCTCAAGATGTTCAAGATTTCATCGTTTATTTGATTCAGGTTCGACAAATCGTGAAAAAAAATCCATCTTTTTTTCTTTTCAGATCCGTGAACTTTTAACTGTACAATTTGAGCAAACGGAAGAAGTGATCCTGAAAAGGGGATTGTGGTATGTAGCTTTCTTCACTGATTTCTATCAGCTATGTTAACTCCGACCCTTTCTCGGTTCTTTTGCCGTTGACAATCTACGAATTTTGCTCGTACCTTGACCGGGTTTATTTGAAAAACGTTGAATTTGCTTTCATTTGATAGAAAATTTGATTTCGAGTCGAATAAAAGCAAATTTAACGCTTTTCAAACCAATCCGACTAAGGTACGAGCAAAATAAGTAGATTGCCAACGGCAAAAGAACCAGAAAAGTGGCCGAGTTAACATGCCTGATTTCTATTCAAATCCCCAAATGTTTAGGAAATTGATGAACAACAAGATTTTCTTCCAACATCCCGATTTGATGCGATTGCTGTCCGTGCATGAGAATGTGATGACAATTATGGTCAGAAAAGAAATTTAATGAAAAATAATGTAAACCCAACTTTCAGATGAATATCCTCACTGCACAACAAGGAGCTGTCACCGATCATGAGGAAGAGGGGAAAGATAAAGAACTTGTGAAAGTGAGGGGTTTTGTACAAAAAAAAAGCTTCTGGACCAGCCAAGCCGGTTTAATGCTCAGGCTCAGGCACTCACTTTGGTGTGTCAACAAGTGACTTTAGAAAGATTTAACTATGGGCTTAACATTTTACATGCGGTTATCTATTTTTTTTAATCCCAACAATTCATCAATCAAAACGTTACTCCAGGATGCCTCTGACATGGTTGTTGCTTGTTCTCGCTTCTTATGCTATTTCTGTCGAACGTCGCGCCAAAATCAAAAAGCAATGTTTGAGCATTTATCTTTTCTTCTTGACAATGCCACTATGCTTCTTGCCAGACCAAGCCTCAGGTAAATATTTTTTCTGAAAACTATGACAACAACAATATTTCAGAGGATCCGTTCCACTTGATCTCGCTTATGCCACTTTCATGGACAACAATGAGCTGGCTTTGGCTTTAAAAGAAGAAGAACTTGACAAAATTGCTGTTTATTTGAGCAGATGTGGTCTTCAACCGAATTCGGAGCTTTTGGCTAGGGTATCAATGGAGAAGTTGAATTAAGAGCAACAAATTTCTAGGGTTATCCTGACATTGGATGGGATCCAGTTGAGGGTGAAAGATACATCGATTTCTTCCGTTTTTGCGTATGGATCAATGGAGAAAATGTGGAAGAAAACGCAAATTTGGTGATCCGATTGCTGATTCGGAGGCCCGAATGTTTGGGAGTGGCTCTGAAAGGAGAAGGACAAGGTGGAATATCACGTCGAATGAGATAAACAAGTGCTTGCATACCGTTAAGAAAGCTATTCTAAAGTGGTGCAAGTATCAGACTGGCCAGAAAGTCTTGTCCGTCTTTTTTAAAGGGTACTTTGTGAAATGAATAATGAACCAATGATCTATGATTTGTTTTATCAGAAAGTCCTATTGTTTATTTACAAATTACCCTTAAGCAATTCTGAAAAGCTCACGTTAGTTAACTTTTTTAAAGGTGTGAAGTCGAGCAGTTAAAAAAGATGAAACTCAAAGTTCTGATTTGAGCATCTTTTGTCACAGAAACCTATTTTGGTGTTAAAAGACAAAAGATAGAGAATGAAAAGTTAGGCAGATAGACAAATTTTCATAACATTTCACCAAGCCCTTTTCATTCTATGTCCATTGTAAGGATTTTAGGAAAAACAACAATTCCCGGATTTGCTTAAAAATGAGCTAAATGAAATAGTTAATCTTTTTTATTTAAACCACACGTTGATCGGCTAATTATTCATTTATAAACGAAAATTTCAAAAAGGCGAGCAAAACTTTCTGGCCAAAACAATACATATCAAAGCTTAAACGTAACCCCCACCACTTGCTAATTTTCTATCGCTTAGGTCTTTTCTCGGCTTTCAAAGAGGCGATCGCTCTCTCGGAAGACATCCGAGTACTGGCTGAAGGTGATGGTGGAAGAGCTTTGAGGAGTGGTTTACTTGGAGAAAACCCGAGTTATCCAACATCGGAAGCGGAAGGAGAAGATTATATTGATCTTGGATCGGCAACACTTGATTTCTACTCATCTCTTGTCGATCTCTTGGCTAAATGTGCACCCGATCCGTCGGCGATCCAGGTAAAAAAAACTAGAGTTAATCCTAGCGATAAGCACGTTAAACAAAACAACAAACCATATCTTTCTTGTTCAAAAACATTTTCTCTTTAGGCAGGCAAAGGCGATTCAGTGCGAGCTCGAGCCATTCTTCGTTCACTGATCTCATCCGAAGATTTGGGTCAAATTCTCTCATTGAGATTTTCCATTCCCAATCTGGCTATCCCATCTGAAGGTAATTATAAAAAAAAAACATAACCACTGACCATTTTTTTTGTTTAATATTTAATCACTCATGCTCATTGTATAAAATTTCTTTTCACAATCCAGCTCCTCGTCCATCTCAACCATTTCTCTGCGGTATCACTCAAAATTTGAGCTCAAGTCTCGCGGCTGTTGCAGCGAATCTTTATCTCTCGAAAATGTACACAAAGCTGGACAGTGTTCCGGAAAATCCCAGAGAAATCACATTGGAAAAGAGAGATTTCGATGAAGAAAGTTATTATTCGTCAGCTGCAGAAAGTCTTCAGTCAGAAGATGATGAAGAATTCGTACCAATGAAAAAAATTGACAATAACTGTCTGAAAGTTGTGGAGAAATCACAAATAAGCGAAATGAGCGTGCCGAGAAGAAAGAAATCGTCGATGTTTGCGAAAGATTACGGCGGTGAGAAAAGGTGTCGTACTGGTGGAAATTATGGTGAAAAAAAAGAGTGTCGTGATTCGTGCTTGAACTCGTGGATAATCTCATTCAAATCAATCACTTTATTTCCAGATTCCGGTCCTCAACCCGGTCTTCTCCCGAGTCACAAGGGAAGTGTTCTCCTATTTTTGGATCGAGTCTATGGAATTGATTCGGCTGAGGTCCTCTTCCAACTTCTCGAACAATCATTCTTACCTGATCTTCGTTCTGCTACAATGATGGACTCAGTAAGTCTGATAAAAAGTGATCAAGAATGAGATCTTTAATTAATTAATTTAGCCCCGTGCTCTCGAATCGGACACAGCATTAGCGCTGAATCGTTATCTGTGCAACTCTGTTCTCCCACTTCTCACGAATCACTCTCAATTCTTCGGCGAAGCTGAACATTATGGAGCGCTGCTTGATGCGACGTTGCATACGGTAAGTCATTGGTTTTGCATTGAATACAGGATTTTTTTTCTTAACAACATTTAATCTCATCACAATAACTATTTTATTCTAGGTTTATCGAATGAATCGTCTTAAATCGTTAACCAAAAATCAGCGAGAAGCCGTCTCTGATTTCCTCGTCGCCATCACAAAAGAGCTACCACCTGTAGGCTACAACTTTTTTTTTAGCTGCTTAACAATAATTCCAGGTGATGATGATCAAATTGCTGAGAAAAGTGACAATCGATATCAGGCAAATGCATGAATATGTATTGGTACCGTTGAGGGTAAGACTTGAGATGAGAGTTCTATCAGAATTCCCCATTTTAGCTGATGACTCTTCATTATGAGCGATGTGGAAAGTACTATGGAAATGGAAATCATTACGGTAAATGGAAAATGAGAGAAAATCACTGAAGAATTGCAGGAGTGGCAACGGAAACAGAGAAACGATTGTCAATGTTGCTATTCGATTCAATCTTCGATTCTCTTTCAACAAAACCGTATGATCCAGAGTTGTTTGGAAAAGCTTTGCCCTGTCTCACTGCTATTGGTCAGAAAACGATTTTTCTAATTGCAAAAATCCTTTAGGCTCTGCTATTTCACCCGATTATGCTTTGACTCAATCTATTGAAGATCAAAAATCGCTTGCCGCTGAGGTGACTTGTGAACCTATTTGATTCTGGGTCTAATGAGAAAAATATTGTTTGGAAAAACATTGTTTGAAAAAACGATAGTGGACTCAACTCCACAAATCTCATTTTTTTTACAGGATGAAGGCGTTTGGGTTCCTCGTCCAACCGATATCAGTCGTCATGATCTGAATAATGAATTGAACACAATGGTCACCAAGTTTGCCGAGCATTTCCATGACAGTTGGGCGAGTAGAAAAGTTTGTCAGAAAGAAAGATCTAAAATAAAATAGAAATTTCCAGGTTGAAAAGGGTTGGACATATGATGAACTGTACAGTCGACCACAACAAAATCACCCTCGTCTCAAACCATTTGCACAATTGAAAGATTTCGTGAGTTGTTCAAGCAGGGATTCATTAATTGACATCACTTAAAGGAAAAAGCTTACTACAAGGATCGTTGTGCTGAATTGATGCGTTCGCTTTTGGTTTGGGGCTATGGAATTGAAATGGCTGACAAAGACGCGGCGGATCGAGCTGCACATACACATACACCATCAGGTAAATTGAGGAACAAGTGTGATACAATTGTAACTAAACAATACTCTAAAAATATGCAATAATAGAAAAGAGATTTTTAGGCACAAGTGTCAATGATTTTGCTCCAAAACCGGTCGATTTGAGCAGTATGACTTTGGAAAAAGACATGACAACGGTAGCTGAGAAAATGGCCGAACAATCGCACTTGATCTGGTCCAGAAAGGTAAAATAAAATAAAATAAAATAAAAAAGAAACAAAATTTATCAAATATAGGTTGCCAATGATTTGAACTCTCGAGGGGGAAACATGCCGACTGGACTCGTCCCATGGGATCTTTTAACTGACAGTGAAAGAAGAAAAGATCGTTTCCGAGCTGCTGAAATCTTGAAATTTTGGCAATATCATGGATATCGAATCTTTAAGATCGAGAAAAAAGGAGAACATCAAGATAGGATGAAAATGGAGGTGAAAAGAAGAGAGAAACTCTTGGAGACATTTTGTGAATTTAGGGAGAACGTTCCTCTATCGATAAACGTTTCGCGTTCAATCTTTTGGAGAAACTTTTGCAATATCTTGAACAAGCCTCGGTGAAGATGAAATCAGTGAAACCGAGTCAAGAATTGACAAGGAGAAACTCGTTCAGAAAAGATGCACAAGATGTGAGATTCTTCGAAAAGGTAAGGTGTTGTGATTGACAAGTCAAACAATGTGCTGCAGGTTGTTCTGCCAATGATGCACGCTTATTTCAATGCACATAAGGGATATTTCTTGGAGGGAAGCTCTATTGTACAAACGGGAACTGCCTCGATTAGGGTAAGGCTCAGATTTTTGGAATTATCCAACAATTGTCCAGCAATTGTATTCAACAATTGTATTCAACAATTGCATCCAACTAATCGATTTCAGGAAAAAGAAATGGTCGCCAACTTGTTCTGTCGTTTGGCCGCTTTATTGAGAATCAAGAATCGGGCCTTTGGATCGGTCGCAAAGATCACGGTTCGATGTTTGCAAGGATTGACACAAGCGCTCGATTTGAGAACACTTGTCAAGGTGAGAGTTTAATGGTCTACAATATATTATTGCAATTTTTAGGTGAACTCAGACATTGTGCGTACATCTCTTCTCACTTTCTTCAATAACAGTGCCGATGATCTTTGTGCAGCTGTTAAAGGTAGGGTATTATTTTCTTATTTCTCTAAATCTCTTATTCAGAACTCAAAAACAACGGTCAATATTCTCTTCTCCGAGGTGACAATCTTAAATCGTGGATCTCCATTGAATTCGCTCATCAAATGATTGTTCCCGTCTTGACAACTATGTTCAATCACATCTCGAAAAATCATTTTGGAACTGATCTTTTGCTTGATGATATTCAAGCTGCGAGTTATAAGATTCTCGACAGTCTGTACATGGTCACAGGTTGGTGAGAGAGAAGTGGAATGAGGCAAATTGTAGACTAGGCAGTTAACTTGACGATATACTACAGTCTGAAACTTAATGAGCGTTGCAGCACTAGAGGATTGGAATCTTGATCTCCTTCTATCAAAACCCTACACTCCATTTCAGGTCTCACCTCAACAGTAGCTCAACGAAAGAGTATCGGATACGAGACAGACAAACACAGACCAGGATTGGGTCAATGTCTTTCCGCCTTCGCTTCCTGTTTTCCTGTAGCTTTCCTCGAGGGAGAATTCAACAAAAACAACAAATATTCGGTGTGTTTTTTGTGTTTTATTTCTCTTTTTATATTTATAACCAATATTTATAATATCTAGGTGTTGGCCAAATCACAAGATCAATCGGTGCAAGTACAAGAAATGCTTCAAAATCTCTCGGCCCACATTCCGCAACTTGAGCGATTGTTGAATGATGTTGAACAGGCATCGCTGAATGGAGTGAGTTATCCAGTCAATCACAAATAGATCAATCTTATTCTAGGTGATGTACTCGGAAAACCCAAACGTTTTCGATGTGGATCTTCCATTGTTGTGCTCATATTTGGCCTATTGGGTAAGTCGTGAGTTTAATTAAGCTTTCTAAACATCAAGATCTTAATCTTCATAAACTAATTAAACTTTCAACAATAAAACCACAGATATAACACACAATCAAACAAAAGGAAGCAATAAAAATAGTGAAAGAAAGAAAATGACACAAAAACCTTAATCAAAGGCACCTACTCTCTACAAAATTTAGCCGATCTGTGCTCGAATCGCTCAAAAAACAAACCTACAAAAAACACGGAAAAGGAAACACAACAAATGAATTTAAAAGCAACAACTAGGACAGAAATAAAAGCGCACCCGGTAGCGGAGGAGTGCGGTCGTTTTGATGCTTTTTTAGAAAAGACAAAAAGCATTTCTAAAATGACAAATGAAAAGATTTTTTTAGTGGAATATGGGAGTTGATGGGATGAGAACGAAAAGTGCTGATGAAAAGGTTTGTGATTTTGAAGCGATAATGAAAACATCATCTTTTCAATCATTTAGGATAGTAATTCCTCAGCTAAAAAGGTAAGTTTTAGCCTTATATGATTCTCCGATAAATCTAAAATTTCTCATTTCTTAGGAATATTTTTTTCCTAAAAGAGTTAAGGTAAAAAGAAAATGGGTTGGCTTTTGCGGGTTTTGCGTTTAATGCTTTCGGTTCTTTTTTTTTCCATTTCGGGACTTCTATAAACGATAAATCTTTGGGTTCTTTTGTACTTTATCAATACTGTGTGAGAATATTTTATTCCAGGAAAAGCTCCTCTCAAGCGGTCTCCCAATCACAAAAGTCTCATCCGATCACATCAATCGAGTCTTTACGACATTGCTCAGAATGGTGGGGTTGTTTAACGTTGTATTTAATTAGCAAAGCTGGCAGCTGGCCATATTAATCAAAATTTTCAGATGAAGATGCATGTCGGAGTCGAGAACGCACCATGGTTATTGAGAGTGAATTGTGAGTTGAAAAAAGATAGAACTTGACTTTTTCAAATCTTTTGCTTTAGTCTTCGCCGTTCAAATCATCCACATGGTCACCTGTGATCCGGTCAAAGAATTTATGTTGCCGATTGCGGAAAGATTGAGAAGAATTGCCGAGAAAGCGTATAAAGATGAAGAACACACAAGGACACATCCAGATGACGCTGATGAGGGAACGGTGGCTGAGGTGAATGAGAAAGAACGTTCATGACAAAGAGATATTCAGGACAATGCTCGGCTCGTTCGTGATACTTACGCTTTCTTCCCATTGTTGATGAAATACACCGATTTGCACAGGTATTCGAAAGAAATCATTGCAAATAATTCGTATCTTTTAAGAGCTCATTGGCTAAAGCATCCATCATGGGAAACGGACGGGGTCTATGAGAATGTCGCGGTGATCTTCCGCATTTGGAGTCAAAGTCAACATTTTAAGGTGAGTGATGAAAGTTATCGATGTGATAGTGTTATCTAACTGGGATATCACTATCATAATCATAAATGGTATGTAATATGTAGACTTGCTCGAATTTTTAGAGAGAAGAGCTCAATTACATGTCACAATTCGAAGAAGATCAAGCAGTCGGTGGTGGTGAGATGAAAACGGGAAAAGCCGCCATTGCAGAAAGAAAGAAAAAGAGACGAGAGGGACAGGTTGGGAAAAAAGGATTCGATAATTCTCAAAGAGTTCTCAAACTACTACTGAATTTTATACGAATTTAAAGTTAAATTAGCTTTCTCTTTTTTTCTAGCTACATTTTGCTCGCACGACAAGCCAGCGTCAAGCGGTTTGTTCAGAGAATTCATTTTTCTTTCATTTCTTTTCACGATCAAATGTTGTATGGTCGAGTTGGTGATAGAAATTGATGGAATCGTTGTTTTCAATCAAACGTTTCAAAACTGGGAAACGTTTCAAAACTGTGAAACGTTTCAAACTGTGAAATTCTTTTCTCACAATGAAATCAACAATTTTATCAAGTTAAATAGTTTGACACAGTGCCACAAAATGAATCAACTTCTTCAGAAGATCTAAGCACAAGATTTTAGGTAAAAGTGGACAAACATGCGAACAGTCTTGTAATCGCTTGTCTCAAACGTCTTCTGCCCGTTGGATTGAATGTGTTTGGTGGAAGGTGAGTGAATGGAAGAATGGATTGAAGTGTTGTAGTGTTGTACTTGCAAGAGTACTATCTTGCAATCCAGGAACTCCAGGAACCTATTGATGCGTGAATTTATCTTGACTGCAAAATTTTAGAGAACTCGACATCGTGCAGCAATCCAAAGAGAAATTCATCCAAAAAGAGCAAGAAGACAAAATTCGGGAGTTCATCAAGGGACTTCTCGATATTCCTGTCAAAGTAGAAAGATCAAATTTTCATCAAAGATTTATTTTATTTAGACTGATCCAACGGACAAAAATGCTTGGCAATTATCTTTGTATCGAAAAATCGGAAAAAGTCAAATGAGAGGAAAAGATGATATGACACAAGTAAAAAGATTTAAATGGAAAAGAAAAAAAAATTCATCTTTTAGGAAGGAGTTGTTGATAAAATCTTCAATATGGGACAAGTATCCGCCATCCTACATACGGTAAGTAAATTTCTATGAATATTAACTCTTCTTCTTACTTGTTTTCCTTAAATTTAGAGATTGCTAGCTTTTCAAAAATGAATGTATCGTAGAAATTTAAGCATCTAGGAACTTTGCAAACAATGAAAAGTAACTAAAAGTAAATATCTACAACAGAAGAGTAATCCATCTAGCTTTAAGCCGTTCGAATACACGCGTTCCTTCAATTTTGAAAGTGAACGCTTCTCTAGTTTCGCCGCGTTTTCTTTTAAACTAGACTAAATTTTCTATTCTTTAGGGTTTTTTTTTTTCCAAATTTGCAGTACGAAAGCACACAAAAGCACTGTGTTTTTTTTTGTCTCTAAACCCCTCTAACTTTTTGTTGGTTTTGAGAAGCTTTAGTTTTCGTTTTAGTTTTCGTTTTAGTTTCTTGTTTACACATTGACATAAGTTTTTTGTCAAATAACCAATAAATGTTGATTTTAAATCTAGAACCTTTGTTTTTTCTTTGTCTTCGTTCATTTCTTTGTGATCGTCCTTTGTTTATTTCAGATCGTTCGTCGAAATGATCGAAGGAGAGGAAAATTTGGAAGAGCGGTAAGGGAAAATAATGGTGTAATTTTGGAGAATTATTATTTTTACTCAGAATTTTTTAATCTGCCATCAAATTTTTAATCAAATTCTAAAGATTATAAACCCCGAAAATTCTCTGCTTAACGTTGAATCTGTGTCGTTTTTTTATAACGTCGTTGTCACAGTTTCACTACAGTTTTGATCAGTAGTAAGCTTTAGAATATATTTTATGATACCAGCATGTTTGTTTAGTGACCTTTTTTTTGAAGTATTTACCTTACATAATGCTTTTTCACATTGTGCAGTATGAGCGTCGGCGGATCATTGGAAAACGGAGAAATGAGATGCTCAGCGAATTGTTTGACAGCACAACAGTGAGTGAGAATGACATGAATGGCATTAATGAAAGAATGAAAGAATGAATGGGGATTGGATATGTTTGGATTGAGAATGGAGATGTTGATTGGCTTGCTTATTGAAGATTCTATTGTAAAACTTTCCAACAGTTTCGCAAGCGCTTCTTTCTAAGATAAAGATTCGTTTCTTTGATAACCAATTCAAAAGAAGTGAATGAATGAAATTGCCTACTTATTGTACCCTTTGTACCTATTGGTGATCGTTTTCGGGATTTTTAGAGGATGATTCGACTCTTTCTTTCGACTACAATCTTCTTCTACTTCTCCTATTTCCCCCCTTTAACTTACCCCGATTTGCTTATGAAATAATCAAAAAGCAAGAATGAAATTGGTTAAAACAAAATGGTTTCAAGGGTACAAACAACTTCTTTTCAATTATTGACTGTAAAGGAAAAGGGAAAAGGACACATTGGATAGGCTCAGGTTTACTGAGATGAAAAGGATTCAGTGAAAAACTGAATATCTTTAGTTAGTAATAGGAAGTATTTTCATAATAGAAAATCTTCATTCTAGACAACTAGACAACTAGACAATTAGACAATTAGACAATTAGACAACTGGACAACTAGATAACTAGACAACTAGACATCTAGACAACTAGACAACTAGACAACTAGACATCTAGACAACTAGACAACTAGACAACTAGACATCTAGACAACTAGACAACTAGACAACTAGACAACTAGACATCTAGACAACTAGACAACTAGACAACTAGACATCTAGACATCTTCATTCTACTGTAGTAAATTGAGAATTTTACGTTACAGTACTTGGTCAAATATCGAAAAATCTCTTCTGAAACCTTTCTATCTATCGAAGATGTCCCTTATTCCAAAAATTCTCTATCGCAACTGGGCTGTTCGTGTGTTTGTGTGTGAAAAGATTTTAAAAATGATTGTAGACGGAGCATCCACAAATGTTGGCAGCCCATGCTTGGAAGAAGATGGTTTCAACACAAAGAAAAAGAGCCGTTGTCGCTTGTTTTCGAATGGTTCCTTTATATGGAATACCACGGTGAGTGCAAAAAGGATAATGAGTTGTAGAATCAGAAAATGAAAGCTTATCTGCATGTGCTTGTTGAATGATCTGTGACCTGCTTGCCTTTTTGATCTTTTTCATATCCGCACCCCTCACCTGCACCTTTCAGAAAGGAGATCTCTTAGACTTTCAAATTTACATTTCTTCTAGATCTCTTTTAAGCTTATAGATCTCTTTTAATACTGTTAATCTATTCAAATATTAGATTAAGTTTGCAAAATTTTCTAATTCTCTTCACTTTTTCCCTTTCAAAAGAGCGCGTGTACTCAAAAAACGGCTTTATCCAAATCTATAAATTTTGACCGAATAAAATTTCCTCTAATCTAAAACTTAAAATTTCATTTTTTTCTGAATGTAATCTATCACTTTTTTTGAATGAATTAGGTGACTGGTCGAATTGAACGAGAGGACAAATGGAAGAAAGTGTTGACATTGCAAAGGAAAAGAATGGCTATTTCACTCATCACAGCATCACATCTATATCGGGTTGATCGGTTGGTGGCAGGGATCAACCAAAACAGACAAAACACAAAAGAAAGCGATCATTTTAAACGATTTTCACAAACGATTTCATCCTTTCCAAAAGCTTGTTCGTTTCTTTTTCCTTAATACAGTTAAACTTTGAAACAGAAAGTTAGAAAATAGACTAACTTTGAAACAGAAAGTTAACTTTGTAAAAGAAACTTTAACTTACCGTATTTCTTCGAATAGAAGACCGGGTAAAGAGTGTGATCGCGTACTCCTGCGTAGCAGCCCTTTTTAAAATTTCTTTTCTATATAAACGCTTTTAAACAAGTGCTATAGAGCTGGAAAATGCCTCAAAAATCTGTTAGATCATGTCGTATTTTTGAGTCATTTTCCAGCCCTATAGCACTTCATTGAAAGCTTTTATGCAGAAAAGAAATTTTAAAAAGGGCTGCTACGCAGGAGTACGCGATCATACTCTTTACCCGGTCTTCTATTTGAAGAAATACGGTATCACTATTTTCTTTCTATTATAGCAAAGTTCAGCTGTGTTTTCTCTTTTTTGCAAACAATTTTCTGCTTGCTTTTCCCTCCACAAAACATTAGCATTTCTTTGTTGTTTGAATAGATATTTTCCTGAGGTTACTATAGCTATTCCCTATCAAATAGACTAACTTTTCCTTTTCATTTATTACTAGTTAGTTCTAATCTATTAACCGAATAGTATTTGAGAGATGAACTTTCGTTTAGATAGATTCAAATCACACATTTCTTTATCGTAAATGATCATTTAGTCATCGTGGAATCAACTTTTTCATGCCCGCTTTCTCCGATTTGTGGTTGGAAGAAGAGGACACCGGACAGGATAAACTCATTAAAGATATTTGTGTAAGTATTGAGGACTTGCTTTTGTTTGTTTGAGAAGATGCTTTTGTTTGTTTTTGTTTTTGAGAAGATTGTTAAAATTTGCTCTTCATTTATCGATTTCAGGAAGATATCGAGGTTGAAGAAGCTCCTCGACTTGAGCTCACCGATGAGGGAGTCATGATCATGGAAGATGGAAAAGAAGAGTTGGAAAAGCGCTAAAGAACTTAAAAAAAAATCATTAATTTTAGTACTAAACCGGATCCATTGAAACAGGTAAGGATGGGTGAGGGATATAGCTAGCGGACATAGCTAGCGGACATAGCTAGCGGACATAGCTAGCGGTCATAGCTAGCGGTCATAGCTAGCGGTCATAGCTAGCGGACATAGCTAGCGGACATAGCTAGCGGACATAGCTAGCGGACATAGCTAGCGGACATAGCTAGCGGACATAGCTAGCGGTCATAGCTAGCGGACATAGCTAGCGGACATAGCTAGCGGTCATAGCTAGCAGTGTGGTTTGTTTTAAAACCCAATACTTGTATCCAAAAGTGAAACACTAATTAATTCAGTTGATTCGATGCTTCCAAAGAGCGGCAACAAGTGAAGAAAGTCAAGTGAGTTGAAATAGGAAGTGTAGAAAAGTGAAGACCTGATTGTAAAGTGATTCAACAATTTAATACCTCTATCTTCAGGCAAAATCGATTGCTGAAGACGCATTGTATGTGAGATTTGCCGATGTGATGGCAAAGAGTGTTCACATTGAAGATGACGATGATGAAGAAGGAGACGAAGGGGAACAAGATCAAGCGGTCAGTTCAAAGAAAGGGAAATGTTCAGAGGAAACTCTGAGATTTAGAAGTTATTATTTATTTATTGTTTAGATCATATCAAAGCTTTATGGCTATGATAGCTTTATGGCCATAATCACCGATTTTTAGCAAAAAGAAGAAGCAGCTCAAGCGCTTCGAGCTGAACAAGCTGTATTGGCTGATCGAGGAGCGGCAATCATGAGTTTGATGTATCTTTCTGCATCAAGTGGTGAACCAAATGATATGGTTGCACACACACTTCAACTCGGAATTCATCTCCTTTCCGGAGGAAATGTCGACATTCAAAAGGTTTGGCTTTAGATTTAAATCAAAATTGTTTTTGTTTTACAGATTTTGATCGAATACCTTCAAGCAAAGAAAGACGTTCGCTTTTTCACATCGATTTCCGGCTTGATGAGCAAATGTTCGGTGTTGAATTTGGAGATGTTTGAGAGACAAATCAAGGTGGGTTTATAAGAAAAGAGTAATGATATTAGAAACTAAATCTATCCATTTATCCAGGCCGAGGGTCTTGGAATGGGCGCCGAGTTGGCCGCTGGGGACAATCAAAATCTAAACGATGCCGATTTCACATGTTCTCTTTTTCGATTCCTCCAGCTCACCTGTGAGGGACACAATTTAGGTAATATTAACAAACTTCTACTTCTATTTCTATTTCTACTTCTACTTCTACTTTTACTTCTACTTTTACTTCATTTCCAGAGTTCCAAAACTATCTCCGAACTCAACCCGGTCACACCACATCGGTCAATCTCATCAATAGCACTGTCGATTATTTGTTGAGACTTCAAGAAAGTGTCATGGATTTCTATTGGCATTATTCAAGCAAAGTGATTAAGAGAATTCACGATTTGACAATTCATGGATTTAGGAAGTGATTGATGTGGGTGGAAAGGAATATTTCTTGAGAGCCATTCAAGTTTGCAGTCAAGTCTTCAACACGCTCACTGAGAGTATTCAGGTGAGGATTTGTGGGAAAGAATTTACTTTTAAAGGCTAAAACTTTAAAAGAGCTGTCTTAAATAGAGAAAATGATACACTTAGATACTATTCAGCTATTCAATGAATGCTAATAAGTCATGTATTGACTTATTCAAGTCAAGTATTGACAGTCAATATATCCTAATTGCAATAGCTTATGACCATTCTAGGGCCCTTGTGTCGGCAATCAAATGACTCTTGCGAATTCCCGTCTCTGGGATGCAATCAATGGATTCTTCTTCCTTTTCGCTCACATGATGGAGAAATTATACAGGAATTCCACTCAATTAGAGCTATTGCGAGAGTTCCTGAATCTTCAGAAAGACATGATTGTTCTCATGCTCTCTATGCTTGAAGGTTTTTTTTGGCACATTACAAAATTCTAAAACAATAACCATTCCAGGAAACGTTTTGAACGGTCCAATCGGTAAACAAATGGTCGACGCGTTGGTTGAATCACAGCCAAGTGTCGAGAAAATTCTCAAATTCTCGGATATGTTCTTGAAGTTGAAAGATTTGACGACAAGTCAAGCGTTCCAAGTGAAACTAGAAAAAATGAACAGATTTATACTTTAAACTCTAGGATTTCGACACAAATCGAGATGGATGGATTTCGCCAAAAGAATTCCAGAGAGCAATGGAATCCCAAAAGATGTACAGTGTTGAAGAGATTACATATCTAATGATGTGCACTGATGTGAACAATGATGGAAAAGTTGATTATATGGAATTCACCGAGCGTTTTCACAATCCGGCTAGAGATATTGGTAGGAATATATTGGGTTGTCCAGTTATGAATGCGCGTTTTTACTATTTTTTAAATTTCTCAAGATATCGAACAGATTTATATGAGTGTTATATAGCATTCGAAAGCTGAAGATCTCCTCTACATTTTGATATAAAAAGCTTTGGAATTTTTTCAGCTTTTGGGCAAATTGATTGCACAAAGGGAGAGGTCGTTTTCGAAAAAAACCCATTCCAGCTTAGCTATTTCTCAAGTAAATTTCTCAAGATATCGAACAGATGTATATGCGTGTTATATATCATTCGAAAGCTGAAGATCTTCTCTACATTTTGGAATAAAAAAGTTTTTGAATTCATTCAACTTTTTTGGGAAATTGTCTGCACAAAGGGAGAGGTCGTTTTCGAAAAAACCCGTTCCAGCTTAGCCATTCCTCAAGCTTAGCCATTCCGAATAATACTTATATATATCTTTTTCTTGATTTCGGTATCTTGAGAAATTTACAAAATAGTAAAAAAACGCGCATTCATAACTGGACAACCCAATAGAAACGATCATTTAATCAAAAATTTCAGGTTTCAATTTGGCTATTCTTCTCACAAATCTCAAAGAACACATTACAAATGATCCACGATTGGAGAAAATTATCGAAAAAGCTCAAACACTTTTGGAATACTTTGATCCATTCTTGGGAAGAATTGAGATTATGGGATCGTCGAAGAGAGTCGAGAAAATATACTTTGAGATTCAAGAGAGTTGGATTGAGCAATGGGGAAAGCAACAGATTCGGTTAATCATTACAATTTTGATAAGATAAAATCAATTGAATTCAGAGATTCGAAGAATCAATTCCTTTTCAACGTTCTCCAAGATGATGGTGGAGATCAAGGGAAATTGGAAGCATTCATCAATTTCTGTGAAGATACAATCTTTGAGATGCAACACGCAGCTGAGGTTTGGTTCAGAGAAGCTGAGAGAAAGTTCAACAGCCAATATAACCATTCTCAGATCTCAAGCGGTGATGGAGATGCAAAAATGGAGAGAGCGATCAAACAGAGAGACTATTTCTTGCAACAAACTTCTGCTGGAGAGTGAGTTCTTTGTTAAACAGCATTGCTATAGAATAGCTATAGAATAGCTATAGAACAACTGCTATAGAACAACTAAAATGAAGATACTCTCTTTAGACAAATCTCGGAGACATTCAAGCAAGGCTACAAGGCCGGATTGTCGGCGGTGAATGCACTCAAAGGAGACAATTTATCGAAAACGATGCAGAGTCTTTCGGCGAAGATTAAGTGAGGAATTTTGTGGATTCGAATTGATTAATTTCACTTCAGACAAATGACTTGGATGCAATTGATCGTCGCTTTATTCATGAGCGTTCTCCGCTTCGGAAAGGGACTCTTGTGGATGGGATGGCTGATGATCTTGACTCTTTTCCGTTTTGCTTACTATTTGACAACTGGATCGGAGAAAGAAGAGCAACATCCAGCTAATGCATTACCCTCTGCTGAACAAGCGTTTGTTTTACAAAATAATACCTAAATAATATTGAAGCTTCATAACTACAGCACTGTATAAGCACACCTTTTAGCCCTCCGCATTTCACGGCTCAAGTGTATCCCGAGTTCCATTCACACGCCCATGCCTCAGTGGATATGTTTGGATTGAATGCGGAGAATGTGATTCATCAAGATCGAGTGCCGCCACCAGAAATCGTCACCGAACCACCGAGTGAAGATCATGAAGGAATGAGTCAGCCAGAATCACCCATTGATCCTCATCCGCAAACAATGCAACCACCAAAAGCACCAAGCAAAGCGCCAAGGTTTGAGAAATTATTAAATTTTGGAATCAGATAACAACATAATCAATGTTATGTCAATGTAAATCAATGTAAAGCTGAGATTTACAGTGTCTATGAGTCGATCGGTACACCTGGAGCTGCTCAACAACAAATGGAAGCAGCATACGGATCACAAGCTGGTGATGGACTGTATGAACCAAAGATTGCTGAGATCAATCAAGGAAGAAGTCGAGGATCGCTTCTTGTAAGTTTAGCTTTAGCTTTAGCTTTTTAACTTCATAATTGTTTTAGAACATGTTGGCGAGAAATTTCAAGATGATCGAGAAGACAACCTTGGGTTTGGCCTTCTTCATCAATGTGATTTTACTCTTTCATCGAGTCGATATCATGCAATCGGATACCGGTGAGGGAATTGATAAATGCGAGATCTGCGATCTAAAATCAAATAAACATTGTAAAACAACAATAACAATAAGATCTTTAGGTACAACGGATGGATCGGATGAGGACGATGATAGCACTGAGACGATTTTCATCACTGGTTTCTCTCTTCCTTATTTAGAATACGGGGTTTGTCTTTCAGAAATCAGAAATTTCAGTAGTTTAAGGAAATCTTATCAACTTTTTAACAAGATTGAAGATAACAAGAACAACTTTCCAGATTGAAGGCTATCTCCTGTCTCTTCTCCTTTATTGGATCAGTGTGCTCCATTTGACCGCCTCGTTTGCCCTTCTGGTTTCATTCTATCAATTGAAGGTGAGAACTGTTTACTGTACAACTTTTTAAACTGTAAACTTAAACAGTTAACTCAGCTACCGTACTCTTGTTTGCGCAGCGAGCAATTGTAAATCCTTTTTTACAGATTCCGCTTATCACTTTTAAACGAGAAAAAGAAGTGGCTAGGAAATTGATGTTTGATGGATGTTGGATAACAGAAGAAGATAATGAAGATATGGGGGTAAGAACTAGATTTATTTTCATTTAATTATATTATTCATTTAGGTAATTTCTCTATTGACTTGGTATCTCGATCGAATTGTCATCTCTGCAAAATCGTTTCCAATGAAATATTGGGATAAATTTGTGCGAAGAAAAACAAGACAAAAGTTTCAAGATCAGGTAAATGAGAAACAAGAAAAGCTTTTACAGAAAAGAGTTCAGGTTGATGAAGAAACATTGAACAAGATTCTTGGAGAAGAGAAATCTGCATCGGATACTTCGTTTGATTACAGGTTTGGATCAGGGAATCTCGTTTGAAAATGCTTTAACGATTAGAATTAGTGACGTCTTGCTGATTTTAGATACACCTGTTGGCTGTGGATCGGAGTAATTCTCACAAATGGACAGTTCCTCTATCGTGTCGGATATTTGCTTTGTTCGGGTGAGTCAAGAATTTGAGCCAAGATCAACTCAAATTATCTGGAGTTTATACGGGCTTGTGACTAGCAGCCTCATTTATCAGGCTACCAGCCGAAAAACCCGCCTAACGAAATGACGGATGATCAAAAACCCGCCTGTTTTGGGGGTGATAGATAGTCGTCATGGCGCAGTCAGGAGCGTGGTTGGCTGCGACTTACACAAACCGGGTTCGATCCCCGTAGTGTCGCTTGGTTGTTAATTTTAATTTTTTATTTTAAATGGCACAACTACAATATATTCTAATATTTTCTAAAGAAGTTTTAGCAAACAAAAGACAGAGAGACAGATAGACAGGCAGACAGGCAGACAGACAGACAGACAGACAGACAGATAGACAGACAGAAAGACAGACAGACAGACGAACAGATGGACAGGCAGGCAGACAGACAGAAAGACAGACAGACGAACAGACAGGCGGACAGACAGATAGACAGACAGGCAGATAGACATGCAGATAGACACTGCTCTTTTATATAGTATTTTAATCGATCCACCGTATAACCGATAATCTGCCCATTTCCAGCATTCGGCGTCTTCTCATCTCCATTTTTCTATGCTTTCCATTTGATCGATGTCGTCCTCTCATTCCCTATGTTAAAAGCGATTCTCCAATCCGTCACACACAATTTGCAACAGGTTTCTCTCAATAAACAAATCGAAAATCTTGAATTGTGACTTTCCAGTTGATTCTCACCATCATGATGACCCTTGTGGTCGTGTATCTCTACACAGTGATTGCATTCAATTTCTTCCGTAAATTCTACGTGCAAGAGGGTGAAGAAGGAGAGGAACCGGACAGGAAATGTCACAATATGCTTACTGTAAGTTTTTTGGTCAACAATTCTGATGAGACATTTCATCCGATTCAGTGCTTCATCTATCATTTCTACGCTGGTGTCCGAGCTGGTGGTGGTATTGGAGATGAATTAGAGTGAGAAATTATTTTTATTTTTATCCGATTTCAGTCTTGTCAGTGTTTTCAAATTTTACAGCGAACAGCCAACATGTCAGCCAACCAACAAACAAAAAAAACAAACACAATTCGTAGAGATTGAGTCTAAAAGCAGAGTGAGTCACCCAACAAAATCATTAACATTTTCAGATCACCGTATGGAGATGATCTTGAATATCCAAGAATGTTCTACGATATCTCATTCTTCTTCTTCGTCATTGTCATCCTTTTGGCTATCATGCAGGGTAAGGAAAAGGATGAGCTTTAAACAAAAACAATCCAAAAAGCAAAGATAGATAAAAATGCCATCTTTAGGTTTGATCATTGACGCTTTTGGAGAGCTTCGTGATCAGCAAGAATCGGCCACGGAAAAACTTGAATCCTCTTGTTTCATTTGCGATATTGCAAAAGTGAGCTTAAAAGCAAAAATTGTTCTTGTTCTTGTTCTTGTTCTTGTTCTGAACCAAAATTTGATCCCAATTTCAGGAAACATTTGATCGGATGCCGAGAGGGTTCGAGATTCACACCACAAAGGAGCACAACTTTGCTAATTATTTGTAAGTTAGAGAGAATAAGGTCTATTCTGTTGCTTTGTTCCAGACATTCACTCTGCTCTATCTTCTACCTTTTTCCTTCTTTCTTTCCTTCTTTCTTTCCTTCTTTCCTTCTTTCTTTCCTTCTTTCCTTCTTTCTTTCCTTCTTTCTTTCCTTCTTTCTTTCCTTCTTTCTTTCCTTCTTTCTTTCTTTCTTTCTTTCTTTCTTTCTTTCTTTCTTTCTTTCTTTCTTTCTTTCTTCCTCCTTGTCTTTGCTTCTTCCTTTCTTCTTCTCTCTTGTATTTCCTTCTTTCTCTTTCTCTTGGTAAGTTAAGGTACCAGATGGCTCAGTGGTTAGAGCAATTGTCTGGAGGGTCGAGGGTTCAATCCCCTCTCCAGAAATCTACTTCTTCTTTCGAATTCACTTTTTTCTTACTCGATAATCCCAGAACTTTCAGATTCTTCTTGCAACATCTCGTGAACAAAGACGAAACAGAATACACTGGTCAAGAGACTTATGTAAGAGAGAAATACGATAATCGTGATTGGGAATTCTTCCCTGTTGGTGAATGTTTCGTGAAACAATATGAAGATCAATTACTCCAATCATAAAGCTCAACAATAACTTATCCTGCCTACAATAGCTTTTTTTATATCAAAGTTCTGCCATAATAGGTTTTTTCTAATTTTAGTCATTGTTATAGTTTTTTTTTGCTCAATTATATTCAAATTTTCTAGTCATTTCATTTTTATTCTTTTTTTTTTAAAATGCTCAGCTCGTTTTTTCGTTCTCAAATGATCCAAACGGTGCCTTAAATCAACACGAGAAATAATAAAGTTTCTAATTTTGAAATAAGAATTGAAATGCGTATAGAAACAGTTGACAATCAGCAATACGGCAATCAAAGTCAGTTAAAGTAATGAAATGTTTGATGAGAACTCAGAAATGAATCTACAAGTCTGTACGTTCCGGATCTAGCTGTGATTTATTGGGTTGGGGAGAATGAGTCGGCGCCGAAAATGAAAAAAATGTCTAAAACTTCTATTCGACTTCGTCAAATAATATGCGTTTGATATGAGTAGAATGGTTAACTAATTCTCTACAAAATGACATTTAAAAGAAAATTCAAACAGCGCCTCCGCTCAAGAAAAAGCCATTTTTTCACAAAAACTACAAACTGTGATCTAGAAAAAACCATTGGTGGGATCTTCCTGCAAATTTGGCAACTTAAGTAATTGAATGTGCTCTATCGTTTTTATATAAACACCAAAGAAGGTTTATGTGAAAGAAACTGTTCAAATGATGAGTCGGACTCTTTGCCATTTTAACCAGCTGCGTTTGGAAGTTCATAAACTCCACGAAAGAAAAGCTTTGTGGAATCTCTCAAAAGTGATTTTGTAGAGAAATAGTGGATCCTTTTGATGAAACCAAACGTATGTTTAAAGAAGGCTTTATGTGTGCAAAAAGTCCCTTTAAAGTTCGGCGCCGACTCATTCTCCCCAACCCAATAAATGAATTGTCCGTTTTTGAAGTCAGTTTCTGTAAACACTCTGCCAAAATAAAACTCTTTGTGTTGTTTTGGAAATGTCTTGGAAATTTACGTGAATTTCTCGTTTTTCCTTTCATAAATTTTACGAGAATCAGAAGTTATCACCTTTTTTTTCTCAGGTTCTGATAAAAGAACGGATTTCTTTCACTTGTCTTTGAAAATTTCTCAAATCCAGGTGAAAGTCCCCGATTTTTCCTCGTTCGTTTTTCAGTGATAAAATGAAGACGTCTGCCAATATTCCTTTGTCAAAAAGTATAAAAAGAACGACTGATATTGCTGCAGAAATCAAAAAAGAATCTGTGGGTAAAGAGATTAAAAATTGATGTGCCTTTTTCTTTAAGGATCAAAAAGGCATACATTTTGTTTAACGTCATAATGTTGGTTGAATAATTTGACTGATAAATTGATAAATTTCACTTGACTTGGCTCATTTCAATGTTTGGAATATTCTCCTATTTATTTGTTCTCCTATTCTCCTAGTTTTCATCTCATACTCGAATATAAATATCCAGCTGTTGCCGACTAAGTTTCTTAATTAAAGCTTCAAATTTATTCAATCATTATTCTTGAAATTTTTGAACTGTTAGTTTTGAACTGACAAGCGGGTGCAGTATTTCTAAATTAGATCCAAAATGGATAACATATCAAAATAAATGGCCATTTCCATTTCCATTGACAGTCTCTCTTTGTTTCCCTTGAATTCTCAACCGCACCGTATCATTTTGACGTCTTTTGCACTGAAATTTGTTCCGGTTCAAACCAAGCTTTTCTCTCATAAATCTTTTTTTCAAGATAACAATCTCACTTTTAAAAACGGTTTTGTCTTTTGGCCTATTCCAAAATTTTTGAACGATAACATAACGACAAAATTCAAAATTCTTGAATTGTTTTGTTCAGAAGTCGCTTCTCATAAAGATAACATTTTAAAAGTCGTTTTTTTTGCCAAATTTAGAGAGTATTTACTGAAAAGTCAAGCTAAACAAATATTTTTAAAAGTGAAATACAATCAGATGTTAAATAAAGTCAAATGTTATCTAAAATTGCCAAATTTATGTTTGAAAACTGCAATAATCTCTTCTCATCTCATTCCAGTCATTTCCTGTTTAGAATTTGCTTCAAACATCAATTCTGTTCTTCAAATTCTGTTCCCATCCACATCTCATCGATCTCACTTATCTGAATGACTCATTTTATGGGAACAGTTTCACCTTTTTTTTCTTTTTAATCACTCAACAAACACTTTAAAGTTCACACCCTTTAAACTATTTGCTTTGATGAGATTTCCTATTTCCCATTTCTCCATTTATTCTCTATAAATATTTTCTAATTCAACCAGTGATCAAATCTTTCAGAAATGCTACGAATTTTAAGCCTTTTTTTGTTAACTCTCACTGTGCATGGAGAACATTCAAAACATAAACATAATCTCAATTCGGAAATGAATATTCCGAATGAAGCTGCTACAACAAATCCACCGGAACAAATTCATCTATCATATCATGGAAAACCACAGGAAATGGTTGTGCAATGGATTACACAGAAGAATTGTAAGTTAAAGAAGTTATTGTTAGCAAGTCTCTTTGATAATTTCTACCTTTAGTTGACAAGAAAACGACAGTTCCTTATGTCATTTACACAACCGATTTAAAGAACAAACCAAGAGCTTTTGGGGCAACGGAGAAGTGAGGAAATGTTTAAGATTTTACACAAGCGCTTCAGATGGACAGATGACGGAAAATCGGCGATCAGTCGTTTCACTCATACTGTCGTGCTGACGGATCTCATTCCTGGAGCCACTTATTGTCAGTTAACAAGAGAAATCATATTTCTTTTTACGAGAGAAATCAAATTTCAGACTATAATGCGGGAAGTGACGAGGGAATGAGTAAAACTTTTGAGTTCAAAGCAATGCCGACTGAGGGAAAGGTACTAAAAAATTGAATAAAAAGAAAAAATCCAGGAAAAACGAGTTATCAAATGTCACCAGAGTTCTGTTTTCACAGATTCGTGCTGCCGTTTTTGGTGATTTCTCCCAAGTGGCCCCGGTGACCGGATATGATGCCTTGTTGAACTACACTGAAAGCAATCTTTTGGATATCATTTTTCATATTGGTTTGTTTATTTACCGTTAATCTAACAATAAAGAAAAACTACGCAGCATGAACGACTGACTGTTCTATCAATTTTCAGGTGACATTGCCTATGATATGGATGCGAGCAATGGAAAACATGGAGACGATTTCATGAAATGGATTGAACCGATCGCTGCCCGCGTTCCCTACATGGTCGTGGCTGGGAATCATGACGGAAATCAAGTAAAGTTGATTAAAAAGCTATTAAAGTTGATTTTAAATAATAGGTCTTAAAGCTTAATAAGAGTATTGGGAAATCAAAAAGAATCGTTTCGCTGAATTCAATGGATTCCCTGGCCTCGAAGACCCCTAAGTAAAAATTTTTGGCTTTATATCTCATCTCCGAATTATTTTCGGAGCAGGGTACAGTCGTGCGAAATGACTGGCGAGTTCTTGTTGCGCTCGCGCGGTGGCTCACAGTCGAGAGCACCCCTCGGTGTGGGTGTCCCTGTCGCTCACCACTTCTTTCTCCTTTGCCTCTGTGCATTTCAAAAGGAAACACCTATGTATCGGGGACGTGTGCCAGATGGAGGACGATTACGCGCGCGCACAAAGAAAACCTTTTACACAAGGAAATCCTCTTTTGCTCTGATCGCCCAGAGAAGATTTAAGACAAAAAATTTGTACCTGATCCAGGATCCCAAGCGCCGTAAAAGGTGGGGAATCTTTTGCTTCAACTTAAGCAATTGCCCTCAGGATCCACAAAGAACTCAAAATAGAAAGATGCTGTAGCCAAGTCTCTCCTCATTTCCCAAGCATTTCCAGGATTTCCTTCATTACAAGAATCGCTTCTCAATGCCACCAAATGGATATTATGATGACAATCAATTCTGGAGGTTTTCTCACACAAATTCTTTTTCTTATTACAAATTCCAGCTTTGACCTTGGCATTTCCCATTTTGTCGGCCTCTCCTCAGAATATTATTTCCTCGATAAGTCAACTGAAGCAAAAACCCAACTCACGTGGCTACAAGCTGATTTGCAAAAGGTGAAACTGTTCCTAAGCTAATAAAGCTTAATGTTTACAGAATTTGAAGAAACCGTGGACTTTTTATTTCATCCATCGACCGATGTATTGTTCAGGGAAAAAGAAGACAACTTGTGATGAAGAAGAATTCACGATTGTTAGTTTTAACAAAGAAAAACAACTTCATTTTGCAAACAGAATAAGCATTGCTGTTCGCTAAAACATAGATCTTTCATTTCCACGTCCAAAAGTTTAGACCCGAAACGGTGATTCCAAATTTCCGGGTCTTGAGACTCCGTTGTTCGTTGGTGGAGTCGATATGGGATTCTGGGGACATCGGCACACATATGAAAGGTGATTTTGCAGAACATTTGATCGTTTGCTTAAACCTAATGCTTATGCTAAAGCTGAAGTCTCAAGCCTAGGCCATTTAAGGCCATTTAAAGCCATCCCAACTTTAACAACCGTCTTTTTCCGAGAAAAGTAGAAATCATTCGTCGGGGCTGAAATTTCCCAACTACTTCTGCCGTTCTGACCCAATAAAAGCACTGAAATCAAATCGCAAGGATCCCCTACTCTACCTGAACCTAAATAGCCGCTTTTTTGAGTTCTTTACTAGATATTTACTAGAATTACTAAATATTGTATCTTTAATACCTACGATATACTATATACCAGAATTTTGAAGCAAAAAGCAAGAGAATTGGCAGCGAGAGGAGGCGAACCCGCGACCCCTCTCTTCCGTTCGTTTGAAAGACGCGCGCGTTAAGCACTGCTTAAATACTACTGCTTAAATACCACTGCTTAAATACATGCTCTAGTAGTTGGCGCACTTGTCTCTAGCCGACACGATCCGGGTTCGACTCCCGCCCGCGTCGGCACTTTTGGTTTTTTAAAAATTTAAAAACATGTTGCACAACTACAGGAAATTCTAAGCCAAACTAACTATAAATGATTTAAAACGGTCCTCTGGAAAAAGGAGCACAGACAGACAGATGTCTTAGTCCCTTTATATAGTAGATATTGTAACTTTAATCGTTTACTTTCAAAACTATTTCTTAGTAAACATTACTGTCACGATTGTTACTTAAATTAAATAACTTGCTTGTTACTTATAGTAATCTTCAGTCTTCATCAGTCTTATCTTCTAGATTTTACCCGCTCTATCAAGATCGAACGTACGTGCAAAAGGACGCGAACAATTTCCACGATTCGCCGACTCCGATTTATCTCATGAATGGAGCTGGAGTGAGAGTTTTTCTTTAGTTTTTCTTTAGGAAACAGAATTTATTGATATTTTGCTTATTTCAGAACTGATTTCAGGGTCCTCTTGATCACGAGGACACGGCCTCTTTGGTCCCCAAACCCTTCAGTGTCACTCGATTGCCCGATATTGGATTCATCTATTTGGAGGTGAGACAAAAGTAACTTCAATAAGTACTAATATAAAACTTAAAAAGCTCATAATATATTTGAAATCAAATTTAGATCGAGAACGAAACAACCGTGAAAACCTCATTCATCCCATCAATTTCTCCCTTCACTCCAATCGATCGATTTTCGTTGACCAAAACTGCTGGCTATAAACCAGGGCAAGGAAAATGAACTGAATACTTTGAGGGACAGATTTTTGAACAAATAAGTTTGACTAATGAATTTCTGTGTCGAATCAATTCAATTGAATTCTGCAATCTAATCGGTGTTTTTCTTGATCTCCTTCGATTGCATTTATCAACTTTTCTTATAAATCTTCATTGAACAAAACAAACAAACATCGTGAAAGATCAAAAATTCAAAAAAAGTGAGAAAAGACCCGTAGAAGCAACAGTATAAGCAACAGTAAAGACAACAGTAGAAGCAAGTGCAAGAAGCAAGTGCAAGAAGCAAGTGCAAGAAGCAAGTGCAAGAAGCAAGTGCAAGAAGCAAGTGCAAGAAGCAAGTGCAAGAAGCAAGTGCAAGAAGCAACAACTCTCTGGCTACAATATATTCAATGCTATTCAATGCTCAATACAATCTACATTTTAGATTGAAATTGAAGAAAACTATCGCTCAAAAGATCCAATAATCACGGTGATTTCCGAATTTTGAGCATTTCTAAAAGTGAAAGCAGCTCCAATTTGAGAGATCAATTCAAAGTGACGACGGAGGAAATTCACGAATTCGAAGTCGCTTCCATGGATTTTCTGTAAGAGAATCGAGCAACGATCCGCGAAATGAGATTCCTGAAATGGTTAGAATAATTTTCATATATCTATTGGGTTGTCCAGTTATGAATGCGCGTTTTTACTATTTTGTAAATTTCTCAAGATATCGAACAGATGTATATGAGTGTTATATATCATTCGAAAGCTCAAGATCTCCTCTACATTTTGGAATAAAAAAGTTTTCGAATTCATTCAACTTTTTGGCAAATTGACTGCACAAAGGGAGCGGTCGTTTTCGAAAAAACCCATTTCAGCTTAGCTATTCCTCAAGTTTTATGGTGCAAAATAACCGCCCAGAAAAGAAAAGAAAAGTAAAGGTGCTCTGAAATTGTTATATTTAAAAAAAAGTTGTATTGGTATATCTATTGGTCAAACATCAAACGGTTAACTCAATTTAAGCGGAGCCAAAACTTGATCCAAAGGCACCCTTCCATTTTTTTGGCCACCTCTTCTTCTGTGCAGTCAATTTGCCCAAAAGCTGAACAAATTCAAAAACTTTTTAGATCAAAATGTAAAGGAGATCTTCACCTTTCGAATAATACTCATATATATCTTTTTCTTGATTTCGGTATCTTGAGAAATTTACAAAATAGTAAAAAACGCGCATTCATAACTGGACAACCCAATAGGTAAACAAAAAAATACTTTAGTTGTTCAAATCGAACGAACCAACAAGAATTGCTCAACCATTTCAAGGGAGAAATTGGTTGGAATCGAGTCCACCCAAAATGTGCGCAATCTGAAAGATTTTATGGATTCGATGATTGAGTTTCTTGTTTTAGTTTTTGTCATATCAAACTACAAACCCGATCTCATCGTTTTTGCTCTTTTCAATGATTTTCTGAAGACTCGAATCATCGGCCACAATGTGTTGATTTGTTGAGGGAAGTCTGCAAATCGATATCTCATTATATTGAGATGGGAAATTGGGGGTAGGTTAATTTCCGCAGTAGGGTCATTTGCGCAACTGGGTCGTTTGCGCAACTCTCCATAACTTTCTTCTAAGTGGACCAAAAGCATAAAGATTGGTCCACTTAGAAGAAAGTTATGGCGAGTTGCGCAAATGACCCTGTAGCGCAAATGACCCAGTTGCGCAAAGAAATTTGCGAAAATTAGCCTACCCTGAGAAATTGTGATGTCATTTTGAGACCAAATTCAGATTACAGAGGCGGCAAAATTATGCAACGAGCTTTGCAATCAGCTGTTTTATATTATATTCTTTTTTTCTTTTTCTCATTTGCCTTTAACTATTATTAAAGATATTAGATAATATCTAGATATAAAAAGCAAAAAGGACTTGCGAATCTAGGAAAGGAAAGGATCTAGGTTCAAGAGTGGATCGCTGAGGACTTTCCAGATTGGATCACCGTTGATGTCAGCTTACAGACTCCTGGTGAATGGCCATGATCTCCAGCCTCTCGATTATTCTATTTGGTTCATTCTGAAGATAAAGGCTTGTGCTAAAGGCTGCACATCAATCGGTTCTTTGAAATTGACTTGGTTAAGGCATAGGCCTATCCAAAAGGCAACTTTCCCAAGCGCTTGAAGAAATGTGTTGCTGTAATCGTGGTCTGTTTATAATTTGCTTTTCCCTAGTTTTATGAAGAAAGTGTTGCTCATTGCGAAAATTTAAAGAGCTTCTAGGTTGAAGAGTTTCAAATTAAGGAGCTTCTATTAATTGCCGTTTCATAATTTCGCCGCCCATAGTAACTGAAGACTTGAACAATATAATAACGCACTTCAATTCATTTATCCTTTTCATTGTATTCAGTATTGCTGTCACATGAATATCCGAAAAACAGGGATCGATCGAAATTGAATGCAAATCGGGGCATCTTCTCATCAAATCCATCGCATTCACATTGCTTTTCTCCTCGAAAATTCCCAACTAAAATTGCATTGACACAATTAAATATGAAATTGATTATTGATATTTGATTTGATTGAATATCCTTGATTTTGTGTTTATTTTATCAATGAATCAAACCTTTTCAATCAATCAATCAAACACTTTCAATCAATCAATCAAACACTTTCAATCAATCAATCAATCAAATCAACCAATCAACCCAACCTTTTCAATTCCACAAAACCAATAATCAGGAAATGCCTCGAAAATCTCTTTTAAAGCATTTGAAAACGAATTTATCTGAAAGAGTTCGTTTTTTCGTTTTTTAGCTTATCAAAAAGATCTCTTTCTCACATGCATCTCTTTTGGCGAATACGGCCAAACACAACTGAAAACATTGTCCGGGGCGACTGTCTTGCTGATGATTTGTTTCTAGAATTGACAACAAATAGATTTAGTGATATTGCTAAGCTGTAATTTAGTGATATTGCTAAGCTGTAATTTAGTGATATTGCTAAGCTGTTAAGCTATTACCGTCCAATGTGGAGTTCCTTCAAGAACAATTTGTACTTGAATTTGCCCATCACCGAGATCGTAGAAACGGATCTCATCAGCGGATTTTCTCCTAAGAATAAACTTGATTTGCTCAAAGAATCCTTATTGCTTGTTTCCCATTTACCTGAGTCTTTTCTTGTTGATCAGAAAAAGATCATTCCATTGTGAATTAAGGAGATTCACTTTCAGATATTCCTCCATTTCTAACAGCTCGAGTATTTGAGATTTGATCTCGTTTGGGAGAATGTCCATCATTGCGCTAAATTTTACAAATGTTCAAGAAGTAGCTAAAAAGTGAGGCAAGACCCGTAGAAGCAACAGTAGAAGCTTATTGAGTTAAAGCTACTTCTAAAATCAAATCCTTTATCAGATAAAAAAAGCAAAAACGACAGCAATGATCTTTAAAAAACGCGGAGCGGAGAGAAAATGGGAAAAGAAAAAAAAGGGAATAGAAGATTCGAGAAAGGAAAAGGGGAGAAGGGGAATGCTTGAAGAAATCATTGGAAAACAAGGCAAAAGAGTGAGGGAAATGAGGAGAGAGCAAAGAAATTGATGCACAAGCATGCACAGTCATTGGGATCAGCTCAGTGAATCGGGTTTTACCAAAAATAGAACAATTTGGTGATCAACATTATTGCAAATGAACAGCAATCTTGAAACTTCTTTTAGGTAAGACTAGAATTACGTTTGTGGTTGAATTTTAATCACTTAACAAGGAAAATTGGCCAAAAAAAACAAAAAACTCAAAAATCGATCATAGATTGAATGAAAATGGATCAAAAAAATTGGTCGGAAACCTTTTCCAATCGACAATCGCCAATTTTCCCTTCTCGACAACAAAAAGTGTAGCGGGAAAGTTGACAAAAAAGACGAAAATAGAAAAATGGAGAATGAGAAACGTGTCCATGATGAATGCATTTTCATTTTCGTTTCGACTTTTGTTTTTGGCGAATCGAGAACTTTTGGGTAGGTAATGATGGGGTTCAGGCCCGTAAAGGCCCGTAAAATGGTCCGTAAAATGGGTTCAGGCCCGTAAAGGCCCGTAAAATGGTCCATAAAATGGGTTCAGGCCCGTAAAATGGAATTCACTCGGGCAAATTTGAATTTTTGTGAGAAAATTTAGAGAGGGCAGAGATTTGTTGACCCTTAGCCGTTATCCCGGAACTTCTGAACTTTGCTAACTTCGCTAGAGCAGGAAACTTCTAACCGCCGCCAATCGATTCTCCACACCGGTTTGCATAGAACGCGTGAGCTAAAAATCTGATTTAAAGCTTGCGAAGCGAGCTAGAGGGGCTAGAAGTTGGGCTGAGGCGCACAAAACCCAACTTTAAGCTCATCTAGCTCGCTTCACTAGCTTTAAATCTAATATTAACCCATCCGTCCTATGTAAATCGATAGGGAGAATCGATTGGCGGCGGTTAGAAGTTTTCTGCTCTAGCGATTCTCTCAAAAAGACTTGGCTAAAGGCCTGATGGAGTTTTTGTATAGAGAAACAAGAAACTCTTCGATATGTATGAGCTCTCTGAGCCCAAGATCAAGAATAAAATTCTCAGCAATTTTCGAGTAATTGATAGACAGGCAGCACGAGGATGGTGTACCTCGAGGGGATGAGAGTTCGGGATAAACAAGAGCTAAAGAAAAGAGCTGAAGAAAGACCCGCTGGCACTCTAAGCAAAAACAAAAGGAAAAACGGGATTGATCAGTAAAAATTGGTAAAAACAAAGCCATTTCTATTATTGAGGCACGAGTTGAGAAACGGAAATTGCCAAAAGAAGTTTTTTCTTCAAAAAAAAGCTCCGAAAACTGGCAGACAGAGAATGTTTTTGCATTTTTTGAGGCCAATGGGCTCGTCTCGCAATGTGGGTGAGGGTGGAAAAGAGATCTTCGAGAGGGGAAATAAGCACGAGAGAAACACGTGAATGAAACTCTTTCTGTTGTTTGTGAAACATGGCTGGGAATTTAAGTATTTATTCGACACGAATAATGAATTACAACACAACGGAGGAAATTTTTACCCTTAGTTACCCCTATTACTCAAATTTCGTTAAGAAAAAAACCCATCATGATGGGGAAAAAGAATCTATTTTTCTGGTCACCGAGATCGAATCTTTGACCTAGGAGACTAGGAGACAAGACTCCTATCCGGTCTTCTATCCGGACAAGACTCCTATGCGGACTCCTATCCGGACTCCCATCCGGACAAGACTCCTATCCGGTCTCCTATCCGGACAAGACTCCTATCCGGTCTCCTATCCGGACAAGACTCCTATCCGGTCTCCTATCCGGACAAGACTCCTATCCGGTCTCCTATCCGGACAAGACTCCTATCCGGTCTTCTATCCGGACAAGACTCCTATCCGGCTACTACGGAATGACTGAAACTCTAAATGTACATGGTAAAGTTCTTAAAATGGGTGAATTGCTTGAAATTTAAAGAGTTGCACAAAGCATTGTGTTCTTTTTTCTATACTTTTATCAATATCTTTTACCAATCTTCCAAAATCCAATGAGAATTTTCGGAAACTTCGAAATTATATTGCGCGTTGTTTTTTGCATTCCTTTTTCCTAGTTTTTTCTCTAAAAACCATTAAAAGGTTGATAGTGCATTGATAGATTTTTCTCTTTTCCTTATCATTCCAAATCCAGAGAAAAGAAATAGTAAATCTTTGCTTCATTGATCCCCATTTATTTCTTGTTCTTTCAATTCGTTTTCTGATCAAAATTACGATGCAGAACTTGCTAACCATCGATGATTTCCATCAAAAAGCAATTTCTCTTTTGCCGAAACTATCCAGAGATTATTATGAAAGTGGATCAGATGAAGAAAAAGCATTGAGGAGGAATCGGAGAGCTTTTTCAAGGTAAAAATTGAATATTTTGAGAAAACTATTAGGTTGTCTAGTTATAAATACGCCTTTTTAAGATAACAACTCTTTATGTTAAAACCAACAGTTTAACGCCTCAATCAACAATATATTCACCATTTGTTAACAATAACAATAACAATGAAACCATCGGCGACACTAGCTTTCCGAAATAGCATCTTCGCTAAATACTTTGCAGAGATCTCGATGAGATTCAGTGGCATTTTTGCCCAATTTGAAGTCATACCAAAGATGAAGAATACCAGCCATAGTGACACGAGTAGCTTTATTGGCATTGCTGAGAAGATGAGGAACCCATTTCCCTTGTCGGCTTGTTTCCCCCAATTGATGTAATTGGGGAACACAAGCCCTCGGAAATTGTTTGAGGGCTTACTCTAAATATTTCTGCAAGTTCACGTGTAGTTTGTCGAGGATCCATTTCTATCGCCTGCTTCAGTACTGCATTATCGATCGCAGGAGGCCGTCGTTGGTGGTTTTCGTCTTCCAAAGATTGATTTCCTTCTCGAAATCGTTGAAACCATCGGCGACACTGGCTTTCCGAAATAGTATCTTCGCTAAATACTTTGCAGAGATCTCGATGAGATTCAGTGGCATTTTTGCCCAATTTGAAGTCATACCAAAGACTGGCACGAAGACGAAACTTCGTCTCGGTCATCTAAACACGGAAATAAATCAAAAAAAAATCAAAAAATGAATTAGTTTAACGTCAAAAACACGAAAAGTTGTAATAAATAAGAAATCTTGAACAGCATATAAAGAATAGGGTTTGATAAAATTGTATAGCCTTAAGGTATGCTGTTCAAGAGCAGGCGTGCATTCATAACTGGACAACCTAATAGAAATTATGCCCTTTTCAGGCTTTTGATTCGTCCAAAATGTCTTGTTGATGTCTCCAAAAGCGATACAAATTGTGAATTTCTTGGTAAAAAGTTCGTTTTTCAAGTTTCAGAAAATTTTGGCAATACAGTTTTTGCAATTTCAGATTTAAAAGTCCAATTGCTGTTGCGCCAACAGCTTTCCACAAATTGTGTCATCCACGCGGAGAATTGGCGAGTGTTGAAGGTGAGTGAAGAGATTTGGAGAAGGCTTTCATTCAACTATTAAATGTAAACTATTATATAATAGGAATTTCTCGTTTTGGCGGTCTAATGATTTGCTCATCATGGGGCACAACTCCGCTTGAGGAGATCGCCGAGAATCGCGGAGATGCCACTTTGTGGTTTCAAGTTTGTTTCGCATTCGAATCTTTGCAAAACCCTTTAAGTCTACAGTTCTAAATCTAAATCTAAATTGGTCAACTAACTAAATTGGTTAACCAGATTGGTTAAACTAAAGTTTAACCAATCTGGTTAACTCTAGATTTCTCCAAATTTCAGCTTTACGTATACAAAGATCGACCGACCACCGAGGCCTTGATTCGAAGAGCGGAAAATGCCGGGTAACTTTTGGTTTTCCTGATAATATTACAATGTTTCTTTTGTCAATAATCTTACAATCATACATTTTAAAACAAAAGTCAAATTATTTGGCCTACAAAACCCTTTAAGTCTACAGTCAAATTATTCGGCCTCAAAATCGAATCTCTAGATTCGAGGCCCTTGTTTTAACAGTGGACACTCCCGTTCTTGGACGACGATTGGCCGATAAAAGAAACGCTTTCACTCTACCACCACCACTAAAGTGAATACTTCTAGCTATCATCAACATTTCAATCTTCAGATTTGCAAACATGGTGGCGACAAATGACTCGAAGGTGCACATGCCAAAGGTGAGATTGCAGAGAATGATAAAAGCCACTGCATAGTTGGACACGCCGATCCTTTTTTTGGGTTGGGGCTAGGAATACCAAACACTTCTCGGTCGGCACCGGGATTCGAACCTGCGACCTCTCGGTACCAATGAACTAGACCAATAAACTAGAATCTCATTGCCGTAAGGGATTCTTCCAGAAGGCCTTACTGCATTCTTCCAGGTGCCAATCGGCGATTCGGGTCTTATGGCATATGTTTCATCTCAAATCGATCAATCGCTCAATTGGGATTCGTTGAAATGGCTTGTTGGGTAAAGTTGAACAACAGACACTTCAAATTATCTCATTTCTCAGATTTTCTCGTCTTCCTGTCATTGTCAAAGGAATCATGAGATCTGATGATGCATTGAAAGCACTGCAATGTGGAGCTAAAGTAAGACGAAGTTTAAAATCTAACAAACTTCATATTCTATAGGGGATCATTGTCTCCAATCACGGAGGACGACAGATGGATTGTGCGCCGGCAACGGTGAGTGGAGCTATGGAAAAGAGATTGGATAAATGATTGTTGAAACAATAACTGACTATGAGGGTTTATTTGTGTCATCAGATAATCTTTGAGAAGATTTAGATTGAAGCGTTACCCGAAATCGCAAAGGTAGCGGGACAAATTCCTGTTTTTCTTGATGGAGGCATTCGAAATGGACGAGATGTTTTTAAGGTAGCAAATTCCGATATTATCTTATTGTATTAGGTTGTTCGGAAATAAACGAGCGTTTGCACTGCTTAACTCGTGAGGAAGCCATTTCCCGCATCTGATCGCCTTTCCAATGGCGTGGATATGCTCATCAATGGTAGAATTTGAACATAGAAACTGTTGAGCAAGTTCAGTCGACATCGACGAAAAAATCGGCAGGCAATCGGCAAATGATTCAGTTTTTGAATCGTTTAAAGCCAGGCAGCCAAAAGCCGAAGCTCCCGTAATCGGCGAAGACGGAGTTTGATTTCTAAAGTCTTCTAAAGTCGTGGAGATGCTCATCAATGGTAGAATTTGAACATAGAAACTGTTGAGCAAGTTCACGCGTCGTTTGACATGGATCCGATTCGATTGCAGCCCTCAAAATATCGTTGTCTACCGCTTGAGGTCGATGAGAGTGTTCATGATCCTCGAGCTTTCATCACCATTCCAAAAGCCAGGCTCGGCATCGGCTTTCGGACAATACATCCTTCCCAAATGCTTTAACCAAATCTCGATGGGATTCCGAGACTGTTTTGCCCAGTTTGAAGTTGGTAGGCAGATGCGAACTTGATGTTTGAAGGCAATCATCTAAAGCTGAAGTCGTAAAGTAGACAGACCGAACTTGATGTTTGAAGTGGGTCATCTAGAGCTGAAGTCGTAAAGTAGGTAGACGCGACTTTATGTTTCAAGTCGGTCATCTAAAGCTGAAGTCGTAAAGTAGACAGACGCGAACTTTATATATTTGAAGTCGGTCATCTAAAGTAAGAAAAAAGATCTTAAAAATAAGAAATTATCCTTTTAAAAAGATTCCAAATATACACAAGATAACGTACATTTAAATACATAAATACATGTTTTAAAAGCTTCCCTCACAACAATAAGTTTAGTAACGCTTATTTATATCCGAACAACCTAATAGTTATCAAATGTTTAATTATAAACGATTAATACAAACAAGTTATACCTGATTTGATATACTTTTAAAAATCTTTTTTAGGCTCTCGCTCTCGGCGCTTCGGGGATCTTTATCGGCCGGGCGATTCTCTATGGGCTCACCGTTGGAGTAAAAAGTTTTAAGCAATAAAACGAATAAAACTATTTAACTAGAATTACTATAACTTCAACTTCAAGTCTTTAAAAGCATTATTCGAATTCTCAAACAAAAACTATAGGGCGCTGATGGAGTGGAAAGGGTACTGGATATTCTCCAAGAAGAGTTCGAGCATTGCATGAAGTTGGCTGGTCAGTTATAGGATAAATGACATATTTGAGTTAAAGTTTAACGTTAGCTCTTTCTATTTTTCAATTCAAATCATTATCTTCACTTTTCAGGTTGTCAAAGCATTGCTGACATCCGCAACACTCCTCAAATCGTCGTCTCATCGTCACACTACTCGAAACTATAATTTACATATGCAAATAAAGCTTTTGATGAAGTAAATTTACACTTATAAGATTTTTGTCGAGCCTCACATCAACATTTGTAGTTTTATAAAACAGAGGAACTTAAAATGGAGGAGAAATAGCCAAAGCCAAAAATAGCCAAAACATGGGAATCGTGTGGACAAAATACATCAGTTTCAGCTAAAGAAATAAATATTTATTTGTATCATTGTACTATTATCTTTCTTCTACTGGATGTACTTGATTCATCACAAAATTTGACCCATTTTGCGTTGACCCATTTCTTTTCTGAAAATTTACAACTATTGGGTTGGTGAATTGAAAACTGCGGGACTTTGAACTAAAATTTATTCAACATAAAACCATAAATTCACTCCAAATTATTTCCATTATTATTGACGACTTCTGCCCATTTTACAGGCAATTTGCGGATTCCTCTTTCGTAGAAGGATTTTGGTTTGTGTGTGAGACAAGTGTGAGACTCAAGAATGGAGGACTGGAGATATCCCAGTTTGAGCACATTCTTCAAAAGAAACCCATTTTGGTGTCAATAGAAAAGTTGTAGAGAATCAAAAATGAAGCTTATATCCAGATTTTCAGAACGATACAAAAACTGGTTTTCAAGAAATGCCAAATTTACGAAACTTTCACAAAACTTGCATTTTAAGCGAAACTACTAAGTGTATCTTTTTGGAAATTTGGCTATAAGCCTAATTTTTGATTCTCTACAACTTTTCCATTGACACCAAAATGGGTTTCTTTTAAAGAAAGTGCTCAAACTGGGACACTGGGACATCTCCAGTCCTCCATTTTTGAGTCTCACACTTGTCTCACACACAAACCAAAATCCTACGCAGAAAGAGGAATCCGCAAATTGCCTGTAAAATGGGCAGAAGTCGTCAATAATAATGGAAATTATTTCGAATGAATTGATGCTTTTATGTTGAATAAATTTGAGTTCAAAGTCCCGCAGTTTTCAATTCACCAACCCAATAATTCCGAAACTTTCTCGAAATCTCACCGAAATTTTCCTCCTGTTGAAAGCCGGATGACCCTCTTGGATTTCGAAAAGTTCAGAGAATGGCTAAAAGATAGAATGGCTATTTTACTTTTGCATTTCTTTTTTCCATACTTTTCCCAATTTCTTGAAATAGTGAACATTGTAAAAGAAGAATATCGGTAACATCAATGCAGGTAAAATGCCCAAAATACACCCAACAATCTTGGACCAATACGGGAAAATGTGGACGAAAGTATCTCTGCCATAGACATCATCATCCGCGAACATTGATTTTATGATCATAATGGAAACCAACTTAAATGGAAAAGATTGATTTCTGATATATTCACTTACAAATAACATGAGTGGAGAGATGAACATCCAATTGATTTTCATAAAACTTCCGACTGGTCCGAAAATCTTTCCGAAAATTGTTCGAGGTTTGTCAAACATTGCACTCATATCGTCACGCCATCGACGAACACCTGGATCGGGTTGGAAATATGGAAAAGTTTGAAGAAGTTCAGTTTAACTGAATCTAACAAGGGAAGGTCAACTGCTGGCCAAATGACATGACCATTCGACGCAGAATTTTACGCTGAATCCGAATCTGCTTTCCGTTTTTGCAAAATGGAACCCTATCAAAAGGCATGAGTGCTCTAACTTTGATCATGAATTTTCTATTTCCAACGAAAAAAGGTGAGCGAGTCGAGTTTCATAGCCAAGTTTATCGCCTTTTTTGGAAACGAAAGGTTTGACTAAGTGGTAGTGAACTAGAATACAAAGTGGAGGGTCTCTGGTTCGAGTATACCAAGGATATTTTTTCTAGTCGAATTTTAGAGTATCCTTTGTGTGCACACATAATCGTGCCTTACCTGGCACACTGCAAATCTTGAAATAGAGCCCTTGATAAAAACGTTTTCAAATCGAATTTCCTAAAAAGTGCTAGTGGCTGCAGGCTGCTTTGGTGTCAAAAGTGTTTATTTGTGCTCAGGAATTTTGCACATTTTATCTCTTTTTCACTATATCTTGATACCCTGTACATGAAGAGAAATTTGGGTGCCTTGATTATGGTGATTATGGTGCCACCATAGCTCCCACCACCACACCAGCCACCACCACTACCATCATCACCAGCCACGTCACCAAAAACACTTGTATTTTACTGAGAATTTGCATGGCAACATGGCAAATGACTCATTCCCTTGCCATTTCTTGAGTGAAAAGTTCGCTTGCTCGTTTTTTTTGCCTTTTCATTGATTGATTGAATTTACCCTCGACTAGCACTATACAATAAAAACAATTTTCACATTCTGGGTACAGGCAAATTCTCAGTAAAATACAAGTGTTTGTGGTGACGTGGCTGGTGATGATGGTAGTGGTGGTGGCTGGTGTGGTGGTGGGAGCTATGGTGGCACCCATAATAATCTCTCTCTTGTACAGGGTATCAAGATATAGTCAAAAAAGAGATAAAATGTGAAAAATTCCTGAACACAAATAAACACTTTTGACACCAACGCGGTCACCTCCAGCCAGTAGCACTTTTTAGGAAATTCGATTTGAAAACGTTTTTTTATGAAACACTCTGTATGGTGTACTCACCGTAACTGACCAAAATCATATACACTTCAGCCAAAATCGCAATACAAAGACCAAAGGACGCGCTGTAGTTGTTGAATAGGGTAAACCAGTAAATACCAGCCTAGATTTGGAGATGGGTTATATTTGGAAAGGTTTCCAAAATTTGAATTTGAAATCAAAACCCACTCCCGTACAAATGATGAGACCGACGAGGAAATCGAAGAGACAAACGCCGATCACGATCAGAATTCGGTGCTTTCTAGCGGTCGGGAATTGATCCAGGAAACTTGTTGTCACTCCCTCGGCCATCGCTGATATTGTGAGAAGTTTTCTTTTAGGATTTAACCGATGTTATTTTCAAATTCAATCCAACTAACCGCATTGACTCCCGACTCCGATCAAGAAAATTGTGAGGAAGAAACAAAATGACCAAAATGCAGGCCAAGGAAGACGAGAGATCGTTTCTGGATAGGCAATGAAAGCAAGAGATGTGCCTGTTTGAGTGAAATTTTAATTCTTTTTAAATAATTCGTTCACCTTCTTGAACAACTCGACTAATCGGTTTTCCTTGTTGTTGAGATAAAACACCTAATGTAGCAAAAACTGTTGTGCCACCAAAAACAGACATTGCTGTGTCGATGAAAGCAAATAACATGGCATCCTGAAATATCACTGAAATCAATTAAACATTTCATTTGAGTTGATTACCCGATAGCAATTGTGCCGAATCGGATTATAAGAGGCTAAGGAAAGGAGATTTCCAAAACCGAGTCCCAACGAGTAACAGATTTGATTGAGCGCGGCTCTCCAAGTCTGAATTGGAAGTGAGTTTCAATCTGATTCTAGATTTACATCCAATTTGAGAACATATTCCCATTGTGGTTCTGTGAGATAATAACGAATCCCGATTTCGGATCCCTCCAAAGTGATTGCTCTGATGAAGAAAGCGACCATGATCACATAGGGGACAGTCGATGTGACATAGGCCATTTTGCCGAGAAATTGAACACCATAAAGAATGGTCAATGCGGTGATCGCCCACGCAATGAAAAGAGAAACGGCAACCTGAAAATCGGATCAAAGAGTTTGAGTAAGATTAAAAATTTATTCATACGAATAATGTGGCAAAAATAATATACAAGCACATCCCCTAAGCCCTAAATGTAAGGAAGAAAAGAAACTTGTATTTTTGGAAAAAGGAGCTAATCATCCGACCAGCGGGACCGAACCCTTGACGGGTCAAGGGCTCAATCCCGCCGACTATTGGTTGTCTTTTTTTAGTTTTTCTAAATAACTTCTACCTTCCAGTTGAAACTCCCAATCTCATTGATCCCTGAGGAACGCTCCAAAACGTGATTTCTGGAAAAAAAAGAGGTTCGCAGCAGACAAAAAGACTAAAAACTTTGCAAAACTTACTCAAAGAATTGTTCCACTGCAGACATTGTCCTGTTGAGATATTCCGGTGTTGATTCCACATAAATTTTCATAGTTTCATTGTGACAAGTTCCATTGAAATAATAGGTGAGATTCTGCGTTTGCAAGCATTTTTGATCTTCAATATAAGAGACGCAATCTGAATGGGATCGATCAAATTTCAAGCTTTGAATTTTCTTTAAAAGAACCCACACTGTCCACTTTTTCGATTCCACTCATTTGCACACACAGAAATGCTATCATTTTGTCCGGTTAAAATGTAAAAGAGATAAACCATTGACCAAGCAACAATTACATTATAATAGATACAGGTGAGATTGGCTATGCAAGCCATCGCCCAGCCAATTCCTTAAAAAAAGTATACAATGACAATTCAAGGCTTCTAAAGGCTTCAAGGCTTCTAAAGGCTTCAAGGCTTCTAAAGGCTTCAAAGGCTTCTAAAGGCTTCAAAGGCTTCTAAAGGCTTCAAAGGCTTCTAAAGGCTTCAAGGCTCCTAATTTACCTTGAAATGCCGGTCTGAACACATAAAAAGCCTTTGATGGCCCCAATTGAGTGTACTGTCCGATACAAAGCTCAAGAAAAAGAAGAGGCATTCCACAAAGAAGAGAACAAGTCACGTAGGGGACAAGGAAAGCACCTCAATTCGTATTTTATTGTTTGAAGAATTTCTTTTCATCTCACCTCCTCCATGATTATAAGCTAAAGCTGGGAATCTCCAAATATTTCCCAATCCGATTACATATCCTGCGACAGCTAATGTGAATTGAAGTTGACTTCCCCATTCACCACGATTTGACGTTTCCGCCATTGAAGGGAAATCAAGTAATTCTTTTCAGTTAATTGAACAATCAGAAATCAAAAGAACTAAATATATTTTTAGATTTTAACAATAACAACAATAATTTTAACAACAACAACAACAGCAACAATTTTAACAACAAGAACAACAATTTTAACAATTTTTTAACAAACGCTTTAATCAAAAGGAGAAAGTGAAAGACTTAACGAAGTATTTATTGAAAAAGAATGCTAAAAGAATGCCCAAATCTTTAGCATCTATTGCACTTTCTTTATTTTCTTTTGCAATAACAAAATGGTTTCTTAATTCCCCAACAATATGAGCCAGTGCATCAAATACCAAACAAATACCAAACATTGACATGGAAACGATCAAGAAACGATCAGTTACTTCACTATTACTATTTTTTCAATAAATTCATTTAATAAAATCTCTTATTAAGTCAAAAATAAAAACTTGGATGTACACAAGTATTACTGGGTATTCCAGTTAAACCTTTCCGCTCTCTTTCGATGAAAACGATCAAATCGATCAGTCCTTTTTCCCCCTTTTTGTTTCTTTTTTTTCTTTTTTTTTCATTTCATATTCACCCTTTCACTTTTCTTCTTTGTCTCTCGTTTTCTCTTGATTTATTTCTTGCTCCATTTCAACTTATACTTACATTTTTTAAATAAGAGACACTTTTTCTCATGTTTATTTGCATAAAATCCTTGTTTCGCTTTTCTTTTTTTCTGTTCACTTTCGATACCCGAACACCCAAATCAAACAATCAAACAAGAGGAGAAATTCGAGGAAACAAGAACAAAATATTTGAGTTAGCTCTTATCAAAAAAGAAAAATCTTGGTAAATTGATTGCATTGGGAATTGTTTTGAAAACTACAAAAACTGATGCGAGAACAACAGAATATATACCGTAAATATTGTAATAGTACCCCATGCCCCTCGTACAGTCGCGTAGTCGCAAAAGTTTTTTAGTATTTCATTTTTTTTCAAAGCGCCCGTACTTTCAAAAAATGCGTCTTTGGTATCAAAAAATAGCTGAAATTCAGGGCTATTTTCTCGACACTGGTTTATGCTACAATGCGCGTTTAGGTATCAAAAAATAGCTAAAATTCAGGGCTATTTTTTGATACCTAAACGCGCATTGTAGCATAAACCAGTGTCGAGAAAAACTCGTTCAAAGCTAGACTACGCAACACTCCGCACCGTCATTATGGGGGTGGGGTACTATTACAGTATTTACGGTATAGATATATACGAGTAAAGTTATGGACCGATGCACTTTTAAACAATTCAAGATGAAAAGTGAGCTGTTTATGCAATAGTCATTTCATATTATCAAAGAATTGGTTATCATCAACACACCTTGAAACACACAGCATTCTTGGATTCGAATTTAAAGAAAACAGGCATAAACTCTAAAAAGATAACGAATAGAATAGAACAAATAGAATTCGTTAACACTATAAAGTCACAGTCAGAATACTTCAATTGTTCAAATTTCTACCCATTTCTATTATCACTTCTTCATCTTTTTCTTCTCCTTTTCCTTCTTTTTCTTCTTCCTAGTTTTCTTCATTTGAAATACTGCTAGCTTTCCTAGACGAATTTCATCTTTTCCAGTAGGAAAGTAACAATGATTGACCCAAATTTCCCCAAGAAAATGTCTCATCTCTCATCACTTCTCAGATTTATAAGCCCCAAGAAAATCAAGAATTCATAAACATTGAACGAAATGAAACTTTTCTTCATTCTCTATTTTCTGATTTATATGCTGACAAGGTTTTTTGTTAAAATGTTATTAATCAGGTAAAATATTCAGTGAAGTGTCCGGTGCCGACTCGTATGCAGCAGCTGGAGGGATTGGAGGATCGGCTGATTCACCTGATTATACAGCTATAGGTGGATCAAATATTAGTCATAGCAAATAGATACATCTAAAACTAATTGTAAGATCAAAATTGATTCATAACATTCAGTTGGCGGCTCGGGAGGTGATAGCGGTGAGTTGGCTTGATAGAAAGGGTACTCGTTTTGCATACGGTATTCGATATTTTGCTATCTATGACGTAAAATTTAACCAAATATAAGCAAAGATAACCGGTATTAGCTCTAAGTTGATTGGTTTAAATCCAACCGATTTGAATGGGGCACAAACGGGCGATCCTTTGAAACATCCGCAAATTCGGGTTATCATTAAATGCAATAGTTAGTTAAATAACTTCATAGATTAAGTAAAATATAGCGCTTTAGGTAGAAGTACGTGATTTCACGTACCTATCTACCTAAAGTTCTACCGTACTTCCGATTCCAGGTGGAGGAGATGCGGCCATTCCTCTTCCAACTGATATCGCTGCACCAACTGGTTAGTAAGAGCTATAATCTGATTCTAATCAAGTTATTTGTATACCTAGAAAATCTAATTATCCAATTTCTCATTTTCAGATTGCATGTCTCGTTACAAAGCGGTTAAACGAAGAAAAGTAGTGGCTCGTCGGCGAATCGCCGCCGCGAAACGTTTCCAACGTCGTCAACTTCGAAGAAAATTGCAAGAGTTTTAAGAAATGTCTTTAAGAAGTTTTTGCTAAATCGAATAAATTTTTGTACCTATAATGCCCAAAAGAAGCTACTAAACTAGCTATACGAGATCACTTTCTACAAAATAATAGGAAATAACTTCAAATGGTAGACGAGTGGATATTGATGAGTAGGTTATTGATGAGTAGGTTATTGGTGAGTAGGTTATTGATGAGTAGGTAGCCTTTTTTAGCCTTCCTACTTGTGGCGAATTGCCACTGCTCTGCAGTTAGTCAAAAATTCAATACAAGTTAAAATTCAAAGTTGATGGATAAACTACCGTAATCAGTCACTAGATGATATTCAGCTGTCCGTTTGTTGTAGCTTGTATACTTAAAAAACCCATTATTTAAGCTTTGCTTTTGAGTGAGTTTGTTGTTCTCCTTTTTTGCTTTTTATCATCCTTTTTTCACATGCAAGTGTTGAAATAATTGTGATAGTGCCAGGTTGCTCCAGTTTGAGCGAAGTTGCCCTAATAAGGGAAAGTTGGATAAATTGTGCGTTTTCAAGAAGACCACTATTGAACCACACCGAGACACGGTCTCAGAAGAAATTATATAGATCAAAACATCAACAAATATTTCTTACACTACTCATCAATATCCGTTCGTTTTTCAAATGAAATTTCAATGTGAATCTTGTTTTTTTCTGTGAAAAAAGAGAACTCAAGTGCTTTTTGAGAAAAAAAAGCGCCATGTTCTCACTCTTTTTCTCATTTCACAACCCAGAAATCCCAGAAATTTTCGGATGGCACTTAAATTTTCATATTTTTGCTAAAGCGGCACACTTATTGAAGATAAGTGCCGAGATATCCCAAGCAATTTCTAGATATCCCTTAAAACGAAAAAAAATTGAACGAGTATAAATATGACACTGGAATGGAAAGGATAAGTCAGCCAGAATTCAATCAAAATGCTCGGAAAGCTCGGAAAAGCTAGCCAGGTAGCCTTATTCGCTTTGCTGTTGACTGTGGCTCAATGGTGAGTTTTGATCTTGATTTGCTTTTAATTTTACTATGGATTTCAATCCTTCAATCCTTTTAAAGACATACCAATATCTTCAATTTTTCAGCAATGGTGGTGAGGGATATGCGTTGGCCCCTTCAGCTCCCCTTCCACCACCACCATCCTCTTCGGGAGTGATCGGTTCTATCGGTTCTATCGATTCTTCAGCTCTTCCACCACCTCCTTGTGGTGGATCCCCTCCACTAGCCCCATTACCGCCTCGTCAGTTGATCATTAGTTGTCCCAAATCATGGCTTTAATAGAGAAAACTCCCCAAACAAACCGGCTGCGCTCTTTCCTCTCCATTTCGGTTTAATTACCCAAGTTTTTGATTGGCTTGGTGTTCATAATTGATAATTAGCGGCGGATTCGAATTCCCCACTTTCAAGTACTAATTTTCGTGTTGATCCGGCGATAAAATCGTTCCGGTTTCAGAGACCAAAGCACCGGAAAATGGCATTGTCGCGAATGTGTTAAACCCGGTTTCAGTGGCTCCTCCTCCACCAAGTGGCTCCTCTTCTTCCTATGCCTCTTCTCCACTTCGTCGTCGTCTCGTTCGTGTCTTCAGACATCGCGCAGCTGCTCGACGTGTCATCCGTAGAAGAATCGTTCGCCGATATTAAAAGATTCGACTTTTAACAAGCGTCTATTTTCACAACTCTTTCTTAATAAACATTTTCCAAATGCAACTTTCACCTATACATCAAATCAATCATCAAATATATACATGAATCCTCCATTTACCCGAATCTAATAATAAAACCCATCCTTTTTTTCGGAACTAAAATCAAAATATTGCGACACCAACAACGAAACATAAGATTTTTTTGAGGCGGAGTCCGGAAAAGAACACAAGCTCTGTACATTAGCTTCAGCACTCTCATGATTATCTTTTAGCCCTTTTATCAAAACGTCGCCCATCGATGACCATCCCTCCCTCCTCCCTCTCTTCCCATCATCTCCTTTTTCGTTTTCCAAGAAAGGAAGCGAACCCTCAACTTCTGGTTAAAAGGCAGAACGCTTAAACTTAACTTAAAACAGAACTTAAAACGCTCTGCCCACTGAGCTACAAAGCTTTTTTGCCGGAGAGAAAGAAGACGGTAGAAATGTGGAGCTGGTCCTTATCCAAAAGAATTCATCTAAACCGTTTTCTAAAGTGCCAACCTTCGAAACCCCACCGCAACCTTGTCTCTACTTATTCATAATCCAATACCCTATTCATTTACTAATTTTATATTCGTTTGCAAAACAAAAACTTTTCAAAAAAAATACCAAAGCCAAGCAAATGAAAGTGAAGTTATCGACTTGTACGAGTGAATGAAGGGAAGAACGGCTGAATAAACTTTCCCCCAATTCCCTCAATTCAATCCAAAAATCTCCAGCACAATTTGAACGGTTTTAAAAAGAAAAAGAGAGAGGAAAGTCTTTCAAAAAATGAAATTTGCAAAAGTTCTGCAAACAGTCAAATATAAAACCTCGAATTTTTGCCTATATCACGCGGCTCATAGTTTGCTTCCCATTTTGCTCTAATGCTCTATAATAGTGCTCTATAATACTCTACAAACTGTACTTGTCCAGCATTATTAAAATTTTTATATATTACTTGAATATGAAATAACAACATTCCAAAACCCTCTTATTGCTTAACTGTAGCTTTTCCAAACATCCTAAACCATTCCTCTAAACTATATGCTTCTTGTCAGTTCTTCAAAGATTTCAAATCCCAATCTTTTCAACGTATTCAACTGCGACACTTAAATGCACTTCTGTTTGCTTCCCAATCTTATTTTTCCATCATTTCGATTAGTTCCATAATTTCCGGTGTTCTATCAGACATTGAAATTCATTTTGCTGAGAATTCAAACATTCAAACGAAAAAAATTCAAACAAGTTCGCAGTCACGTTGAAAGAAAAAGGGAATGATGTGGGAAGAGATGGCTGAACAAATTTTGTTCAACAAGCTCAAAGGAGACTATGAAGTTGATCTGGGGCTGAGGGGTAGGGGACCAGGGCAAAAGAGAGTCAACAATTCAACAACAATAATCAAAGGACTCATTTCTATCCGACTATTAAAAAAAACTGAGCCTTTGTCATTGTCTTCATTGCAATTCATTTTCCATCTTGCTTTCACGAAGACGAGATTCCCTTCAGTTTAAATTTGATTCTCCAAACCGAACACTAGACTTAGCTATCGATATTTTTGGAGTAGTCTTGGAGTAGTCGTAGATAAAAATCTTATAACTTTGCATAAGACTACTTAAATGCTCTGAAAATTTTACCTTTTAGAAAGCCAAGCTTTTACCAGCTTTAAAAACCTAATCGATACGCTATCAATATGTCCTTATCGAGCTCTTATCGATAGCAATCGATAAGGTTTGTTGTTCTTCTAACAGTCCATATTAGGTACATTGTTCCTCTAACAGTACATATTAGGTACCAAAATGAAGCTTGAACTTTTGGCTTTCAATTAGGAAAATTTTCAGAGCATTTGGAGCTACAATCATAAAGAAATGTCTGTTTTAACGCGAGCACTCCAAAATATCGAAATCCAAGTCTACCGAACATAAAGAACTAACAATGAGATAGTCTTGAAAGTAAAGGCGTGAACTGTGCTTTTCATCCTTTTTTTGAAAGTCTTTTCCCCACCTTTCAAGGGCCTCAACGTGTGTCTTGTCCTTATCCTTGTCGACTTTCTATTTCTCTTTTTCTCATCCCAACGACTGTGTTTATTTCTCGAGAGCTTTGTCAATCATAGATCATTTCTGAGTTGTTTTTTTTCTTTACATTCATTTGTTCATTTTTAATTCAAACACCAAACTACTTCATTCATACTCTTGACTACGATATTTCAATAGTTGACTGTCCATTCACGTGAGATTTGCACAGTCCAGGCGAGGGCGTCAAATTCTCTTTGTTTCTGTTTGCAATGACTGAAAACGATCAACGAAGCGCAAATTCATAAAAATAATTAAATATAGACAATCAGCCTAAGCCTAAGCCAAAACCATTCCTCACGAGTCCTATCTTTATCGGCGTTTGTTCTAAAAATTCATTCTCGTGGCAAATCTTTATTGGGTACTTATTGGTTATCTTTTCCCCAATTAGCATACGCGCGAAAATAGCATTGATGCTTTGACTGCACCAGTGAAGCGCAGCGGAGCATTGGTGCGGAGGTGAATGGGGAAAATTTCAGTCCGCTAAGCGGTTGGTTTCTTTTTAAAGAGCCTAAGCCTAAGCCTAAGCCTAAGCCTAAGCCTAAGCCTGAGCCGCAGCGGAGCCTGAGCCTGAGCGCGGGAGATAACCAATAAGTACCCTTTATTGTTCAAACAAAAGTTGCTATAATTATTCTACATTATTCAGCTCCGATTTTTGATTTTTGATTTTTGATTCTTGAGCCTTGGTCTTTTCTAGGGAAAATGTTGCGTGTGGTGGTGGCGATGTTTATCGCTTATTTGGCTGTGCTTGTCGTCATGATCAGAGCACAGACATGCTCGGCTGGATTACCCGCTTTCGTTAGTGGGTTTATTCTATGAAAAACAAGCTTTTTGAAGTTAAAATTCCTTAAACCAAACCTTAAACCAAACAATCTTTATCAAATCTTTAGCCTGTGATACGACGACAAGTACATGCACAGCCGACACGTCGTTGATCTGTGAGACGATCGATGGAGTACTTTATTGCTGTAAGATTTTTGAGTGAAATCAAGTAAAAGCTACAGCTACAAGCGTGTTATTTGAATTTCATTTCGAGTTTGAATTTGAATAACCTTTTGAATCATTTAGGTCCACCTGTTGAGACAACCACTCCAACCACGACCTCAACAACTCCGACCACAACAACGGTAAACCATTATGTAACTTCTGAAGGGTTCGACAAATCTGTCAACAATTTCTGAAAACAGCTTCTATCATACATGCTTAACGGTACCAATCTTAAACGGTCTTTACACAGTTGTTTGCTTTGAGCATGATCACCGAAATGTCAGGAGACGTCAAGTGTGTCCATTCATAGGCGAGCACCTCCACTGCAAGCACCTCCACTGCAAGCACATCAACTGCAAGCACATCAACTGCAAGCACATCAACTGCAAGCACATCAACTGCAAGCACATCAACTGCAAGCACATCAACTGCAAGCACATCAACTAGATCAACATCTACGGTAAGCAGTGACCCCTGAAAAGTTATCCTTCCGCAATTTGCTTTCCTGAAATCCGCTCCTCAAGCTATCCCACCAATCCTGCACATTTCTTCTGGGCTTACTCAGGCTTTAATTTTAAGCATAGCCATTAATATCCAGGCGAGTACCTCAACGGCGAGCACCTCAACAGCAAGCACCTCAACTAGATCAACATCTACGGTAAGGCATAACGGTACTATACGGTTATATCCGCCATCCCAACCAATCTCCATGTTCATCGATACGGTTGTCCGCAAAATTTACATTAACAATCACGATGAACAAAACAAAACACACGAGCGAAGAGTAATCATTGGAGGATAAGGGGAAGCAATGCGATAAAGGATCCAATCGAAGAAACCGTTTTATCCAATCCTGAACGAATCATAAACTCCGCTAGGTGGTCGAGATGATGTCGAACAGTTCCGCGATGCTTTTTATTTCTTATGGTTGACAGTTGCGTGTTGTTGAAGTTGAAGTCGGCTTTCTCAATTGGGAGTATAACCGTATTGATGCGATTGACGGGTATAACCGTATTGAGTCACTTGTCTTTTCCGTCTATGGGCGTATAACCGTATAGTGCCGGCATCACTCTTCCGAATCCACGTTAAGTGTAACAATTCATAGGCGAGCACCTCCACTTCAACCCGATCATCAACCACCACCACTAAGCCCACTACGACAACTACGGTAAATCATAGTGTTAAAGGCATGCTTAACGATACATCCTGCATCGATCCTAAACGGTTAAAGGCCAAATTTCACTCACAATCAGCTCACTTCTGCGACGGAAAGATTTGCAAAAGTTAATCGATGTTCATCTGATTTTTCTTGGCAATAAGCATCACAAACTTAACAATAAGCTTGCATTAACCTGCTAATTATGGGAATTTCACGAGTCACTGTTCATTTTTTTCTAATGTTCCAGCAAAGAGCTGGTGACGGTTAAAAGTTGGTATCGTTAAGCATGTCTAATTTATGAAAATATCGTTAATTTGAATCAAAAAATGAAAAAAGCCATGCCTAAAATTCAGCTTTAAAAAAGCACAAAACCCGCTTTATTTCAGTACGTTTGTCGAGACAATGCCACTTATTGCACCGCTCAGAAAGCTCTCTGTTCTAATACGCTCTACAAGTGAGTAAATGCAACGATTTATTTTTGATGAAAATTTCTCTAAGATCTCAAAAATTTCAGGGAGACCATGAACAGTCAATGCCGTGTGACCTGCGGCGCTTGTCCAGCCTCAGCCGTCACAGGTAGAATGTAAAGAATTCACGCAAGAAATGCACATAATTACCCCTCTGAAATGAGCGAAAACGTGTAAAAGCATGTTTTCCAAGTGTAAAATCGATAAAGTAACCCTAAACACAAATTTCAGCCGCTAATGCTGCTACGACGTTGAGTGGTTGTGCTGATGTATACACGACTTGCGCATCGAACTCAGGACTTTGCAAAAACGCCAACTACAGTTATTTGATGGTTGATAAAACGTAAAAAATGTTGTTACATAACTATTTAGCCAATCTACTGCAAGAAGACATGCGGTTTGTGTTGAGTGGGAATGTATAAAGCATCTAATAAAGCTTTAATCAATGTTTGTTTAGTGTTCTCTTACATTTAAAATACCCACGCTCACTTTAATACAAGCAAATCACCACCAGTATCATTATCTATTATAACTATCCATTGTGAAGCATGTTTTGCGTTATTTAATTGAACATATTAAAACATCTATTGCAAACACTTAAAACATTCTTAAAAACCTTAATGGTAATGCGAATTGAGGAGCTTCATTTGAAACGAAAATCGTTGAATAAACAGTATTTGCAAGCCCGCTCAACTTCACAATGACCCGTAATCACGTAAAGATAACAGAAGACAAGCGTGAAATTAAACTAGAATGAAATGCCAATTGAAAATAGTGGAACAATGAAAGATTAAAGATGAGAGAGTAACTTGTTAAAACATTTGTAACAAATAAAGAATGAAACTGCACAACAAATAACGAGCTATCCATCTACCACTCGTCGTTGTTTGCTGGAGCTTCGGTCTCTTTCTTTGACTCCACGACCACCTTTGCCTCAACAGGAGTTGGCTTCGTGCCTAAATTGAAACCAATTGCTTATTTTTACATAGGTTACTCTCTTTTGGTACATAACTTTTCGAGGTCAAAACCTCATTCTGCATTCGAATCAGAACTTCATTTCATACTCTATATTCTAGAAGCCCAACCATTCTCTGGCTTTGGTGCGTCATCAGCAAATTTGATCTCGTCGATCTTCTTGACGACTTCATCATCGCCCCAATCCAAATCTGAACAATTTGTACTTATGAAAATATAGTTATGTACCGTCTGCTTTGGCTTCTTTGGACACGGAATTGAAACCGCGAATGGAATTGAAGCCTCCACCACATGAAATTAAACGATAATAAAATAAAGTCTTAAAATTCTTACTAGTGCTTGAGAATCCTCCAGAGCCGCCGAATCCTTTTGCTCCATTTTGCTTGAAGCCCTCACCATCGCCATCGGAGAAACCTCCATTATTTTTAAAGCCTCCACCACCAAATCCTCCGCCTCCGCCAGCTCCTCGGCTGCCGCCAAATCGTCCCTCCGAGAAGCCACCAGATCGCATACCACCTACATGTAATAGTACAAATATATTTAAAAGATAAAACAAAATCTAGGTTTAGATTATAATGAAAATTTTTCAAACTAACCACCACCCCACGAGCTTCCTCTTCGATCAGCCAATTCAACGAGCCAACCAGGAACCTCTTGCCCAACACCTTTGACTCGCTGAAAAAACATTAGTAGACACTATGAAATAGACTATACCTTCACAATCTCGGCCAAATCTTTTAGTCCTTCATCGTCGGCCTCGTCAATGATACTGTAGGCTTTTCCCGGCTTGTTGCGTCCTGTTCGTCCAGTTCGATGTGTGTAACGATCGGCGACTGGTGGCATATCAAAGTTGATCACAACATCCAGATTGTTGATGTCCAAACCTCTGGACAAAACACTTTGCTGATGACACAAAAATTTACCTTTCACATAAATCCGTTCCGACCAAAACTCGACTAGTTCCATCCTCAATTCCTTTCATGATTCTATTTCGTGCCTTTTGATCGTTGTCGCTAAACAAATAAAGTGTTTAATATCTTGTTTTATGATACTTATTTTGACAAGCAATGCAGTGAATAGATTAAAATAGATATAAAGAAAACTAACGCGCAAATGCTTTCCGCATCACAGATCCGCATCTTGCAGATTTCTGCAGCCGTACATTGGGCCTTCAATTTTCGATTCACAAATATCAACGTCCTTGGCATCAGCATCCCCTCTAAAGCGAATTGAAAGTTTACCAGTTTGTGCAAAAACCAACTTGACTTCGCTTCGACGAATTCTTTCTGGAGAATCTCAATCATCTTTTGATTTTTCTCTAAGACACCAGAAGCCTAGCAAATAAACAAATTAACTAAAGTATAAAAGTTGCAAACCTTGTGAAACTCGTGAGTGATTTTTTTGTTGAGATTGGATGCTCTGATTGTGCACTTCCTGAATTGATATAATAATCACCGAAATCAATATAACTATGCACCGTTTTTGATTAATAAGTTTGTCGGCAATAGAATTAAAATCTGATGTGAATGTGGCTGACATCATGAGAGTTTGCCGTTTTGCGGGCTAAAAGCGGAAATCAGTGACTTGCTTTTTTAATTTAAAAATTACGATTGGCATTTTGTCGGCAATTTCCATGATGTCAGGGAGGTCCTTGGGACTAAGCAGGCGATCACATTCGTCCAAGACAAAAAACATGACGTGTTTGAGGGAGACCTTAAAAATAACCATGCAGCTTTGTTTCTAACTATAGTGCCATAATTTATAAAAGATCTTATAAAACTAACGTCGTTTTTTTGAATCAAGTCTAGAATTCTGCCGATGCATCCAACAAGGATATCGCATCCTTGATTGATTTCAGAGACAGATGAGAAGCGAGCAAGTTGCCCGTAGGATCTGTGCACGTCGATCCCGAGGTCTAAATAACTATTGTTTTAAAAGGAAATTATTTACTAACCATTGGAGAACTTCTTAAACTGTTGGTAGATTTGCTCTGTGAGCTCTCGGGTCGGCGACAGGACGAGCGCGTACGGCGCATTGGCGGGCTTGTTTTCCCCAGTTTCTTTCTTTTGCAAGATCTAAATGGCTTATTTGAATCACGAAATCTACGACAAACGAGATTGATGATGGGGAGAGAAAATGCAGCCGTTTTTCCTGAGCCAGTCTCAGCTTGTCCAAGTACATCGTAGCCGGCCAAAACCTAAATCGAAACCTGTAAAATGATTAAATTTTATAGCTAGCCTGTGGAATGAAAGCGCTTTGAATGTTTCGTGGTTGAGGATATCCACATTTTTCCTTGCAGATTAGGCTGATTCGTCGATCCAATGGTGAACTCTCCCAGGTTCTGGAACCGTTACTTTTTTAAAAATTAAAATATTTTGTTTTGTGCAAAAGTAAAGAAGTAAAACTTATTGCCCGGTTATATGATAATGATAAAGGGAAAACTTACTTGAACCTATCTTGGTTGTCAGAGCCATCCACGGTGACCTCTGAATCGTCACCATAGATAGAGTCTTTCACATTCTCTTGGTCCTAAAAATTCGATAATTTCCATCAAACAAATAGAAGCCATAGAAAAATAACTCACGATTTTGTAAAGATTGTCGACGTTGACATTATCCGGTCTCCATCCTGCTGGAGCTCGGGGTCCCATCTCATAGGTATTTCCTCCACCTCCTCTTTCGAATGTCCGCATTGCCCCCGGCGGCACAAACTAAACGTAAAATTTTCTTAATATAGAGCAAATTGTTTACCGATTCGCCTCTCGAAAACTTTGAGGCACCATTTGCGTTGTCATCGTCATCTACAAGTGAGACAATAACAAAATGTTACTTGAGTAATCTATCACGGTGTCTTAAGTTAACATGGATAACTAACCAATATTCTGAGACCTGCCAAATCCTGTATTGTCTGGGCGTGAGAAGCCGCGAGCATTGTCCGGGCGCGAGAATCCGACACCATCGTCGCGTGAAGATCGCGTGTAGTCGCCGCCACTTCCGAATCCACCCCGGCCACCATTTGTGCTGCCACCACGAGTGAAGCCGTCTCGTCCCCCGCCGCCACCAAAGCCACCACCCACCGATGATCCACCACCGAAGCCACCACGCGACGATCTTTCAAAGCCTCCTGTGTTTCCTCTTTCTCCGAAGCCTCCTGTGTTCCCTCTTTCTCCAAAACCTCCCGTGTTTCCTCTTTCTCCGAAGCCTCCCGTGTTTCCCCTTTCTCCGAAACCTCCCGTGTTTCCTCTTTCTCCAAAGCCTCCTGTGTTTCCTCCACGGAAAGCACCACGTCCGCCGCCGTCTCCACCGCGCTCGTCTCGAGCTCCTCGGTGAAATCCTCCATCGTTTCCACGACCTTGTCGACCATCACCACTATCATCGCCTCCAAATCCATTACCGGTTCTATTTGGGCCACCAAATCCGCCACTGCGGCTTTCTTCAAATTGTCCGCCATAACCATTTCTGCGGTCCCCTCCTTGGTATAGATCTCTGCGCTGAACGAAGTCACTCTCACGGTTCCCTCCATAGGCCTTTCCACCATTCTCATAGTCTGGGCGGCGCTGTTCATACGGACGCGAATTTGATTGGTAATTCTCCTGACGACGATCGTGAAAAGCACTTTGCTGTTCTTGTGAGCGATTCTCCGGGCGGCGATCTTGTTGAAAAGCTTCTTGTCGAGGTCGGTGACGATCTTCTTGTTCTTGGCGATCGTATTGCCGGCTTCCGTGTTCTAAATTAAAACCAAGTTAAGTAGACGACTACAACAATTAAATACCTCGTTGTTCGCCGCCATCACGGTGACGCGCAGCACCATCACGTCCATTCCAATCTAAATACTTTACCTTTTAAACAAAAATTATTCCTCTAAATATGCGGTTCGTGCTTAAAAATAAGTGAGCACTAACCATTTGGGCGTTGCTGATTTCTTGGGGGTTGTCTGTCGTCGTAATCTAAAATAAAAGTTTAGAAGCAGCTAAAATTAGACTACCGCGATTTCGGCTCATTCCCATCCGACCCATTTCTGACGATTCTGACGGTAACCGATTGCCTAAAGTAAATTGCTTTAGTGAAAGCATTTAAGGTATTTAAGTAAAAATTCATTAGTTTGCAAGCTATAAACGTCACCTTGTGGTCTTGTGGTCCTGCAAGAATAAGCAAAATAACGAACGTTGATAAGTTCAAGCTGCAGAAATGAAGCTATCACTTACCTCCTTGATAGCCACCCTGACCGGCTCCTCCGTGATATTCACCTCGACCGCCTCCGCCACCAAATCCATGTTCGTCTTGTCGATGCATTCAAGCTCTTGAACAATCGATTACCTGAAATATAACAGCTATCAATATATCAGCAGAAGAATCTCAAAATTAAATCTAAAAAGCAAGGAGCCCCGTTAAGCTTTTACTAAAGACTCATTTTTTTTGTTAAATCTTACTAGAATGCTTACGAAGTGCTTAAATTTAGTTAAAGTGGATATCAGGGAGAGTTGGAAACAAACAGAAACAAATAAAATCTTTGTTAGACTTGAATTTACTGAATTTGATATGGGAAAGTAGCGCCATAGTTGAAAAAGAAACTGGAGACGGGGAAAATGAGTCATCAAATCGGGAAAAAGCAAATGGCAAATCGTTTCTCAGGGTCCCTTTTTTACAGAAAAAAAAAGAACGATAGCAATGCTTACGTGAGGAAATCTTTGACAAGAGAGGCGAAAAGAAGGCGAATCGATAGCTTGCGAAAAATGTGAATGAGAAAGAAGTCTGGTTGCGATGGAAATTTGAAATACATTCGCTGGGCTGGCGCGTTGTCCAATTATCATCACTATTCAATATACCATTATTTTTCCGATCTGAATGGCAAAAAACAGTAATTGTAAACACAGAGGGAATATCAACACTAGACATGGGCACTAAAAACTACACACGTTTCTAACTTGCTTCAAATCTGCCGGACTGATATGATCTATGGCTCAACAAATATAGAATCTCAAGAGCTTTCGAATGGACTAAAGCACACCCAAAAATATCCATGCTAAAGAAAGTTACAATGGCTTTTAGCTTGACTCGAAACGGACCGTACTCGCGCATAGTCGAAGCGATCGAGTCAGGAATACACTGTAACTTTCTTTAGCATTGATATTTTTGGGTGTGCTTTAGTCCATTCGAAAGCTCTTGAGATTCTCTATTGGTTGAGCCATAGATCATATCAGACCGGCAGATTTGAAGCAAGTTAGAAGCGTTTGTAGTGTGACAGTTCATTATTTTTATAGTTTGTAGAGCCTATTTCTAAGCGACACAGTGCATACAAGCGTTTACTTTCTCGGATGCTCAATCTCGCAACTAGAATGTTTATTAGAGCACAAATATGACTAAAGAGAGAATGGAAAACAAAATTAAACCCTAATGCAAACGAAATACTTTAAATATGTACAAATGGGGAAATACTTGCAAAATAAATATCTCTACCAAATGAGAATACCAAAGTGTACATATTCGGCCCATATTACATTAATAGCTTAACGAGTGCTCTAGAACCAGTAACAATTTCTTAGCTCAGTTCTGTAGAGAGATGTTTATGGATAAAACGAAAAGTTATCACAAATAAAATGAACTTGAAAAGGGATTCAACACCAAGTAAAATAAATTATAATCTAATTTTTCATAATTGACTCGTCTTTTTTGGAGAATTTTCCTTGTTCAATTGAGCTGTCTTGGGAACCTGTAAATAAAACAATTGCAAAAAGTGAAATGTCGACCAATTACCGGCACCGCATCTGTCACATCAAGTGGACCATCGTTGAGGGCCGAAAGTTCGTCTTCACATGTAGATCCCCGCGGGAGAATCGGTTCACCAATGTTGATCTGTTTCATCGCTTCTGCCACAGCTTCTGCTTGATCCTCTTTCTTGAGCATTTCAATCATTGCGGTGATTTGCGAGGCAGACATTGGCACATCACTGTGTTTTTCCATCAATTCGATAACCTGAAGATATGCCGTAAATAACACTAAGTAGTTTAGTGTTTAATTAAGGGCTGAAAGATCTTACCTCAAGTACCAAAGCAGAGTCAATGACGCCATCTTTATCTTCATCAACGGCATTAAGAAGCTCCTCAATTCGAGCTTGTTTTTTCTCATCCGTAATCGTCTTTAATTTCTTTAAAGAGTCGACAAGATCCGTGATACGCACAAGCCGCTCTCTAAAACTTTCATATAAATGACCAATATAACAATATAAAATTGAATCACTTCTTCTCCACGGCTGCTTCTGGTACAGCCGGGTCGGCGATTGTCTCATCGATATTTTTCTTATCGTCTTCAAGTTTGGTAACAAGATGATCAACATTTTCTAAAATTACAAGATTTCAAGATTGAATGTTAACTTACCAATCATCGAGTTTAGCCTGTTACGAAGGCGGGCAGCGACCTTTGATTCAGCGAATTGTCCATCAAGCGAACTGATTTCCAAAAGATCCTCGGAGTGCTCGATCACCTTCTCTTTCAGGCCAATAATATCATGCTTAGCTTCATGCAGTGCACCGCCGTGAAGGATGTTCTAAATTACAATATAGAAATTTTATTGAGCCTCTCGAATTCACCTCAATTGATGCCAATTCCTTTGGATCAACTTTAATTTCTTCTTTAATGGCTTCTTTTGTTGGCTTGGTAGCTTGTGCGGCTGCATCTTTTGATAGATGAGCCAGTGTTGATTTCACTTCTTCAACACTTTGATGAGCTGCTTTGGCTGCTTCTGCGATAGCCTCTCCAAGAATTGATTGTGTCTAAAAATTTCTTCTTATTGCAATGAGCTGTTTGACAAAACCTTCATTTCATCAGCCAGATCTTGAATGTTTTTAGCCTTTTCAGCTTCAAGTTCAGCTTTAGCGGCAACTTCCTTTTGTTTCTAAAAATTTTGTTTGTTTCCCGAAACATTCGAAGAATTTACCTCTTGTTGCTGTTTCACGGCAAGGTCCTTTTCTTTCTTGATTCCCTCTTCAATTGCTTTGATCAGAGCAATCCTAGCTTTGTGGTCAATTTTTCCTCCCTCCATTTCGGTCAGCTTTTGACGAGTCTGTTCGGCGATTCCTAATCGTAACTTGGTTCTGATAAAAATTCTGAAACTCACCATCTGGTAAATTCTTCATAATATTCTTGAGCCGGTCAGTAAAGGAGAAGTCTTCTGGTAGATACATTGTGCGTGACAACAAAAGAAGAGATGGAGGTACTTTGTCGTTTAGGGAGAGCTCTAACCATTGTCGCATCTAAAACAGTTCATTGCACAACAAGTTAAATGCATATTAATGACTACTAACGCTACGTGTTGTAGTGAAATTGAAAAAATTTACTTGTTCTTTCAGTCGATCTTCTGAAACACCAACACTTCTCATTCCACGGGCGCGGCAGGCAATTTGAAGTTCGGGAATAGGTAAGGCATCTACACCACCTTCAGCCGCAATTTGCTGAAAAAACAAGAAAATTAAACAAAAATTATTAAATTATATTAGACTGACTAAATAGTTTACTTTATCATCGGCTTTCAGTTCACGGAGCTTCAGATTCAATTGGAAACGAAGAATTTCGGGTGTTCCAAGTGGTTGAATAGACAATAGTTTGCAAAGAGCACGTAGTTGCGACATGGAAAGATTGTCCAAAGTAAGTTCATCCTAAAAAATTCCTTATTAGGATCCTACTTCAACTGTACCTCAAAAAGTTTTGTGTATTTGAATAGATCTGCATTCGAAACATATCCGCCTTCAGTGCGAACCTAAAAATTATTTTGTAAGAATTGGTATCAAAGAAACAATCACCTTTTTGATGAATTGAGCAAATTCAAGAGCCTTGCTTTCTGTTGGCTTTACTTCTTTGCTTCGGCTTTTCTTTTCCAGTGCAATTTCCTCGATTGTATCTTGCAAAAATTTGGCCATCTCAACACGCACCTTTAGTTGTTTTGCAATTTTCTCTTCCTAAATTCGTTCGTTGCACAATCAAAGATTAAACAACAACCTCTTTGGATTTTTCCTGGAAAGTTGATGGCAACATATTTGGGAAGAATTTGATAAAGAATGGCAAGGCCAATTCCATAAAAGGCACGATGATGAAAATCGAAAATGGCACAAGACGAAACAAGTCCGAAACAGTTCTCACCTGAAATTATATTTTAAAAATATTAACCTTTAAATCAAACCAGTTGTTGCCTTTCTTTGCGTGTTAAAGAGCTTCCCCGCACTATGCGAAACAGGTATTTAGCCCCGAGCCGAGTTTCTAAGGCAAGTAGTCGAAAGCCATGATAGTAATGCTTCAACTCATGCATAATCTTCTGTCCAATAGTTAGCTTCTGAACTTCACCAGATGCAGCCGGAACCTAAAAATAAGAATTAGTATTTTTTTAACAAAAAGTTCAATCCAAACACAAAAACCTACTAGCTTTAAACGCTGTGTTTCTTCGGCTTGTTGCCTTTCCAAGTCTTCCTTTAACATTTTCAACGTTTCTTCCACTTTGCTTCTAAATTGATAACCTTATGGCTTCTTTAACTTAACAAAAGTACCGATCGGTTGCTGCATATCGCACCGAAGCAAGATGAATTTGGGCCCGATGAAGCGCAATTGGATTGTTGAGATGATATCTAAAATAGAATATTGTTAGAAGTTTTTCACATTAACGTACATTTATATAATATGATAGTGAGTTCTATACCACAAATTTTCTTTGAATTTTCAAATTTCTTGGTTGTGAAAGCTTTGGAGATCATGCTGCTCAATTTTTTACTAAAGGAAAAAGAGATTTTTGGTGCAATGGCCTTGAAACCGTCCTTTGAGAATCGCTAGATCCAGCAATGAGAAAACTGGCTTAAAAAGTTCTTACATGAAATTTTTTTAAGAGCTTTTCATTGTAAGTTAGTTACAATGCATCAGTTTTTTGTTTTAAAGTCATCAGTATTTCATCACTAAAATGTGGCGAAATCAGCTGTTCGATTCCATATGATTTGACTAGATCATATTTGACTTTGATTAAAATAGGCACACTTTTTGAAAAACTTAAACAAAAGATAAAAACAAAACATTAACCTTGCAGTTCCAGAAAGACCCTTGTAGGCATGTCGAGCTAGTCGAAACGTGCTTTTGCACTGACGATACATTCTCGTCGTTGACAAATGCTTTCTCTCGCTTTTCTTTCTTTTATATGCTAAGATCTAAATTACATCATTTCAAATGCATAAACTATGTAAGAAAATGAATGTTTGAAAGGTAAAAAGTGCAAAGGCGATTCGAGAAAACAAGAAGCAACTGCGAGATCCAAAGAGTATCAACAAGAGTGAAAAACTGAAGGAAAAGCCGACTCGGTCAGATATTTTGGGGGTTTAGGGGGACGCAACAGATAACCTGACCACCACACAGACCCGTCCCCCTGTCTACGAGTCGTTCCTCTCATTGAAACGAGAAAGAAAAGGGGAAAACGAAGGCCATAGTTGCTGAGAGATGTGAAGAAGAATGATGGACGAGTGAACGAAAGGAGCAACTTATAAGCGCCGAAAGACCGCAAAGTACGGTAACAACTTTTTCTACTCTTATTCAAAATTCGAATTCATAAAACATTGTTTTACTCCTGGGCAAAGTTGTTTGTGTATCAATATACTTTTTTGTTTCTTTATTTAAGCTTATAGTTAGCTAGATAACTGCCTACCTAGGCACCTCTAGATAACTAAAACACATTTTTACCCTAAAGCCTTTAAAAGAAAATCTTTTGAAAGGTTTGATAACCCAATAGGAGTTAACTTGTACTCGTTAATTTTCTGTTGTCTTTTCGTTTATTCTTGCTCACTTTTTACTTCATTTAAGCTTTAATTTTTAGGAAAAAATGTCATCAAGCTCAGACGAGGATGTGAAAAACTTGAGCAAAAAGGAAATTCAAGTAAATTGTAGCGGTTAATTAAATTTCATTTTGTTTCTAGGAAATCGAGAGAAAGAAGAAGCGCAATAAGCAGAAGAAACAATCAAAGAGGCGAGCCAATGCGAAGGATACTAAGGTTTGTTGCCTTCGTTAATGCTAATGGTGTATGCTGTTCATTTTAATCATGGATGCAAAAAATCATACCTGTCTAACTGTTTTATTAAGTTTTAACTTTAGGATTCTGGAATTGAAGTGGAACCACAAGATGAGCCACGCGAGGGTGAAAAGGAAGCACGAGAAAAGCAAGCGGAAGATATTGCTGATATTGTTATCGACATCGAATACGTTGGAGAGATGCCTGTTTTGGACCAGAAAGATCCCAATTTCACCTACTTCAACCAAATCTTTAACACTTTCAAGGTTTGTTTAAACTAACTAATCACCAAAGCATTTATTTTAGATCACTGGTGATGAAATCAAGAAAGAGGCAGAGGTTAAGTCAGAAGCGTTTCCGGTTGCAAAGAAAAGTGAAGATGACAGCCGAGCTCTTACGGAGAAAATTTTCCAAGTAAAGTTTTAATTATCAAGTGTTATTGTTCTATGTTATTCCTAACATAATGAATTTCCTTTTAGGAAGAAATGCTGAGCAATAAGGAAAAAGAAGACCATAAATTGAGCAAAAAGAAGTTGCGATTAATGCTTCAACCTTCGATCGCGGCTCTAAAAGAAAACACTCCTCGTCCAGACGTTGTGGAATGGGCGAGTTTTTTGGAAATCTACTCAAGGGTTGTTACAGTAAAAAAATTGAAGTGGTAATTTTAGGCCGATGTTACTTCGCGTGATCCGCATTTGCTTGTGGCCATGAAAGCTTATAGAAACACAGTCCCCGTGCCACGACATTGGAATGCTAAGAGAAAGTAGGGGTATTCTTTCTAAATTTATGGAAGTAAAGTATATAAAATCCATTTGTTTAGATATCTAGCTGGAAAGCGTGGCTTCGAAAGAGCTCCATTCCAGCTACCTGACTACATTCGTCGAACAGGCATTCAAGAAATGCGAGAATCTCTTTGGGAGAAGGTTTAATTATTTAGAACTATCTAAACGAATCAATTTTTGTAGGAACATTCACAAAATCTGAAATCAGTGGCGCGCGAAAGAGCTCGGCCTAAACTTGGAAAGATTGACATCGATTACCAAAAGCTTCATGGTATTATTATTTTCTATTCACAATGCACAACGTAATTTCTATACGATAGATTAGGTATTCTTTTACCAACCAATAAATTACAGATGCATTCTTCAAATGGCAAACCAAACCTTTTATGTCAAAGATGGGCGAGCTTTACTATGAAGGAAAAGTAAGCATTTCGTTTTTTTTAAAAATCATATTTTGTTACAGGAGGGTGAAGCGCAAATGAGGGATTTGAAGCCTGGAAATCTTTCCGATGAGCTCCGCATTGCTTTGGGTATGCCTGTTGGACCGGTGAGGTTAACGTTAGAACTCCGTTTATTGATTCTTTGTTTAGAATGCTCAGAAATTTCCTCCTCCTTGGTTGATCGCAATGCAGGTAAAAATTTTTGTGAATTATCAAGCGTTCTTAATTTCAGCGCTACGGACCACCACCATCATATCCAACATTGAAAATTGCGGGTCTTAGCGCTCCAATTCCAGAGGTATTTTTATCGTAAAAACGTCCATCAAAGAAATTTAGAGTTGTTCATTTGGATATCATGCGGGAGGATGGGGAAAGCCACCTGTCGATGATTTTGGAAAGCCACTTTACGGAGATGTTTTTGGACTTGAGGTTTTTATTAATATGCTTACCTTTGACACTCACGTTTTTAGGTGAGTCATCTAGCCGACCAGGAAGACGAAAATATGATTGAACGGCGTTTCTGGGGAGAAATTGGCACTGATGAGTCGAGTGAAGAAGAATCTGAAGAAGAGGAAGAGGAGGAACAACCAGAAAAAGAACGTAAGTTAGATGATCGTAAAAGCCATGAATCGAGTATTTAGCTTCCGGTATGAAGACACCAATGGGTGAAGGTTTTGCAACTCCATCGGGTATTGCGTCAGGAGTGGTGACGGCTGTCTCTGGAATGGATACACCCGAAACAATCGAATTAAGAAAGGGTCGAAGAGCCGATGAAAGGTGTGAATGCGCAAAGACTTTTTGTTAAATGCTTTTAGTACAACTGGTGCGGACACTCCTGCTGCTGCCTATCATATCATTCCCGAAAAGAAAGTGGATCGTGTTGCCGGAGCGATGATGGCTAGCACTCATGTTTATGATCTCTCCGTATGTTTCTACTTACACTGCTCCAAAGTTTATTTTTTTTCCAGAAAAAACAAGCGATGAATGAAGGTGGTGTAGAAATTTCTCTTGATCCAGAGTCTATGGCTGAGCTTGATCCAAAGAAATTGGAAGAAAAGTATATTTTTTGTGTATTCCGTTTAATCACGATTGTTCTAGGTACGAAGAGGTTCTAAGAAAGCAAAGCAAGGCCAACGCTGAAGGCAACGAAGATTTTTCGGATATGGTGGCTGAACATAGCGCTTCTCAAAATGTACGCATTTGCATCACTAACATATCAAATTCAAAACCTTTAGCGCAAACGTAAAGCTGTGGATACAAAGAAAACGGACAAAGGAAGCGGAAAGAAACAAAAAGATTTTAAGTTTTAATTTCTTTTTTGTATTTTTTTTATTTATTTTTTGAAAATTTGTTGTGTTAATAGTTATCATTAATTTCCCGTGGAATAAATTGTTTGATCCAGAAGTTGTTTGATGATGCAGTGTTCGTGAAGACATACATCGTATATTGTATATTGTGAATGCACATGCAGATTTCTGCAAAGGTCCTCTGCGCTCATCGTATGTTATTTGTCTAGACATACTTTATTTAGAATGGCCGCCGGTGGTCAAGATACAGTCTATCAAGCGTTGTCTGCCGATGAACCCTCAGCAGCACCGATTGAAATTGAGAGTCTTTGTATGCAGTGTCATGAAAATGTAAGGCAATGTTATAACCTGCGGGAAAGTTAAAAATTCATCTTGTTTAGGGAACAACCCGTTTGTTGTTGACTACGATTCCATACTACAAGGCCGTGATTTTGATGTCATTTGAATGCCCTCATTGCGGTTGTAAAAACAACGAAATTCAGAGTGGAGAGGCCGTTCAGGCAAGATTTTTTTCTTCCACAAGTGACGGGGGTTTTTTAGGAGCATGGGACTGAAATAACGTTGAACGTAACGGAACCTGCAGACATTCGAAGGCAACTTGTATTTTTTATTTCTAGACCTTTAAATACTTGAATTCAGGTCAAATCCGAATATGCGTCGATTGAAGTTCCATCAATGCAACTAACAATTCCACCTAAGTCTCAGCCTGGCGGTACAGTTGTGTGTCATTTTATTAGATTTTGGTTTTAGAGGTCACCACAGTTGAAGGAGTGATACAACGAGTTATTGATGGGTTGTCTCAAGAGCAAGAGGAAAGAAAGTATAAATGATGGTTAAACTAGGAATAATTTTTTTGCCTATTTAGAAAATTGCACCCGGAATTGGCGGAACAAATTGCGGAGTTTCTTGGGAAACTTCAGCGATTGTTGGATTTAAGGGAACCCTGGAAACTGGTAATTTTAGTTGTCAACCACTGTTTTCAAACAGCATAAAAAATAAAATTTTATTTTTACTGTGCTAATTAACTAATTTAGGTACTCCGCGATCCAACAGGAAACTGCTACATTCAAAATCCCGATCCAATGCATGTTGACAGTCGTTGCATCATTGCTCACTATCATCGATCATTGGATGAAACGAAACTCCTGGGGTTTGCCGACGATCAAGAGTACGTTTTTGCAAGATGTTTTTGATAACAGTTAACTTTATTAAGATTCATTTTTTAGAGTTGAAGAGATAGCGGCTCCTTTTGGTTCAGAAGAAGAAATAACCCAGGAAGTTCTGCATTTCCCTACAAATTGTGATCAATGTGGTGCTGAAGGACAAACACTAATGAAACCAACTGGTGATTTATAGTTGCGATATTAAGTTTACTGATTTTAGAAATACCATTCTTTCAAATGGTAATTATTATGTCTTTTGCGTGTGATGTGTGCGGTCATAAATCAAATGAGGTCAAGAGTGGAGGAGCAATAAGAGAACATGGTTGCCGAATTGAATTAAGAATAGAAGAGGTTTCTAAAGCAAAAATATCGCTATTATTTACAAATTTTTAGCAAGTGGACCTGGCTCGTGACGTCTTAAAATCAGATACTTGTGGTTTGGAAATTCCGGAGCTAGAATTGGAGGTATAGATTATTTTCATTTTTCTCAAGTTACCCAAACTCATCAAAGGTTGGCTATGGAGCTCTTTCTGGTCGATTTACCACCGTCGAAGGATTACTCATGGCGACAAAAGTTGTTATTAGTAGTTTTAGCTTTAAAAAATGTTCCTAGGAGCAACTCCAAGAACAATTCAAGTTTTTTATGGGCGACAGTGCTGATGATGGACAACGAACGCATATTGTTGCACTTATGGAGACTTTTGACCAGGTTTGATTTATAGAAAAGGATAGAAGAAGCTTTATAAAAACTTTTAGATTATTGCTCTTAAAAAAGTTGTGACGATAATTTTGGATGACCCCGCTGGTAATAGCTATATTCAGGTTTGGTTAAATTCGTTTGACAATTTTTAATTTAAAACAACCTGCAGAGTCTGTCAGCACCACTAGATGATCCACGGTTAAATAAGAACTTTTACGTGCGTTCTTATGAGCAAAACGACGAGCTCGGTCTCAATGATATGAAGGTAGATGCATAATTTATCAATATATTTCACCATGTCTTTAGGTCGAAAACTACGGTGAAATGGTGCCGATTGAAGAAGAGAATGAGGAAGAAATTAAATGACCTGTGATTTTTTTCATGTTAAATTTACATGTTTTGTTTTATTGTTAAAGCCTGATTGTTGATTTTAGAAAAATAAAATTTATTCCGTTTTTTTGCAAGGTGATCTAATAAGTAGGATTCTTTTGGGTATTTAACTACTTTGAATCTTTTTGTGGACCTGGGATTGATCAGCCTCGATCAGTAAAGAAACTCCATGATCAACGACAGTTTCGAGCACTTCCCAACACTCCTATAAGTTTCTTTTAACTTGTCACGATGCGTGCTTACTTTGACAGCCTTGGCACTCCCCGGAAAATTGACGATCAAAGTTTTCTGGAAGATTCCTGCAGAGAGTCGTGACCTAAAAATGTCAAAACTGCTTTGTACCTAGCAGACAATAACAGCATAAGTTTTTGCTCACTTACAATGCAGCAAATGGAGTGATTTGCAGGGAACGCACATGAATTGCTGTCTCCAAGCCTCCACATCGCCTCTCAATCACTTCATTTGTGGCCTGAATTTTATTAATTTGTTCAATTCTTGTTATTTTTTAATTCACTTCGGGGGTCACATCTCTAGGAGCCCATCCTGTACCACCAGTTGTAATAATAACATCTAAAACTTTTGTGATTGAGATTGTTTTGTTATTCAACTTTACCACATTCACCGCATAGGCTTCGCAATATTTTTACAATTTCCTCTTTTTCATCCGGTATTAGATGGGGCCCACTCACTTGGGGAGCCTCTTTCAATCTGAAAATTAAAATTTTTGTTTTTATCTTGACTTTAAGAATTCTTTTGGTCTATTTTTCACTTTTCAGATTCACGAATCAGCTCGACGAGAAGCGGACCGCTTTTATCGACAGCTGTCCCGTTGCTGCACGAATCACTTACTAAAGGTAAAGATTTACATTGAAATATTTATTAAAAGTTACCTGTTATGATGGAAAAACGCATTGTTGCAGTAAATAATCGCTTATCATTTTTGATCTATCCCAATCCCGAAAAACTGACCACAGACTACAGTTTTTGACCAGTAGTGTACGGTTCAATATATGAGGGCGCAAAGATATTATATAAGCCCTGATTAAAAAGACCGTGTGCATTCAAAACGATCTTTTTTAGATGTCTTCGCGGCTGAACGTAGAAGGAGACGGATCACCTTCGACATCACCGAAACGATTGCGAATTGCTGATGGAAACGAAAGTGATGGGGATTCGGTGGCAAATTCAATTGTTATGGAGCAGCAGGTTGATTTGAAAATTTATTTTTTAAAAATTTCTGAAAATTAGAAATTCTAATTGAAAATTCTTCTTTTATTCAAATTTTGCAAAGTTATTATTAGCCGTTTAGGGTAACCGTCCTCCATTCACTCGAGCCCACAAAATAGTGAGAGATCCGGAACGATTTCATCTTCTCATCGGAGTGACCGGATCTGTAGCTACAATCAAACTTGCCGAATTGATCAAGAAACTTCACGAAACAAGCCCACCGGGGAAACTTTTTATAAAGGCATTATTTTAGAAGTATATCATAAACGTTTAATTTTGTAGGTAGTGGCGACTCAATGTGGACTGAGAATGGTGGAGACAATTGAGGAAGAAATGGCCGACATTGAAGAAATCATTTATGATGACAGAGATGAGTGGTCGATGTGGAGAGAAAGAGGAGACCCTGTACTGCATATTGGTGAGCATTTTTTGTAGTTCTACAAAAAATAAAAAGACGCCTACCCGTATTACTTTGCGCAAAGATTCCTGACTATGAATTTTTGTTTTAGAACTTCGAAAATGGGCTGATGCGCTTTTGATTGCCCCACTCGATGCGAACACTCTTGCCAAAATTGCTAATGGACTTTGTGATAATCTTCTCACATCGATTGTTAGGTAAATCTTGATTAACTTTATTAAGGTTAAGACTTTTTGCTTGCATACTTTTTTACTCTTAGAGCATGGGATTCGGAAAAGCCACTATATTTTGCTCCAGCGATGAATACGATGATGTGGGCAAATCCCATCACGCATCAACATCGAAAAGTTCTACAGGAATTTTTCCAGTACAAAGTTAGTTAATTCTGATGTTCAAGAAAAAATAATGAGTGATATAGGAAATTCAACCAATTTCAAAGATGTTGATGTGCGGAGATACTGGAGCGGGTTTGCTTTTTTAAAAATAATCTTCAATAACAAAGCTAGTAGCCGGTGATTTCTTTTTCTGGAAAAATATAAACTTTTGGTATTTTGAGGTGTTTTTAAAAGAACAAAATAACTTTATTGTAACCTTTTGTCCGAAGTAATCTGTAGATTTAGGTGGTATGGCAACGGTTCAGATGATTGCCACTGTAATGAGTCAAATGGTGCGAAATCGATTTGCCGTCTACTCACCAGTTGTATAATTTTGATTGTTCTTTTTAAATTGTTATTGGTCTCATTTTTGGCGTGTATTCATTGTTTATCAGTAGCTTCTACATTAAAACTCCAGTTTCTTGGTATGTTTGAGTGTTTCAAATTGCTTTTTACGGGTTAATAAATTGTTCCGAGTGATGAATTTTTTAAATTGAGTGATAACCAATAAAGGAAAGGTGCTTAAAGATATTTGAATCGTTTATGACTGTCCAAACAAAATTCAGTTAGCTGCTCATCGAGATAGGCTGACATGTGGATATTTGGGTATGGATCTCTGATGTGGTATACGGATTTCCCGTATCAAAAGGTTTTAGGTAAAGTCAAAACGTTTGCGTTCATTAAATAGATCGGCCAAAACCAATTTAGGAGGTACCGTGCGGGGATTTGAACGGAGATTCTGGCAACTTTCGCCCGATCACCGAGGGACTCCTGAAAAGGTTTCAAAAAAAATGAAAGATCATGTGCACCAAAATGCTAATTTGATTTAATTTAGCCCGGCCGAACAGTCACCCTGGTATCAGTGAAAGAGGTTTGGAAAAAGTAAATTGAATCGAATTACAACGATCCTTCAGGGTCACTGCTGGGGCTTAGCTTACAAGGTGCCCGAGAATGAAGTGGAAAAAACGATCAAATATTTGGATCATCGAGAAAAAGCCGGCTATTCGGTAATTCTAGAAGAATAAATGAGCACACAAAACATTTAGATTCAATATTTGGACTTTTATCCCGATAATGGAGAGAAGCCATTTAAGGTAAGTCAACCAAATGAAAAAACTGAATTGACGATTACGATCATGTTTCGGAAATTGACTTTTCGCTGTTACTAACTGAGAAACCGTGTTATATAGAAGCATAAAAATAAAAGGGCTAAAATCCAATTTTTTTTTTCGCGTTTTGCACGAATTTGTATGAAAGAAAAAAAATGGTTTTTCAAGTTTCGGGGGGGGGGGGGCAGCAAATTAGTGTAGCAAACTAAACTGAAGCTGGGGGTGCAGTAGACTCGCGGTTGGGTATAAAGATGAGCATATTCGCCAAACTCCAATTTTAGGTGGCCGTTTACATATCACCACAAAGTGACAACGAGTTTCACGCTGGACCCACAGAAATTGAGGAGGTTGCACTGCAGGTCAGTTTTTAAATTAACGATAATTATGAAGGGATTTTTCTATTTTGAGATATATTATTCGACTACAAAATGAAAAACTTTAGATACTAGATTGTCATGGCCCTTCCGGACCAAATCTCGAATATGCATTACGAGTCGCTGATATTCTTCACAAAAAGGTATAGGAGATTGATGCCATAAAATTGAATACATTTCAGGCTCCACATTATATTGACGAACATGTGTTCGAACTCGAGAAGTTGTTGCTGAAAAAGGCAATCGGTAAGTTAGTATGTAAGATTAGCACTGAAAAACCGTGACAGTATCTTTTTTTCGTCAACAATTCAAAATGATTATAGAGAGTGGCACCGGACTTCACATTCTCGAGACTTTGGGATATTCAGCCAAAAGTTCATGAGCTTTTACGGTTTCCATATTTTTCATCCACTGTGATTTTCGACTATTTTCTGAGTTATTGCAATTAATAAATGTGTCAAACGATTTGCACAATGTGTCACTCAACGTTTCCATTTAAACTTGTAAAAATGACTGCATTTTGAAAGACTTTATCGAACATTTCTATTTCTCTATATTTCTCTATTTTTCTAGAGTAAACCATAAATCACAGCCAACTGTCAACGTATGCTTTTTGTCTGTATTTTCTTCACAGCCTCTCATGCTGTTTTCGAGTTCACTTCTTTCAAAGTTTAAGTTGCCGAATTGCGAAAGATTCCATGCAAACTCGTAAAACAATCAAAACGAGTGTAGGCGAGAGGTTTAAAAATTCAAACTTCACTTAAATCACAGCTATCTGGTGGTTCCTTTACACTAATCAATTTGTACTTAACTTATTAACCTTTTGCTCTTGGTTCTAATCGTGAATGCAAAGAACCAGGCTTTCAGGCTAGATCCAACTAAGCCGATCGATATTTCACTACCCGTCCATGTTCAGTTTTTGGCTCCATCAACATTTACCTTACCTTTCTGCAACAGAATTGCAGTATACAAACCTTTTGATACCAGAAAACTATATTCTTTGCAAGATCAAACCATGAGCAATCGAAAAGCAAAAGGTGTTAAACTTCGAGCCGAATCATCGTTCTTTTTCGATTTTTTTTTCCATCAAAAAGTTGTTTATCTCATTTAAATTCAATGTGTGCCTTTGTATGAGTGTGAGTGTTTGTGAATCGCTTTCTGTTTGCGCTGACACGATAGGAGATAATTCTATACGGGGAAACGGTTTCTTTCGTTTTCTTCATTTCCTTTCGATCAGTGATCGATTCATCGATTCAAACCGGAATTGACCTTTTTTAGCTCGTTCCGGGATGAATTCGAGGCTGTTCCACTTAGCCGTAACTATACCGTTTTAACTCTTGAACTATTTTCAGCAATCAAAACCATTTGCAGTGTTCATTTTGCTGAACTGAGCTCTGGGCGTAAGTCCGTGTTTCTTATCAATTGGATTAAATGAGAAATCCGAGTCGAATTCGAGAAAACTAGAAATTGATGACGAATCAACCCTTTGAACCGTCTTATTTTGATATGAAAACAATAAAAACTCCAAGGTGAAAAGAAAATCCAACTTTGTTTTTGGTTAGGCTCAGTTGAGCTCTGTTGAGCATTCTAAACTAAGCATTCCATTCAGTACTGACCCCTGATGTTCACCCAATGAGAATAAAAGCTACCAAACCCACAGCCAACTCTCCAAAGGCTTTTTTTGGCCTTAAGACTTTGCTATGATTTGTGTTATTTACACTCTTTAGAAGATTTCATTGTCCCACAAAATCACCAGTTCTACAATCACCCAAAAGATGACTATTCTAATCAAATCACCCATAGAAAATAGGGGAATGACCTGTTTGTTGGGATTTCCCTGTGATCTTTTCCCTATTTTTTCTCTTCAATCTACTGTATGTATCTTTTTTCCATTTCCCTCTCATTTCCTCTCAACTTCCTCATTCACTCAACCACTCAATCCATCGTTTTCCCCTTTTCTTTTCTCTCCGATACGACCGGCTCTCCTCTCCTCTCAACAACCTTTTCTCCCTTTGAAAAGCGATCGATTCATCGATTTGTGTTTCTTTTTTCCGAACACATAAATAGATTCGACTGCTTTTTACAATGACGTCATTGATTAGTCGATCTTGGTTGTTGTTTCTTCAACAAGTTGTTCTATGTTCGTCAACATGAGCTTTACCTCTCAAAATAGCTGTTTAGTCATTAAGATTAAGATTCAACTTATACACCAATGCATCCCTATGCGGATTCTTAAACTTGCATCCATTCAGCGTTATTCCTTGGGTCATCATTTATCATTTATCTGAGCAATTTAATTGCACACCCGAAATGTTCAAAGACTACATAATGGCCCAAGTCAAACCGATCTCTCTATCTCGACCTTTCAGTCATTCATTTATCGTTATTTCTTTTTGCTTGCCCTTTTTTAGTGATCTTTCCGAAATTTGATCTCTTTATTTATTTGGACCATGAAAGTACTTCAAATCTATAGATACTTCAAATCTATAAGACGTTCCTCAATTAAAGGTCCAAAAATTTGAACTGTTAGTATATTTCTACGATTATTCTGTTCTAGTCAGTTCAAATTTCCAATTCGGAATGTAGATTTTGCGCTGTTTTCACAGCAACAACCACTTCCTGTGCCTATTTTTGGATAAAAACATTGAAACTCCAGGTTCACTCGTTTTGTCGTTAAACCCTCAACTACAGTAATCCTTAAGAGAACAGCAAAAAAAAACGAAGGGTTCTGCCAAGCTGAGTCAGCCGATTTTGTGAGCGTTTTTTCGAGGACAGCAGTGAATGGGAAAGGGGTGAACGAAGAGAGCAACGCCATCTCTTGCCTGTGTCCCCCTTTCCACACTACGACATTCCCCCTTTCGCAACTCGTTTCCCTATCAGCGACAGTCTCCCTCTCTTGGCCCTATCCTTCTTTTTCTCTCCAGATTGTCAACACAACAAACTCAAAACTTCAAATACGGCTTATCTTTTTTTGTGTTTGCCTCTCTTTTTTCCCAAAAATTGATAGGCTTTAAAATGGTCTTCTTCCGTTGGTTGGCTTCTCATGAGCCTACAAAATTTTTTATTTCTCATCTTTGAACACATTTAGGAGAATTGATTTTTGCATTTTATCGAATAAACGACAAACTCGACCGTTATTTTTGTTTTTTTTGCTTGTGTTTCTAGACAGCTATTCTTGTTTCTTTCTCTTATTCGAATCCTTTTTCGCTTTTCAATTTTTTTCTTTTCAGCTATGGATCGGCCGAGCAGCGAGGATTTGGGTTCTAAAGAACCGTTACTGGAAATAAAAGTAAGCTCTTTTCTTTAAAAATTTAACTTACTATTTGTTTAACATGCCTAACTAGCTTCTAAAGTCGATAACCATTTTGCCTAAAAAATTTCGAGGTCATGAAGATTGCGCCGCTGTGTAAAAAACGAAAAGTGCTCTGAATGGAATTGCCATTTACCAGGGCCTTTGCTTTGTGCGAGCTGGTATCGAAATGTAGCCCTTCAATTGGGCTACACGATGGTATAAAAACTTTTAGAAAAACTTGTTTAATACAAGAAAAATGACCGCAAAGTGAGAGGCCGACGCAAAATGGCCGACTGTACATCGCAACACTAACAACGACGCACCGTCTTTTGTATGGGTGTGTAGTGTTGGTGCTCTCACTTTGCGGCCATTTTTCTTGTATTAAAGAAGAGTTTTTCTAAAAGTTTTTATACCAACATGTAGCCCAATTTTGATATCAGACTCGCACAAAGCGAAGGCCCTGTAAATGGCAATTCCATTCGGCGCAATTTTCGTTTTTACTCAGCGGCGCAATCTATATGGTTCCAAAATTTTAGCCACTTGCCGTTTCTGCAGGTATTTAAATTTCACCACAAAATATCTACCATAACCCTTATCATTCGACAAATTTATCCCCGGAACTGTTTTTTCCTCTTATTGTCCTTTATTGATGAACTCACGTTCACCGTTATCATTTTTTTGAAATAGAACCGTATCATTTTTTAAAGGAAAATGATGTAATTTTTTCAAACATTAAGTCATTTTTATGAAAACATCGTTACTATAGCTTGTTTTGAAGATTCATTCAAATTTCAGAGAGTTGGAGAGACAAAAATTGTTCATGGATCTGGATCAAGGAAAATCAGTACCGAACTTCGTTTGAAAGCATCGATGGAAGAACAAAAAGATGGGCAAAATGATGGTTGGTTTATAAGACTTTAAAATATTGACTAGGTGATAACGTTTTTTTCTTTTAACTTTTGCATTTCATCGTTTGTTGTTTCGAATCATCCCTTTTAAAAGTGTGAATCATTGTTGTAATCCCTTGAAAATTTTCACAACAACAGACAAAACAAAATATTTTCTCGAAATGGACCCTATTTGCTAATCGAATTCTCATTTCTCTCTTTTTTTTCTTTTTTTAAAAGGTCGATCACATCACATGGCAGAACCCTTCTCTTTGTTTTCTCTTTCCCCATTTTTTCTTCCCCATTTCTCTCCTCAAAAATCCTCTGGTTGTCTCCCATAGACGATGTTGAGAAAGATGAGAAAAGATTGGGGAAAATGCATAGAATACAGAGAAATGTCGATTTTTCCGCACTTTTCTGCCAAAGAAAATTTTGCCTTTCCATGCGTAAACACAAATCGAAACGTTTTAGAAGCCAAGATTCAGATCACTTTTAAAATTTGACTCCTTATTTTAAAAAAATTCTTTTCTCCACTAAAAATCCTTATTTCAAATTGATTACTTTAGAAACGATGCTCCCGGCGAGGCCAATCGAACCAGGATTCGTTCGCGAGAGTATGAGCCAGAAAAGAGGATTTCAGAAACCTTTGGAAATGGTAGTAATTTATTAATTATACATTTGATTATTAATTCATAGCTGTCATTTGTAAGTCTATTTCTATTCAATCGGATCTTTTTCAGATCCCCGACACTCCGGTTGCTCATGTAAGAACGGATCCTCATCCACACCACAAAACAAACTCGCCTATTTCGAACACTCTATAGTTGGATTCACTTGATATTCTCTGAAAGTCTCAAATTTAGTGAGCTAAACAATGTCTCCTCAGCTGGTCGAAGTGATTCTTCTGAGCCAATCGACATTTGCATTTACTTTCCCGATCAACAAGGTAAGCGATATCTAGAAGTGTAGAAGTTGAGAATTCTTTGAATATTTGACAATTGCCTTATTCATTTTCCATAATATGACGTAAATTTCCCACCCGCAATTCTCATTTTTCCAGGTTACCAATTCTCGGTGGAAAACGGGCGTTTGGCGCAAGCGGACTTTCTGCTTGAATTGGCAGTAAATCAGAAAAATGTAAAAGGAGCACAAGTTTCAGTGTGGAATGAAGCTTTCGCCCTTTGGATGGTCAGCCCTTTGCTAGGTGAGTTAGTGACGGGGAGGAGAAAAAAATCTCATATGGGTATTCAACCGAGAGATCGCAATCAGTTCTTTGACCCGGTTAGATCGACAATGCACGTGTCTACTGAATATTGCATTATCTTGGTTTTTGAAAAATGTTTTAACAATAAGTAGTCAAGTATCAAGAAGTATCAAAAAACAAAACCAAGTTTAAATGAGAGTTTTAAGAAGTACAACTCAAGAGCTATCATCCCCCGTACGAGGTGCGGAGACAGTGGGCCAACTTTTTGAAGTGAGTTTGGAAAATATATAGATATACATTGAATATTCAAAACATTGATAGACTTTAAAATCTTAAAAATAAACAATCTTATAATATTTAAAACTTAAATTTGTAGGAAATACACGAACGCGAGCACTGACGAGATTTTGAATGACGAGCCGATGCTGATGATCAGAAGAAATGTGACACTGCCGATTGAAAGAGAGAAAAAGGTGGGTAGAACAGATATTTATACAAATATTATAGTGCAATTATATTATTAGGCCAATGTATATCTTAATCTAGAATTCAAAAATCAATTTCCAGATTTGCGAGGACGACAAACAAGCCCTCCAAGTATTATTCGAGGACGCCCACACGCAATTCATCCAAGGAAGGTGAGAGAAAATAGGAAGCTGCAAGCACAATATTGAGTAAATGAAAACAAAGTTGCAAGCAATATGGAGTATATGAAATCATATACTATAGAATTCTTACTTTAGTGTTGAAATATACAATACTATTCAGATATGCCTTCGATAATTGTCGAGACGCAGCGGAAATGGCCGGATTATCATTGGCGGCTGTGCTTGGGGGATGTCCTGAGCACGATCTTGTCAAATTGAGGTATTTGATTGCCATGATTAAGTAAGCTGAGTGTTTGCCAATCAAATCGATAAAATACTGCAATAATTTCTTGTTTCAGAAGTGAACTCGAGGAGCATCTTCCCGAGAGACATCTCAGCTCAGTGCGCGGTCCAATCGTCTTCGGAAAAGCTCTTTCGGGAACAAAAGAAATGGAAGATGTGGTTTTGAGAGCATGGAGAAAAGGAGGAGAAGATAGATATAAAGCGATGAATGAATATTTGGCAAAAGCAAGAGAATCGCCATGTTATGGGTGAGTTTTCTTCAAATTATTATATTTTATGACTATTATATTCATTATGTTCAAACTATTATATTTTAGATATACAATCTTAAACCCAATATCAGAAATGTTACTTATCTTCTTCCACTTTCAGAGCCGCTTTCTTTGCTGGATCGATTGAGAGACCAAATCTATCTTTCGGACAATTCCTCAAACAAAGCTGGTTCACCTCGTCAAACAGTGATATCAAGGTGAGTTTATTGGCTGATGTCGTTTTGAGTTTTCACATTTTATTTATTATTTTATTTAGGTGAGAGTCAGTGTCAACATGGAAACAATTTGTGTGATCGATGAAGGAAAGGGTGACCTCTTGTTAGTCCAACCAATTGACGATTGTTCGTGGAGTGTGATTGAGAGGTAAAGATTAACAGAAAATGACTGACAAATGTATTCTTTTCAGAAAAGAGCCACCCGAGGAGGATGATGAAGTCGAAGAATCGTCCCTTCTTCTCCATTTCCCCGAAACAAATTCCGATTCAGGAATCAGTTCAGGAGAAGAAGCAAAGAGGAGTGTCGTTGAGCGGAAATTCAGAAAATCAAGGAAAAATGCTGCCCCCAAAAATGGACAGGAGACAAAATTGTTACAGGTTTGGGAAAATTTTTTTTTTACCATTAAACTATTTGATCACTTTAAATTTCCCTAGTTATTCTCAATTTTTAGGTCTTTTGCTATCAAGCGATGATGATCGATGCCTTGTTAAAAACGATGAAAGATTTGGGAAAGGCTCGATCGATTCAAATCGGAAGACATCGGGTAAGAAATTGGAAATGGTAGATGAGAAAGTCTAGGTTACAATTCAGTTTGTTCAAAAAATTCAACTTTTCAGTCATCATCTCCAGAAGAAGGATTCTCAAATGAAAGCTTTGAGCCATCATCATCGAGTTCGAGTGAAGGAGGATTTCATTTAAGGAGAGCTGTTGGAAGACAGCCAAGTTTGACAAAGGTGAGCTTGAATCCTTGACTTGACTTGAATCATCCTTGACAAAGGATGAAAGGAATACAATAAGAAAATAGGAACAAAGAATACAATAAGTTTTAACTATCCAATGAACTATCCAATAAACTATCCAATTTATTCAATTAAAATGATCACTATTGTACGTGTTGACTTATCTGAAGAGTTTAGAAAGATAATCATAGTTCAGTTGAGTTGCTTTACATAGATACTATCTATATAAAACAGTAATCACAGTAAAGCAAGTCCAAGCACAATTGCAATTGTTTTTTTTTTGTAAAATTTGATAAAGATAGATTCTAGCATCAGCACATCAGTTAAATATCCTCATTTTCAGGGCCACCGAATGTGTTTGGCCACTTTTGATGCTTCAGGTCAATGCCTTAAAGCCCAAGGAAGTCTGAAGAAAGTTCTCACCGTGAAATAGTTATTCTCTGCCTTGAGAATTCTACTTAATTTATTCTTAACCCTTCCCATATTTTGTACATATTTGCATAGAATAGTTTCCCTCTTTTGTTCTTTCTCTTCCCCTTTTTTTTCCTCTCTCTTATCTTTTCTCTGTACATTCGGCCGCCACCATTTTCGTTCTATATCTCTGAAAATTTGGAAATCTTTTCTTCTGCAAAATTTTGGGTAATTTTTGTGTCCCGGTTTGATGTCATCTCTGTGAAAAAAAAAACACCAAAATTCTCCCCTATTTTCTCATCGTTTTTTTTCTTGGTTCCAAAGCGGTTGTGTAGAGAATGAGAAACGGGTATTCTTTTCCTTCTTTTCCCTTCGATTCTATGCCATTTTATCTGAGTCTACGTTTTGAGCACGAATAAAAAGTTTGAAGAGTTTAGTTTTACATAGAAATTGAAACAAACTGCAATGAAACAATTGAAACAAACTGAAAATCTAAAACAAAACTCCACGAATCAATTGTTTACAGACTGGAACAATTATTGATTGTGCTTTAAAAAATAATTGGAGTAGCCGAGAGAAATGATAAGATAATCTTTAGGGAAAACAAGAAAAACCGCACAAAGATCGATAGACAGGACAATTCTTTGGTTACAGACAATTACGGGTCATCTTTTTTTTTGGTAAAATGTTCTAGTTCTAGCGGGGTTTTATTGTAAATTACCCTTGCTAGACTTTTCCATGGCTGACTTTGCGCACTTACAGTACTGGACAATGAAATATCATATTTGAAAAACGATCGTCACTTTCGCGCGTCTGTAACTCCCTTGTCTTTGAGTTTAAACTATTAGTGTTATACATTTTCTGAAAGCTCTTTTCAAGGGCTACACAATGGTAATATTAATATTTAGAAATACGGTAAAGACAAGGGAGTTACAGACGCGCGAAAGTGACGATCTTTTTTCAAATATGATATTTCATTGTCCAGTAGTGTACATTTACATTTATCTGACTTTCATTATCTTTGCAGTTTTCATTAAGATAATGTTTTTCAGAATGTCAGTACTAGAAGATTTGAATACAAAAGGATTCTCCGTTGTTGAGGATCTTTTCACGGCTGAAGAATGCGATCAAATGAGAAATGGTGAGGAAAATCTTGATACTATCATAATTTGAATTTATACAAATCAAAATCCGAAACTCGTTTATTTGTTTTAGCAATGGACAAAATCATCGACGGTGTCGATCTGAATGAACACCCGAAAAGTGTTTTCTCGACCTATCATGAAGACAAGGTTTTTAATAATTACTTATCTTTATCTTGTTGTCGTTAACTTAAAAAAAAGACCGTTTCAGCATCTCGTCGATGATTATTTCATGACAAGTACGGATAAAATTCGGGTTTTCTTCGAGGACGGAGCTCTTGATTCAAAAGGGGAACTTCTAGTCGAGAAAAGACGAGCATTCAATAAAATTGGACACGGTAAGTGAATGGGTAAACAAAAATCATATTTAAGAATAGATTTTAAACCTGAACCCACATCAAATCTCCCATTTCAGGCCTCCACTGGAGAGATCCGGTCTTTAAAAAGTTCAGCTTTCACCCAAAGATCAAGGAAATTTTCAAAAAACTCAACTTTATCGAGCCGGCAATTGTACAAAGCATGTACATCTTTAAGGTATTTACTTATTATTACTTACACATTTACTTCACAAAGCATTTCAGCAACCAGAGATTGGCGGAGCTGTGACTGATCATTTTGATGCCACTTTTCTCTACACAACTCCCATCGATCATTTGGTTTGTTAGGTGCAATAATGGCAGAATATTTTCATACATAGTGGATCGATTTAATTTTTACATAGAGAATTAGAAAGAGATCGTAAAAAGATATCGTAATCTATTGCGTTGGCGAATTGAAAACTGCGGGACTTTGAACTAAAATTTATTCAACATAAAACCATCAATTCATTCCAAATAATTTCCACTATTATTGACGACTTCTGCCCATTTTACAGGCAATTTGCGGATTCCTCTTTCGTAGTAGGATTTTGGTTTGTGTGTGAGACAAGTGTGAGACTCAAAAATGGAGGACTGGAGCTGCCCCAGTGTCCCAGTTTGAGCACTTTCTTCAAAAGAAACCCATTTTGGTGTCAATAGAAAAGTTGTAGAGAATCAAAAATTAGGCTTATATCCAAATTTCCAAAAAGATACACTTAGTAGTTTCGCTTAAAATGCAAGTTTTGTGAAAGTTTCGTAAATTTGGCATTTCTTGAAAACCAGTTTTTGAATTGTTCTGAAAATTTGGATATAAGCTTGATTTTCGATTCCCTACAACTTTTCCATTGACACCAAAATGGGTTTCTTTTGAAGAAAGTGCTCAAACTGTCACATATGAGAATAGCCGGCAGTTTTCAATTCACCAACCCAATACTTCTAGCAAAACTCTTTAGATCGGTATCTGGATAGCTTTGGATGATGCAACGCTTGAGAATGGATGTCTCTCTTTTATACCGGAAAGTCACAAACGTGAGTCTTCACATCTTCAATGAACGCTTCGAATCTTGCAATCTTCTTTAGAAACAACAGTCGACTATCGTTTTGTGCGAACAAATGACACAAGTGGTGGTCCGTTGTTGAAATTTTCTGGTAATCGTCCCACTTATGATCAAGAGAAATTTGTACCCGTTCCTATCAAAAAAGGTTAGTCATTGTTAATTGTTAATTGTTAATTGTTAATCGCTAATAATCGTTCCAACCATAACTTTAAATTTTATCTATAGCTTTTGCAAAATATGAAATCAAAACTTTCAGGGTCAGCAATTCTTATCCATGGCTTGGTGATTCATAAAAGTGAGGCGAATCGATCGATGAAAAGTCGTCATGTCTATACGATGCATATTATGGAAAGAAAGGAGACAAAATGGAGTACAGAGAATTGGCAAGTTTGAAAAGTGTTAAATCCCAAAAACTTTTTAATACTGAAATCTTTTCAGTAATAATCTTCAATGCAAATTTAGCCCATTTCAGGCTTCAAGAAACAGATGAGTTCAAATTCCCGAATCTCTACAATGACGCTTAAAGAATGAAGTCAATTCCAATAAATATCTTTATTCATTTCTTTTTTAAAAAGTTTTATTTCTAAACCTTAAAATATGTTACATTTGTTTTCTTTTGAAGTGAAAAACTCTCAAAAATGGAGATTCGATCACCTCCACACAAACACAATTCGATTTTCATAAATTTCACCCCAACTTCTGACGTTAAACTTGTTTTTGAGTTTTTAGAGCAACAGAAATCTTCGAATATCTTCAAATATCTTTTTATTTTTTTTTATTTTTGAGGATTCTAAATTGTTTTTAGATCTAATATGAGAGAATTTCCTCTCTTTTTTTCTTCTTGTCCGTATTCTTTCTTCAACTATTGTTTTGATACTTCTAATGGTCGTTTTGATACTTCTAACGGTCTTGTTGTTCCTTGATCGAATCAATTATTTACTTTCAATCAAATATTTGATGTTATCTTGGGAATTTTGATCAATTCTTTTTATTTTTTCTTCTTTTCCTTTTTCTTCTAAAATTCGATCTCAATTACGCCTGGGAATCGTCTCATTCAGAAGTGTAAAAGAAAAGGAAAAAGAATACGGACAAGAAGAGAAAAGAAGGGAAATTCTCTCACAAGTAGAAAACTATTTAGCTGAAGACCCATTTAGCTGATTCATCCTTGATACTCAATTTCAAATATTTAAATCAAGTCTTATTATTTGATAACAATTACCCTAAAGTCGCGAGTATAAGTTCTGTTTGGTCACCCTGTAGTATCCCGCGCTCCAAGAACAATAATAAAAGTTTATATAACAATAAAAATGTATAAAAAACCAACAAAAAGAAATTCAAAGCAATTAAAGCGAATGTAAATTAAGGCAGAACTTATACTCGAGACTTTAGGGTACTAACTGCCAATTACTATTGTCGGGTGTCCACTAACCTGTCAACCGACGTGGCCAAATGTGTTTTCTGTTATTTTTTTGATCAATGAAACTTTAACTTTAAGATTCTCTCGAGTTTTTCCCCCAGTAATCGTTCAACTTCAAACTGCATCTACAGCTAATTTTCTCATTCAACTTGTAAACCAAAGCTCAAACGGACAAAACTTTCAATTGAACATACTACTCAAGAATCTTGATGATCACAAAAAAACCTCATGACTCAATGAAAGCTTCTAGACTTGAGAAAAACGTTGGAATGACTTTAGAAATGATCAGTGAACGTTTTGTTACTTCCGTTGATTTCTTTGACTTTTCCTCCAATCCTTTTCTTTCAATAGCTTTCCCAAGGCAATTTTCCCCATTTCTTGAGAATTCTCCCCGTTCTGCGCAATGACTTTTTCAAGTATTTCAAAAAATTTCTCTTTTTTGAGGCATTGTTGCGCTTTTTTCTTGCAAAAGAGCATTGAAAAAAGTCGCAGAAACATTTAAAGCGGTGACCGAGACGCTGGAACCAGGAAATGTTAACGTCAACTTTGCAAATACTGTTGAACTTGTGCATTAAAGACGCAGTACCTAATTTCATTTTTAGTTCAATATTTGCTTTTGAGTTTTCTTGTTCATATGATAACAATTAATCTTTGTTCCAGATGGTTTCATCAACCGTTTTGAAGATTCGTCATCCACTTTTCCATTTACATCGACTCCCATTTGATGTACTCTTACTATTGTCGTAAGTTTTTAAAGATAAGGGAAAATATTACAATGTTCAAAGCAACCTTACAGCTTTGAATCCAATCCATTAGTAGAGAAAGAAAAAAGAAAAAGCCTTCAGAGAAAAAAATTGCGTTTTTCGAGAAGTTTTCATGTTAAATTTGAATTTCTATCGCAAATGTTAATTTTCGCGCGACGTCGCATTCCAATTGACGTGGCCGCCATTTGGAGGCAGTCGATGGGAGCGCCGCGTCGTCGTTTCTTTTTCCTTTTCAAATCATTTGTTTTTATCAGATTAATTGAAAGTATTGTTTTATGCGATAAATTTTGTGTTGAAATGAGAAAGCTACCGTAAATACTTTAATAGTACCCCACCCCCTCGTACAGTCGCGTAGTCGCAAAAGTTTTTTAGTATTTCATTTTTTTTCAAAGCGCGCGTACTTTCAAAAAATGCGTCTTTGGTATCAAAAAATAGCTGAAATTCAGGGCTATTTTTTGATACCTAAGCGCGCATTGTAGCATAAACCAGTGTCGAGAAAAACTCGTTCAAAGCTAGACTACGCAACACTCCGCACCGTCATTATGGGGGTGGGGTACTATTACAGTATTTATGGTATCTATTTCCATTTGAGTGGAGAATCCGGAACTTTTCGTAGCCGGACCACAATGAAGGCCAAAACTAACTGTAAGATGGTTTGGGGAGTTGAATGGAAACAGCGAAAGCAAAACTCATCTTCTGGACCGTTACATTTATGAATTTAATGGTGACTTTTAGATACGCCTTGATCTCATTCACTTTTTATCTCCTCGTCGCTACTGTATTTCTCCGATTCCGACAAAAATGTAAATTTATCGAGAAACCATTTGTCGTTCTTCTAATAGCCAAGGTAAAAAGAAAAAAATATTTCTTTCTATTTCATTAAATTTCAGATCCCCACCGATTTGTTGTTAATTTTACTATCAGTAATTCAAATCTATATCGAGTACGCTTTTTATCATCACATTCAATTGCCTCAATATCGGCCGAGGTAAGTGATCATGATAGAAACAATGAAATCTTTTGCTTTCAGTTACAAAATCTTCACCTGTTTTGTGGAATTGATTGAACATATCGTTTGTCAACAATGTCTCTCACTCATTTTTTGCGCTTTCACAACATTTACACATGAAAGACTTATACAGGTAAAATGGTTGATTGGTTATTGATCTGGAGACAATTTCTAGGTATGGACAAACACGAGAATCATCTTGGTCACGATCATTCAAATTGTGATCGCGATTTTCTTGGATGGACCAAAACTTTTGAAATTCTGTTATAATTCGACGCCGGATGTATTTGTTTTGCATGCGGCTCGATTGGAGGATAGCAAAGGAAAGGTAAAGAAAGGGCAAATAAATCGTATAGGATGTAGGGTAAGTGTGAAAAGGACAATGTCTTGGCGGTCTAGTGGTTATGGTTTGGTTGTTTAGCAATGGTTTACAAAGCAAAGGATCAGGGGTTCAATTCCTTTTGGAGTTTTTCATTTTGCTTTTGCCAAGATATTCGTTATATCCTTAATATTATTGTTTTGATGTTGTTTTTATTGAAAATAACAAATTCACCAATTAATCTATGGTTTGCTCTAAATAAAAAGCGGTTACCGTATTTTCTGTAATAGTAGTGCGCACTACTATTTTTTCAACCCCCCTACCATTACAGACTGCACTACTATTATAGACTGCACTACTATTACAGAAAATACGGTATTTGTTCAATTTCCATCTTTTTAAGTCAATTTCGGTTCACTTTCAAGCAAATTCGAGAGTGAAAACACGTGTTTTTCGTAAAAATCTATAAAAACCTCTACAAAGAAATTAGTTGAATGAATTTCTCTGAAAATTTGACTATATACCTAACTTTTTGTGCTCTATCTTTTATCTATTGACACCAAGATAGATTTCCTTAGCTAAAGTGTCTAAACCGCATCATCGAGCCTCTACCTTTTGACTACCCGACTTCACGCTCTCAAAAAAAACAGGCATAAGACATTTCAAACCCGTTTTAATGCTATTTTACAGAAAAAGAATTGGCCTTTCTAAAGAATTGGCCTTAGAAAAAGAATTGGCCGTAGTTCAATTGGTGCATTTGTGGGTTTTAAACGAAAGTACGAAGTTCACTTTCAAGCAAAGTCACTATTTTAGAAAGCTAGATAAAGTATTAGATCAAAATAGGAACCGTATTGGAACCATATTTGATCAAAATAGGAACCGTATCAGTTAATCATCATTAATATCAGTTAATTAAGGATGTCCTCGAATCGTCATCCCTTTTGATTCTTTGTGGTTTCCTTTCAATGATGACTGTTTATTCGAGAGAAAAGAATCGACAGCTCATCATTTATGATGTGAGTTCATTCGGTAACTGGAATTCGTTGTACAGATTTCTCTTACTTCAATTTAAACAATTTGCTCAATAACATTGCGAACAGTTTTTCCAGAGAAACAACTCCAAAGATTTTCGTGTTCTCGTTTCGATTCTGATCGGATTTATCTTTCATGTTGGCCGACAATTTGTCTCCGATTCAACAAGAGATTCTGTCAAAGAGATTCATGATTTTTCGAGTAATTATAGGTGGAAACAGTAATAAAACAATGAGCATAAGAACTTTTAGATGTCATACTCTGATCATTTTCTCTTCAATCACTCCATGGGCACTGATCACTTTCCATAAAACGATTCGGAAGAGAATTTTCGATATAACTTGTCTCAACCAGGTTATTAAAAGTCATTAATATTTAAAGTAGTTTTAAAAAGTTCTGCCTTCAATTAGAAACCGGTAAAAACTTTTTTTCTAGTCGACCTTTCCAACCTACACGAATTTCCTGAATCTCAATCAGCCTCTGATTTCCAGGTTCTCTCTATCTCGCTTAAAAAGAAGAATTCCACAAAAATCTTGATTTACGAGGATGAAATCGATAAATGTTTTTCGTTATATGGACGGTAGAGTTCATTTTTTGTTAATCCTATAGAATTTTTCTGTTTTAGTCCCGATGATCCGGTTGCGTTATAGGGGAAAAAACCTATTTGATTTCTTTACCAAATAAATATTAATAAATAAAAGCACAAATCAAAGAGAAATTTGTGAACAATATTACAAATAGAATAAAGATCTTTTACGTTGAATAATGAACCAATCTCTGATCCACATAATTTGCACACTCCCAAAGCATTCGAAAACCAAAACTGAAATTTTTGGCTTCAGATATGAGGAGGCTTAGGCTTAGGCTCAGGCTTAGGCTTAGGCTTAGGCTTAGGCTCAGACTCAGGCTTAGGCTTAGGCTTAGGTCTGAGTGCTGAGTGTCTGAGTGCATTTCTTTTTGATTTTATTATTTTACTTTGAACTATTTCACAAGTTTCATTATTTCCTATTTCACATTTCACAAGTTCACTCACCCATCGTTTGCTTTAGTGTTGTCCGATGAGAAAGTGAGGAGAATATTTCGGTTTGCTGATGAAGCGAATGTCATCTTTGCAGGCAATATCAACTTTAAAATAGATTTTACAATGAGATTAAGATTGGTAGGCTTTGTGATCTTCATCTCTAATCATTTGCCAGTACTTACCGTCGAGTTCCAACAACGAGAGAACTTCTGTGCACTGTTTGGATCGGCCTCATTTTTGATTTCAAGATATTCATCTAAAATCTCGAAACGATTGCTAAATTATATTTACTTTACCATTTGAGCAAGATTGTTGTTGATCAACGATTTTCATATTGATTTGAAGAAGCCAAAGGACGAAAGTGCATTCCATCCCTGACGGGGGATCGATTTCCCATCTTTGTACAGCATTTGTTGGATATTCACTAGGATATCCCACATTTGTCACCACTCCTTCCGTATCGTAAATTGGAGAGAATTGATAAATCTTTTCTGAAAGAACATTTTTATCTTTTAAAGCAAAGAACCCAACTCTCGGTTCTTCCATCTGTTGTGATGTTGACTGAATAATACGAGAGTTCATAACCCTCCATCGCTTGACTCTCATCTGATATGAGTTGAAGCTAAACTGAGCTTAGTAAAAGCTATTTTTTTCCCGAATACTGATAAAATTGGTCCCATCGAGAGGTAAGTTGGTGGAAGTTGAGCCGCACAATAGGGACCAGCTGTTGCATTGATGACTGTTGGCTCGAAAAGCTGAAAGAAAGTTGGGAATACTTTTGAAAAACTCTGCAAAACCAACCGTCAACGAGTCGAACATGCAATTAAAGAAGAATGTGGGGCCTCTAGAATTTGAAAAATTAACTTTAACTAATCGATAATCTATCTATAGATATAAATGAATTATAGCCATGTTGACGGAACCTTCCTGGTCCTTGTCTTCCTTGTCTCCATGTCGGTCTTCCCCGTTCGAGATGGAAACTTCTGAAATGAATGTTTACATATTGAATTGTTCTTTTCAAACTTGAAAACGAGCATGATCTTCTTGTCATCATTTGTTTGAATATTTGTCGTACAAGAAGCATTATGAAGATAGGGTTGAGGGTAATTTGGAGATGTTAAACGACCAGATTTTATCTTTTTTGCATTCACCGTTCGGTTACAATCTATTTCCAAATGGCTAAGTTTTTCTAACAGTTCTTCAAAGCTTACTATCAAGAAGTTGATATTCAAAATTGAGATCAAATCCTTGTCTCTCATCTAAAATCGCAAAATCGAAAGTGACTTGAATAGCTGATGAGAGGGAAACCATTTGGAATTTGGGCTGACTCTCACAGAAACGATGAATCTATGAGCTTTGTTTAAGGCGACCAAATCATCTCTTACTCTCAATTCATTTTCACTTCTTGCACAAGCTGGATGTCCACATTTTGACAAAGATCCGATATCTCGAATCTCGACAAAATTGTGATCACAAAGAGTTGAATTCCCCGTGACAGTGCCATCATCGGGAACTTTGAGCGATGTGAAACGGAGCTCGATTGGAAGAAGTTCCGACGCTTCGATCTGCCAACGACATCTAAATGAAAGGAAATGCATAATGTCTACAAGTGGGTTATATTTGGATTTGATACAGCAGCATTCAAAAGTTTTAAAGTTTGCTTGCACCTCATAATTTCTTGAGCTCCTCTTTTTTCAATTCCTTCAGCAAAAGCGAGCAATTGTTCTTCAGTTGTTGCTCTGAGTGTGCCACCACAATCCACTGAAATATTGTAAAGAAAATCAAAACGAAAACGACTCCTTTGAGCTATTACTTTTATATGATCGATATTCAAGAGTGAATCCATCTCCAGTTCCGCCAAAATCTGACTCAAAAGTAACATAGGCAACATTGCCCGATGGGTGATAATAGAGGGGAAGAGTCCTGGAATGGATTTGTATAATAAAGTTGTAGTTAGTTTAGTTGTAGTTAGTTTAGTTCAACTTTTGAATAACTCACAGATTCTTGGTGGTCGCATTGCAGACATCTGTAGCAAGAGCTGGCGCTGCATTCGGGAAACCGTCGTAGAACTGAAATTGAGTAAATCGAGCTTTCTGACTGAGAAAGAGCCAAGCTCTAAAACAATTCAATTCTACAATTCTATTCAGTCGAAAACGCACAGTCAATCCATCATGACATTTCCTGTACCCTTCCCATTTTTGCGGGATTTCCTCGTTCTCTTCCGTGTCCAATTTCGTTAATCGGAACTCAATCTTTGTGTTCGGTTGGGACTAAATTAAGCTATTTTCTTGTTAAAAGAGAGATTCACTTTAAATATCCATCCACATCTTAAATCATCGTAATATTTTAGCGATGAAGGATCGACGGGTGCTTGGATTGATTGCCAGGTTTCAGTCACTTTCTTTGATCCTCCACAGCCTTGAGCAGGACCTGGAAAGGGAATTTGTTATACAGGGATCAAAATTTTAAAGTTAAGCCTTTAAAAGAGCTAAAGATTTGAAAGTAATCGTGCGTTTGATTAGCCAAGTCAGCTTACCCAATGTTGATGTGACGATCATCTGAAATCCTCCATGATTTATCGATGCATCCGTCACAAAATGTACAAAAAGAGTATTTCCAGCAGTACGATAAGTTCTCAACGGGACTCTAGAATTGGAGATCGAAACAGTTTCCCAAAAAATTCAACTCACCCCAGTCCACAAAGTGGTCCACTTGATGGATTCTTTGTCGCACTACTTCCATCGATCACTTCGACAAAATCGAGAGTGCAATTCACCGAGTCTTCCAGCTCCAATTTCTCCCATCTAAACTGCCCATTGGAATAGAGACTGTTCAAATAAAAGAAGATTTCCTATATGTTGCTGTATTCACTTGATATGCAATGTTCGATTCTCGGGTGCTGTCACATTCCACCAACAATCGAGACTCTCGTGATGAGGAAGAGGGAAACCGGGCGATTGAATCAAAGCCGATTTAGGTCTTCCCTCCATATTGCTGAAGTTGATCTCTTCGCCGCAAACTGAATAGCATTGTTTTCTATATTAGCTCTTTAAAAAGCATGTCCTTTAGCATATTACCATTCAGCGCGTAAGCTATTTTGAATCCTCGTCTGAGTTTTTTCGCGGTCAAGTCCAGATATGAGGTGTTACTCACAAAACGAATCCCAACCGCTCCCTAAAAGTCACTAAAACTTGAAACATTTTTATAAACCTTTATCGAGATTGGTTGGAACTCTTTTCCATTACTTGTCGCACAATATTTCTCCATAACTCTTCTGTTTTCAACTGATGAAATCTCGACATAATCTGTGTCACACGGATATCGATTGGGACTATCTGTAATTGTGATTATTGGCTAATAGGCTAATATTTTCTGATTATTGGCTAATAGGCTGATATTTACAGTACCCTACAATATTAGCTACCGTATCCTCAGTGCTCTTTTCAATTAAATATCTTCTAAAAGTAACGAACGATGAGTTGGACTCAAATCGAGATCCTGAATCTTCAGCACGATCACTTTCACCCCATCGGTTTCTGGATCGATCAAATATTGACATTCACTCTGAATATTAAATGTAAACAAACTTATAAAGCTACTTTTTGCATTGTAAGTTAGCTTAGCTTACATTTGTGTTCGGATAATAAGATGGATAATGAGGTGAGACGACGACTCCATGATCCAATTTGAAGATCGTTCCACATTCTAAGAAAATCTTATTATTTTCCAATACAGTTTATTATCAAATTTTACCTTTAAGAACGTTTAAAGTTTTCTTAAAAAAGAGTTCAACTTTGAACCGGAAGTTATAAAAATATGATGTAAAGTGTCTCACTTTTCCTCAACCCATTTTCTTTTTCTTCAAAGTTACATCATTTTAAAGAGATTCTATTTAAAGAAAGATTAAATTTAATTATATTTTTGATACCATTTCCATTTTATATAGTATTTTGTAATTTTATTTTACAAACCGGCACTCCATTTTGCTTTGAATCCTTTAGCAGCCACTTTCCCATCGGTGGTGAAGTTGACTCTAAATAAAAATTAACCAAAAAACTTATCGATTTGATTTACAAAGCTAATATTAAACTTAATCTCATAATCTATTTTTCAATAGTTAGCCATTCTATTAACATTTAATGGTTTACTAGTTAATCACTTTTTTTTCAGATCAGACTTTTCAGCCTTTTCTCGCTTGATTTAAAAAAGATCACCGCCTTTTCTCACACACTATTTTTAGAATATTATTTGTGTCGCTTTTTTTTTGTTGTTTTGATGTCTAAAAGAGACTGATAGATCAGACGAATAGATCAACACGTGGGTAAATGAGATTCAACAAAATAAGAGGACTTTCAATGTTTGCCATAAGACGGAAGATGCAAATTGCTTGCTTTGCATTGCTCGTGAACATGCAATCATTTAGAGATCCTTTCAGATAATAGAAACCAATTGGAATTCTCAATGTATTGCATGTGTCTGATTTCCTTTTTTGTTGTTAAGCTATCGAATCTAGTATCTGTACCAGCTAGCAATCAATCCATTCTCTCCATCATCATCTCTTCATCATCATCTCTCCATCAGACTTCCCCTAACATTTCCAGTTTATTTTTCTATTCGTATCCTATCGCATGTTCACCAAAAGTGAGCTCTGATATCTTCTTTCCGATCAACTTTTTCCTATTGGCACTTGACAAAACCACGTGTAATCCACATTGAGAGTGGACAACAAATAATCCCCAAAAAAGTTCTCATTGGAAATATCTGCAGGGATCAAAAAGGGAGATTGAAAAGAAATGTGTAAGGGGCATTTGATTGAGTGTTCACCTTTTTATTCTTTCCTTTTTCTTTTTCTCTATTCTTCGCATCCCATTCTATCCATGTGGAGAGCACGTGGAGGAAAACATTTCAGTCCATCGCATTCCCTTCCTTTTTTGTATCCAATTCTCTCTCACAATTCCCTTTTTTGGCTCTTTTTAGGTATTTCAAATATAGCGATAACCTTTTCACGACCTTTTTTTCTCTGATTTATTGGCTGTTTCTTTGATGGATTTGAGGGTTTACAGTAGTTGGCTACGGTTTGAACTAGTTTTCTAACAGTAACGAGAAGCGATTCAAAGCCTAAGCCGATTCAAAGCCTAAGCCTTCTTTCTCCTTTTCGCATTCTCTCTCCATTTCAATCTTTCTCTTTTCTTCATCATTGTTATTTGCATCAAATGTGATGTTTCAATCTCCATGTGATCCCATATAAAAACGAGAAATTGGAGAGGAAATGGAAGAAAAAAACTCTTTTTTTTGGTAATCAATCATTTCTCGGTTTAATGAGAAAAGATTGGGAAAGAAAAAGAGTTTTCATAATGGTTTGAAATAGTTCAGGAACTTGTTTTTAAAACAGAGCTATTACGAGTTATAGCTTGCTTTATAACAATATATTTTTCCTCAAAAAAGTATTGTCATGACTAAGATGCTCTGCTTGGTTTAGTCTAACTTTATGAAGTTATTTGTAGTCAACAAATAGCAACTTTGTACTACATATGTAAATTTTATAAAAATGGTAAAAATCCCGTTTTTTTATATACCTAGTTCACTTAGCTCCAAGAATTCCAAGTTCACCCATTCACCATTTACCCAGTTCCTCATCTAATCTGTTTATTTTGACGTTGCAACCTCGGTATTTTTACTTCTAAGAGTTTTCCATCCAAATCCCCCTTTTCTTGTTTATTTGGTGGTTGCAGCTGAAGAGATACGCAAAAGAAAAGAGGAAAAAAAAGTCGCGTGGCCTTGTATTTTCAGAAATTTTCTCTGCCGAAATCAAGCACACGACCTTTTTGGATTCGCCCAGAATAACATGTAAATAGGCTGAGAGAAAAAGGGAAAAGAAAAATGGGGAAGAGGTGGGAAGAGGAGGGAAGAGAAGGAGAAAGGAGGGAAGAGAAGGGGAAGAGGAGGGAAGAGAAGGGGAAGAGGAGGGAAGAGAAGGGGAAAGGAGGGAAAAGAGAGAAGAGAGAAGACATCGTTCTCGAATGTTCTCTTGAAAATAGGAGAGATGAGAAGAATGGAGAGATTCAGAAAGAAAGAGAAAAACCGGGGGGAAATTGGTGGGATTGGGATGACCTGAAATGGGAAAAGATTGGGGAGAATGGGGATGAGAAGAGAAAGATAAGAAGACACTATGGGGGGAAGGGTATTGGAGAGTGTACAGGGTGCACAAGGTGGGAATGCAGCCTATCTTTCTCTCTTCTTCATTCACTATCTTTTCGGGAAACCCCTTCTCCACCAAGTCTTTGCACGTGTTACACCCATCTAGTCTTTCCATAGATCTATTTTGCTATCACTTCTTAATTTGATTGTTTGACTTTTGATAGATTGAAAGGGAAAGCATTTAGGCAACAGTTGGAAGAGACAGCTCTAGGTTTAAACCGTCCTTTGTGCTTTATTAAGCGTTTTCTATTGTTTTATTCTCTTATTGTTTCTTTTCGTTTTGTTAGTACGTTTTTGTTCTTCTTATTGTTTCTTTTCTTCTTGCCTGTTTTGTGAACATATTGGATGAATACCAAAAAAGAAATCGATAGAGAAATTTTTGCATAAAGGCTAACAGCAAATATGACTGATTTGAGCAAAAGTACAAGTTATGACACTTATTACAATTGCCTGTGTTGCACTTTATAGAATCAAGAGAATGAAGTTAACCCAGTAAAGTAATTTTCAATGATTTTTTTTTTGTTTTTCTCCTACTTAGTGTTATCACTTTAAACCGATTGAGAAAAGCTGTTGTGAAGTTTGCAAAAAAAATCCCTGACTATACGATTCGGAACTTGTTACCGGAAAGGAGAAAAAGCAAGAAGTTTCCTTAAGCAAGAAGCTTCCTGAAGGAAAAAGCTTCCTTAAGCAAAAAGCTTCCTTAAGCAAGAAGCTTCCTTAAGCAAGAAGCTTCCTTAAGCAAGAAGCTTCCTTAAGCAAGAAGCTTCCTTAAGCAAGAAGCTTCCTTAAGCAAGAAGCTTCCTTAAGCAAGAAGCTTCCTTAAGCAAGAAGCTTCCTTAAGCAAAAAGCTTCCTTAAGCAAGAAGCTTCCTTAAGCAAGAAGCTTCCTGAAGCTTCTTATCAAATCTTTTCCTTTAAATTTTGAAATCACTTTGGTGAAATCTACTTCTTAAAAGTTTAAAATCACTTTTAAACCATAGTGTTCTTTCAGATTTGTTTTACATAGTTCAACAAAATATTCAAAAATGTTTTACATAGTTCAAATTTTAGTGATGAGATTAGCCACACAGTGTGCCACAGGAATGAGAACATATGGACGATGGTTGGTTGATGAAAGGAAAACCTTAGACTAGCCTATCCGTTTGGATCAAAAAGCAATCAGCTATCTTATTTTGTATTAGATATTTAACACTTTTAGAACTCTAAATAACTTTCTATTTCCAAATCCAGATTATCAAACTCTAAGAATATTCTCTAGGTTCAATCCCGAGATCCGAGCTGCTGTTCGTCACAAGAATCTGCGTGAAGGAGCGCATGGATCAGCCATTCCAAATGTGAAGAAATCCTCTATGCAATTCCCGAAAGAAATCACAAATGGACAACAACATCCGGTGGGTGAAAGAGTTGTGTTTTGATAGCAAATGGCAATTGGTCGATTTGCTTGTTCTGGCGTAATGTCCAATTCTATGAACAAGTTGCTTGATCAGTTGCTTATAGAACAAGTTGCTTATACTTGCTTCTTATATAACTGGTGATATTTCCATCGTAACCGTTTTCTTTGCACGATTAATCAAGAGGAGTTTAGCCTAATGACAGTACTAATGGCTGCTATGTTAGTGTGCTAATGTTAGTGTGCTAATGTTAGTGTGCTAATGTTAGTGTGTTAATGTTAGTGTGCTAATGTTAGTGTGCTAATGTTAGTGTGCTAATGTTAGTGTGCTAATGTTAGTGTGCTAATGGCTGCTATGTGCTAATGGCTGCTATGTTAGTGATGATTTGCCACTATTGTTCTATCGGATATCTTTAACAATAAGTACCTTTTTGTTCTCAACAATAAAACAATTATTTACCTAATCTAGTGCGTTTAACTAGTGCAGTGAAGAGTGCAGTTGTTTTTCTTGTAAATCTTTTTTTTTCGTAACTTGGATATTTAGAAACACAAAGCCTTTCGCTACAAACACCAAATACACAGTAATCCTAGAAAAGTACTGTATAATCTTGTTTCCGAATTTTATGCATAATTTTCAGCAAATCCCTCCAAGCCAACATTCTCCCACCTGTCCTCCACCAAATTAACGAATCGACGAAAAGAATCGACGATAAGAATCGACGATAAATAATGTGTACAATTGTAAATAATTGTTGAGTGTCATAGTTCGGCCTTACTTTTCAAAAAAACAATCTACAATTACCTTCCGGGTCTTTTCACTGCTCTCAGGCTTTCCAAGATTGTCAACTTTTTTCAAATTTCATAATTCAAGTGACCTTTTCCCTCTCATTTTGCTTATTTCAATGCAAATAAGCTTTTCTGATTCGATGGTGTAAATAAATATAAATATCTTTGAATGTTTCAAATGCAAAGACAACTCATTCTAGAGCTTTCAAGTCATTCTAGAGCTAGATGTTTACTTTCACTTACCGGATTCGATTGCTTTCCGATTTGAACACTTTGGGCAAATTGATTCCACAAAGAGGATCCTCTTTTTGTTCATTATTGAACATAAAATAGTAGTCTCCTTGAGGAGCAAATGATTGAGCTTCATGTTCTTGCGAGAGCTGAAACTTCAAAATATTAGATCTTCTTCAAATTCTCTTGATTTTTTAGGACTTAAACTGATAAAGCTGATAAATTGAGCTAAACGATCGTTTTTTGGTAATGTGTTTTCTGAAAAAACGGCTTATCCAATCAAAAAACGGTTTGCTTGTTTCAAAAGCCCTATCCTTAATCTACAAAATGGCTTTTTTGAATTTTTGAAAAATGTTTTATTTTAGAACTTTTTCAGGTATTTTAATGTAAGAGTTGAAAATCCTGGTTTCTAGCATTCATGAGCTAATATAGCTTCTAGCTAACTGAGCTTCTAGCTAACTGAGCTTCTAGCTAACTGAGCTTCTAGCTAACTGAGCTTCTAGCTAGCTGAGCTTCTAGCTAGCTGAGCTTCTAGCTAGCTGAGCTTCTAGCTAGCTGAGCTTCTAGCTAGCTGAGCTTCTAGCTAGCTGAGCTTCTAGCTAGCTGAGCTTCTAGCTAGCTGAGCTTCTAGCTAGCTGAGCTTCTAGCTAACTGAGAAAACGCTTCATCGATTACATAGTTTCCAATCGAATCCAATCCAATCGAGCGAACCGTTCTCTTTCTTTTAATCTTTTTTTAAAATCTTGCTTAAATTCAAACGAAAATGGATTAAATTAGCACAAAAGTGCATTTTGAGCCTAATTTGAAAATCAACCTTCCGAAGATTGGATTGTTCTGAAATTTTGGGAAACTATGTAATCGATAAAGCGTTTTATTTTAAAAAGTATGCAATCACTCAAAAATATATTAGCTAGAAGCTCAGTTAGCTAGAAGCTATATTAGCTCATGAATGCTAGAAACCAGGATTTTCAACTCTTACATTAAAATACCTGAAAAAGTTCTAAAACAAAACATTTTTCAAAAATTCAAAAAAGCCATTTTGTAGATTAAGGATAGGGCTTTTGAATCAAGCAAACCGTTTTTTGATTGGATAAGCCGTTTTTTCAGAAAACCCATTACCCAAAAAACGATCGTTTATAACTTGCCAACCTAATAGTAAGTGATCTCTTGATCATTTACTAGATAAAATCTCCTTTCTAAATCCCTTTCTCCCCTCATTTAATCCTCGAATTGTTATTCTCAAGGCTCTAAAAAGGATTACCAGAGGAGTTATTTTCGCATTTGATTCCAAATTTGAGATTTTCCAGGAAAAACGAAAAGATTTTCGGGTTTTTTGCGGTCAACAGTACTCTCGAATTTTGTCTCCCCAAAAATAGTCTTTACAACTTCGGAAAGCCTTGTTTTTCCCTATCAACTAGCCTATTTTTGGCACAATAGCCATAAAAATGCCTTCTTTTTTCCTCAAAATCGCCCAATTCTATTGATAAATAGGAAAGTTTTTGCAGAAAGCAGAAAATCATTTGTACAAAAATCATTTTGTTGACTTCAAGGGCTTCTGATCGTTTGAGAAAGAGAAATTGTGATCTTGGGATTGGATTCATTTCAAATTCCAGAGTGTTTACTGTTTTTCGTTTCAACGGATCGGGTAATAAATGAGGGGATCGTTTGCAAAAGATTAAAAACAACAAAAGCTCTGGCAAAAAATTTTGAATTGTTGCAATATTTATTTGTGTGGATTAAAGGATCTAGATTAGCTTTAAAAAAAACTCCACAAAGCTTTTCTAGACAAAGCACTTACCACAATATAATCGGCATCACATTTCTCAGTCGTTTGCACATCGAATGTCTCGAATTCGAGTTTAACGTGATAGCCTCGAGGCACTATGATATCCCAAATGCACTCAAGATCCGGGGCTAAACAATATTTTGCTTAGAGTCACTTCTAGAATCTAGATCTCCATAGACTTTTGTAGATAAACATTACAATAAGATCCTAGTTTACTAGCAAATGTTTCCTTTGTTACCCAAAATTTCAAGAACGTACCATAATTGTTTGGATATCCGGGAGAATGAATCACTCCAGTGGCCGCATTCGAGATGAAACCGCAAGTCTCTGTAATTTTTAAAAAATAATTAACTTTGAGATTGTAAATCTAATCTTTTCACTATAAAAGTATTACCTTTTTACACTATGAAGAGTTTTATTTTTTCATTCTCTATCGTACAAAAGCTTTTTTGAGTAGTTCAGTTGAGTGAATCTATTTGTTTCCTTTTGAGTGTGTGAAGAGCGTTTTTGTTCTTCCGTCTGTTTGATTCTTGTTTTCTGGATGATTGGAAGGGAAATTGTTTCAGAAAACTCTTGTCTATTTATATGGGATTTGGTGTTTAGGTTTTTGTGAAAGATGCAATGTGAAAGGTACAAAATGCACTCTTGATGGTTTGATGGTTTGAGAGTTTGATGGTTTGAAGGTTTGAAGGTTTGATGGTTTGAGATCAGTTTGAAACTGTATCTATTAGGTTGGTGACAAAGTCTTGCCCCCTTTTTTCACCGTTCTCTTTCTAAATCTCTGAAAGTTCAAGACAGCTGCTGCTTACTCTAATATCCTAGTATTGACCACTGAAATATCATCACACAATATTGTTGTCTTTACCGTTATTTTTCAATACTTTTGGAATCAACCCAAAATTAGGCTATATGCCATTCCTGTCTCTCTATTTTAACTATAAAAAATCTATTAAGACCACGTCATCAAAAAGAATTGATGATAATTATGAGAACGGATGAATGTCTCTATAGATCATTCACAACTTCCTTTATTGCATTTAGGGCTTTTACTGTGAGTGGCTTTTACTAGCAAGATTAATCGAGGTCAAATTATTCGAGTGGCTGTGATAGATCGACATTAATAGAACCTATAGAAAAAATAAGAAATAAAAACCCTGCGAATTAGATGGTTAGCCTTATTGACTGTATAATAAAGTTAAAACAAATTTTCTTTCAATTAGGTTTATCTAAAAAAATGGAGATTGAATTTCTCGTAGGTATACCGAAGAGTTTTGAAATGACAGTGCAAGTTTTTCGGCGACTGCTATTCTTTTTTAGTATCGTCACCCTTATTCAGCCAAAATATAACATAAAAATATGTATTTAAGTCTAACTTTTGAAAGCATTCGCTTTAGATGGATTAAAAGAAAAGGCTCAAACCGGCACCAACCCGAAAATTGACTAGTGGAAGATTTGATTGAAAAGTTTGATAGTGCAAAGAAGAGTCTAATCCCTATGTGCTGTTTATTGAAGAGATAACTATTAATACTTCTTTATATGTTAATTAGATAAATTAGATAGCTTTTAAAGTGGAAGAAAAGAGGCCAAATACAGAGGAAGTCATTTTCTCCAATGGACAAAAAACGATCAGAAAAATGGTCAGAAAAATCTGTCGGCTTTAAGCTGAAAAGTTCTTTCATTAAACTATTATATTCTCTAGACATTGTCTCAACTTATTTTCTCTTTTTCAAGACATTGAGCTGTTGGTTTGGCGAGCGAACACTTGGTCTATGAAAAGGACTAGGATCGAGACAAATTTCCTCGCCTACTTCAACGGGGTTTAATCAGCTTCTGATTGTAAGAAAAGATTACATGCTCTGCCCAATAAATAGGAAGATACCATACTTGCAAATAGTCAATACCTTTGCTCATTAAGAGCCATGGTTTTTAAGAAATTGCAACGCAAAAAGAGGTCAAGACGTTCTCACCAGCCATTGCTTAACTGACTAGGAGTACCTTGGCATCTTTACAACATTTCTAATCAGCAAATCAGTTGCAATTAACAACTTTGCATTTCTAAGGCAAGTGTTACTCGATTTTTCTCTACAAGAGTGTTGTTCTGAGTCACAATTTGTTTGGGAACACTCCAGAGAGAACACACACAAATACCCGAAGCTGGAATTCGGTTTTTGGTCAGAAATTCCCGGCTCCTTTGAATTTGGGAGAATATTTGAGAAATTCTCTTCAAACTCTCGTGAATCATTGCAAAATTTCTATAGGAAATTCGAGATTTCTCGAGAATTTTTCCGAGGAGATTTTCGTGTCTACAAATCTCACTTTTGGAAGTGTTGATTTTGGGGGTAATGGGGAATTGAAATGATTCAAAAATCATACACTCAGACACTTCTAGAAGAACGGCAAATGAATCAGTACAAGACTTGAATGCTACAGAAACAGTTACAGGCAATCAAACTTTGATTTTAGTCGGATGGCCGCTTGAAAACCGATCACAAGCATTACTGGACTGATTGAAACTTTACCTAAAAAGAATCGATCTAAAGTTTTGATCTAAGTCTAGTAATTGCTCAGCTATTGGCTCAATGTAGGTGTGGGTATCTTTTAAAAAACTTCTCCTTTCAAAGGATTTTAGCTTTCGTTCAGTTTCAGACCAATTTTTCGATTAACTAGCTAGGATTTTCTAAACGTACCTCAAAATAAACTTATCCCTTGATCCAAGGAGAATCAAAGGTCGATGATTGCCGGATCTCTGAGATCTGTCAATCTTTTTCCTTTGATTTCGAAGAATTCTCACTCTCACAGACAGATATTGACCCTTGATGCCACTATGATCTCTCCTATTCTTTTCCCTATCATTTCAGATCACTTCTTGACGTTTCGATTAAAGAAATCTGCTGCGAGAAGTTCCCAAATCGAAAAAATATGTAGCTATTTTCTGCACCTAATTTGAAGTGTTTACTTTTGAACTTTGAGTTCTCTGGGAATCGAAAAAAATCGAAAAAAAGATTCGAGAATTTACCCCTTCAATTTTGACGTTTTGATCTGAGATCCAACCAATGATCGGTGAAATTCGAAATGAAAAGAAAAGAAAAAAAATGAGAATGGAAGTGAGTACTGTTCGGGTACAAGGATTCGATGATCGATGATCACTACAGTCTTCGTTTTATCTCTGATTGTCTGACCTGTGTTCGGACTGACAAACTCGTACTCCAATTTCCATCCCTTTCGCTCATTCGTCTTGTCACTTTTCCAAATCAATGTGAAATATCGAGAGTGAGAGATTTGCTTGAAGAAACTGAAAAAAGAAATTAATAGTTAAAAGTTAATATTTAAGAGTTAATAGTCAAGATTAATATACAAAAAAAAGGGATCACCGTTCTTGATTCTCGCCGGCTAAATCCTGATGATCGGAACGAGGTTCGGAGAGACAATATCTGAAAATAGAATTGATTTCAATTTTAAAACAGTCCTAAAGAGTTGAAGACTCTTTAGGATTGTTTCTCGCAAACCTGTGTACAGATTGTGCTTGATCTCCGGCTCCTTCAAGCAGTAAAAGAACATCTCGTTCACACATCAGTGTCCATTCGATATCCATCTCGAGAACACGTATCTAAAATGACAAAACTTATAGATTTGAATCACATTTATTGTCTACACAAGTACATTTTTGAATTGTTTCTTTTCGATACAATCTTTTAACTGCAGTGTTTCCATTTTTGGTTTTAAAATACCTAGAAACTGAATGATTCTCTCTTTCCCTCCAATACTTCGAGGTACAAACACTTGTTGGGATAGTTTGAATGAAAGGCAATCTCCAAGTGTGTTCTCGCTTTCATTCACTCTTCAAAGTTGGCCCTCTTTTTTTTCTCACAAATACTTTCTCTTCTCTTCTTTTCTCTTCTTCTTGAAGAGTAAATTCTCGTGGACTTCTCTCCTCTGTTTGCTCCCAATTCACGCTCACTTTTCACCCAAAATTTTCACAAAAAATATCTTCAAAAAGAAAAGAAAAGAAATGAAATGAAATTTGATTTGGGGTGGGACCTCTTCTCTGTACTCTGACCATTCAGAAGAAAAGCGATTCTCAGCAAAAAAAAGAAAAACTCTCTCCAACAAGAAAGTGCCAAGTGAGTTCAGGGATGGCAAACAGAGAAAAACGGCTATGAAACGAGTATATAATGATGGAATTGCGAGTGATTGGACACAAATCGCCTTCTACAGCACTTCTTCTCCTTCACTGCCAATACAATGAACGCCAAAATGTGAGTTCTTCTTTGAATCGCTAAGCATCTAGTGCACGGAAAGTTTGAAGATTCGAATATAATCTAAAACTTTTGCAAAATTCGAATTTCTAGTATCTGCCTTGTTGCTCTCCTTGCCATCCTCGCCGTCTGCACTGAGGCTCAATACTATGTAAGAATTTACCAAAACTCAAAAATCTTTTCAATAATAACTTTTATAGTACAGTAAATATGCCTGAGAATATACTGTATCAGCAAATATATTTTTATTTTCAGTACGGAGGCTACCCAAGCTACTACGGAGGTTACGGAAGCTACTACGGAGGATACGGAAGCTACTACGGAGGATACCCTGGCTACGGATACGGATATGGGTAAGAATTTGAATAGATATAGATAGATATAGATAGATATAGATAAATCTAGGTAAGATATGCATTAGACTGTGCTCCTCTAATCCTTTCGGTTCAATTACCAAATCAATTCTTTTCAGCTACTACGGAAAGCGAGAAGCCGGATTTGCTCCTCAACAGAACACTCAACAATGAGTGAGATGAGAGAAGAGATCAATCCTTCAATCATTCAACCCATCCAATCCAATCCTTTCCATCCATCTTTCCTTTCTTTATCCAATTTACTGCCAAACTCAGTGATGTACACAGTATCTGTCCACCAAAGATCTTCACTCAATAAATGCTTTGATTGATTGATGAGTAAAACAGTATCCATTCACTCAAAAAGAATTACAAAACATTGAAACTCTGAAAAAAGATAAGCTAAAGGGTTTTACAAGATAAAAAGGTCTAAAGTTTTTGAGACTAGAGAAAGAGAAGAAGAATATCTCGCTTTTGTCTAATCTAAATGTTTTTGAATTTCATTTTTCCCGATTTAAAGAGCAAAAGGTTTCTTTCTAAGCCTCAATCCCAGATCACCTCAATTTTTAGAATATCTTCATAAATTCTAGATCATACTTCATATCAAGTGAATGCCTTCTCAAAAAGACAAAGCTACAACTTAAAGAAGGTTCTTCAGAGCTGATAAAATGAAAAGAACTTCTCTTCTGGCACAGTTATTTATCTCAGAAGTATGCACTAGATAAGAAATGAATTCGGAAAGAAACTGTTTAAAAAAAGCAATACAACCAAAAAGCCGTGGGTTCGATGCCGTTTTTTCCCAAGAGCAATTACAATGGAAAATGCTTACCGACAGTGTCAAAACTTCAAACAACATTTTGCCACCTTAAACTCATTTTTTGCTAGACCTAATAGCCAGTCGATGGCATTTTTCAAGGAGCATCTTTCGACATAAAATGAACCAAATTTTCCCGCATTTTCTGTATGAAAACAGCGAATAACACGGAAAAGTTGCTTTTCAAGGTATCAATGTATCAATTTGTATCAATGATTCTGGATCTATGTTTCCTTGAGATTTGAAACTATTAAGTTGCAAACTATTGGATTGGTGAATTGAAAACTGCCGGCTATTGTCATATGTGACAGTTTGAGCACTTTCTTCAAAAGAAACCCATTTTGGTGTGAATGGAAAAGTTGTAGAGAATCAAAAATGAAGCTTATTCCCAAATTTTCAGAACGATTCAAAAACTGGTTTTCAAGAAATGCGAAATTTACGAATTTTCACAAAACTTGCATTTTAAGCAAAACTACTAAGTGTATCTTTTTGGAAATTTGGCTAGAAGCCTAATTTTTGATTCTCCACAACTTTTCCATTGACACCAAAATGGGTTTCTTTTGAAGAAAGTGCTCAAACTGGGACATCTCCAGTCCTCCCTTTTTGAGTCTCACACTTGCCTCACACACAAACCAAAATCCTACTACGAAAGAGGAATCCGAAAATTGCCTGTAAAATGGGCAGAAGTCGTCAATAATAATGGAAATTATTTCGAATGAATTTATGGTTTTATGTTGAATAAATTTTAGTTCAAAGTCCCGCAGTTTTCAATTCACCAACCCGATAAATAACCGAAATTTTTGGAAAAAGTGGGTTTGAAAAATGATGGCTAAACCAAATGAGATCTAGTTTGTATCATTTGAAAGATATATCTTTTTTTCTCAACAAAATAGTTTTTTAGAGATTTTGAAAAGATTTTGTTTTTTTTTCCGAGGTGCAAGGAAAAATTGTCAAAATTGACAAAAACAGAAAAGCGCTGACTTTTTTTGATTTTTTGACTGCATTTTTTGACAAGTACACTAATTTTAATAAAGCGCGCAAAATAAAGCTCTTAGTTTTTCACATTTTCAGTAAAATTATCAGCCAAATCCGTCTAGTCGATTTGAGCTACTTGCAAATGATCTAATCTAAAACACCAAACTCAAAAACTTACCCATTTGACAAATTTTTCAACAAGAATTGCTTTTACTTTTTTTTACGTAAAATAAAGACATAGATTTTCTATATTTTCAGTAAAATTTTCAATCAAATCCGTCCAATCGTTTTTTCTGAATTTTGGTTTGAACAAAAGTCCTCAAATAAAGGATTTTGAGGGGGTAGTCAAAACAGCGCCATAATAGAAAACGTTCAAAACAGCGCCGTCAAATTTCTCAAAATCCAAAAAACCAAGCCGGTTCAAGTTTTATACCAAAAAATTCGAGTGATACTGAGTTGGTTAACTGAATATCTTTAGAGACCCATTTTGGGTGCTCTTTTTATCTATGAAATATTAACTTTTTTTAAAAAACTGTTTCACCCATCATGTAGCCAAGAACGCAAGGAATTTTTTGGTATAAAACTTGAACCGGCTTGGTTTTTTGGATTTTGAGAAATTTGACGGCGCTGCTTTGAACGTTTTCTATTATGGCGCTGTTTTGACTACCCCCCGGATTTTGATCATACAGTGCGCGTCAAAATGATAGGTCCACCCGATTTCTCAAAAACTATCAAGCAAAATCAAAATCCATATTTGTAGATGAATTTTAATTTGATTCTTGATAAATATTCAAAAGTTTAAAAAAGTTTTTTATCGGTAAAATTTTTGAGTATTTTGGAAAAACTCAAAAATTGAGGTAAAAACCGCGTCAAAATGATAGGTCCACCACTTTATGCGCTTAATGTCTTGCCACTTTCTTGCTGATTTTTTCTTTTATTTTTCTACAGATTCTAACTTTTTCCTTTAGAATGGGCCGAGGAAATGCGTTGACGCTGGTGGAGCAGGGAAAAGTTGACGTTCTACACGCAAATGGACTCAGCAATCGCAAAATTGCCAAACAACTTGGTCAACGTCATCAATCGCACAACGTCATCAATCAATACCTTCAAAATCCACTGAATTATGGAACTAAGAAGACGACTGGACGGACTGGACTAAAAAAAAATCTCTGAATAACTTGGAAATCGTAGAAAACGGCTGGATGGATTTTACTGGAAATTTTACATGTAACAGAGATTGATCTTTCTTTGGCAAAGAAAATATAGATCTTTCCAATGGTGCAAACCGCATTTCATTTGGTGCATTCAACATTTGCAAAACCAATTTTTAGTGAAAAAGTTCGGTTATTTAGTTGACAACCTAATAATAAATCATTCAAGAGAAGTGTACCAATTTGCAGACAAATCTTATTTCAAGAACTCGTTTGAATGATCACTTCAATGAACACCACACAAATGATATGTTCAAAGTGAACCGATCACAGTTCTCATCAAACACCGTCGCCCCTCCACTCCTCCACCGTTTCCCTTCAAAAAAAAACTCGCGAGAAGTTCTCAGTTTTTTTTTCATTTGATCTATATTTGCTCATAGGTTGGCCTCACTTCTTTTTTTCTGACATTGTCCGGTCTCTTTGTCAAGTGAAAGCGAAAAAAAGTGAAGTGAGATAGATAAAAAAATTTTCTCTTTTCTCTATTCGTTTTTTTTTTCTATTGGATCTCGAATGGGTGAATCGAGTCTCAGTCAATCTCAGTCAATGGCATCAAATAGACCAAAAGAAAGACCAAAGAAAGCCACAGAAAGCCACAGAAACTCTTTTCTTTGCCTCAACGAAATTCTCTTCTCAAAATTCTTCTCAATCAAATAAACGCCAATTTTTAGGCGATGATTTCTATTGGCTTTTCACCTTTTCACCTTCTAAATATTGGCAGTATGTCTACAGATAGCCGTCAATTGTTCACGATGAGTATAAAAGATTGATGGAATTGTGGGAATGGCATCAGGCAATCCGCTTCATCCAACCATCTCTTCTACAATGAACTCCTCAGCAAAAATGTGAGTTTTCTTTTGATTTTTTTTCATTTTAAAACTATATAATAGATTTATAGAAATAGAATATTTATAATCGAAAACTTTTCGAAATCCACTTTTTACACTTTAAATTACCTAAGCCTGAGCTTTAAATTAAATCTGTAATCCCCATTTCGCCCTATAGATCTTAAGTTGTGACTACAGACTTTTCCAATCTATAATCATTCGAATTTAAGCTAAAATTTCAAATTCTTTATCCAAAACACTCTCGATTTTCAGCCTTTGCCTTGTCGCCCTCATCTGCCTTTTGGCCGTCACCACTGAGGCTCAGTGGTACGGAGGATACGGAGTAAGTTCGAAAAATATATATCTAAACAATATTAAGGTATAGAAATCGAATTAAATTCAACCTTTATCAGTAAACTAACAAAACGAGGCGACTTGGGCTTTCTAGTGAGCTTTCAACTAGTGAGCTTTCAAGGGAACTTTCTAGTTTACATCCAATCATTCCAAAGAAATCGGTGAACCTACTGCTGCAAGGAATCAAATAAGAATAATAATCAAATAGCAAAGATTACTATTTTTCTATATTCAAATCATTATTTTCAGTACGGAGGCTACCCAAGCTCCTACGGAGGTTACTATGGTGGATACGGATACCCATACGGAGGAGCTTACGGATATGGTGGATATGGAGCCTACGGTGGATACGGTGGATGGTACAAAAGAGAAGCTGGTTTCCCCCAACAACAACCACAACAACCACAACAACAATTGAGTGGAAACAAGCAGTAAAAGGTTGAAGTGAATGAAGAGAAGATCGTCAATCAATCAAAGTATTATCCACATTGAGAGCTTTCCATTCATTTGCCTTTCCTCACCATTTCTTTCCTTTTGCTAATCCCACAAAATTCGATACGAGTACTTGTATGTACCAATAAACAAATGAAACGATGAAATTCTTAACGCAAAACAAAAGAATAACCTATAGAAACATTAGATTGTTTAAAATCCTGACCACAAAAAATAACAAAACTTTCAAAGCTAATCAGAAAACTCAAATTCTTTACCTGTACAAGTTGTCCTTCTGGTGCCTCAAGAATCCACATACAATACGAGTTGGGCAAATAATTCATCCCCTCTCCATAATTTGGAGATGTGATTGTACCCATATTTGGCGAACGAATGAAACCACCACATTCTGGAATTACTTTTGAAATTTTTGAGTTCCAGACAAAGTGAGCTAAGAATAACTGATCTCCAACCTTGGAACTCGACACTCATATTGAAGCGAAGATTTGTGTATCCCTTCAGTCCATTTGGTGCCATTTGTGCCCAAACATGTAGATGAAGTAGGTCGTTGACGAACGTCTACATACAATTACAATTACTTGCAATTTAAATATTATTAGAAAATACACTTGTAGTAAGATACATCTATGTCTAAGGTCTAAGATGTCTAAGATCCTAGATGTCTAAGATCTAAGATGACTAAGATCTATGTCTAAGATGGTTTAAAAAGTAAAATGCCGTTCGTTGTTCAAGTAAGTCTAAACAAGTTGAGTTAAAGTTAAATCAAAATTAATTAATTAATCAAACTTCAAATTATAGTAATTTTTGGGAGTGGGACAAATGCGACCTTTTTTTGCGCACCTTTTTTCGCGTTTTAAAAAAGCTCTAAAAAGCTAATATTAACCAATTTCTATTCCAAAAGTTGTTTTTCTAGGTAATTTTAGGGCGTAGAATCGAAATTTTGACATAACAGAGCGTGTGGAACCAATTTGAAAGACAAAACGGCTAGATCAAATTACAGAAAATTGTCGATCTTTCTCTTTGTATAACTCCGTCCGTTTGTTTCCACAAGCTCTGATATGTCAAAATTTCGATTCTACGCCCTAAAATTACCTAGAAAAACAACCTTTGGAATAGAAATTGGCTAATATTAGCTTTTTAGAGCTTTTTTAAAACGCGAAAAAAGGTGCGCTAATGGGCAAGATGCGGAAAAAAAAGGTGCGCAAATGTCCGGGTGCGCAAAAAAAAGGTCGCATTTGTCCCACTCCCTAATTTTTCCCTATACTAACCGCTACAAATGTTTCACGATTCGGGTTCGAAGTATCCGTTCCTTGAAGCATTCGAATGGTTGCATTGCAGATTCGTTCTTTCACCGGCCATGGATCATTTTCGGCGGCTGAAAATTTCTTTCAAAAAAAAAGTCACATAAAATTCGGTTACATTGAATGTCAACATAGCTTCCGTAATTCGTGCAAAACGCGTAATGAATTGGGCTAATCGATTGAAATTCGGAAATCTTGATCGAGACTGTCCCATATTTGGCCGTTTTCCGAAGCACAAGATGACAATATTCTGAATGTAATTATTGAACGCCATTTAAAGTTTATGAAACAATTTCCTCAAGAAACAAACCGGCTCTCTGAAAAACAAGCGGATTATCGGTGTTGTTCTCTTTTGTGGCCAAGAAGAAACTCATATTTCTCGTGATTTCTGTCATACAAGCATACTCGGGCATCATCTTTTGAGGAATCTGAATAACTCCTTTAGTTGAATTCATTACATTCAGAATATTGTCAGAAAAGCCCAAGCCTTTTTTGTCATAAATTACCTTTTTATAGTTTATCCTGAAAGGTCGATATTGAGCCGATAAATCGAGATCTTCTGTGTACCGAACAAGGTTTCGACTCGAGAAATCACTGAAACGATTAGGAATACTTTTAAGCTTCAGTTATTTACTTGTATCTGATGGTTGCAAGGTCGGCTGTTGTGATGAAAGTGGTGCGATTCTCACAGAAATATCGATCATTCATGAAATTCGTTGGGAAATGACTTGGCAAGCCGTTTACTGTCTGAAAAGTTTTTGATTTATGCATGCAACTGGCATAAGCTGATAGAATTCAATTTTAAGATAAACCTCAATATTCGTGTAGCATTTCCCGAGACCTTCTGAACTTGCTCGAAAACTGCTTGCTTGCCAGACCTAAGACTTGTGAGATATCGAAATTGAAAAGCTTTCAAACCAACCGTTTCATCGACGAACTCAAAGTCGAATTTGTAGCCGAAACCAATGCCGGCTTGGAATTCCCATTCACAACTGAAAATTGAATAATTGAATGCTGTTTTCCAATCAATCGCTTTCAATCTGATCAATCGCTTTCAATTTGAATCACCTGATATGAGGGAGAAGTTGATTTGGATATCCGGGCACCGTGATGAAACCGCTCACATCCGAGATTTTTCCACCACAAGCTGTAATGATAAGCAATGATAAGGTTTTATGAGGAAAAAGAGTCAAAACTCTGAAATTATTCAAACTATTTATCTTAGATCTTAGACTATGAAATTCTAAAATAAAATCAAACTTCTAACTCACTCAAGTTGCTCACTCCCAATCGCATCTCAAAACCGCATTTCTTCTCGGCGCAAAACAGTCGACTACCTCGATTCACCGTGTTATTTGCATGGAATTCAACCTAAACAGCTTATTCGACTTAAAATGTTATCGATATTCGTTGCTATCGTTAAAATGTTTGTATAGTTATTCTTACCGTAACAATTGGAGTCGATGATCTCTTTGGCTGCATCATTTCATTTCCTTCAGCTGACGAACTCACCCCTCCCGAACATGTTCGATCCATTAAGTAATCGGCTATTCATGAATTGAGGTGAAAATTCTCTCAATATTTTACCTGTCTCATTACCGTCATGGATAGCTAAATAATCGTAGGAACAATTCGTCGTGAACGAGATCCACAAATGGTCCAATCTAAAGTGAACTTTGAAGTTTGCATTTGTATTCCATTCCACTACCTCGTTTCCACAAAATGAGCATTTGGTGCTTTTACAGTCCAGAGACAATCTTGTTTGATTGGATATTGTTCGGGGAAATTTGGTGACGTCAAACGTTTTGTCTCGTCTTTTCGAAGAACGATCGAACCACCGCAACTAGCTGAAAAAAGGAAATAACCCACTAAATTCACTGACTCACCAATCTCATATGTTGCATTCCAGGCAAAACTCTGCATATAACTGTCCGTCCGATATTTCACCAAAAGGAATGAACTAAATATTCTTGAATACACTTCTTATCATCTTTCAAACCTAGTTGAGAAAATTGTACTCGGTGCATTTTGCCCACAGAAACGACCGATTTTCTTTGAGAAAATTGTCGGTCCATCGTAAAATTCAACGTAATCATCGTGACAACTGAAAAAGGAATTGAATTGATATTATCAATTGCTTTGAATTGATATTATTAATTGCTTTACCTTTCATTCACCGATTGAATATCGAAATTGTGTGGATCAATGGTGAATTTGAGGCGTTTCCCGTTTGGAGCAGCGATCAACCATTGGCAATTCAGTGAGTTTGGAGCCACTGAAATAAGAATCATAAGTCCTTTTCATCTATCCTACCTTCTTGATTTCATTATTTTTTTTATTCATTCATTAGCTTGCAAGTAAACCATTCGTTTCCCACTCACATTTTGGCCATCCCGGTGTGAAGAGTGTTCTCTTTGAGTTATTCTCATCCAATCTCAGCTGATCATTTGCACATTCCTCTTCAATTTCAGTCACGAGAATCTTGTAACCCTAAAAAGGTTTTTTTTTGTAGACATGGGCACTATAAACCACAATAATGACGAACTGTCACACTATAAACGCTTCTAAATTGCTTCAAATCTGCCAGATTGACATGATCTATAGCTCAACAAATAGAGAGTCTCAAGAGCTTTCGAATCGACTAAAGCGCACCCAAAAATATCAATGCTAAAGTTACAGTGGTTTTTAGCCTGACTCGAAACGGACCGCATAGTCGAAGCGATCGAGTCAGGAATACAAATCACTGTAACTTTCTTTAGCATTGATATTTTTGGGTGTGCTTTAGTCCATTCGAAAGCTCAAGAGCTTTCGAATGCAAGAGCAAGAGATTCCCTATTTGTTGAGCTATAGACCATGTCAATCCGGCAGATTTGAAGCAAGTTAGAAGCGTTTGTAGTTTACGTTTGTAGATTGTGGTGTCTAGTTTGATCATGTCTAGTTTTTTGCAAGTTGTTAATGCCTCATAGGACAGAAAAATCGTGCCAAATTTTAAACCTCGACTCGCTACCGTACTCATCCGTGTTTTAATCGGCTTGTGGAATATCTCATTTTTTACCCACTCGTCTATTTCTTTCCATTGGCTTTTTCGGTCGTGCCGCAAATTTGATGAAGAGTCGTCCAAGCGGAGTGATCAGTACGCGAAGTTTCTCGTCCAGCTAAGAATTTAAGCATATTTATATCTTTTCTAGTGCTAATAAAGCATTGACTCACCGCTTCCAGTGTTCCACAGAATATATTCTTTGATGGAATCATCTCGTTCGGTTTCAAATTGCCCATCGCACGGTGACTCTGAAAGGGGATTGCTTTTTTGGAATACAGTTCTGTTAAATGTTTGTTTATTAAACTGACCACAAATAGATAATCGAGACATTCTCCATCGGGTCCTTTCTCTTCAGAAATATCCAAATCGAGAATTTCAACTCTCATTCGACGATTTGTTTCAAGAACAACTGCTGTCGAACATGACTGAAATCTCAGGTTCGCTTGTTGTAACATTTTTTAATCAAGTTTAACAAACATCTTCGGGCTGAAGAATGGGATATCGGAATGAAGTGATCGTTCGATTGAGCGGACCTTGTGCTGCTTTGACGTAATCAAACGAATTGCAAGCTTAAAGGGTTCATTTTCTCCCTAAATCCCATTTCAACTCACTCAATTGATAGGAGAATTTGAATCCTTTCCCACTTCGACTTGAATCAGAGTAGAAATACAGATTTGTGAACTAAAAACGATAAGTGAAATTAATAAAGGATTAGTGCACCTGGTTGTAATTGAAATTAAACGTTCGATTGATTTGATTTTTGTTGCACAAACGCCAAGTGGTGTCGATCTTGCTGAAATTGAAATGAAATGGTTGCATTGATTAGTGATTTTACTATCAGTAAACTCACGTTTTATCAAGAGTCGATCCAGCAAGATTTCCTCTTTGTGGAATCAAAGCCGCGTAATCATATCGACAACCATCAACACTTTCCAAATCCAAATCGATTACCTGAAAAATGAACTTACTTTAGACTTCTGCTTTAAAGTTTTAAAGGTTTAAAGGTTTAAAGGTTCTTCTGGTTAGGTAATCCATCTTATCAGAACTAACCTTAAATTGTACTCCATAGAATAAAGGTTTCTCGAAGATCCATTTGCATTTCAAAAAATTTATGTAGCCTCCTAAAATTTGAAGATTAGAACCTTTTAATATCTCTCACTTGGATATCCAGGACTTATCACGTAGTTTTCATTTACTGTTGGCACAACTGGTGTACTAAAGCCACAGACGAAATCTGAAACGTTAACCATTAGCCTGTGCTCTAAATACTCTTGTATTTAGAGTATGAACATACCAGGCTCTGATGTTGGTGTTAGTGTTGACGCATTGACTACCAAAGTCCAGTTGGCGTCTCGTTTTGGCACAATTTGCCATCTCAATTTGAAGGACGATCTTGATGGAGCATAGAGTTTGATGACCAAAGATGAGTAATCCAAATAGAGATCTGCAAAAGATTTTTTACCAAAATATAGAGCTAAAAGTTAGAATTTTCTTTTAAACAAACCACTAATCGGACTCCATCCAACGATCCGTTTTTTATCTTCCATTATATGAAGCATATTTATTGGATCATCCCCACCATCGGCCAACTGAATGAAATCTTTTTAGATTAAGATGCCAAAATGACCCTTGCCAATTCTTTCATCAAAAAAACACTTACAAACAATCCCTGGTCTTCATCTTCATCCGGGATTTCGATTTTATCAAATTGAACAAGCAATCCTTTATCATTCTCTCCTTTCACAAACCAAGCAGAACTGGCGAAAATATCGCTAAAGTTCGGATGTTAGGATGGAAAATGAGCCAATAACTATTTCAACTTTTAAAAGAAATCAAAACGTACGATTTTCCCGTTGATTGATATTCGATTACAGATGAGTTCGTCTCTCCGCCAGTACCTAAAGTTCAAATTTCTTTTCAGAACATAAGTTTCTTCTCACTTTTGTCATAATTCAATAACAATTTGTATTTCTCATTATTGAGCGTACTGTCGATTTCTTCCGTTTCTTCGTACTCATTCATTGAATTGTCCGGGGTCACATACTCGTATTTCAACTTTATCCAAAACGACTCTCCCTAGACGTGCAGTTTTTGATAATTATGACTGTTTAAAGCTACCGTAATCACATTCTCAGCTCGTTCAATATTACAAAATCGTCCAATCAATGTGCCCGTTTCATTGTTTCGCCGAATCTCGAGGTACGAGGCTGCACAACTTTCCGAATGAGGTAAGACGAGTTCACTACAATATTACATCTTTTGTATCTTTTGGTAATTTTTATTTTCTTCATGAAATACCGTATTCTCTCTAATAATACGATTTTTTACCATTTTTTCAATTCTCCCCCCGGACCACAATACTATTAAAGAGTTTTATCACTTTAACAAAGTAAGACCTATATAAGATTCGTTCCAAAAATTCTTGCAAAAAGAGCAACTTTCTACAAATTTATTGAATTTTGATAACAAAAAGTTAACTAGACAAAAATCAACAACAGAATCATCATTTAAATCATTATCCTCATACAATTCAATATTTTCAAGGTGATTCTTTACTCCGTTGATCGATCGTTCGAGACGAGCATGGGCGAGAAGTGTTGTGCCTTCATGAATCGGTCCTTCTTTTTTGAAGCAGTCAATGAGACCAATTCCTCATCACCTTTCCACATTAACTTAGCTCGGAATTGAATCATCTTTCGTGTCACTCGCATCTTTTTTGCCCGCGTTTCTTGAATCCAAGCAACAAAATCCTTGTCAAAATCGATATCCTTGAGCTTTCGTCCACCGCCTTTGATTCGTTTTTCCGTTTCCGTTATCTCTGTTTTGTTTCTCGAGTTCTTCCTTTTGCTGACACGATTTTTGGATGTTTTGACGACTGACTCCAAATTTTCGCGCTGCAGCCGACTTATCGGTCATTTTTTCAGCAAAATCGATTGCTTTCAGCTTCGTTTGAACATCGAACAATCGTCGTTTTTTCGCGGATGATGCATCCGATTGATGACTCCTCGGCAACCTTGCTGGTCATGTTGTAGCTAGCATCTTGCTCGGCCACTTGATTGTCGATGCTCTTGAAGGATTTCACATCTTCCTCATGTCCAAGACGAGCTCGAAAATTCTCGAATCGATCAAACGGATTCCCATCGAGATCCATATCTAAAGAAAAAGATTATTTAGACAATAGCAAAGGTAACCAACAAAAATTATATAATATTAAAACCGAACATGGTGAATTATTTTCCAAGATTGAGCCTTGATAACAAGAAAGTTTCGCGCGTAAAAGTTAAGACAATTCTCAAACTTTATAAGAGGCTTTATATAGCAAAAAACTATAACTTTGCTCAAACTTCGTAAGCAAATTTGAGTTAATGTGCCACTAAAACAACGTGCGGAAACAACAAAAAGATGTTTTTGCACTTTACACAACAATTTTAGATTTTTTTGCTGACTTTTCCAAATGAAGAATAGTTAACAAATAAATAAAAGAAAAGCCTGACTTCTGCTTGCTCGGATACCTTTAGAATATCACATAAACACAAAGATATTCAGCCAAAAGGTTTAGATGCAAAACGAGCACTATAAATGTAATTTTCAAGGGTGCAACACTATTTTTCCAACCTCCTCCCGGACCGCAATACTATTAGAGAGTGCAACACTATTAGAAAGAATACGGTAGTCTCAAATCCCTCCTTACTTCAATCTGAGCTTCACATTGCTTCCAGAGAAATGTCTCACAGTCCATTCACATTCAAATTTCGAGTTTGTTATATCTGGGAGAACGAGGTAACCGTGCATTCGCGTTAATTCACCGCCACATTCTGAACACATTGAATAAAGAGAAATATTTGAGGCAAATCCTAGACAAATAAGTGAAGCTCACGAGATGATCCAGCCATATAAGTGAAAATGATATTTTCGCGGAAAATCCCCTCAGCTCTCTTGATTGAAATTTTAACCTGTAAGTCAAAGCTGAAACTTGATGTCTTTGAGGGTTTCAAAACAATGAATAGTATATATCTCATAGTCAGTAGAAAACATATTTTCATGTAGAATAGAATATGATTTGATTTGTTTGCCAAATATAACTGTTTCCCAATCATCCAAACCTCTCGCGTTCCACGAAACTCGTCTCTCTTTTGACTTCCGGTAATGCTTTGCATTGTTTCGATATGTCGGCTCTCCCTAACAAATAAAATAGACACAATGGTGTCAAAAAGCAATTGATTTTGTCCATGAACTGATCTCACCAAATTCCTCCATCAATTTGAATGCTCACTGTTGCCGGTTCCATCACGTCCGTCCGTTCATTCTTAAATAATCGATAAAATTTGATTGAAAACATGCATTTCAAATGATATACCGGTCGATATCGCATAAAAATATCATCAAATCGAACGTAGACATCAGAATATGGAAGAGCAGGATCTATAAAGTGGCTTTAAGATTTGAAGATCTGATTAAATTGTAAAAATTCGATCACTCACCAGCAATGAATGTTAGATTACAGTACTCGGTTTTCAAATCCATCACAGTAAACTGTTGTTGTTTATCGGTGGCGATCACTATTCCTCCACAAAGTGGCTCAACTGTGAACATCCAGCCAATCTATAAAATATCAAGTAATTTAGGTAGAACTGTAACGACAGGTCACCAAAAAGCTGCCACAGTCTAATGAGACACCAGAAATACGGTACCTTAAACAATGTTGCGCTCAAATGCGTATAAAAGGACGCCTCCTTCCGCATTTAGAGAAATTTTCTTTCATTTATCTTGTAAAAGTTGATTTCTTTTGTTCGAGATTTTCTTTCACAATTTTCATCGAAGTGATTCCTTTTTGACTCTGGGTCAACACATTGTTTCCTTGAGCTACGTTGAAACATTTTCACACGTTTGCCCCATGTGTATTGAATAAGCTTGGTTTTGTTATTCATTCAAACAAAAGTGCACACGTCTAACCACGTCTAGTGAATTTAAGGGAAAGCACACTAGTAATTCGTAATACAAAGCAAATTAGTTCTGAAAAGAACTTTAAAATTTAATTTAACAATCAGCCGAAGAGTTCTAAGCAGTGTTCATTTTAAATATTTTTTCATTACCTTGTCTTTCCCGATTTCTCCCTTCTTTGGAGGTAAACTTGCCGCATGAAATTTGACCAAAGCCTGAAATTTTAGCGTATACGTTTAAAATAAACATCAGCGAATACCTTTTGATTTGGCACGGTAATATTCTTGGTTTCGATGATTTTTGAGCAGATTCGATCGATGAGAAATTGTTCTTGGTTGCTAAATAAAGTGTTTTAAATTAGGATTATAGTTAGTAGAAGTAGAAGTTTTAAATTAGAATATAAATCAAAATAACATTTTTACAATAAGCCCCACCTTCCTTGAATTCCGTAGAACTCGAGATTTCCCTGCATTTCCATTGAAGCCGAACCGGGAATCAGCTGAAAGAATCATTTGCTTTAATCAATGAAAGCTTGGTATTTCAGATTTTAAAAATTATGTCACATTTGAGCCACTTACCTGGCAACTGTAATTCTTGTAGAGATTGACGAGCCAAGGAAAACTCGCTGCATTCACCAATTCATCATTTGCTGGATAGAAGGCTTTCACTTCGAAAAGTGGAGAAAAACCGGGTTCGGTCTAAAAAGTTTTTGCTTTTTATTGTCAGTATAGTTTTTTTTTTACCTCAAATACATATTTGCAGGAAACTCCTTGTGAATAAAGATTTGGATAACCAGGCGAATGAACAGTGACTGAATCGGTGCTGTTCACTGAATATTTTCATTTCAAGAATCTTGAAAGGATTTTTTGATACATTTAAACAATCCAGAGCAATCATCTGTTCCATTCGAGTCGAGGAAGAAAACGGAGAAAATCATGAATTGTTCGCTGCCCGTTGATTTGATATAACGCATTGGGATCTGCGATTCAAACCCAGGTAAATAATGTTTGAAATATTACAGAAGTTATATAAAAACTTTACCGTAAGCCGAAGGAATAGTTCGGGTGCATGTGCTGTATAATTGTAATCGACTGTCGGTTCACAAAGTGCTTTCATTGCGTGTCCTGATGAATTGCTTCTTCCATAATAGATCTAAAATCTTGCTTATATATATCTACTTATTCCTTAAATTCCTCAGAATCCTATATTTTAACAATCCAACAATCATTACCCCCAATCCAGTAAAGTCCTCCTTTTGTGGATCACAAGCTTGACTATCAGGACGATAAATGGAGAGCTTTTCCAGGCTGAATTTTGGATAAAATGGAAAGTTGTTTTTATTTTCGATTAAGAACACTTACATAACTCTTGGTATCTTTCCAATTCCAGCATCAACCACCCAATGACATTCCAAGAGATCCGAATTCTGATCGATTTGATCTTTTGAGAGAATCACTTTTTGACCGTCGTGCATTTCCCCGCCACAACCTGAGAAGTTTATAAAGGTTTCCAAGAAGTTTCCCCACCAATAGTTCTCCAAGTCATCGAGAAGAGATTCGTCGGCATTTTTGTGTTGAAAGCGATATGAGCTGTGTTGTTTGTTGTCTGAAATTATCACTTTTTGATTTCAGAACTGTCACTCGGCTTACTAACTGTTGGGAATATAGTAGTTATTTTAAATCATTTCTCACAGACTATTTATTCGCTGACTTAAGTGTTTTCTAAAGTACGGACCTCCTATCGTACCCCTATTTTTTTTTTCCGCCATTTCACAGCATTGTTTTTCTTTTGTCAAATTTGTTGTCGAATTTTTGTTTTTGAAAAAGATTGCCCAAGATTTCGTTTGTTTAAATAAATTGGTAAATCAACTTTGTCAACTACTCAAATTGTATCATCAACAAAGATATCAAGGAAACACATACCGTAAATACTGTAATAGTACCCCACCCCCATAATGACGGTGCGAGTGTTGCGTAGTCTAGCTTTGAACGAGTTTTTCTCGACACTGGTTTATGCTACAATGCGCGCTTAGGGATCAAAAAATAGCCCTGAATTTCAGCTATTTTTTGATACCAAAGACGCATTTTTTGAAAGTACGCGCGCTTTGAAAAAAAATTAAATACTAAAAAACTTTTGCGACTACGTACTAAGTACGAGGGGCGGTGGGGTACTACAGTATTTACGGTACGTATACAAAACGAACAGACCTTAATAGTGATCGGTTCTCCAGAGGATGAGCAGAAAGTTTCCATTGTATTTGTGACATTGATACTTCCATCCGATAATCTGATCTCTGCACTTGCAACTTCACCATCACCGAACTAAAATCAAAGCTTTTTGAAAAGACATCACAGACAGAAAAGACAAAAAAGACATTTTACTCACTTTCAAGAAATCTTGTCCACATGGTATCATCATCCATCGACTCTGTTTCTGGATGACAAATTGAGTGAATGTGAACTCTAATTTGTTTCCTGGTGGAGCAATGATCGTCCATGAACATGAACTGAAAATTTTTACCTCTAACGTCTTTGAAATTCATTTTGTAATTATGTTTCCTTAATCCGAAAATCTCACCGTGTTCCATATGCATCATTTGGATATCCGGGAGATTGAATTGTTCCCGCGAATGTTCGATGAACAATATCCGTGCAAACTAAAGCAAAATCATCACTTGAGTCACAAAATTCGGCGAACCAGTTGAGAAATGCGAAAGGAAACCATAGATTTGCCCAAATTGAAGGCCTCCATGTTGCTTGTAACGGATTGTCAGCTGGAATTTGACGTAATTTTACTCATTAGTTTAATTCCAGATTTAAAATGTAAAAGCTTCATCAAAACTTTTCAATTTCTTACTTGATGATCATCGGAAAGAATTGGCTGCACACCGGTCTCCTTCTTGCAGATTCGTTTTAAGTAATGGGCACCGTCATGAGCATTTTCGAGAATCTGTGAAGGTATTTTGCACATTAAGTTTAAAGAACTGTTGTTATTCTACCTCTACATATTTCTAATCTTTTCTGTGAACTTACATCAAGCGATGAGAGTGAATTCATCCCACATCGTCCCTGATCGTCTCCCGCTTTCAAATCATCCACCATGGCGATTGAAAGACGAACCTTGTTACCTAGAATATTGATAAAGAGCAAAAAATAATTGTCTTTTCTTAAGTTTCGCTAATCTATAAGTCTTCTCGGATTACCCAAAGCAACTGCCACATTCCATTCACAATCCATCGATCGAGCATCTTTATGGGGATATTGTGGTGCAGAGATTGTCCCCTCCATCCCATCAACATGACCACCACAGCCTAAATTTTTGGCTTTTATTGAGCTTTTATTTTATTATATACCTTGAGATACAATCTTGTACGAGATATTGAAGCTGAGCGCAGTTGGATTTGTCGTTTTCAGTTTCAAGTAAACTCGGTGAGCGAATGATCTAAAATTGGGAATGGTTTCATCTTGTTTAATCTCAAACCGCAATTCGGTGAAGTTATGCGCATTGCACACTTCATTCTCTTCAAACAAAGTGTGAAAACCGGGCGATTGATCGTTGATTCCATTTCTGTGACAATGATAAAAATAAAGTGCGACGAAATTACCGTAAACTGAGAGTTCCCAAGTGACAGGGCATCTCCAACGAATTCAATGTAAGAAGCACACGATGACCGGGAGTTACAGAAATATGATATTGGCATTCATAAGCCTTTGTAATCGATCCATTGAAGAAGATTTCTCCACTCGGCGAAGTGAAGGTTCGATCACAATCGACACTCGGATCAACAGAGTTCCATCTAATGTTTTGGGCATTTATCAGTTCGCTGGACGTTCTAAAACTACTCAATATCTAACCAACCTTGCAGAAAATCCGCTTCCAGGCACAGATCGATCACTCACGAAAAGGATAGTCATTCTGTGTGAACTGGACAGAAGGCTTGGTGGCAACAGAGTTCCACAAAACCTGAAAAAGTTCGTACGTTAGGTGTTCTTGTAAGATTTATCTTTTTATGAGATTATATTCCATTTTTGCAAAGATTGAAACTGTTTTCTAATATTTATGTGTTACTTACTTAGTCTCTACCAGTTTTCAGGTTGTTTTTCAACGTTATTCCTTTTCTTTTCCTTCATCACGTCAAGTCATTTGTCTGTTTCTAGACACAAATCCCATTCCACATCATTCTAGTTTTTAATTCATTTCTTGTTGTCTAATTGTCCATCAACGGACAAAGCACGCAAAAACGAATGCAAACACTATTTGTCTATCCAAATTGAACAAGGGATTGGGGGAAAAACGTGTGTTTCGACTGGATAACTTCCTGATGTTTCAATATAAAAGCCGACAACAGAATTCAAATCCAACAACCATCACAGCTCATCTCGAATCATCAAAATGAATTCTCTCGCAAAATTCTTACTTTTTGCCGCCATCATTGGTCTTTCGCATTGTGCTCTTTTCTGCACCAGCTCTGTTGGACGTGAGTACATTAGAAGTTTTCGTAGAAACACTAGAAAGATGTAGCACTAAAGTCATTTCTAGCCTGCCTCTCGGGTGCTTGTCCTGGATCGAATTCGGTGTGTGTCGGTCCAACTTCGAATCCCGTTTGTTGCAATGCCTCAAACATCTATGCTTCATCATCTTCAACCACAAGTACAACGACGAGTAAGTATTTGAATACAGATTATCTATCAGATTATCCAAAACACTCGAAATCTAGGCACTTGCTATGATTTGTTGAACCCGGTGACTGGAGTGTCAGATTGTCCAAGAAGAGCCTTCTTGTGTGCTGATTCAACATATTACAATGTAATGATTGTTCAATGTCCTCTCACTTGTGGCTTCTGTGGTGGATCGACATCTTATTATTACAATTCAAGTTTGTTTTCTTCATTCTTCACACATCTCATTTCAATTACAGCTTGTACTGATTCAACCAATGCCTACAGTGGAATTTCTGACTGTGCTTCATTGAGGTAATCTCTTTAGAATAGCAAATCATACTGTAATACAACCATTCTTTACAAAAATCGAATCCCTTTCAGATATTTATGCTATAATTCGGTCTATTCGACTCTCATGCAATCTCAATGTTGCCAAACGTGTCTCACCTATGGAAAGAAGAAATAGAAGCCCAATGAATAGAAAATAGGTTTAGGATAACGTGTAAATAAACTCTTACTTAACAATATTCGCCCTCAAAAATCAATACAAACCGTGCCAATTTTTGTCCAGTCAAATCTCCATCATAAACCTCCACATAATCGTAATTGCACTCATCTTTTGGCACCACTTCAACTTCAAAGTTGTCAAAGGTGAGTCGCACTTTCTTGTCCTGAAAGTTTGCTTTCAAATTTGTATTGATCACTCAATTTTGAACTTACCCATGATCCCAATATTGTGTAGACACAATGCATGTGATTGAGATATTTATCGGGGAAATTCGGACTCTTGATTATCCCTTGAGTTGCCGCGAAGACTCCACCACAACCTAAAAGAATGCTGCATTCTTTGAAACGATGAATTGTCTCAATGTATTGTTTACTCATTTCAAAATTCTCATCTCAATCACCAACCGACATCCGTTATCTCGTACTCCAATAGGAATCCTTTATTCGTTGGACTTCCACTACTTGAATATTCAATCTGTAAAAATCAATATCATCCATTTGAAATATCAAACAATACTTTAATCGGACTTCCACCACTTGTCATCATCGTTCCTCCATTTATGAATGGATGCTTTGCGCAAATGTATCTCTCATTCAGCGCCTTGTTGATCTTATTCTCTGTTGAAATCTGAAAATGTTATAAAAATGCATAAAGTTTGTATCTCCAATACCTCAATATAGTCTTTTGCCAAATATTTTTCTGTAGTGTTAAAGAAACAATCCTTTGATAAAGCACCTTGGAGTCTGTTTTGACGAACACTGAAAAGAGTTAAACAATTTTCTGAGACCTTCAAACTATTCATCTCTTTTCTAAAAATCGAGCCATTCTCACGTAATTTTGACGGCTTGTGTCTTTTCTGAATTGATGATATAAGTGCATTTGAAGGGTTTTGGAGAAGCATTCGGATAATTCGATGGAGAAATTGTGCCATTCTTTCCGGTAGCCAAAATCTCGCAAACTGAAATTTCAATTTCAATATACCGCGTGAATTATCGTATTCTCTCACCAAGCGAATATTCCATCTCGAATCCTTTTCCATTTGTGATTTCATTTGAATGAAATTTAATTGTCGCTTTTCCTCCTTTCAAATACAATGGTTCCCAAGGTCGATTCAGTTGACAGAAATCTCCGACAACCGTATTTTCTCTATTGAATACCTTAAAAAATTGACTAAGACTATTTTTCTACAACGAACCATCACATAATCCGGTGTGCATCGTCTTTCAAGATTCGTCGATAAATCACCTCGTCTTCCTGAATATTTTGGTAGAGTTTGTTTATAATTATTGTTAAATATGTTTACTCAAACAAGTGGTACTATAATAGCAGTCAGTAAATTCGATTCCTTACTTGCAAACGGACCCCATCGGTCCAGTCCACCAAACCGCATCAATCGATTGTATGATGGTGACCAAAAACCGATCACATCAAATGTCGTGAAATCGAGCTGAAATCGTTGTTCAAAACCAACTTCTTGACTTACCTTAAGACTGTGATCATCAGAAATGAAATATTGTGTTTCATTGATTGTCGCAGTTCCATCCATACTTCCATCAATCGTCCATGTACAATCCAAATTTGGATAGTAAAAATTGCCAAAGTTCGGAGTGGTGATTTTCCCTTGAAACTCTTCATTTCCATCCCATTTAATCACTCCACCACAGCGATGATCGGCTAAAGGTTGAATCAAAACACAAAGCGATCAAAATATTACGCTCAATGCTTTTATAGAAGATCGTGAATCCTTGTCGAACAATAGGCGAGGAAGTTGTTGTTGTTGTTGTTGTTGTGGTTGTTGTAGTTGAAGTGACTAAATGCTAGAGCTGAAATATCAGCAAGAAACACTTACATGGATCCCTGAGCATATATTTGGGTAAATATCGGAAAGTGATCGCAACTTGTGGACCGGTTGATCGATAGACGAGAGATTGATTCGTTGATTCGCAAAGGAAAACCAAACGGGCAGCCATGAATGAAGTGCCGAGACCGTCATAGATCTGAGAATATATTGTATTCGATTTATTAGGTTGGCAAGAAAGTTCGTAGAAAAAGGAATGAATGGCAATGACATCAAGTTGAGCTTTCAGAGACAACACAAGAAGTGATTTCTCAAAAACCAAGCCATGAATTTTCCCCCAACTTTTCTTTGATCAACTTGAATAAATTTCAAAAAATATTTGATAAAAATCAGAATAGGCTTCAGGTAAAAAAAAATGAGATTTCTTCAGCTGAAGTGACTTGGTCACTTTTTGAGTGACCAGTCTTTAGAAAAGTTTTTAATGAATTAATGGATAGGCAATGGGTCTCATTCAAAACCTAAAATGAAGTACTTAAAATAGAAGATTTGCGATTAAGGCAAATTTTATCTAATGCTTTAACTTTTCAGAATGACCTATTTTAGTATAACATTCAGGGGCAAGAAGATCCATTTTTTAGGAGTAATTTCTTGGAGTCGACTTGTAAATAATAGAACAAAGTGAATTGGTGAATTTGTTTTTAAGAAGTTCCAGTTCAAATCCGTGCAAAGAGCAGCTGGTACTGATTTCTCTACCTCAAGCATATTTTGTCCACAATTCCGTTTTTGGCCACTTGGGAGATCCAACTGTGGAATGGTTATTTCTATCACTTTGCCGGCGGGGAGCTGAAAGTTTTATTTTATCACTTCTGTTCTTTCAGTTGAAAGATTTTTCACTAGTAAAACTGCGAAAATGCAAACTTGAATAAACCATTCACAGCCAGTTTCCTCTGAATATGCATCCATGTTGATGCTACCAGTTTCATCGTTTGTTCTGTAGCCACATTCTGAATTGTTTTTTTTATTGAAACTGTTCCTAAATATGGTAGATAATATCTTTAATTCAATTCACAAACTTCTTTTCAAAAGCCTCCATCGAAAACGGAAATTCGCCTTAAAGTCTCCTTGATATCTCAGCATCATTCCAGCAAATGATGTCATTCGGAGCTCGTTGTACAAAATTGGAGCCTAAATCCTTCTTCCTAATGAAGACAGCGCTTACTAATTAGGCTTTAACACAAAATAGCACCATTTCTTTCAACTTACCCGAACATTATTCGGCTCTTCTCCACAAAAAACACTGACAATCGGATCCTGATCGGTGATCCCGTCATACACCGTTAAATTTCCCGTTGTTTTACTGCAATCTGTCGCTCCCGAGTTCTCACCCATTCCCATGTGACTGAATTGCAAAAAAATCAAGCTCAGAGCCTAAATTCACATTAAATCTTTAAAATTCCATCTCTTTTACATCATTTTCAAGGTTCTCGGGTCGAATGATGATGTCACAGTTCTCACGGGCAGATTTCACGCGGAAATCACTCGGATATTGGAGTGTGCCAGATGCTGAACGATTGTGCATCCCACAAGCTAAAACTTTTTCTTAAATTCATAAATATTCTTCAAACTCACAATCTTCCTCAAGTTCACAATTCATTCCGAAATATCCCTCGGCACATTCGCAGAAGTAATTTATTGGGCCCCGAGGATAACACTAAAATTGGATTAGTTAAATATGATTTTAAACTACAAATATTATAATACCTTGGCATCATTTTTGCACGGATTTACTCGACAGGGACTCGGTCGTTCACACATTTTCCCAATGTAACCATCCGGACAATTGCATTGATAGTTGTTCAGTCCGAGGCCCTAAATTTGCATATATCTACTTGATTCCTTAGAGAACAGGAGTTTTAATAGCCATATTAAACATTCCCCTCACTTGGCAAGTTCCCCCATTCAAGCACGGATTGCTCGCTTGACAAATTGTTGTGTTGTCTCTGAAAGCTCAACTTGATGTCATTGCCATTCATTCCTTATTTTCCCCCAAAACCCACTTGAAGCACCCCTCCAATCCAAAACCATTCCCAGCTTGTCCAGGAGGGCAATGACAAAGGACTCCATTTGGATTTAGTGTTTCACCTAAACTAGCATGATCGACAAAGATAGTTTTGCAAAACCGGTCAAATCAGGAACACAAATAGCATCGGGATGACATGGAGAAACACCGGATCCGCATGGATCGATTCTCGAACATTTCTTCCCATCTCCGGAGAAACCTATGAAGTTTGTTAGTAACATGTCAGCTATTATGAAAAATGTTTTAAAGTGGTTCCTTATGAATTAATATCGTCGACTTACCTTCTGGGCAAGGAGCACATTTGAAGCCGCCATAAGTGTTATAACAATCGACTTTTGGTGAAAGAGAACAAGGATAAACACCGTCTCCACATTCATCAACATCATAGCAATTTTGTCCATTCCCTAAATAAAAGCTTATCAATAATTGACGTTTGGCAATGATCACAATCAAAACGAACCTTGGAATCCAGGCGGACATCCCGAGCATTTGAACGAACCGGGCAAATTCACGCATTTCACTCCCGGATGGCACGGATTTCTCTTACATTCATCTGAAATTAAATTGTATGCATTAGAGGATCTTTCAGATAGTTTTTGAATCAAAACAAACCAATGTCGACACAAGTCGGATTCTTTACATCTTTCGACACTTCCCATCCCCAATCACAGAGACATTTGTACTTTGGCTAAATTTCGGTTGAATTACAAATGAGCCTTACAAGTTTAAACGTTAACTTTTTCATTTCTACATTGTTTTTTTCAAACTTCAAATACCACTCACATCATTTTCACTATCCCTTTCAATGCAATGCCCATGTGGTCCACAAATCTCCGAACTCCTCATACAAGTCGATGTTTTGTATTGACAAAGGGGACCGTGATATCCATCTCCACAATGACATCTCAAAGAAAAGAAACAATTTTCAAGATAAAACTGAAATTCGTAAGACTATTTTCAAAGGAAACTCACAGAAACGTGGGCTCATTTGGATCCATCTCACACGTGGAATTGTTCTGGCATCCGTCCTCCGTGTTTGCGTACATTTGACAAAGATCTTCTTTTACTTCACATTTTACTCCCTGAATGAGCTTACTTAAAATCTTATCTTTATTTACAAAGAATATTCCTTTTGCTAACTCACCGATCTCCCTTCAGGACATAAGCAAAAGAAGAGTTCTCCCACTCGTGGAATACACGTCGACCCAGCTTGACAAGGCGATTTTAGACACGCGTCCATCAACAACAATCCTGTCAGTTTTCTGAAAAATAAAGTAAACTTTCCAATTTCAAATTCTCATTCACCTCAACAATCTCGTCGTGTTGTTCCATGCTCTTTTCAATCTCCATCCATTCACATTCAACGTTCTGACTCGAACTGTCAAATTTGTAGAATCCGCTTCGAGTTTTTTGATCTAGAGATTTTATTTATCATTTTTATATCGACTTACTTTATCAGCTGATGTCTTTCCTTGCGCTTTTAGCTTCTCGTAGTTCATCTTGAGGGTGTTTTTCTAAAACTTGTAATTTGATCAATAGGTCTTTACTTAAACTGAGACAGAGACAAAAGTTAGTAACCATTCAACCTTACCCAACACATTTTAACTCACCAATCCTTTTTCGAAAATAATTAGGCACAAAAAGCAAGAAGAACCCCAAGAAGATAGCGCGGATTTGATTTGGTAGGTTTTCTGCGTTTTAGTTGAAAGAGAATTGGTTAAGCTAAGTTCATACGGCACGTACAAAAAGATTCGAAGACAAGACATGGAGTAGAAGGGAGCCGAGAGAAACGAAACAAAACCATTTTAGAAATTTAAACAGAAGACATAGGCGGAACAATATAACGAGAAGGGAATGGGGGGAGAGAGGTAACCTTAAAACGCGCTATAAAAAAGGATAGATTTTACAGAAGGGGAAGGAAGAAAATTTATGCGGGACTTGGCATAAAAAAACCGGACAACATTCACGATTCCATAAGGGAAATCGAGGAAAAAAGTGAAAAGAATGGCAAAAGGGATTTTGTGCAGGGTATGGTAGCGGATCCACGCTTTAGAAAGCGCACCGCGCCGCTTTCTCTCACGGGGCCGGAAGAAACACGGGGCCGGAAGAAAAAGTTGACCGATCAAGACGAACGCGCAATTACGAGACGTCTTTCCAACACGACGACATCACTCGAAGAGGTTCGCAAGGAGATGAAGCTTCCGGTCACTCGCCAAACTGTGCACAACGTTGTCAAACGATCTACAATACTCAAATACAAATTCATGAAGCAAGCCCCACGACTTACAAAGGACCATAAAGCCGCCCGTATCAATTTCGCTCAAATGAACCAGAGGACCAAATGGGAGGGAGTTGGTTTACTAGTATTTCTTATATATTTTATGTTTAGATCATTTGGAGTGACGAAAAGAAGTTCAACCTTGATGGTGCTGATGTTTTTCGAGGATATTGGAAGGACTTACGAAAGCCGGACATGGTCTTCAGCACGAAGAACTTTGGAGGTGGATCATGTATGGTATGGGGAGCCTGTCGAGACGGCGAACTGGTCGGCTTAGAGTTTATTTCGACCCGGATGACGCTTGACTATCAACAAGTGTTGGACAAATAGGCTAGCCGTCTATCTGAACAACAATCCGGGCAATAACTTTACTTTTCTGCACGATAACGCGAGTATTCATGCAAGTTGCTCCACAAGAGATTGGCTGACAGCGCACAAAATCGGCACTGTCGCTTGGCCCGCTTGCAGCCCAGACTTGAACCCGATTGAGAATGTGTGGGGGACACTCGTTCGAGATGTCTACAAGGGAAACAAGCAATATTTGAGCGTGAGTGAACTCAAGAAAGCCATTCAAGTAGCCTGGAATCGGATTCGGTCAACAGCGCTCCATGACCTTGTCTCTTCGATGCCGAGATGTCTTTTTGAAGTTGGACTAAAGCAAGGAGCTGCCACACATTATTAATTTATTTAATTTGTGTTGTTATTTTTATTTCTGTTAACTTTTTCTTGATAAAGAAAAGTGCGTCTATAATTTTTTGCCAGCTGTTAAAACGTTTTTTGTACGATCAAGTACTTTGGATGAGTGAAATGACTTCAAATTTTGCATGAGTTGTTTTTTTACAATAAAGAAACTAAAAAATACTTTTCACTGGACTAGCACTTATGTCCGGCTCTAAACTAGCAAAAAACAGGGTGCGTCTATAATTTTTTGACAGAGTGTAGAAATCTGACGCAAAGACAGGTTTACTAGCAAGAAGAAGAACAGAAGACATGGGCGGAACAATATAACGGGAAGCGCCTATTTCTTCTGATTGTAAGAATCTACATCTCATTTCAAAGCTTGATCTACTCCTTCCTCGATTACAAAGACATTTCTTTTACCTCTCCTTCAAGTCCTCTCACAAGATCCTCTAATATGCTCACTCGTTGGACGGCTGCTTGAAATTTTGTCTAAAATATTTACTTTCATTTTAATCAGCCACTATTTTATTCAAAACATACAAGTTCTGGAAGTTTTGAGATATCGGTATCCATGAGAAAAATCGATCCATTTCCAGAAGTTCGAAATGAAATATTCTTTGCAAAACCCGCATGAAAGGTCATGTGTCCATTCGCCATCACCAATCGAGATCTGAGAAAATGAGAAGTTTTAGTTAAGTTGATTAAACAAAATATTTTGTTTCTATTTTCAATCCAACCTTTTTTCATCTTCTTCATAAATATCAGATATCTCAATATTTGTATCGATTTGACCTTGTGGATCAACCAATGGCCATGTAACGAAAAAGAGACCCAGCAGCAAAAGAAGGTTCATTTTGAAACCCTGAAATGAAAAAGTGATAACCAAAGACGTAAAAGTGTTAAAAAAAAGTCATTTTCGAAATTGTTTTGATGAATTGATTTGCTGGTTTGATCGATAGGAAGAGAAACAATCGGAGAATAAATGAAATCTGATATCCTGGCGATTTTTGATGGAAAGAGGAATGGTGATACGTAACTGACTGTAAGCTGTCTTCTTTTTCAATCTCTTTCTGTGAGTGAATGTGAATGGATAAACTGTCAACAAAGTCTCCCATCCTAATAACATTCAACTTTTGAAAGAGAGTGCTGGGAAAATCCAGGTTTTGGTCGTAACAAGTAGATGGGATCTGTATATTATAGACTTTTGAATAATCGGACTTCTTCGGATCCGTATCTGTATTAGGTTGTTCGGATATAAACGAGCGTTTTAGTAGTCGAGAAAATTTACCTTAAAAACAGAAACAATCCAAAGTATATTCACCATTATTATTGATTGCTTCTTGCCATCTTTTTGAAAGAATTGATGCCGCTCTTGAAAAACTCTGCCGGCTGTGACTCGAAAAACTTGGCGACCCAATTTTGGATATCTTTACGGTTTTTGAATTTCTCATTGGCCAAAAAGTTTTGAATAGACCGGAATCAATGGTAATCTGAGGGAGCCAAATCGGGAGCATACGGCGGATGTGGTAAAACCTCCCATCCTAGATTCTCCAGTTTTTTCTGAGTCATCTTTGCAACGTGAGGTCTAGCCTTGTAATGGATGAACTTTATCTTTGATGTGTCTACTCCTTAACGAATGAGAACTTCATTGACCCGATCAAGTTGCTGTTTGTAGAGGTCGGATGTGACTGTTTGGCCGGTCTGTAGAAGCTCGAAATACACAAGGCCCTTGTTATTCCACCATACTGAGAGCATGGTCTTTTTCCCATGAATGTCCTGTTTCACGGTCGGATTTGGCCGTTCTCCTGGTCCTAGTCATTTCCGTTTTCGAATAGTATTATCGAAATGGATCCACTTCTCATCTCCAGTAACGAGAGAATCAAGAAAGCCATGATATTTAGCGTGGCGGATGAGGATTCCGGCAATAGCGACCTGTGAAGCCTTTTTTGCACTGCTTAACTCATGAGGAAGTCATTTCCTGCATCTGCTCGTCTTTCCAATGGCCTGGTGATGCTCATCAATGGTAGAAGTTGGACAGAGAAACTGTTGAGCAAGTTCACGCGTCGTTTGACATGGATCCGGCTCGATTGCAGCCCTCAAAATATCGTTGTCTACCCCTTGAGGTCGACGAGAGTGTTCATCATCCTCGAGACTTTCACAACCATTCCAGACTCGGCATCGGCTTTCGGACAATACATCATTCCCAAATGCTTTGACCAAATCTCGATGGGATTCCGGAACACTTTTTGCCCAGTTTGAAGTGGTAAAGTAAGCAGACGCGAACTTGATGTTCAAAGTCGGTCATCTAAAGCAAGAAAAAAGATCTTAAAAATAACAAATTATCCGTTTAAAAAGTTTCCAAATATGCGCAAGATAACGTACTTTTAAATGCAGAAAGATATGTTTTAAAAGCTTCTCTCACAACAAAAAGTTTAGCAACGCTTGTTTATATCCGAACAACCTAATAGTTATCTAGGCATTTACAGTTTAGTTACCCAAAGATTTTGACAGTTAGCCAGCCTTCTTATCCAGCTGTTTGAAATTTTTTTTACCCAATTTTAGTGTACCAGAATATGTGCGATTGTGTTTCAATATAAAGAACAAGAATTCTTTTCTTCTTTCTAGTACTTTTCTTTTCATTTTCAATCAAGGGATTTTGTTTTTATTGTTTTCTATTGATTCTCTGTTTTACATTGATTTTTCTCATCATATGCATTTTATGAATATTGTGCGAGACATCGAGTTTTACTTTGAGATCGTTTATTATTATAAAAGGTAAGCTCTACAACTAGACCTAGACCCAATTTCTATTCAAATACCATTCAATTATTTCTTCTTTCCACTACAAGTAGCACAACATTGAGAAGACATCAGGGTGGAATAGGCCGAATTGTAGCACAAATATCTGAAATGATTTCCTACACAAAAGTATGCGCTTCAAAGATTACCTCAAAGAAGCACAATCAGAAGATCCAGTGTAGGGGTTGGTCGAATCGGTGCATGAAACTGAAATGGGTTTCAGATTTTCAGTCTTTATGTAATGAACTCACAAGAAGTGTAGTTGTAGATGGATGAAGATGCTCCACAGAAACCACAAGTACGAGGACATTGAACGACCATCACACTGTAATATGTTGAATCGGCACACAAAAATGATCTTCTTGGACAATCTGACACTCCAGTCACCGGGTTCAACAAATCATAGCAAGTACCTAAAAGTTTTTCTTTGTTTTTAAAACCATAAAGCAAAAACAATATTTATGTAATAGGTAATGCAGATGAAAATGAAAGTACTTGTTGTCGTGCTTGTTGTTGAGGATGACGATACGTAGATATTTGATGCATTACAACAAACGGGATTCGAAGTTGGACCGACACACACAGAATTCGATCCAGGACAAGCACCAGAAAGACAAGCTGAAAAAAAGTGGAATCGATTCTGATTTTAAATTCTAAAAAGCTGATCGCCAACTTTACAATACATTTAGAGACTCACGTCCGACTGAGCTGGTACAAAACAAGGCAGCGCTGGTCAATCCAATCAGAACTGAGAAAGCAGCAAGTTTTGTGGGAGACATTTTATAGTATTTGTAGGATTATTCGGATGAAATGAAGAAGATGAGTGCTGATGATTTTCCGCAAAATCTCCTGTCTTTTATACCCAAGCTTTGATTGTTGCCATTTTTTTTGCCCGACCACCAGAAAAATCTTCAGCATCAGCTGCACAAACAACTTTTTTGTATTTGTTCCTGAGTTTTTTCAACTTATCTTTCCCTTGTTGAACAATGACAAAACAAAGGAAAACCGAGAAGACAATAATGGATTTGTATGGACAATTTGCACAGATTTACGTGTGGATATGTTTTATTGTGAACAAGAAAGAAATGGCGGACAAGATGTGGAATGGACAAAAGTTTTACATGTTTGTTTTTTGTTTTGATTCAATTCGCAGAATAGAACTCTGTTGTAGTTTTGTCAGAATTGGCTTTAATCCAAATTGAGAATACCGTATTTTCTGTAATAGTAGTTCACACTACTATTTTTTCAACTCCCCTCCAGCCTGCACTACTATTACAGACTGCACTACTCTTATAGACTGCACTACTATTACAGAAAATACGGTAATTTGATTCACCCAGAGAGACACCCAGGTTCACCCAGTATTGAGCATCCTGAAATCTATTTTAATACCAAAACCCAATCACTTACTAGTCTAGTTCGAATATGCTTTTAGTTTTTATTTAGCAAACCTAGTCGATTCAATTTGTTTCCCTTGTGAGTGACGGTAGATTTTAGATTCGAAATAAAGTCAATCTCGTGGTAAACATTAAAAATGTTCAGTGTTTTAACTAATCAGTTTCCGAAGCCCAATTAGCAAGACTCTATCTTTTTCGTTTTGCTTACAAAGTTTTAACTGACTATAAGTGACCTTTTCAAAGTACTGAAAGTATTGAAATGATATGATGAAATGATGAAATGATGAAATGATACAAAGTATTGAAATGATGTGAACTGTTTGGTGAGGTGAGTTTGTATTCTGTATTCTTCTTGGGATGTTAAGAGTGAATTTGTAAAGAAAAACTTTATTTACACGCATAATAACTAGTCCTAAAGTATTTAGATAACTGAGATAATGTGTTTTTCTTTTCTATTTCTTCTTTCCATAGGTGAGACACGTTTGGCAACATTGAGATTGCATGAGAGTCGAATAGACCGAATTATAGCATAAATATCTGAAAGGGATTCGATTTTTGTAAAGAATGGTTGTATTACAGTATGATTTGCTATTCTAAAGAGATTACCTCAATGAAGCACAGTCAGAAATTCCACTGTAGGCATTGGTTGAATCAGTACAAGCTGTAATTGAAATGAGATGTGTGAAGAATGAAGAAAACAAACTTGAATTGTAATAATAAGATGTCGATCCACCACAGAAGCCACAAGTGAGAGGACATTGAACAATCATTACATTGTAATATGTTGAATCAGCACACAAGAAGGCTCTTCTTGGACAATCTGACACTCCAGTCACCGGGTTCAACAAATCATAGCAAGTGCCTAGATTTCGAGTTTTGTAGATAATCTGATTTTTGTATTCAAATACTTACTCGTCGTTGTACTTGTGGTTGAAGATGATGAAGCATAGATGTTTGAGGCATTGCAACAAACGGGATTCGAAGTTGGACCGACACACACCGAATTCGATCCAGGACAAGCACCCGAGAGGCAGGCTAGAAACGATTTTACTGTCTGCTCGATCATAATCTTTCTACAATTATGATCTAATTGTAATTTTTAATCTAATTGACTAATTAACTTTAACTATAGATTAAAACCAACGTCCAACAGAGCTTGTACAGAAGAGAGCTCCATGTGAAAGACTCAAGAAAGCCGAGAAAAATGCGGCAAAAGCAAGAAATTTGGTGAAACTGTTCATTGCTGATGAAAATCGAATGCTGATGGTCAAAGCTTGAAGCTTTCCATTTTATAGCCACAAAACCAGGAACTTTTTTTCAAAATTTTCATTTTTGCGTGGATATTGTTCATCTTTTGTCTTGCCCAATTACATGGTGCCAAATTTGTGCAAATATCCTGAGGGCTTTTGTTGCTGAACACGAGAAGATATCAATGAATGGAATGAATGGATTCATATTTCTTTTTCGGTGTGCAAACATTTGTTTTTCCAAAATTCGAAAAAGCATGTCTAGCAAAAGCATTTATTTCACAATCCGCACTTTAACATGTGCTACTCGTATTTTTCGATGATGAGAAGTTGATAGATTAAGAACGACAACAACCACCAGCACATTGAGTGAAACCCTGAAAGATTTTTGGATTGAAAAGGAGAAAATTTTGGAAGTTAACTCGGATTAGTTGTGTTTGCTTTGCTTTTTGCTTGCTTAAAGTGCTATTTTGTCAGTTATCTCTAATTCGTGATTGAGTTAACCCACTTGATAACATCCACACGGCACCGTTGGACAAGGATAGACAGATCGGGAACACGTTTGAACACAAGTCTCGTGACAAACTGTCTCACATTCAGTCTGGAGTTTTGCGATACTTTACACTAGAACAATAACAAACCAAAGTATATGTTTTCACGCACGAGGGCATACAACTAGCACGACAATTGTTCACACAAGGCTCGGGTGGAGGAAGTGGGATTGTTGGTGGAGGGAGGCAACTCTGAAAGGGTTATCGGACATTTCATACGCGCCCCGCCCCTTTTGCCATTGGCGATCTAACTTTAAGCTCAAATATCTTGGTGTTGGGCTGCCCGATTTAAATATTCTTGATATCATTGGATGCGCCAAGTCTTTCACTGTCGATTGGTACAAGAACTATTTAAATTGAATAATCCAACACCAAGATATTTGAGTTCAAAGTTGGATTGACAATGGCAAAGGGAGCGGGGCGCGTATCAAACGTCCCACAATCCTCTGAAAGGTCAGGGAATTTATTGTATAGACATATTTACCGGATACTTAGAAGTAGATATAACAATTTGCAACTCGTTCAACTTATTTTTCATTCAAAGCGCTGAACTCACTTCTCTGCATGTTGCCTCGCAAACATTACATTGTGGACCGGCTCCACATTGAGGAGCGCAAAGACCGGGACAAGATGAACAGGCGATGGTGATTGGGAACTAAATTCAATCGCTTGGCTACAGAGTTGTCAAAGTCTTACCTCGAAGCTCCCAGCCGTCATTGGAATTGCTCCATTCCCGGTGGCAGCTGATAGGCCAGGAATTGGCCCGGGAATGTTCATCGATCCCTGTGGGCCGTACTCCCTTTCAATGCTAATCTGTACACTTGGTGGAAACATTGCGCCGGACATTGGACCAGCGATTCCTCTCATTCCACCCATTCCGCCCATGCCAGCAATTCCATTCATCCCTCCCATCCCTACCATACCGGCCATTCCCATTCCACCACACTAAAATTTCTTTTAATGAAAGAATTTAATTGGAAACCTGTGTGCAAACGGACGGACACCTCTGAAAACATGAAACAGTTTCACAACCGGCTCGACACGATCTGATGCACTGAGTGCACGAGATTTTCTGAAAATTTTGATACATTTGATGGTTTCTAAGGGTTAACTGTTATTGAAGCGATTGGTTGTGGCGGCGGTGGAGGAGGAGGCATTGCCGGTGATTGAATACAATTGGCACAAATCGATGGACATCTTTGCATACATGTCTGAACAATTCTACTAGCCAGCAGCATTTTACATGTCCAATTTAACATAAAATTTAACATTTTACATGTCCAGTTGCATTTATTTGATAGAATTAAAACCCTACATTGGTGATACATCTTTGTTGACAAGTTGGTAGACAATCTCCGCAAGGAAGAGGTCCCGGAATTGCCTTAAACACTGTTTATCCAAATTGGCAAATCTAGACTCACTGGTGGATAGATTGCAGTTGGAGGTGGGGGAGGAATGACAGAATTTCCGACAATCGGTCCTCCTTGGTAATAACATTGTTCTTGGCAGAGATCGGGGCACAATTCAAAGCATTGAGTGGTTGCACATGTAGTCTGACAATTAGCGATGCATGGGGGAACACACTGGAAAGAATATATTGGTATAAATGTCTCAAAGCATAGAACCAACTTCTCGATAGGGAAATGGAAGTGTCTGGAGAGCGGGAAGAAAGGGAGCTGAAGGAAGCATTGGGGGACGGATTGGAGGAACGGGTGGAGCGATTGGGACAACACCTAATGTTGGACAAGAACAGCCAGTACATCCACATAATTGACGACGATTTCGGGGAACGGTTGACGGTTTTGGAAGTTTACCGGAGTAGGCGAACTGAAGGGGTTTTAATGAAAGGGTGTTTTATTTCATTTTTTATTTTAATGTTTTATTTTTTGAACGATCATCTGGCTTAAAAAACTTAAGATAAACTTAAAAAACTAACAATGAATGCAAGAGTTTCATTTTTTTCATTAAAATCGTTAAAATCCTTACTTCGTTATAAGCAAAACATGTTGAAAACAAAAGAATGAATATCATGAATCGGAAAGAATTCTGTGAGACAGACATCAAATAGGAATATGAGTGAAACGATGGTGGAATATGACTCTGATCGAGACTTGCCCACAACAGACGGGAATCGGGCAATCGTGGAAGCGACAAGGACCTTTATATGAGATTGGCACCACGTATCGTTTTGAAGTGATTGGTTGTGGAAGTGAAAAAGAATGAGATTGGTCCTCATCTAAACGAGACATCATTCCACACAAACACTCACTTCTTCGTCATTCTCTTTTCACTTGTTTCCCACTTTTTTTTCCTTTTCATTGCTTCCTCATCCACTTCAATTTATAGTACCCTTCAGGTAAACGAGAATGAAAAAAAAGTGATTCCATTTGGTGAAAGGGACGAGTTTTGAAAAGATCAATGTTTGAGAATGGGAAGATTTTTGAAAGGCAAATTGGGGATCGGCAGATTATTTGAACCTTTTCCATTAACTTACTATCTGCTTGATTGCTTTACACTAACCATTTCAAAACTTTACAAACAAACTTTTTTTTCTGTGTTTTTCTCGTTTGCACCACCAACAATCCCTCCCCCCAATTAGCCATAACAATCGAAAACTCGATCTCTTTTTATTTCTATCGAAATACGTTGTGTTATTCTTGATGATATTCTATATATTTTAGAATCACTAGCTTATTTAGAAAACATCAATCTATGCTTTTCTTTGAAACTTTTGATTCGTCCCTTCTCAAATTGAGCCTTTTTCTTCTTTGTATCATCCTCGGCTTCACATTTACCCTCTTGGTTTCTAAAGTTTTACTATGTTACTTCAACAAAAGGTTTGTTTGCAAAATGAATAATTTCCTTAACAATTGCTTAAGAAAGTACCATATAACAAGGTTTTATGAAGAGGGAAACAATTTGGACAGTCATTTTGGTGCAGAACAACTGATCGCTAGACGAAAAGTTTCTTTTTATAACAGCACGAGAAAATCTGGTTTAGGATTCAAAGAATAGAAATCCTTCTCAGCCAACATACTTTAAAATAATGCGCTTTGATGAGATTGATATAAACAAGATTGTTGAAGAATCATTGAAACGAGACAAAGAAATGGTAAGGTGATGAAGTGGAGGAATTTAGGTCACAAAATAGACTAAACAAGATGTTTGAAATTTTAGGAAGATTTGATAGAGTTTGAGGATCGAGCATCGGTGTCTGAAGACGAATTGGTAAGAGGTCAAGAAAATGAACGTTCAGCTCGAGACTCAACTTCTTCATCTCCTACCTCTTCCGCCTCTTCCACCTCTTCCACGTCTTCCACATCTTCAGCTCATTCCCATTATTCTAATCTTCCTCCCTCAATACCAAAAAGACCCTCAATCACGGAAAAATTGAGAATATTAAAGGTAGCAACAACAAATTTTGTTTTCAGAAATGTCAGATCTATTCAGTACGAGTTAGACGGATTGCGAACAGTCAAACCATCTCAACAAGTTACCTTTCGAGTTTTTGATTCAAGCAAGGTAAAACTTTGAACTTTTGAAAAACTTAACTATAATATTAGCGGAGAAATTCAAACCGGAGAACATGGAGTGATTTGGTAGAGTTTGGCGAATTGGCTCAGTCCATTGGCACAGAGATTGTGGTTGGTGTTGTGTTTAGTAGGAAACTAGTCAGAGATATTTCAGAGTAACCAAGACATACAAGCTGAACGATGTCTCAAAGACTCGGTAGTGATAAGGTTTGTTGATCTAATCGAAATGAAATTGCTCAATTCAAATATTTCCTTTCCAGTTCCTACAAATCAATCATTTCACCAACAAACGAAACGGCTGTTTGATAGTTTTTTTATCATTTTCTAAAATAAACGATTTCCCTCAATAGTTTTTTTCCTCATTTTCTAGAATAAATTATTTCCTTCCTCAAAAACAGACCACCCACACATTTCTGTTGCTTTTGAAATGCAAATTTTCGAGTTGGAATCCTCAATTTAATGGTGAAGGGAAATGGTTTATGGGAAAAGGGAAAAATGATAGAAAGAAAAGAAAATGAAAGGGGAAACCCATTTTGGTAAAGAAATAAAGACAGTTAGATGGGGCATTGAAGAGAAAAAAGATGGGGAAAGGGGTAAGAGAGGTATTCAGACGGAAAGACTGCATCAAGATGAGGAACTGTCTGGGAAATGAAAAGTTACCGTATTTATTCATGGTCATCAGTTGTTTGCAATGTGTTTGAGCCAAGTAAACGAAGAGTAAAAGTTACCGTGTCAACAGAATTCGGTACTAGTATTCAGTTAGCTAGCTAGTTAGCTTTAAGAGAGGTACAGGGTGCGTCATAATTATTGCAACAAGATACTCAAGGCATTGCACACCAAGAAGTTTCACTGGAAGAAGATTTTTAAACAGAAATAGCTTTATTTAACAGTAACAAATAAGGAAACAAGAGATCATTCGATATGACCGCCTTTTGCCTTGATAACAGCCCTTAATCGGTTCGGATATGCCTCCACTGCGGCCCGAATGTCATCTTGAGGAGTCGCCTTCCATCCTTTGGTCAAAGACTTCTTCAAGGTCAAAGAGCAGACATTAGCCTCTAAGATTGCCCAAATGGAAAAGTCCATCACATTGAGATCCGGTGAGTTTGGAGGCCATTCATCCTTGGTGATCACTGAGGGAAAGTTGGCCACACACCAGTCCTGAACCGTCTTCTTCGTGTGAGCGGGAGACAATTAGGCAAGAATAAAAAAGATAGAACGCAACACAACAAAAAAATAAGAAAGCTGTTTGGAAAACGGTCTTTGAACTCTTGTTGCAATAATTATGACGCACCCTGTATTTGCATTTTAATGTTCAAGCATTGGTCTTTCTGTCTTGTATAGTTGTTTTGTATTTCTTTCTTTTAATGTTTTCAGATCTTTTTCCCAAAAACGTTTATTTCTAAACAAAACAAAATGTTAAACGACAATCAAATGGTGGTTTCATTCAGACAAAAACACAAACAGAAAAAAATCAAATCAAAGGCACATTTTTATCGGTTTTCAAGAGAAGAAAAAAATATCGGAAAGTTTTACAAAAAAAAAAACAAAAACATTTTGTATATTATATTTGTTGTTTTATATAGAAGACTAAAATTGGAAGGCTTTCAAAAGAAATGACTACAATATTGACACAAAAAAATGTGTGTAAGAAAACGCGGAAATTCCTAAAAGGTGCTCAAATTGAAATGTGGCAAGGAGAAATAGAGTGAAAATTTGGTTGGAAATTTTGGAGAAGAAAAGTGAAGGTTCAGTTTGATTGTTCATCAGTCAATGTTAGCCTTGTGTATTGGCTCAACTGAATATTCAATCTTTTCTTAGCCCAAAAATCCCAAATTGAGGTCAATGATGATTTTTGCTAACGCTAATATTTGAGAAAAACCCTCAAAAAGGGTCAAATACCCTAATGGTTTTTTTTTTGTTTGTGAGTGATTGGAAATGAGAAAAAAAAAGCATTTTTGATCAGAAGCCAGTTCTATTCAGAAAGAGAAATAATAAACAAATGACTTGATGAAGAAAATTGACTTTTAATTGAAAAGATTTCATCAAGCCATTTCAGAGCTCAAAATGGCTCCACAAAAAAGCAATTCGATAATCCTAAAAGCTACAGGTAAAAGTTAAAGATGAACAAATGAAAAATGTGAACACAAAAATTGAAAATAGAAGAAGAAAACAACGGCAAAGTGAACGTTTTGTATTCACGAGTGGTCTGAAAGCTATGTGGTCGGTGATTTGAATGAAATGAAAAAAAAAGAGTGCTGAGTGAATTTTCTTCAAATTTCAATTAAAATTCTCTTGGCTAGGCCCAAAAACAATGAAAAGCTATAAAAATCAAACATCTTGGATGAAAAGAAAAGCGAAATTTTCTGATTGACGTTTCAAATTGATGAGAATCAAAAGAAAATCCCATTTTTTAATCAAAATCGACTTTTCAAAGGCACGAGAGGGATATTTTGTGTTGAAAATTCTCGCGACAAACAAATTCTCGATACTTTTTATGGATATGTTTTCTGTTTCGGGGGATGAAATGAGAGAAAATATGTGCAAAATGAGGAGATTTTAAGGAAAATACGGTAATCGATTAGGAAAAAGAAGATTCAATTCAATGAAAATGACGATGCTTTACGGTTAACGGGGCGGTTATCGGAGGGGAGGGAGGGAGTTTTTGGCCAACTTGCAGCTCATTTTTAATCACCTTAAACTTGTCAGATCAGGAAGTTTTAATAAGATTTAGATAGCTTTGAACGTCAACTTTCAGAAAATATTTGTTTCATCAAAAGTTATTAACAAAAACCTATCTAAAATCGGGCTGCAAAATGATCAAAAACTCTGTCTCCTCCATAATCGCTCGATCCCCCAATAACCGTAAAGATCCAAAATGACAGTTTATGGGATATTTTGTGGTTCTGCATGACCAAATAAACGCAAAAAAACAGCTTTTAGTGCACTAGATCCTTTGCGTTTACGAGAACAACTGAAAGCTGTCATTTTCGCGAAAAAAACACACACACACACACAAAAACACACAACAAGGAAAATCGGTGAAAATTTTCTGAAGGACTTTAGGCGATTTGCCGGGTTTTGAGCTAGCCAAAGTAGATAGAAAAATGTGATGATTAATTGATTTTTTTTGTGTACATTTAGACTACAATCATTTCGAAGTATCGATATTACAAAGAAAATATTGAACTCAAGAGAAAAGCTACTGAATTAGATTCGAAAACACGAAAAATAATAGCCGCAATTTGGGAAAAAGTTTTTGTCATGAAAAAATGCTCGAAAAACAAATAATTAGTCATCGAATAATGAAAAAACAAAACAAAAAGTGAACTGAAAATTAAATAATAAAGTTTTTCTGAAGTTTTTCTGAAGTTTTTCTGAAATGTTTTTCTTATTTTCAGTCCACTTAACTAAGAATCAACAACACAAAAAAACAAGAATTGTACGACGGAATTTCGGGGTTTTCATTTTGAAGGATTTAGGGATTTTTCATTTGAGGAAGTGTTCCTTTTTCTAGATCAGTTTTGAGTCGGTTTTTTTTTGAAAGAATTTCGGGTTCTGTTTAGCTAAATATGTTGAAAGTTTCGGGGAAATGATGGCGATGAAAATGAGTGAAATGAAAAGAAAATAATGAAATGAAAGTCGGATTAATGTGCGCCATGTCCGTAGATCCAATTGACGTCAACCTGGAAATGAAAGAGATGAGGTCTTTTTCTTGTAAAATTTTGATGCATTTCAAATATTCGAAAAGTTTAGTGCTATTTTCTTGGACTCACCTGCGGTATATCAGCTTTGAGAAGATTCGGTGTTGTGTCGTGAAGTGCTCTTCTTTGAGTATGAAGACTTTCGGGTGAAGCAGCCGATCCCCGCGATCCGCCTCGTTCACTTCCCGATGAGGAATAGCCAGAAGTCGAGTCACAAGGAGAGAATGGCTCATATAATCCTAAAAGATTCAATTTAGAACTGAACTAATCTGTTGAAAGATTTAAATTTCTCTACTACTTACTTTTCTTTGCTTCTTCGGCAGCAGCTCCATTCCATGTTCCGATTGGCATTTGAAGAGAATCAGAAAAGAGTGAATTCGCTTGACGAACCTCCGGAAGTGTAAAAGGCTAAGATTTAAATAAAGTTTTAATATATTACTAGTTTTTTTACCTGTTCATTGAAGTATCGAGGCTGATTGTGAATGGATGATTGACCTTGAATGGGTCGAGGTGTTGTTGAAAGAGTTGACTCAATTGGAGTACCCAATCCATAACCAGATCTTGATTGAGGCTGAGGCCCAAAGAGAGGATGATTTGAATTCTGAAATAGATAAGAAATAGATTTGATCCAGCTTCTAACTTTGAAGTAAAGCTAGAGAAACTAACCCGAACTGGTGGTTGTGGTTGATTGAATGTGTTCATGTAATTGGTGGACGGAGGAGGTTGAAATACTTGAGTCCGTCTAAAATGCAACATTTATTTTAGAGTATTTTAGTTTCAAGACTTTTTAAATTATAAATATTTATCAGTTCCTTACTTGTTAAGGATCTCTTGCTCCTTTTGCTGTTGTTGTTGAAGAAGTCCTTGTTGTCCTTGCATCAACAGGAGTATTAGCTGTTGATTTGCTACCACGTATTGCTAAAAGCTTTCTAATGATTGCAAATTGTTCAAATTTCTTACAGCAGTCAAATCCAGGTCGAAGAAACCCTTGGGCAAACTGGGCAAATTGGCGATGGCTCTCACACTGACCAAATTTCGATAGATCGTTCGTTGCTCAGAACGGGTTCGCTCTTGATTTTCCTGAAAGAACAGCTTTAAATAAATTATAATTAAAGTTAAAAGATATTCAACATTGTCATTTTTTTCAGTCCACTGTAGTGATCTCACCTTGAGACACGAATCGCATTTTGTTGTGTGTGGAGTGTTCACTCGATGTCTCCTCAATTCGGCCGGTGACACAAACTTCCTGGCCTCTTTTTTCCACTCCAGAACTTGCTCTTTTTGAGCCGCAGTAAAGGCCTAGAAATGAATGTTATATTTAATCCTTAATTTTACATTTTTATCCTCACCTCATTGCTGAGAATCCTATCATAAACATTGAGTAACATGAAAAGATATTCATCTTCGAGATCTTCTCGACCAGCTTGTAAACCACCACAAAAAACGAGGCAATGCACATGGAATAGGAGACGACAAAGCATACTCGGTAAATTCTGAAAACGAGAAATTATTTGAATTCATTATCGCAATCAAACCTGATCCGGTATTTTGATACATGGCGTATCAAGCGATTCGGCATTTATTGATCCGTATGGACGAATTGGTGTGCCGAGTGTTTGACGAAGACACGCAATAGCACAATTCACACACCGTTTCCCAGCACCCATGAATAGCATCTAAAAGTAAACGACAAATAAACTCCTACTCTTCTGAAAATAACCACTCACTTGTTCGTTTTCACGGAGAATCGCCGGACGTTGAATGAGTTTCTCGATTGATTGAAGAATCTTCTTCCTTGCTCCTTTCGTCACATTTCGCTGCTCCAGAGTGTTTTCGTCTGCAAATATTGTATTGGAAATGCCTGGCTCAACCTATTTCCATAGAGCTTTATTTTGCATAAACGATCTCGCACCTCAAATTTGTCAACGCTTACATCTAAACTATCACAATTTTCTACCTACATTTACGTTTGAATTGAATAACTTCCCAATATCAATTTCCCCTTTCTCTTTTCATTTCTTCATTCATTTCGCACCCGTTTTCTCTCATTTAAAAGATTCTCTCCGGTCTCAATTCCCCCTTTTTCGACACAAATTTTACGACTTTTTCATTGGCATCCCCAAAAATGCACACATAGTTAGAGAAAGGAAATAAAAAATCACCGCCTTTTGCTCCTAATTTCTCTGAAACTTGGGGAGATCCCAGATTGACACCTTTGGAAAAAAGCAAATTGATCTACAGTAAGATTGGGGAAAAACTAAGTGATTTTAAACAAAATGAAAAGAATTTTTATAAAATTTAAGCAAAACAAACCGAGACTCATCATTTGATCGTATGCCATTTCTTGGAAAAGAGCCGTGTATTTGTGAAGGCGAAGAGATTTCAACCAAGATGCCACATCTAAATTTAAGGATATAATTTTAGCTGTGTATTCCCAGTTTTTCTATATTTCTTCTAGACTTTCTTCCCGTTTTTCCATTGAGCTTTTGTTTGCAATCACGTCATTTCACTTTCCCATAAAAGTCCCCTATCGGATTAACTCGAGTAAACCAATTGCTTTGACAATGAGTCAAGCTAAACAACTTAAGAATGCGTTTGAGAATATGGTAGTGAACCAAGAACGTGAAAAACATCCCAACTCTACTCATGTAGAGCTCAAGGTAGTCTAAAATCGTGAACAACTCTTAAAGCCAATTCAACAACTTGTAATCCCTTCATGTACTTTTCTCGTGTATCACACAGTTTCCGGGACAAAGGACCATTTAGGATCCCCTTGCACCCTTCCCTTCCCTTCCCTTTCCCCCTTGAATCCTTTCCCATCTCCCCGTTTGATTTCCCGATGAAAGAAGCCAATCCTTGTCTCTTTTTTGTCCTTCTTCTTGTCGAAAGTTTCCCCTCTTTGTCCTAACGGATCCTGCACTTTTCTCCTTAAAATGTCCCCAGACTTTAAGAATCACAAAAAGGAACGATTCTAAGACTGGGGGAAAAAGATCCAACTTTGAAACGGCGAAGACAAAAGCTTACGACAAAAGACAGAAGCTTTTTGGTTACAGTATTCTGGAAAACTCTATTTTAACTCTAGATTGGATTCTAGATTCTAGCGATTCTAAATATTCTTAAAGATCTCCCTTTAAGATCTAGCGAAATCGAAATCATTATTTAATCTATAAGTTCCCTGTTCGATTTCTAGAGTCGTTAGCTTTTAAATTTTTTTCCAACTTTTGTAGCCTCTTTTTCTTCGAAAATCTACGAACTCGCTTCTTTTCTCAAGATAGAATTTAAGTTCAAGATATCGAGTTCCCCGATTTCCCTAATGTCCATTTGAATGGGCTTTATCTGATCGTTCTCCTTTGTCTTTTAATGTCCCTTTTATAGATTGACACATGGTTGTGCTTCGTGGTGGGTCTACAACTAAAAACCTTTTTCCTTTAAAACATTTTTCTTTTGAAGTTTAAGCTCGAAACTTTTCGTTTCATAAAGGGTTTCTCATGGAATTCCCCGTGCAATGAATCAACTGACATCTGCTTGGATCTTTTCTTCTTTCTTTCATTCCTTTCTTCACATCCCATTTTCCCTTTGACAATCCATTTTCTTTCATTGAAAGAAAAGGTCACTCATCATCATCCCCATCATCGCTTATGCTTTATGTAAAAAATGTCGTCTTTATGTAAAAGATTTGCGTTTTCATAAAGAACCGATATAAAGGGTATTTTTGAGTTTGGCGCCAAATGCAAATAAAAGAAAAAAAAAATGAAAAACCGTGGAAAGTGCATGGTAAGCTTATTTTTTTTTGAAAACTAATGTACAATCTGAAGAAGAGTTTACTAGTTACAAAAAGCTGACCAAAATTGACCCCAAAATCTCTTCTAAACTAATTGAGATCCCCCGGTTTTGACCGTTCATTTCCTCAGCCGTTTCCCAATCGAAAAAGTAAACGGTTCTTTTTTCGAGAAGAGTTTTTGTGGTCCCGAAAGTGCATTCGAGGAGGGGTGGCGGGCAGAAAAAAGGAGAAAAAAGGGCCGTTCCCTCGAGTTTTTCGAGGAGGCTGTCCAGGTGAATGAAAAGGGAAAAAGAAGAGAAAAAAGAGAGGAAAATGCAAGAGTTGAAGAGTTCGCAACATTCGATTCCTCTTCCGTTTTTCTTTTTCATCTCATAGATCTCTTCAAATACTGACTGTGTTTAGTTTTTCGAGACCGTTGAAGGGAAGAGGAGGGAAGAGATTGTCGTCGAAATGTGCCAAGAGGAAAGTTAAATGTTTTGAATGAGTTGGATGAGTTTTTATATAGAGAATCTCGAATTGCAGCTGATGATCCTTTAGACAAAACGTCACGTGATTGGTAAAATGATACATCCAAGCAAAAAACTTCCTATTGTTGACAAAATTTGCTAGCTCTAGAAGGGTTTTGGCTGATCTTTTTTTTGTGTAAAGATTTCAATAAACTCAAATTGCAAACTAAGGTGAATGCACTACGGTAACCATTTTTATGTATACGCAAGATATTTACACATTTAAGAGCTGTTTTACTCTAAAAAGCTCGAAATCTCCATTAAGTTTCACTGACTCATCGCTTTCAATCTCTCTCAGTCAATGCAGAAAACTTTTTCACGCGCTTTTTTTTGTGAGTTTTTCGAAAACGATTTTGCTTGTGAGTTTTTCGAGAAAAGAAAAGGTTTTTTTTTGTGAAAAACCGTTCACCTCGAAGTGCAAATATATGGTGAGAAAAAAAAAGAAAAAGAAAGAAAGATTTCTGAAGGAATAACTCAGTTCAAACCTGGTTCAAATCCCTTCTATTCACCCGATAGAAACATAAATAAAACTGCTTTTTTTTGCAGTTTATGGCCCTCCAATCAACGTTGTTTGTGCAGCCAATTTCAAGGTTTCTTCCCTTTTTCCCTTTAGTGTAAAGAATTGGGATGGTTGTACTAAAAATAACTCAATCAATATGAAGTGATCGAAATCTTCCATTTGAATATCTTCTAGACAGACACCTAGACATCGTTTCGTTTTGGGTGGGTGAAAGTGTGTGAGTTGACAGAGATCGAATCGGAGATTGGAAATCCGTTAAAGCCTGCAGGGAAAAGAGATCTGATCAGAAAGGAGAAGTTGTGCAAATTGAAAAAAAAAATAATAGGTTGACTAAAACAGATTGTTGTTGTTAAAACAGTTGCTAGTACTGCTTTCAGTACTACGAACAATCAACTGATCTTCATGGTTGATGCTAGATAGAAAACAAAACTTAACTTCTTAAAGCTTCACACGTTTTGTTCTTCAAAAAGATTCTATAATTGATTAAAAGATTTGCATTCCCAGCTAATGGTGATCTTTTTGATCGAGAGTCGGATAGAGATTGGTCCAATCATCCAATCATCATTTTTGTCCCCCTTTTCCCCTTTCTTTTACCCTAAAAGATTCCTTCCAGACAATAATGTTTTCTTTTGCCCTTTTTGCCTGAATATCTTAGAAATTCGCAATGGCCAGACAAGACAATTCAACGGGGAAATGAAAAATGGATGATCATCGAGATTCATGATACGATTTATTGTAAATATTTATTTCGATGATGACTAATGCAAATGTTTGCTTCAGCTAAAATCCCTTCGTGATCTCGTAAACAGATTTTCCCCAGAATTTCAAATCGGTAGCCGATTTCTGAGGGACCTCGAAATGATGGGTGGCACAAAGAGGCGCCAAGAAGGTAACATTTCCCCTTCTCTGATTTTGGCTTGGACCTGTCGCCAATTTGAAACTGATTAGATAAAAGAAAAAAGGAGAAAGAGAGCGACTCGCAATGATTTCCGTCTCATTCTTCGGTAGCGTCGAAATGTTGCAAAAGGCGGAAAGCAGCGAGACGGCTCCATCCAAAAAATGACGACAATCACCTTTAAGGCAAAAAAACCCGGCGGGAAGTGATTAGCATACTCAAGATAGATAGAAAAACGTTATTGCTTAAAAAATGAGTAATTTTTTGCGAATAATCCGGTGGGTACAATTCCCATGCCAGTTTAGAGTGATTAGAGTCCGCTTAGCCTTATGTAATGAAACATAAAGTTGAACTGAGTTCAGAACTTTCTTGATCACAGTGCACTTTTCTAAAACTAACTCCAGCAAAGCCTACTTAATCTTCCAATCCTTTTCCATATCATATCTTGAACTTTAAAAGATAAATCTTTTAATCTCGACTACTCTAAGACAGACTTTCCCGAGTACTGTATAACTAATGAAAAATCTCCCAAATCGAGACTTTTTCCTCCATTTTTTCTCGTCTCAGCAGAAAGTGAAAGAGGAAATGCATCTCTTCAAACCGTTTTCTTTTCCGTTAGCACCTGGTCGGCCACTTATCGCTTTCTTTTCCCTCTTTTCATTTCATTTTTCTTTTTTCAATCCATGTGATGCCATCCGTCTTGTGCCAACTCTTGTCTCAGTCTTTCAGTCTTTTCTTTTCCTTCGATCGGCCCATGTCTAGTCTGAGCTGTGTCTGGGAAAAACGAGTCGACCAGACGACACTTCTTCACTTCTTTTCTTCTTCAACCCTTCTCTCGATCTCGATGAAGGGAATTCTCCCATCTCCTCGAAACCCTCAATCTCTAGACAGTTCTAGTTGAAAAGAGAGCAAAAAGGAAAGTTCACAGGGGTTCACACAGCAAAGGAGAAAGAGAAGAAGGGGAAAAGTGGAAAGTTCCTCTTTCACATCTTGGCAAACTGATCGCACAGATCGGCATCTCCAAAAAAGAGAGAGAGAAGTTGCGAATCATGCTAGGATGAAAACTCCAAAAAACGGAACACCAAAGCACAACGATGAAATCGATTAAAAGAGGTCAAGGAGAAAGACGCTGTGAGAAGAAAACAATAATATTTGCTCTTGACAAATTGCGGTATTGTTTTCCTTCCACAAAACTTTATTTTCTTAGCAACAGTCTACCCAAGTCTACAGTAAAACAAACTATTCACATATTTTACTTTATTTTAAATGCAAATCCCTTCCAAATTTTTCCGTAACTCCATTCCAAAAACTTGGTGAACACTTTTTTCTAAACGAATAGCTGAACGCAGACTTATGGTCGGCGCCAGCTTATCATTGGAAAACACAATTTGGGCTGTTTGTGAGGACTCCTCTACTCTGATCTTTTTTTCAACAGCTGTCAGAAATTATTGCCCTTTTTTAAATCACCCCTTTCTCTCTATATGGCAACATTTAGCAGTTGGAGCAGGCAAAAAACAGTAAAAAGTTTTTTTTTTGGGAAAGAACGGGAAGAATTTCTGAAGATAAGACTAATCCGAGTAGGGTCGAGCAAAGAATCAAAGAAAAGCGAACCTCTCATTCCAAGTGTCGGCATTGAATCGCTTCCAGGAAACGGTGGGATTACCTAATTTTAAGAGTTAAGTATTTAGGAAATGAAAATATGTATTTGAAAGCTGTAATCAAATTACTGCAATCAAAGAGCTCTAATTACTATAATTAAAGAATGAACTCACTTCGTGAAAAGTAGTACGATGTGGGAGAGTCGAGGCAAAGTTGAGATTCGAGAGTTTTGGGACGAGACTTCGGTACTCGTCGGTGACTCGATTTACACGATTCGTGAAGCTTGAGCCCTGAAATCAATAGATATTTTCCGTATTTTACGCCTCATTGAATCCATTTTCATCAAGGGTCAAAAACCTATTCTCATCGTTTCCCGTGTAGACTTTATGACGTGGTAGACACATTTTTACATTCTACACTTATTGTTCACCCATTTTTATTGATGTATGATCTATGTACCTATTCGAGTTGCACAGAAATACACACAAATATATTTTGGTGCTTGAATATGGCGCCACTGAGGGTGGATGAGAGGGGAAAGAGAGGGGAAAGAGAGGGGATTAACCTAGTGGAAGCCTCTCATCCACCCAATTTCCCCCGTTCATTCAAAGCCCCCAAACAACCAGGTATGGTTCTAATTATGCAAATGGAATTCCGAGGTGCCGAATGATTGGTTTTCGAGAATGCTTTGAATGAGATACTCGATTTATGCCAAAATCTAATCAAAAAGACTTACTCGATTGATTCGTGGACGTTGTGGGGGCAACATTTGAGCTTGTTGAGAACAAGTTGGCATTTGGGTGAGAAGATGATTTGGGAGAGAAACTGAGGGACCTTGGATTGATGATGCCAGAGGAGCCATTGATGGTCTGAAATATTTAGTTAACACTCTAGTTAACACTTTCGAGAAGGTTACTGCAGCGTTAAACACGTGACTGTTTCAGCCAACGAATTACTGTAGCTTATACTTCTCGAATCGAAACAAAACAAATAGAATTTTCCAGTATCTACTCAAAAAATCAGTAAGTTCTAATCACTTTTCATTCCAGTCCTAAACAATCCCCAAGTTCTAATCACTTTCCATTTCAAAATTCATAAAAAGTTCATTGTGACTATCATTTTCTCTTTTTCAAAAAGTACAAACCTCAAATTGAGTAGATTGAACCTTTCAATGAGTGGTGAATCGTCGTGATTTCCTTTCATTTGCATTATCTCCTCACGTGCATCTGAAAAATGAACTCAATGATCTCTGATTTAAATTCTTTTCTCCCGAATCAAAAGTTTTCATCAAAAATAAAGCGATGATAATATAAATGATGAGAAATGATGAAGATTTTGGAAATCGACCAACATTTAGAAGCCCTTTTTAATTAATCGATTTTGGGTGTCACCCAAAATATGATTTGAGACGGGACAGCAAAAAATGAAAAGAGAAAAAAGTGTGCATGAGCCTGAATAAGCCGATTTGTACAGCCGATTCTCCAGGGGAACACACGTGAGAAGAGTTTTTTTACCCCAACTCTCGACAAATCTCTCGAAGTGTTCAGGTGAAAAACAAGAGTTACTGAAATTTAGAAATAATAATGTTTGAACCGAGTGATTTAATATAGAGTTTTGAGGGAAATGAGAGCAAAATAGCAAAACTGTTCTGGATTTATGAATGATAGAAGAGTAGAATTGCAATGATAGAAGAGTAGCGTTCCGTAGGTTTGTTAGAGTCATTCGGTATTCAGTTTAATAAACGGTACAAGTAAAAGAGTTGGTTTAATTGCTTTCAAAATGGGCTTTGAATCCTGGGCTTAAACTTCAAACAATAATTGTCTACGTGAGTGGCTGGAAATGTTGTAGACTGACTCCAACCAGAGGAGCTCCTTCTCCTCCTCTTTCCCAAACGGTGATTCCCAACTGGTCTGCGCCCGTTCGCGCTCATTAATAAAAGTCTTTCTCCTTTTTTTTTCTTCTCATTGCCCTCTTTTGCCCCTTACCCGATTGCCGAGGCCGCCGTCAAAAAAAACCGTGAAAAAAGCGATCAAAAAAGCGCCACAAAATGCAGACCGACCCGGGGAGGACGATGATTTCTCTAGAAAAAAAGGAAAAGGTGGGATTGAAAAAAGAGATAAAGAATTTTGAGGATGGATTGTCGTGTTTGGAGGGCAAGTACATGTTGCGAGATGGGGATCGAGTTGAGAGGAGATAAATGAACTCTTCGATCAGTGACGCTAGCAACTTGGGAAATGCAGGCTGTTTGTAGATGTTTTGCTTTAAAAAGCTTTACCTAAGTCGAATTTACAACTGTACAATCTCCGCTAACTTCAAATCAGAGTCCAAAATTTTAGCGTTTCCTATTCGTTTCTCAAATCGAGTATCAAATAAAAGTTTCATCTAAAAATGAGCACGTGTTTCTTTTCGAATACATGGTTGCCCATATGGGATGGAACAATTGCTAGACAAAAAGAAAGAACGGCAAAACACTCACTTCCCCCTTTCTTTCCTTCTTCTATATATTTTGGGACATCTTTTCGATCTCTCTGATCGACATGTGATGTGTTATGTCTATTCTGTCTATTCATGATGAATCCGATCACGATGGTTTGTCTGATTTCTCCCGATTTTAGCCAAAAGGGTGTCCCCGTTTCAAGAATTTAAAATGAATCATATGAATACAGGGTTTGAATCAATTAACTTGTACTGTATAAAAAAAATAGATGAGTTGATAAGCCATGAGTTTGTTAGTTTTCAAAAACTGTTCCACAAAATGATGGATTTTCAAGGTTCTCACATGTTAATGTTTTGTGTTTTCAATGGATTCTTTCCTTTTTTCGAGAGGTGGCACGTGATTCCTCCTAGAGTCCCCATCGTCTCTCCTTCCTACTCAATCCCCATTTTCCTTTATTTTCCTTCATCAACTTCTTCTCATTTTTCTAACTGAACACCTGCTGATCCCCTTTTTCCCGTCTCACATCCAATAAACACCAAAAAAAGAGACAAAACTGGAAAGCTGCCATGTAAAAAAATCTCTTTTCAAAGAATAACAGTTGCGGAGATGAAATTTTGCTACTTTTATGTTTCCAGAAAATCATGACTCTAACTTCATTAAAGTAAACAAAGAATCATCAAAATTGAGTCATCAAGAAGTTAGTCACGAAAAAATGGTATTTCTTGTAAGGAAAACATTATCGGTTTGGGTTGAGGAATTCTCCAAAAGTTGACCGATTCGAATCAACATAAAAAGCTAGACCTTTTTGTTGACCGCTGCCCGTAATTCGATCAGTTTGCGATCCACGAAAAATTCTCATTTAACTGCAAAAAGACTACTCTCATTTTGGAAAAGAAGTTCTTTTTTTCGATCTTGTCGGGCTCACTGAAAATGAGTAAGGTCAAATACTTTTGTGGATGAAAAAATGGAAAAGAGTGAAGGGTTTTTCTCGTGGTGAAACGCGTTTTTTTTTCTTCTTTGGCACTCTGAAAAGGGGGAGGGGAGATGGGGCGAATTTCGCGCACAGCTGGCTTGGAACTGTGCCCGTCTTGGACCCCTTAAAAACGAAAAGAATTGAATGGGGGGAAATGGGGAAAAAACGATGAAGGACACACGAGAATAAAGGCTATTCCCATCTTTTCCCTTTTGAAAGAAAACTTTTTCACTCTAGAACTTGCTGGGTGGCCATCTACCCCACTACAGATTTTTCCGAGAGATAAAGAAATGGCAATGTAGCAGAGGATAGATGGAAAAGAAATAAAAAAAGACATTGATGAATAATTCGATAAACTAAATATAGATTCGACATTTAGACAAAAATATCGGGGCTTTTAGAGCAGAACTGACTATCGGAGCTTTCAAAACAGAAAGTGGAGAACAATATAGCTTCACTTGCAAAGACAAAACGAACAAAAAGACTAAATAAAGAAGAAAAAGTAAACATTAACAGTAAACAAAATTATATCAGTGGAGAAAAGTTCATGGAAGTCATAGCGATCATGGGAAAATCAGTAAACGTGTGCGATTGGAAGGATGGCTTCCCCATACTTTTGATTCTACGAGAAAAAAAGAGAAGGGGTCTTTTTGAGCAAAGGGGAGGAGCCGAGGGACAGGGCGATGCCATGAAAAAACCATCAAAAGAAGAAGAAGAGGGGCGGGCACACGGAGGAAAAAGAGGAGGAGAAAGGGAGACCGTCAAGGGGAGACTGTCAAGGGGTCTCCCTCTCCTCTCCTCTCCTCTCCTCTCCTTCCCTTTTCTTGGCTTCCCTCCTCTCCGACTTCCATCGACTGATTGACCATCTAATAGAATTTAAAAAAGACGTCCAAACGGGCAACACAAAAGACAGCAAGATGCTAGACGGGGCGGAGCTTGTCCCCGACCAAATTCAGTATCAGGCAATTCAGCACAAAAAAACTCTTTCTGGTGATCCCTTTGTCTAGTGGTCTGCTTTTCTGAAAGCAGTTTCAACAAGTCAAATTTCTTCAAAATTTTGAAGAATGAAACTAATATTGTCTGGTTCAGCTAATAAGGGACAATGTGATTATGAAAGAGCGAACGAAGAGCGAAGAGCGAAAGAGAACGAAAATAACGATCAAAGAGCTTTCTTTGCTTCTCATTCTCAATCTTTAACTTTGAAAAGTTGATAAGCCTTCTTTCCGAGAGTTATCATGAGTTAACGACTCAAGCTAAATGAGCAACATCTCGAACTTTTGAGCAAATCAGGTTTCCAGGAAGCTTGGAGGCAAAATGGTGTAAAAAGTGGTCTAATCTAGGTGTCTCTTCCCATAAACCCACACAAATTACGGGCGAAAGGATGATCCGTTTTCAGGAGAAAATCAAGAGAATTCTCATATGGGAATGATAGGAGAATGATGATACGGAGATCAACGAAAAAGAAATGAATGAAAGGGGAATTGATGGCTCTCATCGGGGAGATCGACCCCATCTCTCTTTCTTTGCCTCAAAATTGAGAGAACAAAAAACAGTTTATCTTTTCTCTAAAAACTTTGCTGACAGTAATTGAAGGTGGCATCACCCACTTGTCTTTTTTCTCGTTTAGTTACCCTTTCCGTAAAAGATTTCACAATTGGAATGCTTGCAAAAATCGCAAGGATATCCATTTTCGGGATTTTTCGTGGGCTAGACAAGGAAATTTATGGTGACTTTTATGGGAAAGTGTTTTTAGAAATCTTGTTTTGATTGGATAAAGTGATCTAGAAGCAAAATAAGAGTTCAAAAAAGCAAAGTGCGGTCAAAAATGAGAGGATTAGTATGATCAAAGTGTGCCCGGAAGGGAGTATATGGAAATTGAGGAGGAAAAGAAGGGAACTTGAGAGAAAAGAAATGAATGAGTACAAAAAGAGAAAAGGATTAGTAGAAGTGACCTCTGCAAAGACTGAATATCATTCAACAAATCCTTTTTGGAGTACTTGAACGAACTGGGTGCACCTATATGGATATCCGGTCATCTTTTGTAAAGCGTGGTTCTCTAGAGTTGCCTCGGAAATATCGCTGCCTTTCATTACTCATTCTATTGTTATTCTTATTGTCTTTTAACATTCACGTTCAAAACCAAGTCAAAAAGTGACAACAAAAAGGGAAATTTGAATTTAACCGTTAGCTGAAAAGAGTTCTAACCATTGATGGGGAATGAAAAGACCGGAAATGGTGGGAAAATACGGACCATCTTCTCTTTACGTTCTTTATTCTTTAAAGAAAATCCTCTTTTCATGGATCATTGATAGATTTGAAAGTGCATTCATTGGTTTACCCATGGGAATCACCCTTGAAAAACAGGACACAAAACCGTGTGTCCTATCTATCGGCTAAACGTTTGAAGCTAGGAAGTTAGAAAAACGCTTTCCCAGTGGTCAGCACGCAATTGACCGTTCCACAATTTTTAGACACAGGAAAATCTTTTTGGGAAAAGTGCCCGAGAAGTGGCAACAATTTCATTAGAAAGCGGAGAGTTTAGGCGGTGTGTTTGTGTAGTGAGGGAGAGGGAGAATAAGTGAATGAGAGGGTGCAAGGAGTGAGTGAATGAACGAACTGAATGGGGGTTTTTGGAGGTCTCTATTTGCGATGATCGGCTGATAAGTGCTTGAGGAGGGCCAACACATTTCGAGAGTTTTGTCAAGACCGATCACCCAAGCCAGACCGGGTGGAAAAGGGGGAAATAAAAAGAAGTTGCGAAAAGAGAAGAAAAGGATAAAGGAACACCCTTCATCTGAA